GGTAGTGCTAGACTCGTGCAGGATGCGGGTTGACGGGGGTGGGGGCGGGGAGTCGCGGGGTTGTGAGATCCAATCTTCGGAGAGTGAGTCGGCCCAGGCGTCCGACATTGTAGATGTGTGGTGGATTTGGGGGGGGGGGGGGGGGGGGTGTAGGGCTGTGGAAGGATTAGCTGGCTGGGGTTGGTTGAAGGAATGAAGAGAGGGGAGGGGAGGGGGTACTTGTGCACTGGTTGACTGGTGTATGATATTCCTTGTCGTTATGGTTCGTATATTAGTGTTGTATTGTATGGACGTGTTTGTATTATTCGTGTCTGTATGTCTGGTGTAGTTATCTTTCTGACTGTCTGTATTGTACGTATTACTCTTTTCAAATTCACATTCGCAGTTCAAGCGTCGTCAGACGTGGTGTTATAACGCGTTGGTGTAGTTATTGTAAGTTGCACGGATTAGGAATTATGCTACTCGATTGATGGTGATGTGTATGTCGAGTAGTGTAGATAGAGTAGGTAGAGTCGAGGGTGATCGAGCGTCGGGTTCAGTCAGTTCAGGTTAGGTAGAGACAGTAGTTGCAGCAGTTGACTGGTCGAACAGTGACTGGGTAGAAAGATCCCACAATGCCTGTCGCTCCAGTCGATCGATGTGTTTGTAGTGTGGCCTGTGCAGCAGCAGGAGCAGGAGCAGCAGCGGGCGGGGGTTTCGGTTCCTGGCTGGGGGGGGTTGCTGTGGTAACGCCAATCAATTGGTGGGAATGGGGGAATGCCAAAATGTCAAAAGATGGAGAATGGAGATATTCGAGAAGGAGTCAAGAGTTACATCAATGGTAGACACAAAAACTTCTTTCAGCTGCGGAAGAAAATTAATCTTTGTGCAACGGTAAGTTGGGTCTCTGCTCTCTGCTCTCTCTGCGTTTCGTTTCGTTCATTCGCCGCCGCATCGCTACCTACGTGTTCAACCTTTAATCTCGCTACCTGTCCTGTCCTATCGATTCCTCGAGACAGGGTTGATTGCAGCGTCCTAGAGTACCAACAACTGGATTCAGATCTCACTGTTTCGCATGACGACCTGTGCACTTTTTTTTGCACTCTACCTACTCCACTCAAATCCGGAGTTTCGGCTGTATGCGTCTGGGAGGGCGGGGGGTTAATATAATAGACAAAATATCTAGTATTTTCGCTGGGGGTAACCTGGATTGATGGGAGATAGGGCTGTCCTACCTATATTACGCGAGCCGTAGACGGAGACTGGCTCCTCGCTTGTTTGAATTGTTCGATAAAATAGACTATTAATGATTAAGAGATTTGATGTGATATGAGTGTGATATAGAGTAGGGTCTAAAAATATGCACTCAAGTGACTGGGTTAGAGGGAAATCTAGCATCATCGGGCATCACTCGGTCGGGATCGTGGTGTGTGGTGTTTGTTACACATGGGACGTTGTCGTACTGCAGAATTGCCTTGAAGCTTAGATTTAGCCCTACTTGTTGCCGGCCGACTCAGAGCATTGTCACGGCATACATATCTCACTTATAGAATTAGTTTCGCCGTCTCAAGGCCTGAATATACGGGATGTTTTCAATCTAACACTGTATTCATGCACTATGGGTCATCCCGATAAATTCCTACTAAAGGTATATATACATGTATTATATCATGGATGATCATAGCAATAGCACGGCTACACGTAGCAACAACTCAATCAATGAATACCAGTCCTCACCAGGAGATATAGAAACAAAACAGTGTTTACAGAAAGAACATATCTACTCACATATATGTCCATTATGTATGCACATGTATTCGATCGATTACAATGATGTGAGGTGCTTTCTATGTCTATCATTTGTATAGCATGCAAATCATCAACTTCCCACCTGTATCACGCCATCTCACGAGTTTCCAAAATTATCCGGACGCTTGTTACAACCAAATTTTGTATGGAGAAACAGCCTTTCTCCACAACCACGGGGCGAGATGACAAGCGATTTCATTTTTGTGATTATTTATGCCTCTATTTTGTTAAGCTTCAATATGAGCTCAATTGAAGTAGTTTCAAAACTTGGTTATTGTGCGAACGTCCGGATAATTTTGATAACCCACAATTCACTCAACACCTGAGCTCACCTGTTGTACTAAGCCTCGTACCATGGCCATTTATTACATTGCAACCTGCCCTTGATAATACTAGACACGTGAACTACATGTAATTATATGCAGCAAAAAGTCTAAATTTTAAAACTGCAGGGAAAGCGGAGTATGTACCTCAAACAATAATATCAACCTATCAATAAAATGCAAAGTACTGCATCATGCATCATGTGCAGTGATGGTTTATAAGCATAGCATGGCGAATCCTCCATTAACTGGTGTTCGCATATATACATCACCCACAGTACCTGCTCTCGTACCCTGTACCCCACATTCTCTACTCTAGCTAGCTTAGGGTTCAAGTATAAATAAGCCCACCCCCCTTGAACTCGTCATCCGCTTTGTATCCTTAAACATATACAAAAATGTATCCATCCTAGAACACCCAGGAAAATGGCAATCCACTCCCTTATCTCAAAGACAAGGCAGATCATCGCCATGTTTTAGAACACCAAGTGGATGGCAAATGCCTCTAAAATAAACATCAACGTCCTCCAGATCAACCTTTGGGGGATGACGAGAAATCGTTCCTAACGGCATCTCTCTTGAGACTCGAGAAGTAAGTAATCTCTAGTCATCCTTGCTTTTGGTAGTTATATATATATTCCTTGCTCCTCTATCGTTCGTTTAGCACTTCATTCTTCACCATTTTCTCCTCGTTAGATGCCAAAGCTACAGACTCATCATAGGTGCTTCTAAGAAGAATATCTAACTGTCCAAAGCAGGGATTCAATTACATCCCGGCCCAGGAACGAGATAACGGGCCGGCTATCATAGAACACCCAGGGAAATGGCAATCACCGTGCCATAATTCTCCCCCTTCTTTCTCCCTCTCCTTCCTCACACTCATCTATCATTATATGGAAGAGTGGCTGAAGTAGGCAACTAATATGGAGGAAGAAAATTAACGTCAGTGCCTCTATGCTGTTTGACATATCTCTTGTAAGTTCTCTTTTTAACGGATTAGTTTATTTGTGAGTAGTTCACGTAGTTGACGAGTGATATTAGCGAAACTTAAATAGGAGCAATAGTGTCAATAGCAACAAGCCGATGTTGCACACATCTGGACGGGAAGCTATAAATGGGCCCCATCATAAGGGTGTAAGTGTACACTTTCTATAGCAATGAATATATTGGTTGGCTAATGATATTATTAATTAGTGGAAGCGCTGTTGTGATATACGGTGTATGTGGGGAAACACCGTTAGGTGTGGGATATTGTGGGTGCTGTCGCACTCCACCATTGAGGCCAAAGATGCTCTGGGATTCATTAACCGGATTTCCATTTCGTAGAGGGGATATATACATTAGAATCCATCGTGATAAATACATACCGAGGAGGTGAGTTTGCAATTGTTCGTTGAGTATAAAGCTATTATACGTTAGTTACTAATGATGTTAGTTGATCACGAACCGTGACATTATGCGGTGGGATTCGGACGAAAAAGAAGCCACTCGAGCATGGGGTGGGGGCCCTCAGAGGATACAATGGCACATACATCACTGTTCCTGCTGCGGGCCGTATCTCACCTCAATTGGTGGTATGGAAATACTACTACCGTGGCCCCCATGGTTATGAAGGATATGGTGTTTTTCGGTTTAGGGCACCGCGTCTACTAGCAGCCGAGAGATCGGCAACATCCACACACTGGTCGGAGCTCTTGTTAGAGAACAAGCTGCTCATCGCAGAGTATAACGCCATTATCCTACCTATTTCGAGGAGATGAAGCATCTTAACAGGGCTATCAGACGCGAGAATCATAAGATGAGGGAGACCCTCAGTACAATTGAATTTATCCAATGGTTCAATGAGGAGCCTAGTCGTGATTTATTCCTCCTCCAGTAAAAGATTCAGAAGAATGCTCAGCCGCCCAGCTGCTGGTAAGCTTTCGAGTCCTCTCTCTCTGTGACTCGGGGCGCCGGGGGAGCTTTATCCCCCCGCGCCTTCCGGGGGCGGCCTCACCGCATCGTGCGTGGATGCCGCCCCTCCACCTCTCCACCCACTGGATACCGCAAGGGGCAATTCCTCTCATCTAAAACTTATTGCGGGGAGGAGTAAGGAGGGGGTGTATTATAGGAGAATGCTATCAGGCAATAACCTATTGTGGGAGCGTGCCATTAGGCACCGATCTATTGTGGGGGGGAGAAGCCTATGCTTCATCTTCCGGCGCCTGCCTGTACTCCATGACATTCAGCAGGGCTGTCTTTGCACTTTTGTAATATATAGTTATAGAAAATCAAAAACAAATTAAGAAATAACCAACTCTCGCTGTGCTCTAGCTCTCAAAATGACCCATAGATATAAACGTGGCTAACCCCGCTAATACAGCCCACCTGTGAGCCAAATCGGCACTAACAGACACAGCGTCAATTATCTCGTGGTATAAAAAACACCTCTGACACTACTAATCTACTAACTAGACTCCTGGCGGCTCATAACAACATCATATCCAATCACTCGCACGCCCAGCAGCTGGAGATCACGGACTGTCACTCGAGAAACGTGTTTCCACAGCAAGAGAGGCCCAACAGAAACAATGAACAAGCTAGCCGCAACACGCCCCGCCACCAAAAATCAGCAAGCAAAGCGCACCCGCATACCCGGTCATTGATTCCCCGCCCCCCGGCCTCTTTACATATACTCAATCTGCATCTAGCTATCTCATCCCATTCAACAGTCCGTACAATATAAGAAGAAGGAAAAAGCACCATCATTCGAATTCCCATTCACACCAATTCATTTTTTAGTCCGCTCACCCTCCCCGAACTCCCCGAACTCCCCAACCGCCCAACCCCAACCTAGCTCCCCACTGACAGCTGCTGCCACCACTATTACATTACACTACCGGCGGAGCTCTAAACCTGCTCGCCATCCCACTGGGGATCGCGCATGTTCTCCGGCGGCTCAATGGATGGCACGTATTCGAGCGCGACTACACATTTCACAAGGACTAATCAGCACTGCACTACTACCACCACTCATCACCAACACCACCACGGAAAGAGGGAAGGGAGGAGGGCAAACCATAAGCAACCCCGACAAGCCCGACAATAGCGCCCGCAATCTCCCGAAGGATGTGGTCGTGGAGGAGGATGCTCCCGACGAAGATGTAGACTACACGCCCCCCGACACCGCCTACGTTAGTCTATCTAACCCGAGAAGGAGGAGGAGGAGGAGAAGGGGAAGGAGAAGAGGAAGAAGAGACATACAGATACCCCTTCCCAAGAACGAGAACAGAAAGCTCGCATATCTCGACAGCTGCGGCGGGATCTGGAACTCGAGGAGCATGGTTGCTATCCCACCACACGTCCCACGGTTAGCCGGGTTGTCCCCAAACACCTCACGCCCACAAGCACAGCACGGAGAAATAGAGACATACCGAGTCCAAAGAGGATGACATAGCAGCCGATAATGATGCTCTGCAGCCCCAGCGGGAAGAACTGCGAGATGCCGCCAAAGACCATGACGCCGCCGACGCCCAGGTTGACGAGGCGGAAGATGTTCGACATGTTGTCCATTGCGAGGGTCGTGGGCGTCTGTAGTTGCGGAATGGTTGCGATGGATGGGTGGTTTGTGATGGGGATGGAAAAAATGGACGCGCGGTGCGGTGTGGTGGTGTTGAGGAGGCAGAGGCAGAGAGAGGTGAAGGTAAGGTGTTAGGTTTGGGTTGACGGTTGTTTGGTTGGTTGGGTGGAACTGGGGTTGGCGGTGATGTGTGTGGCTTGTGGCGGGGGTGCGCTTATTCAGCGTGCATGGCACGGGTGGACTAGCATGAGTTAGGCCTGAAACTATGGGGGGTCTACGTCGTCTACAAGGTGCTTAGCTCGGGAGCAGAGAAATACGAATACGAGAAGCAAGTGAATGATTAGACCAACTGCACCGGGAGAAGTATTCCCTAGGCGCGCATTTACACAGCCGCGAGTTTCTACGCAACCCAGGTGTCAATGATGGAGATAGCGTAAAGTGGGGGTGTGTGCCAATGTTCACAAAACCCACAAACCACCGGAAATGATATCTCTGCCCACTCCCCACCTTCCCACCACCAACCCACCAACCCACCAACCCACCACCACTCCCCACCACCACAGCCCCAACCAAGCAATGAGCGCCCCCACCCCCCTCCCCCCCACCGCAACCACCTTCCTAACCCCCTACCTCCCGCACCCCACCGGCGGCCACTACCCCTTCACAACCCTCACCTACGCCGTCTCCCTCGACTCACACCTCTCCCTGTCCCCCGGCACACAAACACACCTCTCGGGCCCGCTCTCAAAGTCCCTCACCCACCACCTGCGCACGCACCACGCGGCGCTGCTCATCGGCCTCACCACCGCCCTCTCCGACGATCCCGGCCTCAACAGCCGCATCCCCGGCACCCCGCTGTCCGCGCAGCCAACGCCCATCATCCTCGACCCGCGCTTCCGCTGGACCCCCACCGCCACCACCCGCGTGATCCGTACTGCCGCCTCCGGCGCGGGAAAGCCCCCGTATGTGCTCGTGCGCGCGGACGCGCCGGAGCATGCGGACAAGACGGCGGTCATTGAGGGGGTTGGCGGGCGGGTGTTTCGTGTGCCGGTTCCGCCGGGGGGCGCGGAGCGCTGGGAGTGGGATGTGTTGTTGAGGTTTATTAGGAGGGAGTGTGGGGTTGAGAGTGTGATGGTGGAGGGGGGCGGGGAGGTGGTGAATGCCCTGTTGGAGGCGAGGAACCAGAAGTTGGTGGATAGTGTGGTGGTCACGGTGGCGCCGGTGTATTTGGGGAGGGGTGGGGTGAATGTGTCGCCGCTGGGGAGGATAGGGAGTGAGGGGAGGAGGGTGCCGGCGGCGAGGTTTAGGGATGTGGCGTGGTGTGTGTTGGGGGATGATGTGGTGATGGCGGCGAGGCCGGATGTGGAGATTTGAGAGTGGGGGTGTATGTACTCTAGAGGAGGGTAGATAGATTATAGACTTATCATTTCTTCAATTGGGGATGATGCTAGCATTGGTGGCATAGGTTTTATAAATTCGTGCACAACTGATCATTGATACTGCTTGGGCAATTGTTCACAGTAGTTCACCATGGAACCCATTTTCACAACCCTGGACAGACTTCACGAAGAACATAATCAAATCACATCACATGCACATTTCTCAATCTCTTGAAACGTCTCAACTCGACGCTATTTCATTCCACGGGAAATCATCATACACCGTAATAAAGCTATACACATCAATAAAAGAAAAAGAAACAGAAGCCACAAATCCACAAATCCATAAAAAAGGAAAAAGAAAGACAAAAAACCCCGCGCCCAGCCAGTAACAACAAAAAGGGACCCCATTTTGCCCAAAGCCTCGTTACGCTCCACACCGAAGGACACGCTTAGTCCTTTCCGCCCGACAAGTTGATGCACACAGTCTTAGTCTGGGTGTAGTTCGCCAACGCGGCCTTTCCAAGCTCACGGCCGATACCAGACTCCTTGTAACCACCGAACGGCAGCGCGTGGTGGAGGGCGTTGTAGGTGTTGATCCATACAGTTCCGGCCTTGAGGCGGTTCGAGACCTCGATGGCAGTCGCAAGGTTGGTGGTGTGGACGGCCGAGGCAAGACCGAAGGTGGTGTTGTTTCCGATCCTGATGGCGTCGTCGAGGGTCTTGAACTTGGCAATGGATGCGACAGGGCCAAAGATCTCCTCCTGCATGATCTTCATTTCCTCGGTGACGTTCGAGAAGATGGTGGGCTGGATGAAGTATCCGCTAGTACCGTGGCGGCTACCACCGCACTCAACCTTGGCGCCCTCCTGCTTCCCGTGCTCGATGTAGGACATGACACGGTCGAACTGGAGCTGGGAGACCTGGGGGCCCTGGAAGGTCTCTGGGTGGAAGGGGTCTCCGACAACGTTCTTGGTGATGCGGGCCTTGAAGGCCTCGACGAACTTGTCGTAGATGCCCTCCTGGACGTAGATGCGGGAACCGGCGCAGCAGACCTGGCCGTGGTTGAAGAAGATGCCGAAGTTGACCCAGCTGATGGCGTCCTCAACGTTGGCGTCGTCGAACACGATGTTGGGCGACTTGCCGCCGAGCTCGAGCGTCACCTTCTTGAGGTTAGAGTTGGCGGCAGCCTTCATGATCATGCGGCCGACGGGGGTGGAGCCGGTGAAGGCGACCTTGTCGATGTCCATGTGGGCGGAGATGGCAGCACCAGCGACTCTGCCGAGACCGGATATGACGTTGATGACACCGGGGGGGAAACCGGCCTCCTTGATGAGGGTGGCAGCAACGAGGGCTGAGAGAGGGGTCTGCTCGGCGGACTTGATGATAACGACGTTACCGGTAGCAATGGCGGGACCAATCTTCCATGACCACATGAGAATGGGGAAGTTCCATCTGAGGACCTTGTCAGAAACTACTCTTCTCAAATCTGGTAGCAAGGAAGAAAGACATACGGAATGATCTGTCCACAAACACCGACGGGCTCCTGCTTGGTGTAGTTGAACTTTCCGGGGGCGGTGTCAATGACTTTTCCGTGGACCTTGTCGGCCCATCCACCGTAGTATCTGAAGACGTTGGCGGCGGCCTGGACGTCACCCTGGGCCTCGGAAACGGCCTTTCCGTTGTCGAGAGCCTCGACGGAGGCGAGGAGGAGCCTGTTCTTCTCGAAGAGGTCCGCAAGGTTGTTCAAGTACCTTCCACGGTCCTGGGGAGTGACCTGGGACCACTCGCCCTCGAAGGCTGCACGGGCAGCCTTGACGGCAATGTCGACATCCTGTTCAACCGTATCGTTAGCAAAGTTGATGACAGCAACTAAGGGAGTTTTTTCTGGTTACCTTCTCGGAGGCCTCTTGTACGGAGGTGATGACCTTCTCGGTGGTAGGGTTGATGACCTCGAAAGAACCACCGTCAACACTGTTGACCCACTCGTTGTTGATGAACCTAGAAAACACTTAGTCCCCAATCCCATCATCAATCATCAACCATAGATAGAGAAGAAGCTTACAGTCCAAGAGGCTGCTCGTATTTGACGCCATTAGGCAACTCGATAGTCTGTGTAAGGCTCATGATTGAAGGCTGTAGTGGGGTATGATAGAAATTGCGGCGATGAAGAAGATACTCTGTGATAGTATGAGAAACAGAAGAATGGGAAGCAGAAGGAGGAGGGGGATCTCAAGGCTATATATGAGTTCTTGGGGACAAAGAGGTGGGGATGAAGCCTAGGGTAGCCGAGGGGGGGAAATTACTGATGATTTGGGTTTCGTTGTACGAACTGTGGGGTTAAGGATTTAAGGGACGGAACACACCCCGGGCAATGTGATATGGGTTGCACATGCTGCACACCGCCGCTGGCGCGGTCTGCTCTATAGATCGAATAAGCTAGCTCAGTTAATAGCATAGCATAGCTTGAAGCATCTCGACACCCCCCGGCCCCCGCCGGAGCCATCGAGTTAGAACAAGCACCTATGTGGCCATCTATGAAGCATCCAGTGTTTCAGGAACTCCATCAGAATACGACATATCGCAATTGTTTCTGGGCTACCCTTGTGATTAAAGTTCTTCCACTACTGTGTTCTGTTACCCAGGGTCCTCCAAGCCAGCAATGGGCTCCTCTATTCGCGACCCTTTGCACCGAATGGCGGGGTGGAGGGCATGACGACAGCAGCTGTGTTTGTTTCAACATCAGAGATGAAGGGTGACCAGGGTCTCACACGGCTACTCCACTTAAAGCTTAGTGTATCCGATGATTGCCCCGCACAACCGCCCCTCCCCCCTCACTCCCCCACTAACCGATAACGGAAATTGCCGTTACGCGAGTTCATGTTTTGAGCTTTCATTTTTCCCCCAACCTTCTGATGGAGGTACCGCCAAAACTCGAAAAATTGGCTAGATCAAAATTACTTGTACGGGAAACTTCTGGTGCAGATCGATGCCATTCAACCAATCACTCAAGTGGCAATCCCTGGACGGAGATAGCCAATTTTTCGAGTTTTGGCGGTAAATGCTCATCGTGGAATTAGGGTGATGAGGGGATTGGAAATGATTATACGATCATCAATCGTTGCAAATCACTACCTGCTCTAGCCCTTCTCATATATTTCCTTACAGCCAAGTGCCGTGATGCTGCAACTAGATTACTAAATCAGCCCAGCGCGCGCTGCAACAAGTTTAGAGTTTGGTGACAGTAATCGTGTCAAGTAGCTTCCAACCTCTCCCTATGATCGATTTTGACGGCATGCATGTGCATTGACCTTCGATTGGGCCGGCCATGGCCACGGCCACGGCCACACGGTGGGCGATAAATTACAAATCAGGGAGTGATCCGGAATCATCACGAACTGCATCGATTTTTGGGCGGCGCTCTAACGGAGATACTGCATGGGCGCAGCACGTATTCCCGACGACCTCCTTTGAACTCGGACGACCGGGGTTTCCCGTCCAGGGGGTTATTGTTGACTGTGTTTACATGATTGGATTTCCTATAGCGGCTGGGCCAAACTCAACACTTTCCTTCTCAGGTCAAGCATTGTAATTTAGAGCTTAGCTAGCAGGAGCTCTCAGATTTCTGAACAAGCTGTCGGGGAATTTTCCAAGCTCCCAAGCCATGGCTTGCTGAGCACACTAACCACCTACTAATAATCTCCGAGATGCCAAGCAAGCAGTAACAACACAAAAGAACCAACCACCAGAAACGTGGTATGAAATCATTGACAGCTCTGCTCAAAATATCAACCAAATGTACCTACTCTACCATAAGCAATTATGATCACAAAGGTTTCAGAAGAGCATATTTTCATCCGTACACCCTTCCGCGGTTATCTTGGTGGGGGCTCCTTTTATCCGTACTTTCTCCGCTGCGCCGTCCCTTGTAAGGCGTTGGTTGTCTGCATCTGTCTGTATCCTGCAAAAAAATCGCCTCCCGGTTGTACACACAAACTACAGGTATGGGTTATTGGGATGTCTCTACTCTAGATCCCAGCAAATCGATTTTTCGGGAACAAAACTAGGTCGATTACTCTAGATGAGCTCCTCCTAGCTCTCGGCACGACGCGACATATTACAGTCGTTCACCGTCTCTTGACGAATACTGCCACTTGACGAACAGGGATTCCAAGTATGGCAAGAAACAGTCAAGCAACAGCCAAGCTGCGAGATCTCCAGTCCTTTTAACTTCTATTGGCCCAAAGTCCCCTGTTCGTCAAGTGGCAGTACCGCAAATACTCGATAAATTCGCTAGCGCCGTTTGCACCAAAAAGAACCCAAAGTGCTGTTTTTTTGGTGTGATAAAGGGCAATAACGCTAGCGAATTTATCGAGTATTTGCGGTATTCGTCAAGCGGCAGTGAACGACTGTACTATTCAAACAATTTCGTACCCCAGTTTCGTCGCGGTTAATGAAAAAAGACTGTACAACCCTACCAAAATGCGTATGACGGTGGACCTGCTTTTCATGTAGGTACATGTGTCTGGGCAAACCCAGCAAGAGTACGGTACTCGACCTGCTTTGATATCATCGAGGTCTGGACAATTGGCCGGACTTCCCTCCGGCCACGTTTTTTGTCGCGATCTGTCCAGCTCCCCCCTGTGACCCTGGCTACTCGCTATCGCAGCTGCTCCGTGCGCTCAGACATTGTACGTGCACCGTGACAGTCACGTTCTCACCGGAGGAGAGGATAGGTGATTGATAGTCGCTGTTCCAACTTGGTTCTGACTAGTGTAAGCTTGGGGAGTTTCAACAGTTTTGAAGGCTCATGGAGAAGGTTGGTCTTTCGTGGGGGGACGGTCTTTGACGATGATATAAAGCTGTCGGCGCCATACCTACGGTGTTTTTAAGTGTTTTCTTCCTCCATGGTGTCCGCACAGCCCAAGGGCTATGTTCTCAGGTAAGATGTGTCGCCCTGGATACATGTAGTGTTATTTAGAGCTCAGTTACCGCAGCGCCCCCCAAGCGCCTCTTCTTAGCTCTCCGGCTCCCCAGGTTTTCCCAAGCCCAACCCTTCAAGTAGTTTATGCGGGGCCCGGGGGCTTGAGCTTCCGAATTCCGTAGCTAGGGCCATCCAGATGTCTTTCGAAAACAACTAAAATTGTTTTGTTTTTCAAAATTGTGGGGTATGTCAACTACGGGCCAATTACCAATTAGTTAAGTGACTCGACCAATGAAGAGCGACGGTCGTCAGATTCCTCAAACCAAAACCTGGATTGGCATGTTTTTTTGTGTCACAGAGGGCTTCGGGGCGTAATTAAGCTTTTTGATATTGGCTTGGGATTGCTTTTTTTTTTTGCTTCGCTTATCTGGTGTGCCGGATCGCCGAGGGGTGTGGTTTGGGTGGCTTACCGGAGAAAAAAATAGGTTTTGGGTTCAAAGCGAAAAACTGACTCTACTTGTTATATGATTGCTATAAGATTATCTAGTGCTATGATGCTGTTTCTTCTTTTTTTTTAGAGATGATCTTTGTGAGGCAAAGTAAAGAACCGAGAACGTACTATGAACTGATGAGTAGAGAGACCAGGGGAGAGAGCGGAAGGTCTCTCTTTATAGTTACTGTTAGAGGCCAACTACCTCTAATATAAAAGTACAGATAGTTTGGAACAACCATAAAACGTTTCAAAATTCAATTGTTAACAACATCCATCACCACGGTTGTAATAACTTGTCATGATCAACAGTTCACGGACATTGTGCTAGATGTCTAAGGTCAGGCTGATGAAATTACAATTGCAATTGCACAAAATTATCTTTCTGTTAACCTCGAAGCAATGTTAATTTGATTGCCCCGGTGCTGTTCATGGTTTATGATTTACGGCCAATTGAGATGTCGTCAAGATAGCACCCCCGGGCCCCGACAAACCCACAAACAAGGTTTCCTAGCGGCATGTACGATCTGTTCTTCCCCGGAATCTGCCCTTCCCACGTTTTCTCCCCACCCCCATGTTCCGATACCGATACTCTAGTTAGTATCAACAAGGGTCCTTCAGTTCAACCCAGCCCGCCCTGCCGACACTTGGGCCGGAGAAACATCTTCTCCAGAAACACCGTAGTTAAGCAGAGTATGGTCTAAGTCCGCTCGCTTTCTCGGGCTATCTCTTGTTAGTGTAGCTGTGGTCTTCTTGGGTGGTGCTGGTAGCGTGTGTCGGGGGTTCGGGGGTTCGGGGGAGTGCTGGCCGAGAGGGATGGGCGTCGGGTGATAGTTGGTGAATATCGCAACACATGGATTGAGAACTGAGGCATTGGGATGTCTGAGGCGAGGGTTATTTGCAATTTCTAACCCCGACTCTCCCCGTGGCTTTTTTTACCGGGTCTATTCTACGTCTTGGTATATTCATGATCTACATACATATTTTACCCACCCGCAGCCCATCCATACTTTACCCTTACCCCTACACCTCCCTCTAACCCACTACCTCACTACCTCCCCGCCGCCATCACAGCCCTCATCCCCACAGCCCCCACCGCCGCACCCACCGCCACGCCCACCAGCAGTGCATCCCACCCGCCAAACACCCTCTTCACCCTTGCCTTCGCATCGCCGGCCCACAACCACCGCTCCCCGCCGTGCCTCCGCGCAGCCCGCAAGCCTGGCAGTCCGTCCAGCGAGTCAGAGTTCCACTCAACCTCGTAGTCATCCATCTTGCCCTGCGAAACCATTTTCCGCCCCCAGTTGGCCAGGGTGTCGCGCTCGGTGAAGACGGCCTTTACTTCGCCGTCTGGGGAGGTGGTGGCGCCGGCGATGGGCACGCCGAAGCCGCAGCTGGTTTGTACCTGTTGGTGGATGCGTTAGCATCCTCTCCACCTACCACCCATCAATTCATCCGGCCACCTCTCCGCCCGGCCACCCGCCCGCACCCCCACCCCGCCGGCCACCAGCCAAACAGCACTCACCTTCCACACATCCAGCAGCACCACCGCCCTCGCCGACTCGATTCCTTTCCCCTCCCCCACCTCCAACCCCATCTCCTTCAAAACACCATCAAACTCCTTATCCCCCTTCTCCACGACCTGTCCCTTACAAAACAGTCTCAGAATCCTCGGGCTGCGCGCGAAAGACGCAAACATAACCGTGATGCGGCCGTTCTCGTATACGTGCGAGATGGTCTCGTTGCCGGAGCCGGCGGCGTCGATGTAGGCGGCCTTGTTGGGGCCGAGCACGGCGAAGGAGGATGCGGGGAGGCCTTTGGGGGAGAGGTTTATCTAGGTGTGGGGTGGGGCGTTAGCTAGGTGTCGGAGGGGGGGGGGAGGCTAGAGGGAGTGGGGTAAAGGGCAATGGGGGGAGCGGGAGGGGACAGACGTGTTTGCCGAGCAGCGGGGCGCTGGCGGTGAAGAAGACGCTTTGCTCCATGAGCCAGGAGCTCAGCTCGGGGGAGATAGAGTCGTAGTAGACTGGCATTTTTGCTGGCTTGCTTCTGTAACGTTTAGGTAAGTTTCGAGGTAGGTGAATAGGTACGTACTGAGCTGCGCGGGGCGGGCTCAGAGAGAGATAAGTAGTACCAGCGGCCGTGAGTCACCGTAAGTATGTATAGTAAAGCGCTTGACTAACCACCTTCCCTTCTCCGTTCCCCCACTCTTATTCCCCACATATTGTACTTTAATTGCGACTGTACTTGCTGGCCAGAGGTCGGCTTGCATGCTGCAGGCAGGGTTGCTTATCGATTAGATACGATCATTGACCGGGGTTGTCACCGCCAAGGCGATTGATACCAGAGATAAAATAAGCTACTTTACTCTACTGACCTACTCCACTATCTACATATCTATAACCCGGATTCTAAGGATCTAATCTCAATTGCTATTATCACTATTGGGCCATAAGCTATACTTTACCAACGACACCTAATATGCACGATATCCGATAGCATCCGGGCTGATAGTAGATTACTTATAGCTTAATGATATTCGGCCCGCCCGCCCGGCATTGGGATGGATATATGGACTACATGTAGTAGCCATAGGCCCAAACGGAGCAGAATCACGCCATGGAGACAGCCGGCCGGATTGTTAGGATATATATATGCGGTACCCAGTCTCGTGCCCAGCCTGTGGTGTGATTCTCCAGCAGAACGAGGAACGAAGTATACATACTCATAATATGCTTAAAAGGCCGTATCGGTATTTACTATAAACAACTTCTGCGCCCTGTGAGAGCGGGCTTTTGGTGTTCAATTACAGTTACGGGAGAGGCAGTCTCCGGACCAGAATATTTGGCGTGTACCTTCACAAAGACGGGGCTAGTCTATGGCCTGCAGCTGACTGGGCAAACATGAGACTTTCCGAATTATAATATTGGGCTAGGGTTTAGCGCCAATTGGTTTTATTCTACAAATACTCAGTCGGCATGTTGGCTATAAAAAGCCACCAAAACACACCCAAGACCACGCAAAAACACAATCTCAAACAAAAGACCACACAAGACCACAGACAGTATACTAGAGCTGCTAGTATCAGCTACCCGCAGGCATCTATGCATCCCCGGCGGCGAACCGGCGCCCAGAACCGGCCCGGACCGCACACACATACCGGGGACACGCGCGGTCTCAACTATCAATGAGAAAAGTATTAAGCCTGTTACTATATGGCAATGGTAGTTTTGTTTCATTCCTCAGTATCAATATATACATACGGTTGGTATATGTGGGCGTAGTATATATCGTCTTATATATCGTGTTGAATAGTACATATATAGCAGATACACCGGCGGTGCATGTGGATATGTGAGATACTTTGCACATGCCCATAACTAAGAATAACAGCAAACATCACTTGGGGTTGGATGCGGCTATGTTTTCCCCCTCGGGCTGCAGTAATAAACGTCTATCTGCAGTGACTGGTGATCCCCCTATGGTGATATACCTAGAACGGCGGAGTGGCGTGCGGCGGGAGAATACGAAGTTTAGAAACGGATGAATCACGAGCATGAAGAGCAGGAGAATTAATCAATTATGTAAAAACCCCACAATACCCTCCAAAGAAGGAAACACCACCTCGCCGTTGACCCAAACCAGGAAAACATCCCCGCTACACACACTCTAAAGTCTACAGTAACATCTAAATGCTAAACGCCACTTGACCACTTCTCTACTATAATCCGCACCGGGATAACTATAGGGAAAGCTTATTTCCGCCAAGTGATCACCTCCATGACGTGAATTAATTAGGTTGCGTCTGACATGCATCCAATTTATATATAGTAAGCAGCTTTGAGGGGGGGGTCATAGAGTACTGTAGATGCGGAAATGATACTCTAGTAGTGATTGTTGAGATTAGTTATCCCTCCAGCGTTCCTTATCATCAACACCCACAGTCCGTGACCTGTCTCACGCGCGCCGCACCCCCAACCCCCAACACTCAACATCTCCGGCGCAACAGAGATAAGCCTTCTCCCCCTTCCCTTCCCACAGACCTCTACATAGTACATACACCCCAAGTACCTACCCAACAAGTACAGGAGTGGGTTCTCGCAGCCGCACCGGGGATCCAGCCTTATCTGGCACTTCGGGTAACCGCAGAGCCGGGTGCACGAGCCCTGGCTGTGCAGGAAAAAGATAAAGCTTGTTAACAGCTTAGGGGGAATAAGATCCCAGACCAGCAACAGGAAACTAAAAACCAGCAGCAGATCTATCGTGACTGTCGTACATCTTGATTTCAAAGCCCGGTAGGTGGTACACTGTGCAACCTGCAAGCTATTTACCTAGTGTTTGTGACGACCTTGATCTAGTAATCAAAGTACTACTTTACTGTACACAGCGCCTGGTGCGTAGGTTAAAGGTATGAAATGGCTATCTGCCCGCCTCTGCTGACCTAAGACATGCATATTATATACACAATTGATGGGGCGAACCTAGATATTTAGACCTGACAAAGTGGCAATCTGTTTGACTTTAATTATATGTAGGCTGACGGCCAAACGTTACTTCTCCTGGCCATGGGGGCCGAGGAAAACATGACATGAACATGATGCTGATATTCATCTAAATTCTATACCGTATTAATGAAGCACATCAGTACATACAAGCAGTTCCATCCTGCGGTGAGAGTGTAACACAGATGTTTTTCAATATTGATCACAACCAAACTGCGCATTGTACTGAACATGGATCATTACACATCACTCGTAGTCGGGGTAAACCTAACCCTACTCTAGGTGTCAAAGATACCAAAACAATGCTTTTTTAAACTCACACAAAAAACACAAAACATGTCAAAAAGACTCGATGATTATAATAAGCAGTAGCCAGGCAAGTACAAACAAAACCATCCAAACCAAAACCGGATGGGGGAAAATCACAACCATGATACATAAACATGCATGGATGAGGGTAGCAAAGAACATAAGCTCATATGTATAAATAATGCCCCTGTGCTCTCTCGCCAGCTTCCCCTCTAGAAATTTCAAAAAAAAAAAGAACACACAAAACGTGGATGCAGGGCCCACAATGGCTGTCATGCAATAAAACAAAAATCAATCCGTAGCACCGATTCTTTCCAATCTTTCAACTTCGCCAAGTTGAAAAGAAACCCGCAATGCACCAATGAAAAAGAAAATGGAAATCAATGGGAAAAAAAGAAGAGAAAAGAAAGAAGAAAAACCTCCAACACCTTCATTGAAACCCACCCTCACGATCATGCTCATGTAGATACCTCCCCTAGATCTTCCATCATATCCCAACCTGAGCTTATTTCGTCTCGCTGGTGTCCTCCGCCATGCCCCTCCTCTCCTCTTTCAACCCATTCTTCACCTCTTGCATCCCTCCAAATACTTTGGATATATCTTTGCAAAGTCCTCAACCCTCTGAGATAGCCTCTGTCGATACCGGTACGATCCTTTGGTGGGCAGGTCGCGAAAGGTGGTAAAGGATCTTCCGCTGTCACACAATTTGCAAAATCCACAATTTTCAGGTCGATTTGCCGATCATGGTCCATCCCATCATACAGCATGAGTAAGCTACTTGCGTAAAATCTATACCCAGGCAAGCGTTTGATCATAACCTCCAAAGCGTGGAGCTTTTCCAAAATTGTAGGAATATGTCTCAGGACAGATTGCTCAGCCTTCCCGTCATGCAAGAATCGGGTAAGGGCACTTTGAAATTCACGCCCTGCCTTGAGATCTCGCCCAAAGTACTTATCTTCGAAGGTATAAGTACTACTTTTGGCATTCCAGACTTGCATCCCACAAAGCCTCACTCCAAGGTCTCGGGAGGTAGTGAGTGCACATTTATTGGCCTGAGACTGGCGCTTCTTCTCATTGGCTTCGATCCCGTATTGACGAGTTCCCATCTTAAGATCAAGAACACACGGCCGTTTCATACCTGCCGTGAGATCTTCGAGGAGAAGAAAGTGCTCAACGCGTTCTGTCGGCTGATCCGCCGGCTGATCTGTCGGTCGCTCTGTGGGCTGTTCTGTAGGTGGTGGCGGTGGTGGCGACGGTATCGATGGCGGTGACGGGCTATCTGGTGTGTGACTTAGAGAGATTGCAGGGGGAGGAAGGGAGGTTGTTGGCAGTCCTTGGGCTGAAGCAGTTTGGACCTCAGTAGTTGGAGAAGACCTTCGTGACATGCATTTTTCTGCCCATGATTTTTTCCCTGGAATGATATCATCCTCATCCATTTTGAAAACCTCATCTTCCCGATCGCCTCCGTAACCATCGTCCTCCGCGCCAAAGTTATGTGGACTCAAAGATGGCCTTTTCTTTGTCCGTCTGCGCATACTCCCACTTGACTGCCTTCTAGCCAGCTTAGTTCCTAGTCCACGATCAACGCTAAAAGTAGACATATCTGGGGAGGCAGTTGCTGGTCGCTCCAGTAAGCCACTGTTCTCGGTAGCCCCACTCGTCGAAATTTCTTTAACATTGGCGCTAGAAGAGTACTTTCTGTCACCATCATCTCGAAGAAATTTGATGCGTCGATCTTCAGGTGTATTCCCGTAAGAATGAGAAAGGTCGGTGCTGCTTCTTCTGAAGCCTCTGCTACAGCTTGAAGATTCGCCTGCAGCACATTTTTCATCATGCTGGTGTCGATGGTGATGATTTGTGTGATGGGATCGGGAACGTGACCGGGAATGTGGACGATGGTGATGTACTGGCGGGGGTCCAAACACCTCTCTTAACACTTGCTCCTGTAATTTGCGATTCACAGAAGTGGCTCCCCAACTAGGGCTTTTAGGAGTGATTTTTGGACTAGTATCGTCTCCTGTATGTGTCCCATTGATCTCAGTCCTACCAGTTTCAGAGCCGACGCTACCATGCTCTACTCCATTCCCAATACCAGAATCTTTCTCGCTATTTACAGATGATTTGGAAGAGTGGGAGGAAGCACTGGTAGAAAGTCTGAACAAGTTCTCAGGAATGATATGCCTGTTATTCTCAAAAACTACTTGTGGTAAAGGAAACAAGGGATTTCCTTGCCCGCTTTCTGATGCTGTCACGAAGTTGGGTTCTTTAGAAAACTCGGAATCCGCCGGTGTAGTTTTTGTATTAGTAGTCCCACTAGAAACGGGGGTAACGGCGGCTGCCTCGGCCCCAGTAGGCGCTTCTCCAGAGGTATTCTCAATCTCCTTCTTCTTTTTCTTCTTAGGTGCTTTCCGGAAGGTGACATTCAATACCCCAATATACCTTAGATTCCCCAATAAATTAGTACGTATGATGCGACGCATTGAATTTTTTTTAGATAGAAATGGTAGCTTACTTTGGCAAAAACCCCAATAGCTCCGGATGCCTCTTCTCCACAGCCTCGTAAAACTCGTTCTCTTTGTTGCTCAGGCTCTTACAAACAGCCCTCCGAGAAAACCTGAACAGTGCAGTATGACCTCCGACCTGATGATTGTAAGGTTTGAGTTCCACAGCACCGAGTGGTACCTGGGGGGTTGTCTGGGCTAACGCGTTGGAATGTGATTTATTCGCAGACTGACCGTGGGAACGATCCGGCTTCAGATTTCGGGGGATGGGAGTAGCAGTTGGAGTTGTGTCTATTTCGGATCCATCTTGACCATTTTCGTTTCCCGACGAATCATCGTTGCTATCTGAAAGCTCCGAAAACCCGGATGCTGCGGATGAATAACCTTCATTATTAGAGTGATAACTACTGTAATCGTCGTCGGGATTTACACGATTTCGTCTTTCTGCGTGATAGTGAAACTCCTCGTCTCCAGACTGAATAGACAAATCAAATTCCGGCCCTGTTTTACCAGGAGGTGGAAGAATGTCATCCCGTGTAACATCGGTAGTAGACGGATCTTTCCGCATCGGTTGACTATGCAGGCCGATTGCCGAGGCTGATTTATTTTGGGTTGTCGTAGGATCTGGAAGAACTGACGGCGTCGGATGTGGAAAGTAAAGTGCTGAGGATATCTCATCTTTATCGGACTCTTCATCCTCATCTTCTTCATCTTCCACCTGATCAACCCGATCATTTGCTGTTTGTTTTCTGGAAATATCAACCGATAGCTCGTGACAGCCTAATTGCCCTTCAACCAAGTTTGAGGTTGGAAATTCGGAAGTGCTAACGGCGATATTTGTTGGGTTATGAATATTGGGAATGATCCTTTGGTTTGGTTGGGGCGGTGGTTCAAGCTCTGATCTATTGATATAGATGGAAGCCACTGAGGCAACATCTTCTGGGGCGCGAGACACAAAATGAGATGCCGAAGAAGGCGTATCACCAGGGACAGCTTTAGGAACGGAGAGCTCATCACAAGATGATGGAAAATATCTATCGTCTTTCGTATGTGTAACTGAGAGAGAATTAGAGAGAGAATCTTGCGGTAATTTGCTTTCATTTTCTTCAGTTTCTGAAACCAAAGCAACACAAGGATTTTGCTCATTTCCCTCGGCTGCCGCCGCCGCCTTCTTTCTTTCCTCTCTTTCGACCTCTTTGGCTCGCTGTTTCTCCTGTCGTTCCTTTTCCTTCTCTCGCTCCTTTTCCTCTCGACGCTGCTTTTCTCTCCCTCGTTCTTCAATAGCCTGCTCGTTTTCTCTGAACAATCCAAGTCTTTGTGTTGCTTTCCTACTGCGGGAATTGCTTTCAGTGGCCATTACGGCAGAAATAGAGGAAGATCGTTCGATGGGCCCTTTTGCGATGTCATCTTCACAACTTATATGTAGTTCGGAATCTATAGAGACCTGGCCCTCCTTGATAGGAGATGTGGCTCTCAAATAGTTTTCAGGGCTCGAAGTTCTGAGTTTCTCATCCCAGTTAATTGTATTATCGACGGTCGAGTTAGCTCTCAGAACAGCCCTCAGGCCACTGGCACCAGGGAGAGGGGTAGATGGACGGTCTGGACTGTCCGCGGGACTTATGTATGGTGGAAGTATTGTTTTTGGCTCATCGTTATTTGAGTCGTTTGTGTAGCCACCCCCGTTGGGGTGGTGGCTGGGAATGCTAGAATGTAGGATACCGGCAAGTGTAAATTTATGTACCGGAGGGAACGAAGATGTAGAATGAGGCCTCCAATGGCGGAATTGTGGTCGGGGGGTATCATCGTCAACAAGGGGTTCACCAGCTCGTGAACCATTGTTGTTGCTGGGCAGAATATTTGGAGTAGCTGAGTTCGAAAGTGTTTGAAAGGATACTGTAGATGCGGGAGGATGTAATGATGAGGAATGTTGGTGTGGTTGTGGTTGCGGTTGCGGTGTAGATGGAGACGTTGATGTAGGGAGTGTTCCGTTGAACCCTCCTAGATCTTCAACGCCACCTTCACTGTTTGTCGACGATGGTCTAAAGATTGGAAGAGTCTTTGAGCGAACAGGAGGATGGAACGGAGGGCGGGAATCCTTCAAAGGTAATGGGTCATGGAACGGGACTGGCATGGGGAGTCATTGAAGCCTGCTGGAAGCCAGGTGTCCTATGGAAGAAGTACGGGGGTGATGACGTTATCGCTTGATGAGATAACCGGAGCTGGTGAAGCAGTACCAAAACAGGAGTACGAAAGAAGAGAAGGAGAAGAAAGAGGAAAGAGGAAGAAGGGGGGGGGGGGTGATGAAGGGGGAAGAGGAGGTCTTTGAAGGAAGGGGAGCTGTGGGATCCTGGCTAGCCGTGAACACTGGAAGAGCGGCTGGGGGCGACTATGAGCAGGTGTAGGCAGGAACAGGAGGACCTTGTGATGTGATCTCGGGGTAGAGCAGCAGAAAGACGCAGTGTCTACCAAGTAGGAACATACATGTATGTACTCTTCTTATCCAGTAGTGTGTGCAAGGTGTGTGTTGAAGCGGACAAAGCAACGTAGATGATGCCAACTGCGCTCAACCAGGATCGAGAAGAAAGAAGGGGAAAAATCCACTCCCTCCCCAGCTCCCCCCTACTTACATCGCTATTGGCCCTCATAAGACCAGCTAGCCAGCCAAGTTACACCAACACGTCCTCGAGTACCTACCCAAACTAAGCAACATAGGCTACCGTTCCAAGATACAGCAAGATAGTGAGCACTCGATCTAGCGCGGCCACATTTCAATATGTACAACTCAACCTCCTACACACAACACCTAACGTGGGATCCCAAAACCGATCAACCAAGCGTTTGATAGGATTATGGATAAAAACAAAACATCCTTATCAAAAGAATAGATGGCGCCAAGTCCCAGCTTGTTTGACAGCGGAATACTTCTATCATGGCCATCTTAATCTCCGTCATCTTGAGTAATTCCTTTCGATTCAAGATTTTCTGTCCTGATGTCACACATAGAGTGGGTTGAAACAGTCCGACTTATACGTCAAAAATATTCGCAGCATCATTGGGGAAACTACATCAGTTGCATAGTAGCTGGGCTGCTTTGAACATCTCGTATGTGTATATCATGAGATTTCCGAAGAAAAAAAGTTCTTTAGAACCAAGCAGGCCGGTTTATGCTAAGCGGGACATACTGCCGAACCAAGGGATCCTGTTGGACCCTTCAGAATGTGCAAATCGAATTTGGGGGTGAAAATACCATTTATATTAAATCTTGGTTTACTGCACCCGCCGCTTCCCCATTTATCATTCGGCTCAGCAGTGGGGATCTATCTGTCCACCAGAAATCTTTCCCATACTTTAACTAGGGCGGTATCCGATTATTTAGCCATGGAAGGTGGACCAGAAACATGAAACATTCTTTGCAGTTTCTCCGTAATGTCTACCTGGTAGACGTTGATCAGTAGATCTCCTAGATCCTTGAACCAGGGGTTAAGGATAATCGGCCGGAAGTTTACAGTGCAGAGCCTATTATTATTCTGTTTAGTTGTATCACATTTAACTTTCATAATATCATTGGACACAGATATGTAGTCGTAGTACCTACATGTGGAGGCCTGGCTTGAGGTTTATCCGGATGGTGAAAGCACGATGTCTAGTCCACTTGTTGAACGTAGCGGGTAAACTGGGCGAGTTTGCCGGCGGGTATGGGAACTGCGATGAACTGATCCTGATGTGCCGAGTGGATAACACAATTGTCTGAGAATTATTGGGAGACCTGAGAAGATAAGGGTAATCGTAGCTGCCAAAGCTCCGAGAGCTAAGATACCCGAAAGGACCCTGGGGAATTTACACATGATGTGATAAAGCCTAGAGCACACCAACGGCAGAGGAGCGGCTCTTGACATGATGCAGCCAGATCGTTGCCAAGAAAACTTTATCTTACCGGAACATCCCGGCGGAGAGTTGCTCCTCTTAGGAATGCTTTGTACTGATGGCGCCAGGGTTAGGGCCTATCAACCACTGCCGGCAAACCTCCACCACACTGTATTATAAACATCCTCAGAGAGCATGAGTTATAAGTTCTCTAATGCCCCTCGGGGATTCATGAGATTTTCTTCGGACGGAGGTTGAGCTAGTGATCAACCACACTCCCTCTACAGACGAATATTGTGACTGGTTGTGATACCAGTAATACCAAGTCCAACGGGGACTAAAGCCGTCCACTTATGATTACACAAGATTACACAAATACTCAATGATCAAGTATGTAGGCAAGATGCCCCTTTACTGTATCAACTGCTTATGCGGCTATCCGCTACCGACACTCTTTAAGTTTTTGTCATTTCATTGGCTCTCGACTCCACCCCGATCATCGACGAGGAATCACAGTATCCCTGGCCTGCAATGGGTTGAAATTCTTCTAAATCGCATAATACCCCGGTAGTTCAAGAGATTCATAGCCGCTTTGATGCAAAATAAAAAGGTTTGAAAAGGTTATATGTGGACACGAACACGAGGAATAGTCTTTTGCTATCGTACTAACTTTCATAGGATGCAGCTAGCTACTCCAACGAGCCAATCAACAAAGGCGTGCCAGCGCAATTGGAAGACGTTCGGTGCCAGCTCCGCGGGCCACGGATTAAGGTCGCCAGCCAGCTATGCAAAGAATCCAATTCATCAATTTCAGCTCGATTGTTGGGTAAATCATACCTGCAATGTGGTCAACTCCGGAATGCGGGATTTATGAACTTGTCTTGGGTGTCCAGAGTAAATGTTCACATTGAGGGCTCTACCTTTTAAAAATATGAACCTCGAAGGCCTGCGGCAAGTGATAAGTGTACCAGGCATCATCACTACGGTAAAACCTCACAGAGATCCTAGTCTCGTATACAGACTCCAAGTTGGGAAGCCCAGCTACTCATGCCCCTGGCGCAAGCGCGATGCTTCTCAAGTGCCGTCCGGTCTCAAGTGCGATTTTGCGGGGAAATAATATCGTTCACTCCCCAAAACAAAACTGCAAATCCGGGGGTGTCAGATTCTGGAGGGTGAAATCGATTTAGGACCGAAAAGATGTGGCAGCAAGAAAATTCTACCGACTTGTCGATGCCATAGATGCGATAAATTGCAGAAAAACAAAATGGAGGCTCATGTGATTTGAGTGATGTATGTGCCTATCCATGTATGTTCATAGTTGCTCTACATGTCGTACGTACAGTCGCGAAAGCTCACTTGCATTGCCATCGGTCACGGGCCGTGGGCATCGGAGGTTTCATTCCGTATGCAGCTTAACGGGGAATAGTGGCTATGGACTTTCTTTTACACCCCCAGAAGATTGAAGTGTTTTCTTTTTACGGGCGCATCGTAGCTCACCTATTTGCGCCCAAGTACCTACATTTACTATGAAACTCTGTCCTTATAGATACGTGTATCTTGAGATCTCTACCCTCAGTTGCGATCGTAACACAATGCAATGCAATACGTTGCCTCGGCTTGACTACTTTAGTATTCGGGTATGAGTGATCGTTCATGATTGAATCTCAATCAGCCTGGGTGAAACGTGGTATGGTGGTGGTACTCTAGAGTGGATCAAATCATGGAAAGACAAGGGTCGTAGGCCTTTTGAGATATGCATCGAATAGAGTACAAGGATGATGCACGTGCTTTTAGACTTCAGCTGGAAATCATCAACTTTAGCATAATGCTTGGTATGTTCTGTGATTAATTAGCCTCTGATCTCCATCCAACCTACCCGATCGATATTTCAATAAAAATGGCCATGGTAAGGCATGGCCTAGGTAAGGCATGGTCTAGTGTCTCAGCTGCAGAGATCGGATGATCACTGTCTCAACCTACGACAGGGTGATGAATGTAAAGGCTAAGAACCATATTCACTGTGTTCAGAAACATTAAACAGATAATCAATTGGTCTCGCTGTCAATGGCAATGTTCAGGCAATGTGGTCGATCCATAAGCCGAGTCAGCTCGAGATTTAGGCTCGACTCACGAGCGCGCGAGCTAAATTCTGGCTCATTGAGAGCATGCTTCATGACTCTGTGAGTCGAACTGGCCTATGCCTTTTACTTTAGGTTTAGGACCTTCGTTGGATCGACTTCTCTCTCTGTTATCTCTTGTGGAAGCGCGTCCACTTAATTCGGGTTACATTTGCAATCGGCACACTTTCTAGGACAGTACGCTGCATAATAAGACATTGAAATACATTATATTATCGTAAGTTGATTTCTATATCTCGAGCTCTACGAGTTCCAGGCCTCAAGGAGCCGGATTATAGACCATACCGCCTAGGCCGAGCCCCATCACTATCACCCGACACTGACTCTAACTACAATTCTGCCACTCTGGCACACAATTGCGCTTAATTCGTCATGTATATACCATATTAAAATATCTGGGTATGAGATTGTTTGTATTCGTTTTAGCTAAAAAGGAAAAAAAAATGTGTAAATAAAAAAGTACTTGAAATAAGCTTAAAATGCACCAATCATGCTTGATCACTCGCAATGAAAGATTGGCGAGGCCCAAGCTACCGCGTAACAATTTGTTCCTAGTGCTCACGGGAACTCTTTATCAATCTTGGCCTTCCACGCCTCGAGACCCTCATTCACCTCTTTGATCGCAAGAGGGTCAGAGTTAACCCAATCCTTGTCGACATAGACATTGTCAGTGAGGGTCATTTTTGTCGAAATTAGCTCTAAATCAGTATTGACTGCTGATAGTCCCGGACCTGTAGATTCGGCCTCATGTGTGTCTTTGTAGATAGTCACATTGAAGCATGCCCCCTGGCGGAAGAAGAAGTTGGACTCGCTCAACTCAGTAGCACTCGGAAGCATATCAAACGGTTGCATGGAGACCTCAGATACTTCATTCACATGCAAGACCGCGCCTTTTTCAAGTTCCTCCTTCAGACCAGTGAGTGGAGGGTCAAAGGTGACCTTATCGGCCGAGAGTTGGATATTGGGCGCGCAGAGGAGCATATGGTCGATATGGGTTTCCTCGGGTGTACCATAGACGTAGAATGGCATGTAGTTCTGGGGGTAATTAGAGTCGCGGAACTTGGCGCGGAGATCACGCCGCTTCAAAATGCGGGCTTTGGTGACTTGGACATCCTTGAGAAGATTCGTTCTGGATCGGAGAAAGTCAGTAACATTTCTAGTGGACCAAAGGAAATACCCTATTTAGAATACATACCCATCACTAAAGTTGATATTCGCTTTGAAGGTCCCGCTGCCAAAATATCTGGAAGTTTGACTGCTGGAGTCCTCAAAACAAATGGGGCTTTTGGATTCGATTCTCTTGCTTCAACATATGCGCTCATCGCATCATCTGGAATCTCGGCCTCAAGGACAATCTGTGTGCGATTATCCGCCTCATAGAATAAGGGCTTATAGGCAAGGTACAGCTTTGTGGTGCCCTGCATGGTGAAGCTGTGATTTGTGGCATCGATTGAAACACGCAACCGGCAAGCCTACATGTAATTAAAAAGAGGCCAAGTTAGTGACAAACATTTTGGGGGGTATTCAAGACTGGCTATAGACATACATTGACCTCCTCTGAGGCAACTTTTTCAAAGATTGAAGCTAGCTTCGCAACAAAGTTCCTCTCTGTCGGGAATGGTGACATCGTCACGTTTCTAAGAACAAATAGGTTTGTTTCGCCCTTAAGACCGAGTCGTCTCTTGAAGTGGTCCGCACATGCACCATATTCGTGCTGTAAGAACTCCGTAGATGTAAGGAAAAAGGGAACTTCGGCAGGTAGTTTGTCAGGTGATGTGACTGACAGCCTATTGACGATACGCTGGTTGAGATTATTTGCTTCTTCCACATCGTCATTCAAAGTCCCGTCTTCAAGACGGAAATTGCATGCAAATGCATTGACGATCAAATTAGATCCTAGAGATCCAAGCAGTTCCATTGCTCTAGGACCTTGAGACACTTCCCAGTTAGTCTTTTTGAGGATACGGTCCCGGATTTCATGCTTCTCCTTGTCGATAGCATCAACTCTAGCTGGCCCTTCGATCTCCTCTGATGGAAGCATATTTAAAGGGACGACAATGAATTTCTTGTTTTCTATCGTAGCCCAATGTGCAGACAGCTGTGAATAAAAAGATAATGTTAGTGCTGTTATGAATGGATGGTTTCGAAGTTTGCATACATACCCTGCTACAAGTAAAAACGGTTTCGCCGAGTAACCCACCATATCCATGTTGGTTCAAGCCGATTACCTTATGTGATAAAAAGGTTGCACCTGCGGCAGCACCAGGCTTACTATTTGTTCCTTGTAGACGTCAGTTTACGAAGTCAATCCAACAAAAGAATAAAGTAGATTTACTAACCTTCCCTCAACACCGTAAACACCAATGCTCTCAGCAGAGGGGTCCCTAGAAATATATGGCGTTGTCCATGTTACTAAATACTTCATCCTGTTGTCACGGTAGCATAATGCACCAGCTGGATATGGAACATATCCGGTCTTGTGCGGGTCGATGGTTATTGAATCTGCAAGGTGTAAATGAAGTAGCTGTTTTGTTGTCTCTTTTCATAGAGGAACTGTGGCCACATAGTCACCCTCGTCTGGAAAATCGTGGGGCTGATCCTTTGCCCGCTTTGGCGGAAGAGTAGATGCAAAGTAACCTCCCCAAGCAGCATCAGCATGAACGATGAATGACGTGCCGAGGCGTTGGTATCTTTTGCGGAGCTTGAGAACTTTAGCGAGTGGATCAACGGCACCCTCCTCCGTCGTGCCAATGATCGCTACCACTGCAAAAACAGCTTGTTTTCTTTCGAGACGTTCTTTCAAAAATGCATCCAGTTTATCTGCGTCAAGACGCGCACCTTTGTCTACGGGAACATTGATGACGTTTTCAGAGCCAATGCCCGTGATGGCTAATGTGATGAGGGTGTGGGTTAGCGTTTTTGTCAGCTAAGGTGGCGAGGATCAGATATTTAAACCCACCAGCAGCCTTTGGCCACGAACAATGCTTAGTGGCAGATACCATATATTGTATGGGTTTACTGATTTCAAACTCCTTTTCAAGGGCGTCTTTTCCAATTGTTTGAATGCTGTATTTTCCGAACGAGTTCTGTAAAAACTTCGACGAGATACCATACTCCTTTTGTAGTCTATCAGGAATATCGAAAATGGCTGAGACTTTAAGGTTAAGTAATTCCCAGGTGGAAAGTTGACTGAATAGCTTTGGGTCGCCGCCTTCACAGGTCTCAACTTTGAAAGTTTTGCTGATGATTGAAAGTTCTTTCTGCATGGCCTTTTTGAGGGAAAGGGGATATAATTTGATGTTTCGAGCTGGAAGAATAGTTTAGTGATTATTTATATATACCAAGCTCATGGATGAAGTTTTGTCTTACCAACCCTATCTAATAAGTATATAGGTATAACCTGCATATGCATGTACTCTTATAAGCTTCTGATTGGCTCATTGAGAGAGGTTTTGTTTCACTTGAAACATGTTGTGTTGGATATTAACATAGGGTATTGTGCTGAGTGGTGTTAGATTGTTAATAGGTTTTCTACTGGTTTTGGGAATCGATTAGTAGTTCGATTTTAGCGGCTTGGTGGCTGTTAAAGGGATATATTTGTAGTTTTAATTGGAGAAGTTGTCTGACCTATTCGCTGATATATGGGGGATATCAGAAAAGGCACATATCGACCAGAGCAGATCTAGATATATTACTCTAGTGATGGACTTTGCCTACCAGGAGGGGTCGAGTGCCGCGCAGCGGCCTGAGAGCCCCGACTGACAGGCAAATAGAGAAAATAAGCCGCAAAGCGGCTTGCCTGTATATTGGACTGATTGATATACACATAGTACCGGCCGAAGGCCGGAAACTACTTGTATGAAGTCATCCCATATTGTTAGTATCAGTTCAATATTAAGTCTTCTTATATGTCCATGTAAATGCACGAGGGAGAAATGATAGACATGGACTCACCACATAGACTCCAGATTAGCCACAGTACCGTCACAGGTGATATGTCCCCATGCTATTGGTAGGTTCTCTGCGCTATTGGGATTACCGGTACTATTTGGGCTCAGATTATACCTAAGCATTGAACATAGCTGTTCGCCGACCATTATCTCGAGTAAAGTAGTGATTGGGCTTGCCTCGAGAGCAACGTTGTTTGGATTAAAGAGCATTGTCATCAAATAACCTAGAATAGCTGGCATACTAGTGTCGCATGTCATATGGGCGCTGTAGCGAGCTGACCAGAAGGGAATCGAGTGCTTATTGAGAAGCCCAGAAAGCTTATCGGCATAGTTTTCGAGCTTTGCTACTTGACCCAAGTATGTCGGTGAGTCTTTCATGGCAGAAGTAATGAATTTCTGGAAATGGCCAAAGTAATTAATATTGTTTTATCTAAGGAAGTGAGGTGGAACAAAGTGGGAGACAGTACCCCATCGGTAGGATAGTATGATGTTCTAGCACGTCTCTGTTCATCGATGACTGAGTTGATACATGACTTGAACCAGTCAAAGTTCTCAGCCTGAGGGCCGAGAAACCATGCACCCACAGCTTGGTGTTACGCATTTTCTTCATCAGAGGAGGCTTTCGGATAGACACTTTCGATAACAAAAGACATTTTAGGTAGCTTTTATTGAGGGAATTGAGGATGTTGTATTTTTACGTTGGAAGATGGTAATGGTGGCCTTTATATAGTAAGATTCTTGAACTATTATGGTCCATCACTCGCACACCATGGGTTGTACTAAGGGTTTAGTGTGAAGTCACTATACGTCATGTCTCAGAGATGATCTCAATTTAATCATCACTACATGTAATCACAAAAAAAGTAAAGAGAAGAGGTTTGTGGAGAGCAGAGGACTCTCTGTCGCATCTGAAACCTAGACATGCGTAGTGGTTTTAACTACTCATGACGTTCTTGGTAGCTAGAGTTGATAAACCAGAAGATGGAAGAAAACTGCTCCCCCGAATGTTCAAAATGACCCATTCATATATGTACATACTCTACGATAAAACCTTATTTAGGGCACTTGCACTTAAATGGGATCAATCGTACGTGTTAACAGCAATCTCGCAGCATTTCCTTAATTAAGTCCTTCTTAACTGCTAACAGACAACTACTTGTAGCTTAATTGTCGTAATATTCATTTACATTACATCTTCCAGATAAGCTTTCTATCACTATTCTAAGGTTTCTTTTGGATAATTTCATGCTGAGATCCTCAAATGTGTCTCTGAAATTTGCAATTGGTCATCTATAGACTATCATAATAAGTGTTCAAATGATTTATTTATTAACAGAATTCTGCAATGGCTTTAGGTAAATGTATTAATGTAGCCTGCCAAACGTTTTCCATATTAATTTAAATGGGGTGGCTTGGTGGTAGTATTTCATCATGATGCGGTACTTCTTGAATCTGCTCGTAAATGTATATAGATCTGTGAAATTAAGCCAGTTTTCCAGTCTTGGAGATCTAGGGGGTTATGTGATTTGAATTAGGTTAAATCTATATACATATAGGTACATGTACGTACTATGTACGTAACATTTGTACTTAGCTGATATATGTGCTTTGTAGTTGTCACACACGATCTTGGTACCACCATTGGCCGGAATTGCAGAGAAATATAGATTCAAAATTCAATCGATATCCTGATGTTTAAACTTTCCTTTATCCTGTTTCAGTTTGCGGCATTTTGAAGTACATACATATAGTGATTGGCCTTACATGTAGTGTCACTAGATGTAACTTCGGGGTAAGTGATCACCCTTCAGATGTGGGCCGTCTCCGGCTTAGAAGGGTGGTTTCGATTATTAGCCGTTTTAAAGGAGTATATAGAGATTTAGAATGAGAGATTATCTTCCAATATCTCTCAGCTATATACCTTTATCGACGTCGTGGACATTATTTTGAACTTTAGTTGTCCTAAAAATGAAGTATCTAGATGGAAGATGCTGCCCAGATACCCGTATTGACAATCCCTATCGACATATCGGGTCCAGGCAATGCTTAAAATATAAACTGGGGAAAGTTGGTCATTAGACCAAAATTTTATGCGTGTTGATCTTCGAGTTGCCGCGGCGCCGATGTGGTGAACCTCGAGGGCCATGTAACCGTACTCTAACTGTGCCAGAATTGACACAAGCCTTTATGTGATCAGTACTCTAGTACACAAGTAGTATTTCCTAAAGAGTAAGTGGGCTGCAGACTTCTGAAAACTATGTAAGTATACATGTGTATATATGTAGTTAACGAATTAACAACTCGTTGATTATTATAAGCCTGAAGACTCAAGAATACGGCTCAACATCAACATCACCGTACTCACGACCTAAAATTACTATTATTAAACTCCCATATAAAGATTGTTCCTCAAGGCACCTATATGTTACTTCTCTGATGACGTGGTTTTCCGGAAATTCGTCTCTGAATCAACGAGAATCTTCACCAGCTGGCGGTATGAATTTCGTACGATGATAGGCGCTACTAATACATGTATTGCCCAGTTTTGGTCAAGTGTAAATCACAAATCATTGAGTACATACATAATGTACCTACATGTATACGCAGCTGCATAGAAGGGGCCCCTGGTATGGTATATGTTCGTCTCAGATTACCCTATGTTTTAGGATGCCCTAGATCCCCTTATGAGCGTGAACATAGCCCAAAAAGAGTCATGACAAGAGTGCTGGCTGTTTTTCTTTGCCCTGTACTGCCCAATAACCATCAAAAGGCCGGTGACTATAACCATTTGTAATTCAAGTCTATGCATAAGCTTAACTATAAGGGTCCAATCCTGTACCATAGGAACGGAGAAGAAAAATAAAACTTCTTTAAGGGGTAAAGATTAGGCACACACAGTGGCACGGAGTGGAAACAGGTTTCGGTAGTGTGTTTGCGGCCGCGCGCGGTGGTACTAACACTCGGCTCTCTTTCTAGACCACGGTGAAAATCAATACATTCTGTTGTGCACGAGACTAGGTAGGCGAGATACATTCTAATAAGATAGCCGTATAATCGGGAAATATGTGTGAAAAGGGTAAGTATGGCGGATCTACTCGTAGAGGGTGAGCGGGAGTACTCTAGTACTGTTTCCCTTCAAAAAAAATCATTGGCTGGAGACCTGTAATAGCGCGAAGCTATTCCTATCTAGGATCCTACTAGTACTTTTTTACTTGCCAGCTTGAGTCTTCGCCTTGTACTCCCGCTCCATGGGTAGATCCGCTATATATTGCAGGGTTGAATGCCGATTTGATTGTCGTTTTTGTCGCTCTCGGCATCCTGGCGAGGTGCAAGGGATGGAGATCGATACGGGACGTACATGGGAAATAAACGACTAGACCCCACTCCATTAACTTTGTGATGGTAACCTAGGTCAGAAGCTTGTGCTTTGGAAAAAGCAGCTGGTACTCCCCATACACATACATGTATGACAAAGTATCGTAGCTTATGCCAGGAATTCACATATATACCTGAATGCCGACATCCCGCAATGGCTTAGTTAACCAGGGAAGGATGTTATCGTGGAGACGGGACCCTGGCCTGAAGATGAAGTGGTTGCTTACAGTTACTCTTTCGTCGGGGGTGGAGTCGCGCTGGGTGTGCGGGCGGGCCAGGTCCTACCTAGGATTGAACTTTTGAGCACTCGACCCACTGTGAGGTATCCACTTTTTAGAGTACAGTGGTTTCTGGGTCAACGACGAAACCGGTTCGATGGCGAATAGGCCAATCGAAGCCAACAAAAGCCAACAAAAGCGCGCCGACCCCTTTGCCTTGACTGACTATCAGCCCAAAAGGTAGCCATTCGTCATCAAACTGGGTTCGTCGTTGACCCAGAAACGACTGTACTCAAAGGTTCAGTCCTAGGTAGGACCTAGCCCGCCCGCACACCCAGCGCGACTCCACCCCCGACGAAAGAGTACTCGATTTTCTTCTCATACTTGGATTGGAAGGCTCGTCTAGTGATGTAGTTAGAGTGTCGAATCCTGATCTGGAAGGAGGACGCCTACTCACATACATGTACGTACCACATTTATGTACCCGGCCGGCCCGCAGCGACTCTCGCCAAGTTCATGGGCCTAGATTGATTTTCATATATGGTGGTGTTGATATGAGTGCGGCATTTTATTCTATCTCAGATCTCTGTTTCATTCTGATCAGGATCATCTAGAGTCAGCGTTGGTGTACTCAAGAAACAAGAAATGGCTTGACATGACTACATGTATACGTATCGAGGCAGAAACCACCCCCGGCAGAATAAACCACCATTTAATCATAGCCTTCATAGAACCTTTATCCACCAGCCCGAAATCTATTAATTAACAGGGTATATATGAATGTATGTTGTATAAGGTAGCCGGGCTGCTACTACATGTGAATTCTAATATTACTGGCCCAGAAAAAGTGAGGTTTTTCCCGGCGGAATTGAGTGGAACAAAAACATGTGAGATCCTCGGAGAGATATATAGAAAGGCTTTTGGTGGTAACAAAGCGCATGTTCAGCAAGTACGTATACCAAATTGATTGTCCCTATTTGCAGCTTGTATTTTCAGGTTCCAGACTTCTTGTCCTGAGTATTTATATACTAGAACATTGTGCAGGGAGCGTAGTTCTCTGTCGCTGTTGTGTCAACTACTTGTAGGTTGGATCTATATCAGGGAAAACAAATGATTATACTTACGTGGATCTGCAACGTTAACTCGAGCTTCCCAGCCGATACCGAAACCACATTTTTAGGTATCCAGTACTCTGCGTTTCAGAAAAGACCTTAATCATTATATATATATATGCATCTGTTGTATCGATTTATCTCTCATGCTCAACGATCTAGATAATGCTATAGTGCTATTATATTGTCTGGAATTGAATCCCCTGAAAATTATAAGGTTCCTCTATATGTTAACGTTCTGTAGTGTCAATTAGCGACAACTAACCTACTTTGGGGGAGTTAATGTTCCTCCGGCTCCTAGATTGTGAAGAGAGACCATAAAATCCTATATGTCATAGTGCACAGTCTACACTCACAAACTAGACATGATCATAGGTATTTTTATCCGGTGGATCTAATACTGAGATCCACCGTTGATTGCATCGCCGGAATAGCACTGGGGGCTAGTCTGGTTATGCCAATCCACCTCTAAAATAAACCAGCCGTTGGGGATTCTTCTTTTGTGGCCATGGGTCTATTCATGTTTATAAATTTAGTTGACCGTAAATAGGCCATTGTCCATGAGACGGTCCGAAAAGACTAAACTTTGTAGGATTTGCAGCTAAATTATTAACTTGTTCTACAGTTAGCAACTACGAGTTGGTGGAATTAATTCGACAAGATCAAAATTTTTGTTATGGACCCAGCATTCTATCCAATTTAAAGGGAACACTTCGACGAGGTATCTTCTGGAAGTTAGGCGAACGATCTCTAAACCATTGGAGGATATTCTACCGCCTTATCATCGATTCTATCTAGCTCTCTGTTCCCTGCAAGCGCTCGAAGGCTTTTTGAACTCGGTAAGATAGTTGATACTTGGCATGGAAGAAGTTATGGCTCGTCTATTATAATGGCCAGCTAAGACATTCAATGTCAGGTCCGCTGCTCGTGGATAAAACATTCTGATGGACATGAATCTGATGTATATTTGGCGTCCCTTGCTAAGTTTTTAGAAGATTAGGATATAAAGGGAATGTCAACTTTTGATGTATTCTCTTCCATAGACGCTTTTTCATCAATTCTCAATATATCAGTAGTGCATTACACCAGCCTTTAAATTTATCGTTCTCCAGAATTGGCGTAGCTAGTGGAAACCGCCTTGGCCGACCTAGGGCAAGACACACTTATTGGGTTCATCTGGAGGTAGTGAAAAGCATATAGCTTGGTGGCACTGAGGGATAGGATCATTATTCGCTTTCGTGTAGGGGGTTGCCTTCGTTTCTGTCGCGTCCTAGAGGTTTGCCGGGAACAGGGTCCTGACCCCGGATCCTTTGACATGCAAGCCTAGCCAGCAACGACATTGAAATTGAACGGCGGTGATTAAAAGATATCAAGTTTTTCACTAGCCCCATGCTTTTCGACTTAATTCAGGCATTGAGTTCGTAAGGTCACGTCAGGCCTCCCGTGATCCTCACTGCAGCAATGCCCGTGCTATCTTCGAATACTTATTCAACGATATACGCACAAGCATTCGGTGAAGGTCCAACGGGCACAGGATCGAAGTATGTCCTCAGTGGAGATATGGCCACCATGTTGCCACATATGACCGGAACGTCTTCAAACTCTTCTTATCAGGAGCAAATTAAACGCTTGTGAAATTCCCCAAAGGAGTTCATAGACCTCCCTTTTGAGGTTAGATATTTAGATATCTTGAAAATGGCCTATACTAGCTGATGTAGAGGTACTCAAAAATATCTTTAGGATGGAATTGAACCAAAATGCAGATATAATTCGTAAGAACTTGCAAATTATAATACTTTACGATAGGTATCCATAAAAATATGTTTTATGTAGAAGAACTTCGACATAGGATATATTTTGGGGCGTATGTCCCTATTGGTTTAGAGCCAATTGTATGAAGACTCTTGTTTATAAGATCTGAGGAAAGAATGGGTGGTTGTTGGCATTGACCAAAGTTTTAATAGGCCCGGATTCCCCAAGCTAGCGGGAGAGAAGACTGCTTGTCTGAATTGTAAGTAAAGGGTGAATGCTGGAGCAATGACTATTTGCAAGGGATGTAGGGTGCACTGGTTAAGATGTAAGTATTCAGCGACAAGTCGGAAGCCCACGTAAAATTTAGGGGTACGAAGTTCAGTACTTTAGCTGGGTGGTTGACGCAAGGCCACAGGTAAACATTCTGGAGTCTGACTCCGCTCTGGGTTTCGTCAACACCCGCCAGAGGAAACTATATGAAGCCGAATTGTATTCATCTATTGATCCTCGAAGACGTAGCTACGTAGACTACATGAAATATTTGTATGAACACGTGATTGAGACGCGTAAATTGCAATCAGATAATCAGCCCACGGCAATCAGATAAGCTCCCGTCTTCCCACGCGTACAGTCCCGTCTCCATAGTAACGACGCAATCAATCATCCATCAATCATCACAGTGTAACATCATGTCATCCGGACGTCCCCCGCCTCCCCTATTTCCGCCACTCCCTCTCGATCCTATTTCTGATAATCTTCCCTCGGACATCATCTCACGAGACTCATCCTCCTCAGACTCAGATACCGAAACCACCGCGAAACGGGGCCGCATGTTGAAACACGCCGAGAGCTACTTGCGGGGAGAGCCGCTTTATCTACACTCTGCGGGACTGCGAGGTCCAGTAGTTAAGAATCCATGGGCAAAGGGGAAGAAACAAACCAAAAGAAAAGCAATAGAACTAGAGGAAGGGACTTGGGAGGAGGACATGAGTAAGAGATTAAAGCGCAGGCAGGAAGAGAGGGAGATGGAACCAGGTCCCTCGCAAGTTGGGAGAAACGCGATGAATATGTGGAGTAGAGGGACAAATACTACTTGGGACAGATCAGGCCCCTCAACTCCGACCCCATTGCGCACAAGGCCGCCTGAAGCAACAAATGTACCGGATCGATCGCAATCTCGATCCCATTCACCATCCGATAAAGATTTACTAGAATTTAGGACACCAGTCAAAAAGAAGCCAAAGGCTCCTATTGAAGTAGCATCAGTTTTCTCCCCGGGAACCTTTTATAGATCCAAACCTAAACCTCAACAGATTTCAATTGAAGATTCCTCCAATCATCGAAGGTCTTCGAGCGCAAAGAAATCATCCCCGCCTTTGGAGTCAGCTTGCTCAGCCTCGAAGTCTATTTCTGTGCGGAAGACAAGAAAAGAGCCTTTAGAAGTCCGAGACTCAACACCACGACTTAGGCCTAGGAAAAACTCTCTTGAAGAAATTACACCAGATACGCCAACGCAGGTCCGAGACACAGCCCCAAGGCTCAGGCCTGGACGAAAGCCTACTACTACAGAACCTATACTAGAAGTACCAATACGAACCCAAGATTTAGCTTCGAGGTCCAGGTCTACGCGCAGCTCAACTAGAGCCTCTGAGCCAGAATTAGAACCGCCCCGGGAATCTCGATCCGCTTCTAAACAAACAAACACCCGAGCTAGAACTAAATCAATTGAATCATCTCAAGAGACTCGCTCAATTGCAAAACATAGATCCACACGAAATAGCTCTAAAGCACTGGAGGCTCAGTCACTAAATCAAGAGCAAGAGCAGATTTTAGATACTATAGAAGTGGTGCCCCCACCTGAGGTACAGTCGGGTGATATAGATATGAAAAAGTCAAAACCCAAGAATGATTTTGGAGCGGTACCACCGTTCGGCATGGCGCCTGAACGGCCGAAAGCGGAAAGGAGGCAAAGGGGCGGGGGTTCTAAGAAGAAAGGGAAAGGGCCGGCGGATACCCAAACGGAAGAGCAGGAAGTTTCAGGGAACATGGATATAAAGAAGTTCACAGAACCAGAAGTGCTTCAACAGGTGGAGGATACAGATGCTATTACTTATGTACCGGGACCTGAAGACGGACCGGAAATGGTTGAGATCATGAACAAAGAAATAGATCCAGGACTGGCGGATACGAGAGTCGCAGCTGTAACAGAACCAAATAATCCTTGTGGGAATGTAGAGGTCACAAGTAATGAGCCTTCTATCACTTTGGCTATACCAGAGCCGGGGCAGGAACAACTCGCAGAAGCGAAAGCATCATCTTCAAGCAAAGACCCCACAAGAGAGGAGGTTTTTCAAAACTGGGTTAATCGCCATGTAGCTGCTTCGCAAAAGTTTAGCGCGGATCATAAGAGAATTTCCATTGCGAACCTTCTATCGCCGGCGGCAGAAAGCCCAGTTGTGTGCAGGTATGTTGGGATTTGTGGTTCGGCAGGTTTCATGATACTGATTTATGTAGGAATACAAATAGAAGAGTCGAGAATATTGCCCCTGATAGCTCGATGAATGGTGGTAAAGTAGCAGTGTCACGCTATGACCCTATTACTGCGAGGCCAGTTGAACCCCCAGCAAAAGTCCCCGCACCACTCCCACCAATTTCGCGACTTGAAAAGGCCCAATCACCTATCATATCCCATACCGCCACGATTGATGTACCGTGCTCTCCTGACCAACTGCCAAAATTTGCATCAAAGGACACACATAAAGAATCCCCAACGCAATTTTGCACCACACACCATGCGCCGGGAGCACAGCTAGTGAATCAACACGAGTCCTGGCAAAACATACAACACGCTGTTCTCATCCCCCAGAGGGGCATCGTTGAAGCCATCCAAGAGTCACCTACTCCACTAGGAGGCTATCCCTCAACCGCTATCACTCCCGGGAGAGACTTGTTGAGGCCAATTCGTTTTTTCGACGACGAAACTCAATCTGAGACACTGATGAACACGAATCACTTCGTAGACTCTTACAAAACCGGAGGTAAAAGTCCATTCAAGACTCCAGGAATGGAGAATGTTCAATGGACAGTTGAGCCCGATGAGTTATTGAAGACTCTAGGATCCGAAGGCTTAGTTACATCGCGCGACGAAGAGAATAAAGAAGAAACCCTACCGAAGACTTCAAACCTTCAATGGACAGATCAATCGTACGAAGTAGAGGGGGGGGCTGTCGCCAAGACACCAGGGTTAGAAAATATTCAATGGTCAGCCGAACCAGGACCAAGGGAAGAGTCCCCACCGAAGACACCGCCGAGCCGCCAGTTATCACCATTTAAGATCTCATTCGGCAGTGAAGAGTCTGGAACAACTTTTACTCCGTTCCACGCCTTTGCCACACCCGAATCATCACCAAAAGCTAATCGGCAGAGGGAATCCTCACCGCATGACCTCTCCACGTTTGATATCCCTTCGGCATCTAAGAAATCAGTCAAGTTTGCGCGAAGTCTCTCCGCGACTGATGACAATGATGAGAGCGGAGAAAACGCAAACATAATGAGTTTAAGCAACAACTTCTCGCCTGTGCTGGGGGTGGAGCCGCAAGGTACTGAGAGTCTATTGGAACAGGTGAAAGACTTTATGGGCGAAGGTGTATGGGATGCAGTGACAGAGGCGCAGAAAATCGCGGGTAGTGATACTACGTCAACGGCCCCAATTGAGAAGGGTGAGAAAAAGGAGTACATGAGTGCTAGAAAAAGGAGGGCGTTGATGAAGAAAAAGACTTAAGTTAGCGGGGTTATCACATCGTTCGTTTTTCCCTTCCGTTTTCTTTTCCCTTTTAAACTACTGAAATACTTGAAAGGATAGATATAGACGTTGGGTTGGAGTTTGGCATTTTCTTTCTTTTTTCTTTTTTTTCTTTTTTTTTTTTTGGCGGAAATAAGGAATGCTGATGAGAGAAGGCCTCGGAAGTCAATGATTATGATAAACTTTGAAATGTTGTTCGTAGTACATTACATGTATGTTTTGTAGTTTTGACGAACACTTTCCTGCAACGATATATTACAAACATGATTCTAGGGATTGATCATGTAATATCACTCGGTCTATCTTAAATCACATGAATTTGAGTTATACATACGTACATCTCCGGCCAGGGATTATTATTCGAGTAATTAATTGAATAGCATCGATCTACATCAGAAGTTTCTCACATAAGTAATTTTGATCTCTGAAAGCTAGCCAATTTATCGAGTTATGGCGGTATTTAGAGTAGGGCTTGTTTGGCTGATCATGAGTTATTCGGTTACCATACAAATTTGACCACCAAAACTCCGTTTCGGCGCGCGCGCGGCCAATTAACGGATTAACTGAGCCTTAGTTTCAGTAGGCAATTCATGTACTAACGTTACAACATATACATGTAGTTGTAGGCGTCGATGGCTTGGTACATGCAGTTCTCTATCTATTGGGTTGTTCGTACGATGTCGTGAACAGACTACGTGTATTTAGAGGCACAAATACATGTGGGCCTTGACTTTAATATACGTTTGTGTTACCACCAAATGAAGATTATATGAATGTACAAAGAGCGGGGTAAATAGGATAGGGGTGTTTTTGTTTTCAACCGACCCAATTTCAGCTGCCTGAACGTTGCGTGAATTAGACTTTTTCAACGTAGGCTCCTGCAGAACAGATCTGTGTTACTCAATCCCGTTAATGCCCTCTATTCGATTAGACCCTAATCTGTAATCGGTCAGCCTATTAATTGTAACTTATAATTAGTACATATAAAGATATTATCCTAGCTAGACCTCCTGCGGGCTGCTTGTTGAGCTTACCTACCATGCGGAGAGGAAAAGTGAGATGTAGATACATGCCTAGTGCAGCCACAGTTGTTGCTGCCTAAACCCGGTGAGAAGTTATCGCCGCCATACCACAATCGGAAATATTATGTAGTAGAAAATTATAGACGCCTTAGGGGGTAATTTTACTTGCTGTCGCTGTCGCGCGTAAAAAGAACCAAGATAAATGATCTACCAATATATATGAGTCAGGATGATACAGTGTGTACATAATAGGAGTCACCTTGTTTATCTACTAGGTTACATTAGGACTATCCATTTCCAATTAGTCTCGAGCTGCATAAGCACAAAACAGCCGCCAAACAGATATATCAATTGTGGAATACCATATAAACTTACTAAATTCCCAGTAGTATTTTTGAAATTTATTTTAGCGCGAAAATTAAACTTTATTAGCACCAGCCGAAAAACAGCACATCTCTCTAGCTCTCTAGAGAGTTCATACCCATGGCGAATCCACCTACCCTAGTACCAACTCCCCAGTTCACAACGTCAGCGCTCCTTCAGCTTATATTAGAAGCGACAACTCTATGCTACTTCTACCTCGGCCATCTCCGCACAAGCTCATCCTCATTATTTAAATTAGTACAAATAACAACAGAAGAGTTCCGCGTCTGCCATGGCGCCGTAATAGCGATTGAGGGCTTCGCTAGTGCTAACCCAGAGTTTAAGAAAGGCCTCGGAAGGTTGGCTGTTCAAGTGGATAAATGCATGGTCGATCTGCAGGAGCTTGTTAGTAAGCTCAAGAAGAGAACACGAAGAGTGGACTGGAGAAATGTGAGGAAGTGTGTTGAGGGGTGGAAGGAACTACTTTTGGACGTTCATTCGTGAGTATAAGCCGTATACGTTTACTTTGATTTTTTAGTTAGAGTTTCTGACTTTTCTCAATCTCCTGCAGGGTGTTGGAGAAGTCTGCTAAAGAGGCCTCGCAGGAGCCTAAAGTAAAAGCCAGAGATTATCGTAACGAAGTAATAGATTCGTATTGCCAGAGAAGGGCTGAAATACAGGAACTTGGGATGAAAATTGAGGCCTCTAGCTCCCAGCCAGAGTTAGCTTCACAGGAATTCCCAGCCTTAGATTTGGAGAAATATCCTGCCAAAATTGGTAGAATCAAATATATGCATACACATTAGACTTGAAGAGCCTTTTAGCTGATTCGTCCTATCCTATCCCAGAAAATAGGCGGCAACAGATACTAGACTGGATATATCCAGAAATATACAGCAAGAAACATACCGCGATCAGGGGAAAAAGGCGCGGAGACATTGGTGCATGGATCCTGAGGTCGCCTGATTTCCTGAATTGGGTGGAAGCGAAGAATGATAGAAATTCTCAATTACTTTGGGGTTATGGAATTGGTACGTGTACTGTTTTATGAATTTGAGTTGGTGCTAGTACTGATAATAGTTGTTGTATACAGCTAGCTCTGGAAAAACATTTCTAAGGTATTTACTAGAATTTTAACCATAAATAGAACAACGCCTAACATGATTCCCTCAAAGCTCGATAATAGTAGACCACTTCCTAGATATAGCACAAATATCCAACTACGGAGTAGCATATATTTACTTCGATCATGAAGAGCAGTCCATTCATGATACAACCAACGTTCTTGCCAGTATCGTGAGACAACTACTTTCTCAGCTGCCAGTTCTCCCAGATAAAGTCGGTAAATTACATGAGAAATACAACCCTCTTAAATACGATCATCTTTACAATCTTTTCCTTTCGGCTTCTTCCTCCTTTACAAACACCTTTATAATTTGCGATGCGCTGGATGAGTGTGGCAAGGGAGAGCAGAGAAAATCACTTTTAACGTTATTGTGTAGGATGGCCGGAGCAGCCAATGTGTTTTTAACAAGTAGGGAAAACTCGTCAGGAGATATACAGAATACTTTAGACTGCGCGACTAAAATCGAACTAAGAGCGAGAGAGGGGGATATCAAGATCTATACCGAGCATATGGTTAATGATAGTTTATTGGCCAACCGTTTATATGGCAAAGGATTGTATAGAGAAAGGATTATCTCTGATATAGGAGAATGTGCAAAGAGAATGTAGGTACCTCGGTCATGATATCCTTATTACTCCCTAAGCTTTTGCTAATATGTTCAAGGTTCTTGCTGGTTGACTTTCACATACAGCATTTGTGTCAACAGCCCAGTATAAACCAGATCCTCCATGAACTCAAAGCTTTCAAGAGCGCATCTTCAGATCGATCCCCGCTCATCTTTGCATACGACAGGATTGTGGCAAATCTTCGCATGCAGTCACTTGAGCAAAGAATGCTGGTATTAAGGATTTTCACATGGCTCGCGGGGGTAAACCGAACACTTACATTCAAAGAACTCCAGCATGCAATAAGTATCAAGCAGGGGGTATATGAGTTGGAACACGGAAATCTCACTTTTGAGAAGCTTCAAGATGCTGCGAGCGTTCAACTCGGCTTTGAGCTCAATGTGCTGGACCTACCGGATCGAGAAACAATACTCAACCTTTGCTCTAGTCTGGTGACCATAGACGAGAAAACCTTGAAAGTCCAGTTTGTGCATTCCACTGCTCAAGAACACCTCGTAAAAACATCAATAGTACACCCTGCTACAGATTCGGCGCTTACCATAGCTTGTGCCACCTACCTCTTATCCAAAGCTTTCTCGAGAGGAGCTTTGATTCGCCAATCCGAATTCGAAGCACGGATTGCAGCATACCCTTTCCTAAGATACGCTGCTGAGAATTTCATGTTTCATTTGGTAAAATGTGACAATTCCCTGACGAAAATTCTACTTTTAAGGTTTTTGAAAAGAACAGGCACACTCTCTTCTTACCTACAGGCACTTGATTCTTCATCAGATCGGCCTACATACCCTAGAAATCATCTTCCTCTGCACTTTGCCTGTTCTATAGGCCATCTTGAAGTTGTCCAGGTGCTTCTGGAAACTGGAGTTGATATCATGACGAAGGATAGCTATGGAGAGACAGCTTTCACTCTAGCGGTTGCCAATGGGCACAAAGAGATAGTTCAGCTTCTACTCGGCAAATTTGCTGGTTGCAAAAGATCTCATCATTTTGATCAAGGAAAACAAATAGAGGACACGCAGAGTTCTCTTAAGAATGGATTTCCTTGCTTGGTTCAAGACGATTTCAACACAGCGCCGCCACCACTTTCCACTCCAAAGGAAGGCACCAAATCGGAAAATAGCGAGGCATACGCCCTATATTTTGCTGCATCTGGTGGTCATGTAGAAATATTAGAGTGGCTGTTCAATAGGTTGGGCGATCTCTGTCCCGAAAAATCAGACGTTTGGCCGATGGATATGGCGCTAGCGAATGCGGCAGTTGCAGGGCACGAGAGGGTGGTAGAGATACTCCTCAAGAAAGGTATTCCACCATTCGGTAATTCGGAGGTTGGCCAACTATCTCCGTTACACGGAGCTGCGTCTAAGGGTCACCTTTCCACCGTCAAATTACTGCTACAACATGGCGCTACTCCCGCGGTATCATGTCCCCGCTGTCTTAGATTTTTGTCTGACGACCTAAGAAATGAGGACTCTGAGCAAGTCCTCAAGAAGGTTACGGGCGGCTTCTGCAAATGTCCGTCAGATATGAGGGAAGCAGCGTCAGAAGGGGATTTTGAGAAGTTCAGAGAAATGCTTGACCAAGGTGTAGACGTTTTATCTCAAGATGAAGAAGGGTGTACTGCGCTTCATTGGGCTGCGCGGAATGGCCATGAGAGTATAATCCGTTTACTACTCGAAATGCATCCCGAAATCGATCTTTCTGCACAGAACTATAGAAAACAGACTGTACTGCACCTCGCCGCTGTATGCGGGCATGAAAAAATTGTCAGTTTTCTTCTTGAGAGTGTTCCGGGTATTGGATTAGCGCAGGACATGGGGAACTTCACGGCATTGCACCTTGCTGCGCTAAAGGGCCATGATTCTGTGGTCCGTGTGCTACTTTCGAAGGATCCAAACTCAGACCATTCAAAAGTTAACTCCCACCGGCAAACAGCCCTCCATTTAGCAGCCTCCGAAGGCCATGCCACCATCGTCAAGCTTCTTCTTGATAACGGTTATGGCATTGACCCCTCGGCAAGGGATATAAACGAATACACTGCGCTAGGCTGGGCTGTACATGGAGGCCATGAAGAAGTTGTCCGTTTCCTACTTCATAAGACGAAGGCTGAATCCACGAACTGGCAAGGTGGGAGTTTACTACATCTCGCAGCGAAGAATGGTCACACCGGGATCGCTAGTTTTTTAATACAACAGACTCCTGGTTTATTCGTGCAGAATGCCAATGGAATAACACCTTTGCATATCGCAGCAATGAAGGGTCATGGAAAAATGATCTGTCTGCTGCTCGAGAGTGTAACGGAAAGCGAGTTCTCCATGAAGGATGGAAACGGATACACCGCGCTACACTGGGCTGTACAGGAAGGCCACGACCAAATAGTTCATTTACTGCTACAATGCGAACGTAAAATCGACTTTTCAGCCATGATTACCGCCGGATGGCAGACGGTGCTACACATTGCAGTGTTGAAGGGCCATGAGCAGATCACTCGGTTACTGCTTGAAAAGATCCCGAGTAGTGACCTCGCCATCCGTAACGTGAGAGGGTATACAGCCTTGCATCTCGCTGTATCGTGGGGCCATGAAACTATCGTTCGCTTGCTAGTCGAGAGATGTCCGGGGGCACACCTTTTGGTGGAGGAAGATCATGGATACACAGCACTACACCTTGCAGCAATCCGAGGTCATGAAGGAATGGTCAAGTTGCTGCTCCAGAAGAGCCCAAAGGTCGATATTTCAGTATTGACAACAAGTGAATCTAGTGAAGTGATAGACGACGCCGAACCAAGAAAAGGACACGAAGTGGTGGCTGCTTTGTTGGTCGATGGCGAGTCGGTAAAGAACAGCTGTGGGTTAACGGCACAAAAACTGGCCACTTTGAAACGAAGGTTTGCGGCCGACAATGAAAAAAGACGGGAGCGGAAAGTGTCAATACCTCAATCTGTTTCTGATGCATATGCATGATATGCTCTACAGCATTTCAGTGCTGCGACCAACGCCAACCTTATCAAAAATCATGAATTACTACCTGTCAACGTTCTTATTCCTCCATATCTATAGATCTAATTGGTTTGGCATAAATGTAAATTAAATATTCAAGTACTGAGTACTGGTGTTGATGGTGTAACGTCTACTAGGGCACCCTGAAGCTAATACCGCCGCTGCGAATTTAGGCGGGTGTGAAATTGGGGTGGGGAGTTGTACAAATCTATTTTGGCTACGGGCTTGGAGTTTAGGTGTTGTGGTCACTTATCTGGAAAAACATATGTAGTTGTGGCATTCGTCGGATTAAATGGGAGTATTCAATTCCCAGAGCACAATCACTACTGGAGCGTGGATATATGGTTTAATTAATCTTATATGAAACCCTGCAGTATTTTATATGGCTTTTGCACATATAGATACAAATATCCAACCAATAATCGTCTCAAAAATGAAGCGAGTGATATTCCATGTGCCAAGACACGAGCTTAGCAACTACGCCAACCTCCGCCAGGCCCAATAAGAAACGAATAATACGGAAAGGTCCAAAATGACACAGTTTTCGGTAGATGTGCTCTACAATAACACATGATGCAAGATGACACAGTTTGCTATGATCCAAAATGAATACATTATGGATGGCTTAGCATTGGCGTTGAAGGGTTAGGGTTCTGCCTCGTCTTGGCACACTGCCAAGCTCAATTGATCAAGTATCACTTCCAGTGCAGCCTCCGCCATGGGCGAGTGGTCTAGGGGTTAGACTGCTCGTCGGGTTAGACACCGAGTGTTTACCCAGGATACACACACAAAGTCCTGGGTTCAAACCAGGGGTGGGGGTAGTAGCGCACATTCATAAATAAGTCGCTGCAGTACCTTTTGTAGTTTTGCAGAATCATTTGTTCTTTATCTTCTTTTTTTATTGTAGTGGTAGTGATATAAATTAGAAACACTATCTTGGTGTTGGATTTCTCTAGAGGAGAAAGCGCTGAGTGGCGGGGCTAGGAATCGACCCTTATTATTTACTGGCTTTTCCCGATTGTCTTTGTGCTCTCGGCGTGAGGTTGAGGAGATACTTCTTGCGAACTGTGGTATTTTGCATTATGTGTTATTGCGGAGTACGTATACCGAAAACTATGTCATTTAGACCTTTTCCAAAATAATAATAAAACCTCTCAATTAGTTGAATTAATTATATCAACAGTCTACTAAGCTAGAATACAGTGTGCGAAGATAACCATCATCTTACGCCTCCTTTGCATCTAATACTAGTCAAGCAAGGGTTTAAAAATGTATCTTTCAATTCCAAAGATAAAAATTAGTTTTTGATCTTGAGATAGTTCTCTAAACGGGCCTTCTTTCTAAGCCAGAATGCACAGATCGGTGTTGTTTCCTAGTTTGATGAGGGTTTGAGCTCGCTGCTATCATCTTGTGATTCTAGTATCTGGCTATATTACTCTTGTGGTTTTGACACCTCGCGCGCCCCATGCATTCTAGACACCGGGAGTCTCCCTTCTTGTGCTTCGGGCGTCTGAGGAGTTTCTCTCGATTCCTGCGACTCATGGCTATCATACCTACGTGGTTCGGGGTACAAGTCTTGGGTGCCAGGTAATTGCGACTCTTCCCATGCTTCAGAAATCCGGCGCGCTTCCTCTCGTGCTTCAAGCACCTGGCGTGCTTCCTCTAGCGCTTCAGACGCCCGACACACTTCCTCTCGTGCTTCCGACACCTGGCGTTCTTCAGACATCCTGTGCGCCTCCGCCTCTATCGGAGGGAACCACTCTTGAATCCCAGGTACGTTGGTCTCTGGCTCTTCTTGTGCCTCAGACATCCTGCTTGCTTCCCCCTCTGCTGGACCCTCTGCTCGACGGTACCGGTCTCGAACCCTAGGTAATTGCGACTCTTCCTCTCGTGCTTCGGGTATCTGGCGAGCTCGCTCTTGTACTTGTATTTCAAGCATCTGCGATATTACCCTTGATGTTCGCGGCCCTTGAGTCTCGTACCTATATATTTTATACTTTAATTATTTGGAGACCTTCCTCTTGCACTTTAGACAACTGGTACTCATACCTTTGCATTTCCGGGTCGCCAAGCTGAGCCTCATGCAATTGAGGTCTTTGCTCTAGTCCTCTAGGAACCTGAGATAGTGATGTTTCCCTCGACGTTTGCGACTGTTGGCTATCAGACCTTTGTGATTGATGACCCCAAACTTGAAGCGGCTCCTGGCTAAACCTCGGTCTGTCAGGAAACCAATTGGGAACCCCAGGGAATTGCGAAGGTTGTTCCTCTTGTGTTTCGGGCGTTTGAGACGTTCCCGATGACTGCGGACCATCGCTCTCGTATCTCTGTATTTCATTGTGCCAAACTTGAACTACTTCGGGCCCCGAGGACGTGAACCTACCCCCCTCCTGTAAGTAGCGTCTCTTTATCACTGGGTACCAATCTTCAATCTCAAGTAATTGAGACTCTTCTCGTGCTCCAAGCACTTGGCGCATCTTCTCTTGTGTTTCAAGCGCCTGGGACAGTTCCTTCGGCATATGTGGCTCCTGATCCTCGTCCCTATATGTTCTACACTTTAAGCACTTGTAGCTTTTCATCTTGCACTTTGGGCACTTGTTCATCATACCTTTGTACTTCCTGGCCCTCGGATTTAATAACAGATAATATATGCTCCTCCTCTTGTGCTTCTGACATTTGGGAATGCGGTCCCTGGCTCTCATATCTCGGCGTTTCCAAGTCGTAAGCTTGGGCTTGAGGTACTTGGTACATTTCACTGTGCACTCCCTGGTCCTCGGATTTAATAACAGACATTGGAGGCTCTTCCTCTTGTGCTTCTGACACTTGGGAATACGGTCCCTGGCTCTCATATATCGGTGTTTCCAAGTCACAAGCTTGGGCTTCAGGCACTTGGTACATTGTACTGTACACCGGAGATTTCTGACCCTCGTGCATCTTCTGTGCTTCCAGGTCGTCATATTGAAGATCAGGCATTAGGGACTTCAACCCTTCATCTAGTGATTCAGGCCCCTCGGGCATCTCTTTCAACCCTTGTTGCAGCTCCTGGCTCTCATTAGGCACCTCCCATTCTAGATCTACTCTAGGCACTGGAAGCGTTTCCTCTTCTGATCCAAGCACTTGGGACCATTCCTTTCGTGCTTCGGGAGTCTGGGATGTCTCATTTTGCATCAGTACAGGCTCCTCGCTCTCAAACCTTATCAATCCTTCAAGGTCCCAATCCGGAAAGTCTTCAGATAATTCCGTTAGGGCTTGTGGCTCCTGGTGCTCATACCTGTCTAATTCCAGGTCCCCAAATTGGGCTTCAAGTATCGAAGACCCTTCCACATTTACTTGAGGCACTTGGAAATCCCCTTCTTGTGTTTCAGATACCTGGGGAATACTCCTATGTACCTGCGGCTCCTGGCTCTCATAACTCTGTGCCTCTGGGTCGCAAACCTGAACCTCGGGAATTTGGGGTTCTCCCTCTTGTACTGCCGGCGTCTGAGGGGCCCACCCTTGCACCAGCACCTCGGCCTGGCTGCCACGTAGCTCCATCTTCGAGCCCCCAAAATAATACATTGATGCCCTTCCCCCTCGTACTTCAGGAACCCCCGAAATCGTCTTTTGTATCTCCGCCTTTCTCTTAGACTCATATACTTCAGGGTTCCAAATTTGAACCTCGGGGGCCTGGAACCCTTGATCTTGTAACTGCGGCTCCCGACTATCATTCTCCCGCCCTTCCGGATCCCAGAACTGTGCTTCAGGTACTTGAGATTCTTCCTGTGCTTCAGGCACTTGGAATATCTTTTCCTGTACTTCCGGCACCTGGAATATTTCATATTGTTCCTGCAGATTCAGGCTCTCAAGGCTTATACTCTGGTCAAACATTTGGTGATCTTCCACCCCTAGATCAGGCAGTTGAGCATGAGGCATTGCCTCTCGGATTTGCATTTTCTCTCTGACCGGCGTTTCCTCTCGGATCGGCGGTAGGCCCCCTCTCTCAGTCCTATATGTGTTAATCATGAGCGTGAGTTGTATTGCATCAATCATTCGGTGCCTTTGGCTTTCGATCTCATATATCTCTAGTAACCTTCTTTGATCCGATATGTCTGGCGCCCCATCAGTCTCCTGAACCCCATCAGTCTCCCTCATATCCTCAGTCTTCTCCTCGACTCTCAATCTCTTCGCCCTCGGCTCATCATGATCCACATACTCGTCGACTACTGGTGCCTCCTCATCTATATACTCGGCTTTTAACGGCGCCTGATTCACATACTCAACATTTAACGGCATCTCATTCGAGTGCTCGACGTTTGGCGGTACCTGGTTCGCATAGTCGACGTTTAACGGTACCTGATTCACATACTCGATGTTTGACGGTACCTCAGGCTCGAGCCGTGCCATCGCCGTATTATACATCAGCTCGTCGACTCCATGCATGATTCTGCTCTGTGGGCGCACGATAGTCGCAATTGCGTTTCTAATAAATCGATATCTGTAACCATCTTCTCGGGGGACTTCTCGCGGGTAGTGGGCTGTATCGGCTCTGACTCTCGCGATGGCTACCATAAGCTCGTTGAGGGCGAGGGAGGGATCCACGATAAGGCCGTGGGTGGGAGCAGACATGAGCTCCATGGGTTCATCGTCAACGGTTGTGAAGTCGTCCGCCTGGTCTTCAGTGAGCGTGTAGATAGTGATTTCTTGATTGCAAATCGTTATGAGGTCGGCGAGCTTGTCGCGAAGAGTAATATATTTGATGTATTGATTGATGAAACCAACGGGTTCATCGTCAGCGGGTGTAAGTGGGCCATTAGGCACATCGTCTTTGGGGGGCAAGGGGTTGATGGGCTCTTTACCAGTGGGGGGTAGAGGTTTAATGCCTTGATCTCTGGAGGTCGGGTCGACAGCCCGCACGAAGTAACACCCGGTGGACTTGTGGTTGTCGGCGGGGGGTCGAAAATCAATGGATGCAGCATTAGAGGGTAATAATACCTCCAAGGGTATCTCCTCCGTGGGGGTGGGTAGACGCACAGATTGATTTTCAGGGGGCGTACTTAAATCCATGGGCTTGTCGTCATCCACAAGGGCTGGAGTATCAATGGATTCGGCATCAGGAGACATGAAGAGCTTCATAGCCACGTCGTCTGAGGAGGTTTCGACGCCGATAGGCCGGTCTTCATGCTCAAGGGACATGGTGGGGTCTTTATGATGCTCATCGGCGAGTATGTGGATATCATGTTTGACTTGCTCATCGAGGGGGCGTATGAGAATATCATGGGGTGGGTCATCGGCGGGTGAAAGAATCTCGCTGGGCGTGTCGGCAGGGCTGGGCGTGTCGACTGGTACAAGGAGGGCGAAGCCGTAGGCACCAGATTGATCCTCAGCGTTGAATGTGACGGCTTGCATTGTGAGCAGTTATACGTTAATGTACGAAGTAGTGAGATATAAGTGACTCGTAGTAAGGAAGGGAGATAGACGTAGGGCAAGTGGTGAGGGTGTTAATCGTACCAGTCCTCTAAGGACAGCGAAACTAACATATGTTTTGGTTCCATTTGGCCATATCAATCGACTTCGTGGTCGGAGAGTGAGGTCTTGGCGGCTCTTGGGGGAGGTTGAGGTGAAGCGACGTGAGTCATGGTGTCTCACTCGTTTGGCTTGGCGGATGTTTGGGCTGTCGAACCAGAATGGGTGATCTGTTCGAACTTGCCATATCGACACTGTCCGATTCGTGAACATAAGTGTATAGTTAGACTCTTATAGATTAGCACCTACTTAAACCATCACGCTCTACTTCTTTCAACGTTCAGCTCTGTTTCACACACCGCTCTCCGGACATGACCTCCTCTCAGGCCCTCCCAAGCTTAATTTCTCTACCCGGACCGGCGGGACATACATATATGCGAGGCAGTACGTACACAATAGGGGTATCCCGCGATGAAAATAAAGGAATTAATAGTCCAGATGAAGGTTTTTTTTTGATGGGGATTTCGTTCTACGGGTAAAATACGCAAGCAATACTTGCTCCTTAATCCCAACTTACCCCCTGCATTTAGAGAGGGTTGCTACAGAGTCCGTGATATGGCTATGATGTAGCATAAAGCCCACGAAAAGATAGAGCTACAAAGCAGACCCAGACCGGCCTACAATCACCCTCTTTATATTACGGCCTCTTTAATCTCCAGCAAGAACCAACACCTACCCAACCCAACCAAACCCCAAATCCCAGCAAAAAAAAAGTCAATTCCTTGAAAGCTAAAACAGAGATTTATTACCCACAACCCCCCCCCCCCCCCCCCTCTTTTCTTCCCAAACCCGCCTACCGCCTACCGCCTCCTGCCCCCCCTCTGCGACGCCATCGGCACAAACTCATCCGCATCCTCATCATCCTCAATATCCTCATCGCTACTCGGGATGCGCACAACCGCGCGATGGAACAGCGCATTACTCGCCATACTATCCTGCGTCGACGCCGCAACCCCCGACGCCGGTGTCGACGCCGACTGCGAGAAGTTGAGCCGTGTCTGCCGCGCGGCGGCGGGGCGACGTGTCGTTACTCTCGGTGCTGGCGCTCGTGCTGGCGCTGGTGTGGCAGCTTTCCTGGGCGCGGGGGCCTTCTTTGGGGCGGGGGCTTTACGGGGGGCGCGGCTGTGCGGGGGTTAGTTTTGTATAGAAGGAGTGGGAGGGATTGGGGGGGGGGGGGGTATTACGTAGGTTTTGCGGGGGGAGCTTCTTCTTCCTCGTCGTCGTCGTCGTCGAGGATCATGACATCGTCATCATCATCTTCTTCTTCCTCACTAACCACCTTCTTCGCGCGGCTCCTCCCCTTCGCGGCCGTCGCCCTCGCGGGTGCCTTTGCAGCCGGTGCCTTCCTCGTACTCGCCGCGGCAGCGCCGCGCCCCCTCGCGCCCCTCCCCCTCGCCGCACCCCTCTTCTGTGGCTGCGGCGCTGGCACATCATCATCGTCATCGACGTCCTCATCGTCGCTCACCTCCTTCTGCTGTATCCTCGCCGCCGGCTGATCCTCCCACGGCCCATCAAGACCCGCATCCCACCCGAGCGGCATCTCCTTGAACGTCCCCTGCCGCCGCCTCGGCTTCACAAGCCCCTTTGCAAACACCTCCTCGAGGTAGCTGCGCTGTGCGTCAACAACCTCCTGGATCTTCTCCTCGTTGAGGTCGTCGTACTCGCGCAGCTTCACCAGATAGCTCTTGAGCGAGTCGTCGACGAACGTCTCGACGGCGTGCTTATCGTCCTTATCGATGAACTGGCCAATGGCGTCGCCGAGGCCATTGCTGGGCAGGATCTCGAGCGTGGCCGAGCCCAGGAACTCCGAGACCAGGTTCTCGACCTTGACGTTATCGATGCTGCCGCCGTAGTCCTCGAGGAGCGTGGAGCTGTTGAGCGGCGCGTCCGACACCGCGCCCTTCGCGTTTGCGCGGCGCGTGGCCGTCTTGCGCCGGTAGAACTGGACCACGTCGCTGACGTTCGCCACCTTGCCGACAAAGCGGTTCGAGAAGCGCTGCGGGTTCTCGGTCTCGAAGCGCCCGCCGTCCGGCGCAGAGTACTCCACGCGGAGGCGCACGAGCGGGAGCGGCGCGTCGGCCGCGGTGAGGGTGTCGTCCTCCTGCGCGTCGAGCCACTCCTGCACAGCCGAGTCGATGAGCGTCTCGACGAGATCGCACAGGTACGCGGTTACGGCCGTGCGGTTTGAGTTTTTCTTCGCGAGGTTCTTGAGCGCGGGTTCGTCGGCGAGGACGAGCTCGCGCATGACGAAGGGCCGCACGGTCTTGAGGCGGATGGGCTCGAGGTGGAAGTCGCGGCCCGTGATGGAGAGGATGCCGATGTGCTTTGTGACGGCTTCGCCGGGGCACAGCGAGGTGGCGATGGAGGAGCCGGGCTGGATCACGTGGAAGTTCATCTCGGGGTTGAGGCGCGGGTTGATGAGGCATTCGTGCTCGTGGCCCCAGATGACGAGGTCCAGGAAGTCTTGCAGGAAGTTTTCGGGGAGGTAGTTGGTTTCTGTGTGGCCGTGGCTGTAGGATGTTATGTTAGCAGCTAGGTAGATAGTTTGCAAGCGAGAAGAGGGTAGCGTACTGGTTCTGATGAACACACATCAGGTTGAACCACTCCTTCTGCTGCACGTCCGGGCGGAGGAACTTTACTTTGCCGTCGCGGAAGGTGCGGAAGAGGCGTTCGTCACGGACGTTTGAGAGGCCGTAGAGCGCGAGCTTTGTGGCGCCCTTCTGCAGCAGCACGGGCGTGACGGTGATGTTGTCGTTCTCGGGCGTGCGGCCAAAGTAGTTCATCAGCCCGGCCACGGAGAGAATATCCAGCGCACACAACCGTCCCTCCTACCTCACACACCCTATTAGCCCCCACCCCACCCCACTCCCCCCTCCCCCACCCAAAAAAAGGACAGACACAGAACACTACCCACCCCACTCGGATCATCATGATTCCCATGAATCGAAAACACGGGTATCGCCACATTAATATCCGGATCCTCATAATTCACATGCCCACCAGCGCTCTGGAACTCCGAGCTCGTGTCGCTGAGAATCTCGATCTCGCAGGGCTTCTCGCCGTAGCAGTTCTCGCGCAGGCTCTTCATGACCTGGTACATCGCCTTGCGCGACGGCTTGTTCTCGTGGAAGAGGTCGCCGCTCAGCAGCACCATGTCGACGTCGCGCGACTTTGCGACCGCCATGATCTCGGCGAAGGTCTGCCAGCTGTCGTCGCCGCGGATGGCGTCGCGCTCGTGGTAGCCGACGTGCGTGTCGGTTGCGAGGAGGATGCGGAGCGTGTCTGCGGTGGTTAGTGGGTGGGTGCAGGGGGTGGGGGGTGGGGGGTGGGGGGTGGTACCTGCGGAGGACATTTTCGGTGGTGGGATGATGATGGGTGTGGGGTGAATGAAGGTGGGGAGGTGAGGTTGGGTGAAGGTGGTGGTGGTGCGGGTATGCTGTGCTGGGGTGACGTGACGTGACGTGATGTGCGGGTAGGGTTTGAGGTTAACGCGACGACGCGGCAGGGATGTGAGTGTGAGTGCGTGAGCTGGGGGCAGTGGGTGGTCTGTGCGCTGTGTCACGGGTGCGTCATGGGGTGTCACTCGGTGTGGTTGGTGGTGAGTGAGATTGTATGCTCCTACGGGCGTGTGAGGGGTGACAAAGTGGGAGGAATGGAGGGGAGGGAAGAAGGATGGGGCGTTGTGCTACGGGGATGGGGGTTGTGCTACGGGGACGGGGATGGATGGAGGGGAGTGTTGTGCCCAGGGTTACGCTGCGGTGGGTAGAGAGGGGTTGGTTTGTGGGGTACAGGCCGGGTAACGAGTTGCATGACGTCTTTGTGCGACGGGAGAGATGACATGACGTCTGTCTGTCTGTCTGTCGGACGATATAAACTCTCCCGTCTCACAGCTGCATCTACAGCTACATCTACAAACACATCCACAACCCCCCCCACAACCCCCCCCACAACAACCACAATGCCCCTCGACACAGCCGACACCTTCCCCGACCTCCCCCCCGACCCCTCCGAGCCCACAAAAACCTACCCCCAACCCCCGCCCCTCGCCCCCCTCTCCTCCCTCCTCGGCTACACCCCCACCGACCTAGCCCGCTACACCGCCCTCCAACGCACCGCCACCACCGCCCTCCTCTCCCAGCCACTAACCCCCACCGAGGCCGCCGGCCTCACCTACTACGACACCCTCTTCTACACGTACGAATCCTACGGCGACGTCCTCGGCACCTCCGCCGGCGCCCTCCTGGGCCTGGCCCTGCACACCCGCAAGCCCGGCCGCATCCCCACGGCCATCGCCCGCCTCTTCAGCGTCAACCCGCGCTACGCCGCCGTCACGCTGCGCGTCGCCGTCTTCGCCTCCCTCGGCCGCCTCTACGGCCTCACCACCGCCGGCGTCCAGGCGCTGAACCGCATCCGGCTGGAGCAGAAGAATGACCCCGACATGGCGCGCGTGGTGGCTGCGCGCGCGAGGCGGCTGAGTGCGCTGGAGCGCGAGGTGCGGGCGCGCGCGTTTGGTGCGCAGGAGGCGCGGCGCGGGGAGGAAGCGGGGGGGGAGAGGGACGAGCAGAGTCTGGGCGGGATGGAGGTGGCCGAGTATCGCAGGCGCAGTGATGAGGATGTGGTGAATGCCGAGCGCACGGCGTTTCCGTTTGGGAGGCCGAGTGAGGCTGTTGCTGCTGCGCAGGTGGGGGAGAGGCAGGGGGAGAACGGGGACGACCCGTTTTTGCTTGTGGATGAGGAGGGGGGGAAGACGGAGGCGGCGCCGGTGAGGGGCGGGTGGCGCAATGCCCATTCGAGCACGGGGGAGAGCGCGTGGGAGCGGCTGAGGAAGGGGCAGCGGCCGCAGGCGGCGGCGGAGGAGGAGGAGGCGCAGTCGCAGGCGTCGCCGTGGCCGCAGAGGGCGCCCATGAAGGGGTTTGGGGCGGCGGCGGGAGGAGAGCCGAAGACGGATTCGTTTTCGTTTAGTAGGACGGTGGAGGAGCGGGAGCTGGCGAAGGCGCAGGCGCAGAAGGAGTTTGATGAGAGTGTGGAGAGGGAGAGGAGGAGTGGGAGTGGGGAGGGGTATGGTGAGGGGGGGCAGGGGAGGGCGGGGAGGTGGTAGTTAGTGGTAGTGGGTAGTGGGTGGGGGGTGCATGGTGTGATGTTGTGGTTACTTGATTGTAGATAGATTGATAGTGGTAGCTATAGCGCGCGGATGCGAATGCAGGTGGCTTTTGTGCATTGTGGTGGTCTTTTAATTCCGAGTTTGATGTAGTCGTAGATAAATAATGTGAATAAATAGCTGAGCTTCATGTTCTAATTTCAACACAGCGCAGAATACCATCATCCATCTAGGACAAAGATAAGAGCTATATACACTCATAAAAACTAGCTGTAACCAAACACCCAAAGCACCCATCCCTAGCCACAGGACAGCTCCCATCGTCAAATCGAAACAGTCACCTTCCCACAGCCGAATCTCCCCATAAAGGTACTATACTCTCTATAAGAATAGTCTCCTTAAGTACTGGTGGGCACGAGACTCATAGTCCCGAGACCTGACGAGACACTCAAGAATTTCTTTTTGAAATCTCTAGATAAGTCTCCAGACCTCCGAGTGATGTTGGATGATCCAAAGCAAGGCTTGCTCCCTCATGCTCAGGCTTCCAAAAACCGGGTATGCACTTCGTCCCTGACTTCTACCCACCAAGGATTTCTGGTCCCCGTTTCACTTCTGAACGCTGTTAACGTGTGTAGGTGCGGCTTCTTGATTGGTTTAGCTTATATCGGTCTCTCGAGACTTCTAAGACTATGATGAGCACAAGACAAGAAAAGACAAGACGAGGAGAGACTTGGTGCAAAATGGTCTCGCCTTATCTCGTACCTATCATTAGCTACACAAATTAAGGTCCTTAAGTCGTGTAGCTTAAGTCGTGTAGCATAGTAGGCCCCTTTATTTCCTTTCTAGCAAACTCACAGCTGATTGCGGTATTCGTACTGTAAGAACACCCTCATGGCTTTATGCTAGCTATCTCTTCTCGTGCAGTACCCCTACAGAGAAACAACGCCAGCGAGAGGCCTTCCCGGCAGAAAGGGGTCTGCTTATAGGAGATTCGACTATATCTGCCCTATCCTAAGCTTAGGCTACCGGCCCGTCCTCTATTCGATGGGGACCCATCATATCTGGCAGATGCAATTAGGACTCTGTACATGTCCGAAGTGTTTGTATGTAGTACCGGTAATAACAGTGCTCGTACTGCTGGGCTGAAGCCGCGCAGATAAAAAATCGTAATCGACCTCGAGTCTGAAAAAGAGTGAGCTCTTGTTGGCTGTTACAGTAAGATATAATTCTATCACTAGCCACAGTTAACGTTCTTTGGACGGCACCGTCGAGGTGCCCCCGGAAGTAGGGTTAATAGCGTAGTAGATAAAAGAGCGATGGTGTAGCAGTAAGATCTAATAGTGTAGCAAGATCTAATGACAGACGAAGCAAGATCCAATGACCAACGCAGCAAGATCTAACAGCCAGTTAGTAAGATCTAACAGCCAGTGTAACCAGCGTAGTCCATCATAGTGCATCCCAGCTCGCGGGGGGCAACAACGACTCCTCCATCGTCCCAAATATCCTGACCCCCCCTCTCTTCTCAACAGCCACAACAACACAGCCGCAGAATCTCTACCACACAGGCAGCCCAGCGAGCAGTCTTCTCCACGATAGATCCCTCTCCAAGCTCGAGTCACGAGGAAATGAACGGGCTATACGTGTGGTGTGTGGCCTGGTCCTGATCCGCTTCTACCGTGCTTGGGAGTTGTTGTTCGGTTTGCCGCTCTGGTGGCTGAGAGGCGAGGTGAAACAGCTCTTATCGGTATTGTGGCTGTTTAGCTGTGGTGGGGTTGGTTTTTACCATCCTGGGTGTACGGATTGTAGCTCACTGATATGGTATGCTGGGGCCTGCTCTGACTGAATCGCGTTTTTTCAGTTTACTGATGTGTACTCTATCCAGGGATCGACGTTACCCAGCTTGGAAGGAAGCTTAGGATGGTAAGTAGGGTATCATGAATCTTAAGTAAACTGGAGCCATCTTGTCGCACTCCGTGGAGACACAAGTCCAAAGCAGGTCTGGGCACGAGACTACATGTTTACCTGGTCTCGTGAGTCGTGGTGATGGGCACTGGGTGGGTTTCACTGCGGCCCGTCAACACCCAGTGTCTGTACAGCGATTCACAGGCATTTGGCGAATACACCCATTTGGCGAATAGGGATTACGGCCAATAAGAATTAGGATATCTTAGTCAAACTCAAAGTTTGACTGGTTGCTGGATACAAATTCGCCAAATGGGTGTATTCGCCAAATGCCTGTGAATCGCTGTACTCTACTTACCAGGATTATCTACTCTACAGGGTGCTGCAATCAGCGCTATTCCAAATTTGGATTCGCCCTGCACAACACTTTTGTTACACCAATAGGGGGCCTTGGTTGGATTAGCCCTAAACACACTCCGCTGCACAATACCTCTGTTGCACCAATAAGAAATCTAGTCTCCAACCCAGCTGCGGCCTGGCCCGCAGGGTGTGCGACAACATCTGCACAAGTTTTTTGAATTGCCAATAGATTCATGAGGACCAGAATTACGCACGACAAGGCAATTAAGTGGAGTGTGCAAGAAACCCTGTCATTATGTCCCCAGATATCTGGTTGCAAGGTCATAAGCACTACTATAAAATGGGATAATTCCCATGGAGCAGCTGGTATTATTATTTCATACCAGTATAGCACAATTGATTCGCTCCTTCCTTCCCTTCTTTCTCCCATCATGAAAATGTGCCAGCTAGCATTTAACACCAGACGAACAAGAATGGTGCAACCGATCTTAGCCCCGACACGCCCTGACTGGGACAAACCCAATGTGCCAACACCAGCAGAGTGGGAGAAAGTTAAGGAGATTTTCACAAAATACTATCTCAACATCGATAATACCTACGGACAACTTACTCTCAATGAGATCCGCAAGATTATGGCTGAGAATCATCAGTTCAACGCAAAGTAAGAGTAAACGATAGAATTTTTGGTGTAACGTCTATAATGCCTATAATAATCCTCAACTAACATGCAATTGGTTTAGCGAAGCCCAATACAAAAATAAGATCAGCAAGTGGAAACTCGGCAGAAATCTCGACAAGAATACAGTCAAGAACTTGGCACGAATACAAGACAAACGAGCACAGAGCGGTGGGGAAAAGACAGCTTTCAAGTTCCATGGAATACCCGTCTCGGAAGATAAATTAGAACGCTCGCGTAAACGTCTGGGATTAGCCCAACCGGTTGCAACTGATCCAGAGCTATCAGGTAACTTTCCCATCTTGCTACAGCATTCAGGAATCTCAAGCATCCATTTTAATACGGGATACTCAGTTACGCCGCCTACCATAAGCTACTCTACCCCAACTTTACAGAGTGATTTTACTATGGATGATGTCTCGGCCGAAGTTGACGTTCCGGGCGTCAACGGGATAACTGTAGCTATAAACGATATAGCTACAGGTATACACGAGATATCTGCAGCTACACACGAGATATCTGCAGCTATAAACGAGATAGCTGCAGCTGCGAACGATGAACTTTTCAATTCAAATTCAGTTGATATCGATGGATTGGATGAAAAAATCAGTTCGGAAATCATATTTGTTGAGGAACCAATTATGTTCTCAAACGATCCTATTATCACATCCGATCCGATTAACATGGACATTATATGTATTGATTCTGAGAAAGAGCATTTCTCGGTGGTTATTTATACACCACACGGATCTTGTGAAAGGCTTTCACACCTAAAATTTATCGAGTTCAGTTTGTGGAATTTCCCTGGCGCACGGCCTCCTATGAGTTTTGAGGTTATTGGCCTGAGAAAGAAACAGAAATATACTCGAGTTGGCCTGAGCCGGATACAGACATACATTCAGGAAAGTGATGGTTACATGTATCTCAGAACCATCTCATTCCGCCCGTGTATCCCAGGGGCATGGAATAAATGCATATCCGAAATTTTCCATAATTTACAGCTCGGAGACACACAAGGGCTAACGAAGGCCCGGGGACGTGTATCTGCGTTATTCAAACATGAACGTAGCATACTACCCTCTTCGTTAGGTAGTCATGAGTTTCGACCAACAGTTTCAAGAAGTAAGTGGAGACGGCGGAGGCGATTCCCTAATTACATTGTCTCTAAAACATGTCTCTTTCTAGATCGGGAACTATATCTTCCGGTGCCTGTACACGCAGTTTTGGCAATAGAGCTACCTGGCCCACTATACCATCTGAGTTGGTTGCAGTTTTTCTCACCTAGCTCTGAGTTAGACCCATTTCATCCACGGAAAAACTTTCTTAAGGACAATAATAAGAAATCATCGATGCGAGGTTCCGTGTGGATGAGCTCGGGCTGGGGAGGCGAAAGTGTTATCGGGAGTTGGATAAAAGACGAGTGAGCTTTGAAAATCCTTCCTTTTCTTCCATACCATAGCTATACATTTCTACCTAACTAACTCGAAACAGCGTTATCATGTCTGGAAGATCGCCGTTCGGTTCTGATTCTCACTCGGTATGTTCTCGCGAAAATCTTGAAAAACACAACTAGGATCTTTCTGGCCCGACTCACCAGCTGAATAATTGGCCAGTACGTATATACCGCCGTCTAAGTCCCTAGCTATGCCCTTTTCCAGCCTTTGACTCAAGCTATAACCCAGCTTAATGGGGATATTCAGTCTTCTCACGGACTTCTGCTAGATAAGCACGGGTTTAGAAAATCTCTTATCTATTAAAATATGACTTTTCTCAACGCTTGAGCATTTGATTGGTCGAGAGTGTTTAACCCTCCTTAACCCTCATATCAACCAACCCACCTCCATCAATAAACCATGCGGAATGCAAGTACCCAAAGGAAGCACTCATTGGGGGGTGATGAGGTGATGAGGAGATGGGGACGGGAGATGGGGAGATGGGGGGATGGGGGGATGGGGGGATGGGGGGATGGGGGGATGGGGGGATGGGGGGATGGGGGGATGGGGGGATGGGGGGATGGGGGGATGGGGGGATGGGGGGATGGGGGGATGGGGGGATGGGGGGATGGGGGGATGGGGGCGAAGGAAGTAGATATTCATATTCGAACCCTACGGCGCAGCCAAAAGTCTAACTGAGCGGAGGGGAGGGGGGTGGTGGGGCGAAGCCCCATTGAAAGCTTCCCATAATTTTAGGGAAGACTTGATATCCATAATCAAAGTACAATTCGCGGTCGCGAGGTAGCCATCCATAGCTGCTAGTTTTCATATATACGTAGACTTTTCACTATCACTGGCTATCAAAGAAGTATTCAGAGACCTTCAGATGTCCAGATGTGGTGAAATTTTGATTCAATAATCATGGTAACTTGTACCGTTGAGATATCATCGGCATAGATTTCTTCTGGAGCAGGGATTTAGGCCTGATCATATATTGGATTTTTTTTAAAATGTTTTCGCTTTGTTTACACCAAGATACTTAGTAATACGCAACAAACATGTGTAACATTTAGTATGTAAGTTCTACGTACGTATCGTACTTAGATCACTCAAAAAGAGTTTGGATGAATTAGTATACACCGATACGGGCTTTTGACCCCTATGCGTTACCGTCAGCTTAATTACTTGAGTAATTAAGTGGTACACACTATATTTTTTCAATTGCTGGCCCTCAGTTCTGTTCTAGATATCGTAATGTATAGCTCCTGTGCCCTTGCGTGACCGGTTACTTGGCACGCCTTGGATCCGGTCTCATATGTATATGGTCCAAGAGATAATTACACCTATGTATAAACTTAGATACCGGGCTAGAATCGATTTTCAGGTTTATAGAGTAAATGTAGCGACAGGTGATTCCAATTGAACATATTTCATTGATTAGGTTCGATTGATTCAGCGCTACCGTATACTTCTCCTTATCATGAACTGATATTTGATTTTTAGATTTGGCTTGTGACCCTCCTATTTTAGTATCCAAAGTGTCGAGAATGATTTTGCTTTTATTTTGTTTTATCACTTGGTCGTAAAACTACACGCTGTATATAGTTCTCTGGATATAATACCATCCGTTCACCACGGCGTGACATTCCCGGAGTTTTCCGTTTTATATGACAGACTTTTGATACCATTTTTCCATCTGACTACCCAGCTAAAACAACTTCTCAAACATGCTAAGCCTTCAGCCCACCATCTCGTACTTTAAGAGACTTTTGATCCCATCCCATATTTCGAGACAGCCTTTTTTTTCCCCAAATTTTTAGAAAATCAAATAGTATGATTCAAGGTTTTGAAAAGAAGAACTAACCATGCATGGTGATTGACAAGAAAGACTGAGCCTATTAACTAGCGGCAATGCCCACCGGTCATCCCAGCAACATACTGCATACAATCAACGAATTATCAATCAATTAATCCCATCAAGGTAGAAATCGTCTAGTGGTTTAAAACGGTCAGGCTCGCCGAAATCATCGATACTAGCGCCAAGAGGTTCCTTGATCTGTAGGGCTGATCGACTAGCGGACATGACGGGCCTGGCCAGCATGTACTATAGAAATGAATAATGTGTCAGATAATGGATCTTATATTCAAGAGGTGGATTTGCGAGCATTCACATCGATCCAAGCACGTTGTTCGTCACCACTAGACCTCTCACTGCTTACTCGTGTTAGTAAAATCTCATTAGATGGTTTTTAGAGTGATATACTTCATGAGATTCCTGGGAGTAGGGAGAAAAGTTCCGCTGGAAAGATTGGCCTTAGGCTTGACGGTATGGCTTGCGGCTACTGTTGTCATTGATACAGTTCTGGTGTTCTCTCTCCTGTTCTCCTCCGCAGGAAATTTCTTCTTGGTGGAGAAGCTAAGATTTGACGCTCCTGAAGGAGTTTCAGCATTGGAGTTTGCCCTTTGTAGCCCAAGGCCATCAGCAAGACTAAGAGTGTTCATTCTGTGATCGAGTGTGCTTCCTCCCATCTCCCAGTTCTTCAGGCCACCCGCGTTAAGGGCAGTCATAGGAGGAGTCTTGAGTGTCCCGCCGGGAACAAATGCGTGCATACTGGTCGTCAACCCAACATTATTTGTCTGACCCTTTTCAATCTCAATCTTCTTTCCATAACCACCCGAAAGTCTGTAATCCAAAGGAACCGGCTGCGTCGGAGCCTCGGTAGCAATGGTAGACTTTGGCGTTGGAACCTCGGGGATTGTAGCAAGCGCCTGTTGTTTCGCATTTGTTCCACGCAGAGAGGCCTTTCTTTTGAGGACAAGACGTTCGGCAGCTTCTTGTTCCTGGCGGCGGTTAATGAGGTTACTGGGGCGATGGGTACCGAGCTTGGTAGCAATCATCCTGGCCTTGAGTTTTTCATTAGGATTGTTGGTTGGAACCTGAAAAGAAAACCGAGACGAATCAGTTAAGCTTATAACAATAAACGTTGGAACGCGGATGCAGTGGATTCTAGCGGGGACAAAGGGCTTCATACCGCAGTGATGAGAATATTCTCTGTCCAGGCCACCGATTTAAAATTTGCCACGGGACAACAAACAAATGGTAGTGTTTTGCCCATCACCAGAAGCTCGGCAACAGTATACCTTCTACGCTGGTAGAGCAGCTTTTCATTGTGGCTCCCAGATGCCATTGTTTCTCGTGGGTGTGGATAAAAGTGCGGAATGGATAAAGGCTTGGCTGCTCAGATGATGTCGTGGTGAGGATGATGGATTCTATGTAGTGTTGAGAGCCTGGACAATAGCTTGCATCACCAGTAAGCACTCGGTTAGTTACATGCTAGTGCCGCGTGTAAGCATTTACTTGTAAGTACATGTAAGGTATGAATTTCCCAGCCAAGTACACTTCTTACCTCATGTACGTACCGTCTTATAATTTCCTACATTGAAACCCACCTGATTTCTCCAATGTGCAATACAGTCCCTCACACGCGATGGATGCCTTAGCTGCAGACGACAAAACCAAAAGGATACCCCACCTGTCAAATCTCCCTGTGATCATAAGATAACTCTTGCCGATTGCAGGTACCCTTATATACTTCTTCCAGACCGCGCGCAAGAAGTACCTATATACGACGCCATCGATGCATCGATATCGTGGAGATTACGGTTCGTCACCTAAAATACCCATCACACCCCTTGGTCGATCCCAGAACTGTCTACTTCTAGTGCCATACGGTACGTACGAGTAGTGCACCCCACCTACCATACTTAATGGCATCACATAACACAACATAGAACGGGTACCTTTTAATACTGGCCATACCACCTAAGGGAAAATCTATCGAGAATATTTCCTTATAATTACATATAATAGACTACATCCTTTTTACATCCTCTTCAAAGCGCTGAGCAACTTCACCAAGCAGCAAGATCTTCCATCCGCAGCTACATACATGTAGGTGGATTCCTGTATTCAATTCTCGAGGCTCATATATCCTCTCACGGCCCACAAGCATGCTTTCCAACTGAGTTTGTTACCTCCCCTTGTCATCGCATTATAACCATCAGGAATGGCTTCATGCCGCGGCCGGCAGCTACATACATATATGTTATCCCTCTCATTCATCAATCTTGGACTCGCTTCACGCTCTTAAGCGGGTTAATAAGAAGTTAAGCGCCCGTTTGGGAGCTGGCCTCTGATCAGTAGAAAACAACGTTTCAATCATCCTCCGCTAGTGGGTGGGATACGGAGAAATTTCGAAACGGAGTTTAAGCGAAAAAGTAGGTCCAAGTTACTTATTGGAAACCTCCGTTTCATGGAGTTAACGTTGTTTTCTGGACCCGCAAAATGGGTCGCCAAGCACAACCCGTTTTCTCAGAACGGAGTTTCCGCCAGAACGGAGTTTTAAGCCCCCATAACTCCGTTTTGGACGGCTCCCAAACGGGGCCTAAGTTTCCTGGTTTTGAAGGATAGCCACAATTACATGTGCTAAAATATCTACGACAATGCAAAACAGCATATTTCTAGCAGTGCAGTTTCTTCGGCGTATGCCACCAGTAACCAGAATAATTCCTCCGAAAAATAGTGGCCCTCTGGTTCTTTCAACCTTAGGTACAATATTTTGCCTCACTAGTCGGGGTCACCGATGAAAATACTAGATTAACAACGACAAAGCCATCCAGTTTCAACGGGTACGATAAATATAAATATATCGCGATCACAGCGCAGACTCTAGTAGCTAACTATAAATGACTTTGTCGTTTGGTAGAGTCGTTTAGTATAAGTGACTTCGTCAATTTACTATAAGTGACGAAAGTCATTTAGTCTAAATGACAACGTCGTGTGTATGACCACCGTTAATAGATGACTTTGTCCTTTAGAGATATATACATATATTAATTAATTATTTATGCAATTAATGAATTAAACCAAAAAAAAAAAAAAAAAAATTCAATTTATTTTATTATTTCTAATGCTACTGCTGCTATTACCCCCGCTGCTGCTACTACCCCCGCTGCTGCAGCTGCTGCTGCTGCTGCCGCCTCTGCCTCTGCCTCTGCCTATTAGTAATGGCTATACCAATCAGTGGGCTGAATATGACCTACCTTGATACCGGTGATGGTGATGGTGATGGTGATGGTGACTCCAAGAACTGAGCTACGTTAGCAGAAGGGGAGAACATAGGGAACAGGTGGGAAACGTAGGGAACAAGGGGGGAACGTAGGGGAACATGCAAGGAACAGATGGGAACAGTTGGGGAATGGAGGGGAATAGATGGGACACTGATCTAATAAGATGTACTTGATGGAAATTGGGGTGAAGGGGATGATGCTGAAGTCATTGGTGATGATCATCGTGGAGGTCTTGGTGGTGTTGAAGTGTTGATGTTGAAGAAGAGGAAGGCCACCCGTGGTGGTTCTTTTATAGCAGGCAGGAGTCATTTAGTTGAATGGTCATTTAGCTGAACAGTGGTCTTTTTAGAAGTGATTTAGCTAAATGACTCAGTCACCTATGGTTGTCCACTAGAGAGACCAGGATTCAGCCATGTATAAAGCCTCGATCCTACTCCACACGCCGGACCGTCCTTTACGGCACTCGTTTTATATTCCCAAACAGCGCTCAGCGTTCCCACCGCCACCATCACCTCGTTGCACCGGGTAAAACTATGATTTGATTCTTCAAAATTTAAATGTTATTATGTGGCATTCGAAGTCACACAGTAGTCCAGGGTTTCGATATGCGGACGGCAGACTATCATTCTCCTGCAGCTACATACCCAAATTGCCCATAGATGGGGGGACTACGCAGCCCTCCCAATGAAACTGTGCTTGGATGAAGGCAATTAATTACAATGTCCCATTGTCAAAATCTTCCGGCGTAATGTTTATCGGTTGAACATATCAAAACCGATTCAACTCAAGTGCACCTTGGTTCGCATTTCCACACAGACATAAATCCTAACTTCGAATTGGCAAAGGATATTATTCAGAAACAGGATTGCTTGCTCCCTACAATCTTGAAATTTAATACGAACCTGAAGGCTAGTAATCCTTGCGTTTCCCACCAACAACCCAAATTTTCCGTCAAAAATAGTTTTTCTTAGTGGATTGGATTAATCTGGTTAGTTCAGGGCAAATGCATTTAGGTATCTTAGTCTACCTACTGCTTCTAACGATAACGGCATCCTTTATCGGCAATTGCTATTGATAACAGCTTATCTATCGAAGATCAAATAGATGGCAAGGGTTAGACGGAACGTTACTTCTCCGCTCACTTTATTCCCGAGGAGAAAGCTAGCACCTTAGCCATCGATCTAAGTAATTAAGCTTTTTCTACTCTGGCACAGCAGAAAACGTGCCACATACAGACTGTACTTTAAGTTTATTTTGGGAATACCCAATAAGGCTCCATTTGAGATAAAATCAATTTCACTACAGAATATCAAATCCCAGCTGGGTTCTGAAATAATAGCCCCAAATCTCAAACAATAATGTCAAAATAACATCTACATAGAATGAAAATTCCAAAAAAAGAAAGAAAAAATGACCCCTGTTGAAAACCAAAATTGGAAGGTGGGGCCCGTGGGGGACGTCATTTATCCTTATCACTACTAGTAGTGTACAGTCGCAACTCGATATGCCGGATTGCCAAGATTCTAAGGATTTCGTACGGGATAGCAAAAAATCCGGGATAGCAAATTGATTTTGCAGTAGGAAAAATAATATTCTCAGAGGATCTCGTACGGGACAGCAAAGGATCCGGTGTATTGAGTTCCGGCATATCGAGTTGCGACTGTAGTGTAAGTTTAAACCTTGTTCGGAAAGACTGCGTTCACGCTGCGTTCCGAATCGGAATCACCCATCGCGGATTTCTGAACCCCGCCCGACACAACTGCATCCGTGTTGTGCTTTCTCGACACGAATCTCAATCCGCATCCAATCATTGCAACTGCAAGAACAAGCCCCATAGCGGCCAATGCGACTAGTGCACCAATAACACCGGCAACAGCCTTTGAAATTCCACCAGACCTGGTGTCCGCGGTATCCGCGGTGTCGACAGACCTGTCACTGGAGCAGATTGACTCGTCTGAACTACACAACGTGCACCATTCTGATACCGAATCGACGGCGATGTTTACCATCTTCTCGCTAAAATCGTTCCATGAGATCACCACCTCAGTGTTTCCAAAGAGAGGATATTCCTTGATATCGCTGCTAGTGCCGTTGCGGAAAAGGAATCGTACGTAGAGATCTTCAATGTTTGCCGGGAATGCGGCGTTGTCTTGGTAGGAGAGAAGCTCAAGCGCAAGTGTCGAAGCGTAGTCTGGAATACCAGTGAAGTTCTCGTAGGCAGCGGACAAGCCTGTGAGTGCAAAGAAGGAGAGGAATGTGTCGTAAGACCCAAGAAGTAAGGAGAGCTTATTATCCTCGCCCTTAGAATCAATAATTGTGGATAGCTGTGTTATAATCTTGTTTGCGAGAGTGCGCCCGGAGATAAGTGCGACGGTAGAGGTGCTTGATATGTTTCCGTTCAGCCCTAGTTCGTGGGAGTCGGCTAGAGTACGCAATTGAAAGAGCTGCTCTGAGGACACGGCATTTGCAATTGTGGTATTGTGGATCGAGCCGACATTGATGTAGTCATAGATGGCATATGCGTTGTGGTAGCTCAATTGGCTTGACGAGAAAACGCCCTCCAGGATATCCGAGAAGGATTCATAAAAGCTTTTTGTGGTGTCTTGAAGATGAAGATACTGTTCGGAAAGGTAGAACTCCTCGCTTTTTGCTGTAAAGTCAGGGCATCCATCATCACCCTTGAGCCAAATTGTGGATGGATCGCTTTCAGAGACAGTATGGATAGTTGTGTACTGGTAACCAGCAAGTGGTAGAGAGATAATGGAGCCGTTTGCCAGAGTTTCAGTAGTGACAGCTGCGAATGAGCCGGTGATGGGAGGGTAGAGGCCCTGGAGGAATGCCTGGCCAGAGGTTACCAGGAGGTTCTGGTCACCAATGTCTTGTTAGCACAGCACGCCCATACGGAAATGGCTCGAGTGCGAGCTCATGATTGGTTGACTCACCTGGTCCGGCGCCTCTGCGTAGAGCTGTGCGCTGTTGAATTCTCGGTAGCTGATACCTGGTATCACAGTCGAGGAATTGTCAATGTATCGCGAACGATAGAACTCCCCAGAGTCGTATAGCTGGTTCTTGCCGAGTGTTGTAAGTTTTGTTGGTGGAAAGACTTTTGCTGAGCGGTCGCCATGACGAGAGAAGATAACGGCACCATGGACGGTCTCTGTTGCGGCTTGCACACCCAATGGGAGCAGCAAGAGCGGCAATGAAAGAGTGAGTGAGTATAGCATTGTTGACTTCTTGATTAATCTCACGACTTGGTATTTTTGGAGTGGTATTTTTTTCTCGAATGGATATTGTGGGGGGGAAGGTTACATTTATGTTCATCTAAGTGGTGGGGGGCAGAAGTCATCTCAATGCGGGGTATATGTCTACAGATAAGCCCCCACAAGTTATGTACCGGGTGTGCACGTAAAGTACGAAGACACCCCCATGTCCATTTTTTTCATTGGTTGATTTTGTAACAACGCCATGGGGTAGCAACCATAGCAACCAATGATGCAGTATGATTTTTACTTAGACTTATGTGGGAAAAAAATACCGAGACGTTTTGATATATTTACACTTAAAAAATCGAATTAAATTGTTAAAAATACAAACAAAAAACCAATAGTATCTCCCCTGCCTACCGCATCATCTGCATATCATTTCAGGCCGCCAGACTCTGTTGAGGGTTGTTATTTGATGAAATTGTGGTTGAACGGGAGTCAAATTGAGGTGATGGAGGTTGCGTTGCAAAAGCTGGCAACGGGCTACCCCAAATACTTACTTGGCTGCCAAGTGTCACTTTAATTCATATCAGCCCAATCAGAGTTCTTTCCAAACCCTCATTTTTAAAAATTCCCCAAAAGGGGGTTCTCAGTACTTACCCTTAACCCCCGGTACATGAACTACCGCCCTCGATCGTGGACCAAAGGACTCCGGAAGGTCCCATCTACGGAAACGGCCGCCCTTCTTCCATCACTCCGACTCCCATTGGTGCAGCGACCGGAATGATCTATGGAAAAACAGGGGGGGTGAAATTGTATGGCGAAATATCTGTGCACCATATAACTGTTTTTTCCATAGATCATTCCTATCGCTGTACGTAGATCCAGTGCCGGAGCGCCCTATTTATGCAAGCCGGCCGTGGTTTACCTATTCGATAAACCGAACTCGCTAGGCCAAGTTCGGTACTTTTGTGGTTTTGGTGGTTTTGGCAGGAACCCCAGGGCAACCGAAACCACCAACCCGGGGGCCACGGTTGTCGAATGGGTCCTTGTTATATGCGCGCATGCGCACCCGCTTGAACGAGAAACCGCTTGAACGAGAAACCGCTAAGAACACGAAGACATCATACCGTTCAATCGGACATATACTGTTAAGGTATGTGCGGCTTAAATTATTGTTAATGACATAGAGTATTGTACTGTACGATGAGGACAAGCGTGCACAGATCGCTCTGCAAGATTCTCTTCCCCACCGGTACCCAAAAGCATCCTCCTCCACTTCTTGCTCGAGCGAACTTTCATTGACCCGGTTTTTCAATAACTCCACTAAGACGGCTGTATAACATATGGTATATTGAATAAATATTCTGTTCATGATACATGTAATTATCTCAGCAGGGGATTCTTAAGTAATTCGAGTTATCAAAATTATCCGGACACTGCGTTACAACCGAATTTTGTATGGGAAAGCAACTTCAAAATCGCCTTTCTCCACGACCACAAGACGAGAAGACAAGAGATTTGATTTCTATGATACCTTATGCCTCTATTATGTTAGGCTTCAATATGAGCTCAATTGAAGTGGTTTGAACATTTGGTTATTCTAGCCAATTTGTGTGGTTGTGACGTGAGTGTCCGGATAATTTTGATAACCCACAATACTGTACTGGTCTGCTGGTATATGTACTTAGATAAACGGCCTGTAAAAACGAGAGCTACATAAGTACATGTAATTGTTTTGTAGACTATATATACTCTACTTACCGAGGGGGAAAAAGTGTGATCTCAAGGTAAGCCTTGAAAACCGAGTCGCATCGAGAAAAGTGAGATAGTTCTATAGCAATGCTCATATCAACCCAATTCATATAGGAAGAACTCTATTCTATTGAGATTCTGTGGTAGTCATCAACGCAGAGCGGCGGGCAGAACCGTTGCGGTTTCGATTACGCTTTTTTTCGGCGGGCCCGGGGCCGTTGCTATTAATAAAGACTAGGCGGGGCCGACGCTAACTGGTTTAGATTTATTATTTACAACGCTCATGAGTGATAGCCTGTGAAGATAAACATTGTGACGTTACAAAGAAAACTCCATGCCCATGGTTTAGAAAGAAATATTAAATTATTACAAAGGGAAGAGGAATGAATGGCCCAATATATAGAGACGTTAGGAAACATAATGATTAACTGGTAATGAAAACACATAACGATGAAGTAAAACAGGCTGATGCATGCCCACGTGGCCACACAAAGAAAATAACAAGTCGAAATAGAAGGTAGGGTACGTATTTAATCGCTCTCAGTCTGTCCCCTGCGCCGTCCACGTCTTGCCTCCTTCTCTTGCCGAATCCTCACCATTGCTTCTGATATATCGCCCTCCTCTTTAAAATGCACGTTAAGATGTTTCAGTTGGATGTTTGTTACGTTATCAGTCGTATATGAACACTCTGAGCATCTGAAATGGTTCACGTTCGGATGAGACACCCGCCAATGTTCATCCAAAGCCTCCTTAGTTGGGAAACTTCTGTACGTGTGCACCCATGGACATTCCGGGCAACTGCAGAAAAAGTGGGTTTTGTGGACTTTTCGAGCGTGTACTAGACGTGATTTCAGGCTTGTGAACCCTGAACGGTTTCGGCAGCCGCGAATATTGCAACGGTACTTGAGGCTGAGATGGGAGTCGTTGGAGATAGCAGGGACTGGTGGAGGGGGGGAGGAGCCGGGTGTAAAATGCTCAAGCCCAGGGGGCGAGTCCTGAATAGAGGTACGGGGCGAGTCCTGGATAGAGGTACGGGGCGAGTCCTGGATAGAGGTATAGGGCCAGTCCTGGATAGAGGTATGGGGCGAGTTCGTAAGCGGATGTGTACCGATCTCTTGAAATAGAGCCGATGATGAACGGGATGAGTAGCCAAAGGGCGGATAATCGATTGAAGAACCGGTGCTTGATTGTATCGGTGAATAGTGTAACAGAATGTCGATGTCATCCATTTCATGGAATATATTGGGGATGAATTCATCGATAGGCGCTTCGTTACTAAGGAAATCGGTCCATGAGTTCGGCAAACGTTCTGACATCTGCGTAATTATTATTTTAGTTAAGGTTGATTGATCATGTAGGTAGATATCTCTTACCTCTGCTATAGTTTTAGGGTTTTGTAGTCGACTCTGAGTACTAAAGGCCTGGCCGCTGGATCTAATGAAATACTGTCGATTTTTTAGAGTTGTAGGAAAATAAAGATTCAGAGACAATAAGGTTCTCAAGGATGATAACTTTATAAATGATAGGAGGTGGCTGTAGTTTATATTGAGAATAGAGGAAGAGGGTTCAAGGCGCTGATACCGTATTAATATACGACGAAGGGATTCCTTTTAAACCTCCCGGAGATTGGAGTGAGGCGAAATTCGAAATGTTGAGTTGGATATGGATTGGAGTGATAGAGTTGAGATTTCGAATTTCACGAAGAGAAATACACGCCCTATATATATGTATATCTTCAGTATGTCGAGCGAGGAGTAGGTGAATGAGTGAGGAGGCAAGATTTCGACCTGCAGCTGGCACTGGTACCGGCGGGCAATCATTTCCTTGAACGAAAGTTCCGTGCATGAGATGGAGTATATAGAAATATATGCAAAGCACTTTCGTCTGTCCAATATTATTAACACGAGAACCACCTTCTAGTAAAGCTACTTCCCCGCCTACCTGGTTCGGAGGGTTTCGAATGTTCTGAGCGGCGGTTTCGTTGAGTATCTTTATGAGCGAACCGTTGATCGATGCTTCATGCAAGCGACTTTTGTCCGACCAATAGCAAAGAGTACTCGTTGGAGCCTCTCATGCAGGAAACTCCTGTCTTTTCCCACCTCCGCCCCCTTCGATAAACCGATAGGGATGCAAAAAAACATTTGTCTAGCCAATGGATTAGAAGTGCGTCAGTGGGTTAGAATGGTACGTTACATGTATGTAAATACATACAGTACGTCTGGCACATACCGCTAGCCTCGTGCAAAAAGCTGCTCGTGCGAGACTACGGTACCGCCAAGTCTCGAGTTACAGGGTGTTGCCAAAAACTACACGTATTTACAGTCGTCCGCCGATATAACGAACGCGCATATTCCAAAGCCTTCCGTTCGATACAGCAGATTATTCGGTATAGCAGGCAAGTTTCTATGTGAAATTTAGATTCGGATCACCGAAACCCGTTCGTTATAGCAAATTTGTGGCTTTTTTGGCATTCGTTATATCGGCGAACGACTGTACAGTTTTGTTTCGGCTTCTTTTGGTGGTGGTCGGGGTTTTGCGGTGCCTAATTTACACTATTTACAAGATATATTATAACTTCAACACCAGCTCAACACAGCTGTCTACACCTACTCACCGCAGATCGCTACTCGTTAAGATTCTATCTTGCTGATTTTTACACACCTGGGAGAGCTCTGATTACATGTAGTCGAGAGCCGCCTCGAGCGGTACCTGCTACATCCATACCCCCATACACAGGAAACATCTAGCTTACTGTAAGAACACTGCGATACGTACGTACATGTAGCTAAATGCCTGCCTGATTTTTTCCACCCCGGGTTGACACTTTTTCGGCATCTACCTAACGTGACTTACATACATCTATGTATCTTGGATTGGGACGCCAAGAACATGCGAGATACTTTTGTCTGGCCAATAGCTGTTGGGTTCCTTTCCGCCAGCTGCTCGGGCCACTTTGACCTGGCCGACACAACCCTACTTACTTTAATGATTTGGATATTGGTTTGAACGAATTAACCTAGCTAGCTCGGCGTGACTAAGAGATATTTACAATATATGTATTCACATCGTATATAATTGCCGGTTATGTAACGATTTTGCGGTTTTAACAGAAAAGTGATTTTTCAAAACCAATTAATAGCCCGGCCGCATGAGTACCGCTGTAGTTCCGTGCCGGGCGTCTGTGATCGGTAGTTGATCATATAGCTGTACACCCTAGCCGAAATAAAACTGTAAACTTACTACCGTATGGTTGGACTTCTCATCATGCAGTGGGAGTTTGACAGATCGATACGTACTCCATGGTGTACGAATAGATTTTGCGTTCTTCGTTGAGTACATATCGTATGTAGATTATAGAGTAGAGTACTAGCTCATACCAATCAAGTCTCGTTTCCGTCGCTGGAGGTCTGCTTTTGCTTCCCCCGATACTACAAGTACGGCTTATAATTGGGTTGGTAAAACATCCTAAGTATGTACGTATATTCAGCGATACATGCATATATGGTATGCATATGCACTAGTATGTGTTTACTATGTATGTACATGTACTCGTATCTTCCTGACGTTTGTAAAAGGAACCACTATTGCATACCATACAAATACGCGCCAAGTCCACAATTTAGTATGGTATGCAATAGCGGTTCCTTTTACAAACGTCAGGAAAATACGAGTATCTACTCTACTGTTCTTCATGTGGTGGAAAAGCGGGAAGCTGTGCACTCCAGGTCTAGAATACTACAGCCACTCAGCAAAAGTGTTCGTGATTTAGTTTTAAGTGTGGCGCACCCATGACGTTGATGTTATTAATGTAGAGATTTAAAACAACGAAAAATATATAATATAGTTCGTGACTATATATAAAAGAAGATAGGTCATTGATCTTACTGTCGTTCACGTGCACGGGGTATTGGCGGACACTGGGTGTTGACGGACAAGCCAAAAAAGAGACAGCCAAGCCAAGTTTTGCCTGCAATCCGTCAACACCCATTACCCGCCAATACCCCGTGAACGACAGTATTCTTCATTGATTCCGGGCTCCATTGGTGAGTGGGCAAGATTTTCTCTTGAGGGGTTTTTAACGGTCCGCTAGAGTTACATATATAGAGAAATGTCTCACTCCGAAGTCGGAATCACGAACACTTTTGCAGAGTGGCTGTTCATAGCAGAGATCATGATCAGCCTCGTACTCTACCTAGAGTAGTGGAGTACCATTCACCTCGCTAAGTGAGGAATTACTACCTAGTGCTGTTTTAGGTATGTAGTCTTGTACCTACAATTATTCGTTCTCTACTCGTTCGGGTTTTCCCAGTAGCAGGTATCTTGTAATTCGATTGGCGTAGCCTCAACCCCCCTGATCGAAGCAATGATAACATTTGATTTATGCATGGAACTTCCGTCCGGGTTACACACGTCTTCTGAGTGAGACACCCACACCGATTTTATGCACGAAACTTCCGTCCAGCCAATGATTAAATATCCTTGGCAACATTATATTAAATCGACGTACCTACATATTCAGCCTCGTTGGGTGTTCAAGTGTCAAACCAAAGCTATTTAACAGAGCATTTCGCGTACTATATTTCGTTCGGCATCACAACAGAAATATTCAAAGAAACCACTCACATCTTCAGTTTTCAAATCCCCACTATAGCATATACTATCCTACTACATACACGCTATCAAGTTAGAACGAATCAGTCCAATGTACCAACACTCTATGCCTGCGGCTAACCCCGGCCCCCCGAAGCTCCGCGTCTATACAAAGGAGGAGTGGGAGGAAAAGCGTTCGGTCTTTGTGGAATTATACTCGCAAGATTATACCCTAGCGACAGTAAGGGAATTGATGGCAACAGACCACAGCTTTTATGCGACGTAAGTGGGATATCTACTGACCTTGTTTTTAAAAAGACGAAGACATGTGTAATTGCAAAGATGAAAGTCAATTATCTGACATATGGGCGATATTATAGTGAAGCGCAATACAAAAAAAAGATCAAGGCTTGGGGTTTAGAAAGAAATATCGACAAAGCTACTGCTTTAGGAATTCTTCGGAAAGAAAGCAAACGAAAATACGTGGAGGATAAGGAAACAATATTCAAATACAAAGATAATGAGATCAACGGAGATCGAATTACGCTCTTGCGTAAAAGACACAAAGGAATACTAGATCATGAGGGTCTAGGTTCAGATCCGCGTAAATGGGAAATGGAACAAGTTGGTAAGATTCTCTAGGATATGGGATGTTGTGTATAAGTATCTAACATATATACGCTCACAGATACACCCCCTTACGTTGCCTACCTTACACCTCCTCCAGTTGATGAGTCTCCAGAAGTCGCTTATGACATGCCTAGTCATTCATCCCATGATCCGCAAATTCTGAAAGATGAAGGGATTTATGGTGGAGCACTTTACACGGACGATATTCCATTCATTACCGATGAGATCCACAAAACAGGGTTGGGATATGAAATCCTTGATCAACAGGCAGCAAATATAAGTGGAGCTTTGGATTGCGGAAAGACATTTGACCATAAGGCGCAACACGACTATTTGGTTAAAGAAACCTCTTCTGACCGGCGGGAACAAAGTCAGGGACCCTTAAACACATCGTCTTCTACACCGCTGATCTCGGGTGTAGAAGAGCAATCAGTCGAAATTCATAGCAGCTCTGGTGTCGAGGGAGGAAATGATAATATCGAGTTTGATGTCGACTTGGAAGATGACGAGTGAGTTTCACATCCATTTATCTATCTTAATTATTAGTTAAGAGCTCGGTCTCTAAATTGTAATTCTCTTTGACTTTAGACCATCGCTCTCTCGGCCCTCGCTCTTAGGAAACGGATCGGGAAATGATAACGAACACATTAGCCTGCACGAAGCAGCATACCAGGGCCGCGAAGAGATAGTTATTTTGCTTCTCAAGCAAGGTCACGACATTTCGGAAGAGGATGATGAAAAATGTACGGCGTTGCATTGGGCAGCGTCTGATGGCCATGAAAAGGTAGTCCAGTTACTGCTCCAGAGCGGTATCGATGCCTCAGAAAAAGACTCTGATGGAAGGACGGCGCTACATATGGCAGCGTCTGATGGCCATGAAAAGGTAGTCCAGTTACTGCTCCAGAGCGGTATCGATGCCTCAGCAAAGAGCCATCTGGGGTGGACGGCGCTACATGAGGCGGCGTTTGGTGGCCATGAAAAGGTAGTCCAGTTACTGCTCCAGAGCGGTATCGATGCCTCAGCAAAGGGCCATCTGGGGTGGACGGCGCTACATGAGGCGGCGTCTTGTGGCCATGAAAAGGTTGTCTAGTTACTCCTCCAGAGCGATATCGATATTTCAGCAAAGGACAACTCTGGACGTACGGCACTGCACCTTACAAAAGTTTACAATTTTCAAGAGATAGCCCGAATTATATTATCCAAGGTCAGGGATGGTAACAGTATGATGCCGGTAGGAGTTTAAACCTCACGACACAACATGTACATGCGAATTATTACCGGCTCACACATCCGAACCGACCATAGAGTTAAAGCGGGAGCCAGATATAGGTTATAGTCATTTCGTTTCATAGTTTGTTCAGAACGGCTTATATACACATTCATATTCCCAAGGTCGGGCATGTTTTCTTTTCGGGGTGGTGAGGAGGTTATCAATTACATGTTCGTATCCAAATACGTATTTTCCTATGTTTTGTACGCGTTTTTTTTTTTTTTTTTATGTATCAACTACACCAAGAATTCATTTCCTTTGTTTTAAGTTTTTGAGACCTGATATTCACACCTTGACACTACTCTAAATCCCACATGCATCTCAAACCTTGGCGACCGTTATATATAGATCTACATGTAGCCATCGAGTAGAGTACTGCCATCTCTAGACCCGACTACCACTGCATCCCACACAAAATGACGGGATTAGCGTGTTTTATATCCCATGCAATAGCAGCCGCATTTTATGAGACCACATTTCCCAGCCTTAAACCGCCAATCCACCCCGCATAAGGGGGATGAGCATCAACTAAGCTACTCTAGTGTATGTACCGCCCACATCCATCCAAAGAGAGAGACATATGCCGATGAGCCCCAAGTACATACATGTACCCAACCGGACCAACCCCCACCTTTTACCCGCCATCCGATCATTACCCCCCCGCCACCCACTAGCGCCAAACACGCAGTCACAACCCATCACTCGGCCCGAGTCCCCGGAGTAATACCTTGGCATAGCCTATATATATACACTCAACCTCCATCTCCATATATAAGACCCCATCTGTTCTGTTCTTTTCTGTAGTATAGTAGCTACTCGTGGTTATCATGTGCGAGTCTTATATTATATACACTACACTACGCTGTTTTTGCCCTCGCTATCGATTACAAGACTCACCCGCGCGCAGCAAGGGAAGTAATACAGAAACTGGAGTGAAATGAATTGATACCCGCGTTCTAATTCTACACCCCCCGACCCCCCGACCCCCGGCCCCTCCCCCCCATCACCCACTACCACTTCTACCGTTTTTCCACCACCACCACCACCACTTCTACCGTTTCCCCAGCTGCAGCCATACAGAAACACACCGCACAGCCACGCAGTAGTAGCTACAGCTAGCCATCAGAAAATAAAAACGAAAGAACTCAAAAAGAAAAAAGAAAAAACAAGAAAATCCAATGGTATCTCATAGCACATACACGACGCGAAAGAACACCCACAACAAGCATACTCACCACAAAAAAAAAAAAAAAAAGAGAAAAACAGATAATTTTAGATATCGACCCCCCGTCCTTATTACATACCACTTCTTTCTCTACCGCCTTTCTCTACCGCCTCTCTCTACCACCGCCACCACTACCGCTACCACTACCACTCACGTACAGAAGAGAACAGAATAGAACAGAACTAGGCTATAGATAAAGATAAGCTAAAAATAAGATAACGATAAAGACCAAGACCAAGATTGAGTAACGCATCATCGTCATTCGTGTATTTCTAAACAAAAGACATTGAAAAAAGAAACCAGAAAAACGACCTATCCTTTTCTCCCCCCTCCCCCCTCCCCCCCCCATTACCCAGCCAGCCATCTATCCGCAAGACACAGAAGCCCCAGCAGAAGAAACCCTAGAGACCCCCCCCTAATTACGGTGGATAGTAAACCTCATCTGCCTCACCCACCCATCCGCATCCGGGCCCTCCGCCTGCTGCCCCTGCCCAGCGCCCTGCTGCCCACCACTACCACTCCCACCCTCCCCACCCCCGCCACCAACACGCTCCCCATCAGGACGCGCCATCCTAATAATCTGCACTCTCAACGACGCCTCCGCCGCCGCGTCCGCAACCCCCTCCATCTCATCCCCCTCCATCCCCGCCCCCAGCCTCCTCGCCCTCACCAAATGGCGATTCGCCACCTGCGGCGGCGGCAAAAACACATACCCCTGCGGTGCCGGCCTCGCAATCGGCGTAACCTGCCTCCCCCGGCTATCAGACAGATAGTCCACGTCGCTCGCAACAGCCGCCTCACGGTCTATCACCCATCCGTCTCTACCGTCAGCACACCCACTACCAAGCCGAAGAAGCAGAAGAAGAAGAAGAAGAAGAAGAGGAGGAGGCTAACGCACCATACAGCCCCACTGCTGGCCCCACGCCCAGCTCGCTCCTCACGCCGTCCAGGTGCGCCGCATCCATATGCGCCTTCCACAGCTCCTCGCTATCGAAATCCCTGCTACACTCGCCGCCGCCGCCGCGCTTGGCAGCAGCAGGGGCGGGGCGCGAGCACCCCGCCCAGCGGCACGCGTACCCGCCGTAGCTCGCGAGCTTGCAGTGGCCCATCACGTGCCGGTGCAGCGTCTCGAAGTTGTGCAGCTCCGCGGGGCAGTGCTCCCAGCGGCACTTGAAGACTTTGAAGCCCGAGGGCGGCGGGTCGTCGCGCGCCTTGGTGCGCCGCATGCGCGCGGGCTTTTTGGGCGCGGGGGAGTGGGAGGTGGATTTGCGCTTGAGGGTGTTGGTGGGGGGGCGCGACGGGCCGCCGCTGGTGGGCGCGCGCGGGGATTGGATGACGACGGAGAAGGTGCGGGAGGGGGAGGAGGCGGCGGCGGCCGCCGCCGCGTCGGGGGTCATCACGGTGCGGAGGGTGCTGGCTGTGCGGGCGGTTGAGCCTCCGTTGTTGTTGTTTCCTGCGGGAGTCTGAGTCTGAGTCTGAGTCTGAGTCCGCGGCGTCTCGGCCGGGGCGGAGGCGGGGGCAGCGGGAGCCGTATTGCTCGAGCCCGCACCACCACCGTTCCCACCTGCTGCAGTCGTAAACCCGCCATGTGCGCCAAAGCTAGCAACAGAAGCGCCAAGCACACTGCCACTCGCCCGTTTCTTCGGCCTCCCCCTTCCCACGGCCACGGGAGACACCTGCTGCACTACACCCTTCCCCTTGACCTGACTCCTCGCCGCCGCGGCCGGCATCGCCACCCTCGCCGCAACAGCACCTCCACCTCCACCTCCACCTTCACCTTCACCCTCATCATCCGCCATATCCCCCCCCTCCATCGCCATGTCGCCCCCAAAACTCACCATCTCCGGCCCCGTCCCTGGGCCCGGATCCAGCAGATCCCACCTAATCGTCGAAAGATCAACCTCATTCCCCGCGACCGACCGCAGCGCGTCCAGATGCGCGTTCAGCGCACGGAACTCGGGGTGCCGCCCCATGACGATCAGGATGTCGCGCGCGATGGTCGTCGAGTCGTACGTGAGCTTGACCAGCGCCTTCTCGCGCTTCAGCGGCTGGATCAGGGGTTCGCGCTGGGCCGGTGCCGGTGCCGGGGCTGGGGCTGGGGTTGAGTGTGGGAGCGGGATGGGGATCGGGATGAGAACGGGGCGCTTATCTGGGCTCGCCTCGTGCGTGTGCTGCCCCCACTCCAGGTCCGCCTCGCGCAGCTCTCCAAACGCAGGCATGTGGTTGTGGTTGTTTTTGTGTGTGGGGGGCTCCGGGGTAGTGCCCGTCAGGTCGATAGTAGCGCTAGCCGGGATCGGCACCGGGGTGTGGACTGGGACGGGAGCGGCTGGCTTTTTAACCTTTAGCTTTATGATGAGCCGCCCTGGCCCTGGCGCTGGTGGGGCAGGGGCAGGGGCAGGGGCAGGGTCGAGCATCTCGACGTCTTGCTCCAGATCAACCACCATTCTTGGCGGCGTCGGCGGGCGGTAGATCTGCGACGGCGCCACAAACTGGCGTCCGGTTGGGGTGGGCGCTGCTGCTGCTGCTGCGCGGGCCTTGACGCTCTGCGGGGTGGCGCGGCGGGGCACGTATTGTTTTGCGAGGTACTCGCTGGACGACATGCCTTCCGGGGAGGGCGAGGAGTGGGAGTGGGAGTGGGAGTGGGAGGTGATGTTGCCGGAGAGGGCGGGCATGAATTGGTTGTTCTTGCTTGTGCTGTTTGTGTGATGGGATGTAGTGTTGTTGGTGGTGTGGGAGAGGGATGATGATGGCTGCTGCCACGCTGGAGGAGGAGGAGCAGTGGAAGTAGAAGTGAAGCCCACAGCGACAGCGCTCGTAGGCGTAGGAAGAGAGCTGACAGTCGCAGCTTCCTCGTCTGCAGACGGCGTCTTTGGTGCCTCTGCCTGCATCGCGCCCTGTGTCTGCGTCTGTGTCTGCGTTTGCGGTTGTTTGGTGGACTTCCTCGGCCTGCCCCTGCCCCTGCCGCTGCCCCTCTTCGTTTTTATAGCCGCCTCTCCAGCCGCCCCCGCCACCGCCGTCCGCTCAGGTGTGACACTAGCCACGTCCACGCCCGCGCCCGCAACAGCAACAGCAACAGCGGCAGCGGCAGCGGCAGCAGGTGAAGGCGACGACCTGCGCGCCTCGTTGAGCTCCCTAAGAATCTGTTCCTGGTCGTCCTCCACCTCGCCCAGCACCCGGCTCTCCCCCACACCCACACCGATCTCAGCCCCCTCCCCCGCTGCTTCTGCTTCTGCTTCTGCTTCTGCGCCGCCGTCGCCGTCAACCTCAACTAATAGGTACCTGGAGAAGTTGCCGCGGTGGAACCTGTACCCCATCACCTCCAGCCTGTCGCACAGCGCTATGAAGCTCGAGACACTGAGGACGTGCTCGAGGAGGGCGGCTTCCGGCGGGCTGTGGCCGGCGTGCTTGTGCAGGTACTTACTGATTGCCCGCGCGGTCTTTATGTCTACGGGGCCGGACTTCCTCAGTGGGGCTTGGGCTGGCGGCGCTGCTACCACTGGCGCTGGCTGGGCGGGTACCACCACTGCTGCTGCTGCTGCTGCTGCTGGGGGGGTTGGGGCTGGTGCAGGCGGCGGGGCTGGAACTGCTGGGACACTGGCATTGGCACTTTGGGCTGGCTGCTGCTGTTGCTGCGGCTGCTGGAATGTGTCTACATTACTGTTATTCTGTCTCCTCTCCTCGCCGCTACCGCTACCACTACCACTACTACTACTCGCACTTCCGTCTCTGGCCATGATGGCGCCGTTCGCGCTGCCGTTAGTGATTGCGCCGGCGTTGTTTCCGCCGCCGCTCTTGCGCACGTTCTCCCACACCTGCTGGAACGTGATGGGGTCCGCCGACTGGTAGTACCGCATGCGCTCCACCATGATCTTCATCTGCGCTTCCATCAGCTCCTTGTTGAGCGCCGGTGGCGCTGCTGGGCGCGCTTCTGGCGCCGGGGCTTGGTAGTTCTGGCTTTCTGGGTAGGCCTGGTTTGCCTGCTGCGGGGGTGCTTGGGAGTACTGCTCGGCCTGCTGCTGGGCTTGTAGGTCGGCCTGGCGCTGCTGGGCCTCCATTCGTGCCTGCATCTGATGCGCCTCCTGCTCCGCCTGCTGCTCAAGTTGCCGCTGGCGGGCCTGTAGCGCGCGCACATTCTCCTGCTCCTGCAGCTGCAGCTGTGCCTCCTGTTCCGCCTTCAGCTGCTGGGCCTGTAGCTCCTCCTGGTGGCGAGCTTGCTGCTCCTGCTGGGCGCGCTCCTGCACCTCCTGTTGCGCCCGCTGCTGCGCTTCCTGTGCCCGCTGCTGCGCTTCCTGATACGCCCGCTGCTCCGCTTGCTGCCGCTCATACTGCGCCCTCTGTTCCGCCTGCTTCCTTGCCTGCAGGTCCGCCTGCATCTCCGCCTCGATCCGCTTCGCCTGGGCCTCAATCAGCTGGCGCTGCTCCTGCTCCCGCTGCGGATCAATCGTCTTGACACCGCCGCCGCCGCGTGCCGGCGACTCGGAGGGCATGTAGTTGTGGCTCTGGTGCACTGCCTGCCGGTAGAGCATGGGCATTGTCGGCTCCCAGGTCTTGCCGCGGAGGCCCGTGTCTTGCGGCTTCTTAGCGCGGGGTTTTGGCTTGGCCTTTTGCTGGGCGGGGGGTTCGGAGGGGGGTGGGGGGGCTTGGTATTGGTGTTGGTGTTGCTGGATCTGGGGTTGGACCTGGGGTTGGGCGGGGGCCTGGTGCGGGGACTGTGTTTGTATCTGCGGGGAGTGCAGCTGCGGGGATTGCAGCTGCGGGGATTGCAGCTGCGACGGCGTGACGTGCGTGTGTTGGATCTGGGGCGAGAGCACGGGCGTCGGCTGGTGGTACGGCGCCGCTGCGACTGACGATGGTGTGGGTGTGCGCTGGATCGCCGGTTGCTCCTGCTGTTGCTGCTGCTGCGACTGGGAAAAAGCATTGCTGTACTGCGTCATTGCGGCAGGCGCGGGCTGTTGCTGCTGCTGCTGGTATTGCTGTGACTTCGCGGCCTGGAATTGGGACTGCTGCTGGTTCACGGGTTGGAATTGGGGGGCGCGGGGCTGCTGCTGTTTCTGCTTCGCGGGCTGTTGCGCGGGGGCGGCAGGCTGGGCCTGGGGCTGTCGTGGACGGTGCTGCTGCTGCTGCTGCTGCCGTTGGGGTTGCGGGTCCACGGGTGTGTATGTGCCCTCATAGGACGATGGGACGGCGGTGGCGGCGGCAGCGGCAGCGTTCTGGTACACGGGCGTGGGCGTGTACAGGGACGTTGCCTGCTGCGTGCGGATCGAGTCTGCAGTCTGGTACAACGGCGTGTAGTTCTGCGACGCGGTTGTTGCAGGGGTGTGGGTGTGCGTGTGCGTGTGCGTGTGCGTGTGGGCAGAGGGGGCAGCAGCAGCAGCGGCAGTGTAGTCGATATACTCTGGCGCCGCCACTCGCTGCTGCGGTGCCGTGCGCAGCTGCTGCTGCTGCTGCATCTCGGCGATGGTTGTGGGCGGCTGTGGCTGCGTGTAGTGGGGCCCGTAGTTGCTGTAGCCGCCAAAACTAGCGCCCGCAGTCACGGTCCGCGAGCTCCCCTGGGTTGCGGTAGCGGTGGTGGCCGATGGTTGCGGTTGATAGTGCGCGCCGGTGTATTGGTCGTAGCCTCCCCCACCACCTCCTCCTGCTACTGCCATTCCCACACCCACGCCTCCTCCGCCACTGCTGCCTCCGCCATTGAAAGTGCCCACTGCGCGGCCCGGTACCGGGCTAGCGGTGGATGTCCTCGAGTTAATGGACGAAGGTGCTACATCCGCTGTACGAGAACTCGGGCGTGACACTGCACCCCCCAACGACGCCATACCCTGGACGTGCTGGAGCCCCGGCGAGTACTGTCCATGGTGCTGCTGCGGAGCCCCGTAATCGGGCCATCTCTCTGCCGCATATTCCGCCCTTGCCGAAGCTGCACCTCCTCCTCCTCCTCCTCCTCCACCACTGCCGACGTCTCCACCACCACCACCACCACCACCTCCTCTACTTACGCCGTAGTTGCCCTGCTGCGAGAAGCTCTGCTGGATGTGGGTGTGGTTCTGGATCGAGGGGTGCTGCTGGGGCTGCTGCTGATGCTGCTGATGCTGCTGTTGCTGCTGTTGCGGGCGCGGCGGGTACGTGTAGTTGGGATTGTTGGAAGACATTCGAAGGGATGGATGGACGGACGGACGCGGGGGACAGACAACGAGTCTGTCGAAACCGCCTGCAGATGAAGAAACGGACGCGTCAGTACGCGTGCGACATGATAGAACAATGGCCTTGAAGGAACAAACCCGGTGGGAGTTTGGGGGGGGGGAGCTTTCAACGATGATGATGAAGATGATTGAGTGATGGGATGTGTGAGTGAGTGGTTGTGTATGGGAAAACAAACACGATTCTCACGGGAAGAGGTCAGATTAAGGTATTATGATTATGCAGTACAGACAGAGACAGACAGTGTGCTCTCTCTCACGCTCGTTTGTCTGGGAAGAGCCTCAGGGACAGTGCACACACACACACACACACACAACCAAGCTGGCTGGGGTGTGAGCATCATAGCCATCAACGGGAGCCCTGGCCCTTAGCGTGTCTCTGCGCTATCAGATCCGCTTTGAGGATATTGGCGGTTATCTGATGGTTGGTTACCCTGTCTGGCTTGGGCTAGGGTTTAACGAATAGTTGCAGTTTCATAACTGTTGTCACATCGGCACTGCAACTGTGGGTGTTCCTACCTGGACAAATGGAACAAGTGAAAGCGCGAATTTTGAATCCGCTGTAATATGATGCTCGCTTCTTCAAAAGTTTTTGGGGTCCGATGCACGCTGATCCTTCTCGCTTCTAGTTGTAAGGATAATAGGCGTGGGTCGTATACGTAGCAAGCTTAGGTACTGTAATTATAAGGCAGTGCGTGTTTCAATAATGGCTACAGCAAACCCAAACTCTTTTAGATGAGAGAAGAGATGGTGAGGTTAGTAGGACTACTAGACTTTCTAGCTTTATACGACATAATTGAGAATAGGTTGTCACGTATCCTGTGCGACTGCCGAGTACAGCAATCTCTCATGTATTACTTATAAGGATACGTAGATGCCCTATAAGGCTAGGATTGTCCGATCCCTTAAAAGCTTCCCATTGACCTTCTATAGCGTCGATAATTACATGTATCTATAAGGATAAAAACTTCGATTCGGGTCGTATCCCTATGCGAGAGATTGGTACAGCGCCGAAGCCGACCAATAGTTATTTTGTGAGAGAATCGTTTATACGGCTTTCATTGCTTGGGTGCCATACCGCAGTAATTCGTCTCAGCGGACTGTCACACAAGGCGTCGAAGTTGTCTTTTACAGCGAGAATGAGGGAAGATTAGCTAGGGGGCGTTTTCAAGACAAATGACCAGATAAGAGAATTCCAACGTACTGTGTGACCGTCCATTGAGGCGAATTAATGCGGTATTTGTCTGAGTATACGAATAAAAATTAGCTCTTCGATTCTTCACTATGAGATTCCCGTATTCTCGTCTGTCTTAGACCATGAACTTTGTGTTACCCCAGCTCCTATCCAATGTTGTGGTTGATGTTGGTGCAGCAAAGTTACCCTGTTAGGGCCCAGCCCCATGACTGCCCCTTCCCACCCTAGGAAATCCCACACAACTTTACGCACTACCCAGGCCTAGCGAAAATCACCTCCGCCCCTTCCCCCAGCCGAAAATTGACGACGACAACATTTCCACGACAATCCAACCCCACCACCAAACGACCAAAAATCGACAGAAATGGCAAAGCAAAACTCCGGTTCGTATTTTCCTCCACCTCCCCGGGAAATGAAAAACAAGGAATGGATTTTTTGAGCGGAGGAAGTTGGAGGGAGAGAGAGAAAGAGAAGGGAATCGAGGGATTGAAGATTTTGGGGGGAGATGGAGCAAAGAAAAAAAAAAAAAAAGATATGGAATTGTTGAAAAAGTGAACCTCTGACTGACAAAAACATTGGACGACAAATAGCCCTCGCGTCCTCTCGCAGAAAGTCGAGAAAGGCACACTTCAGCGCCCCTTCATCGGTGCGCCGTGTCATCATGTCGGCCCCTCTCTCCAAGGAGCTCCGCGCCCAGCACAACGTACCTACCCTCCCTCCCCCCCCCCGAATAGCTCCCTCTCACACCTGCAGCTTGAGAAGAAAGATCTAACCTTCCGTACAGGTCCGCTCCATCCCCATCCGCAAGGACGATGAGGTTATGATCACCCGTGGATTCCACAAGGGCAGCGAGGGAAAGGTCGTCTCCGTCTACCGTCTCAAGTACGTCATCCACATCGAGCGTCTCAACCGCGAGAAGGTAAACGGCCAGTCCGTACCCATCGGCATCCACCCCTCCAAGGTGAAGATCACCAAGCTCAAGATCGACAAGGACCGTGACGCCATTCTGGAGAGGAAGGGAGGAAAGGCCAAGGAGGATGACAAGGGCAAGAACAAGGAATAAATTCACTTTTTTTTCCCTTGAAAAACACAATCGAGCACACAACCATTAAAAAAAGAAACAAAAATTTAAAGGGTTACAACTGGTTTGGTTTTCTTCTTTCCGGTCGCATATGAAAGCAAAAGTAAATTTAGTTCGGGGCGGAGGCCAGCGGTGGGGGATTTCTTTTCTGTCTAGGGGTTTTTTTTTCCTTTTATTTTTTACCCTGAGCTCCGTGTTTTGAGCGCGGGCATGGAGTGGGGGGTTTGGGTGCATAGACCGCGGGGGTACGGTGCATTTCTTGTCATTTGGCTGTGTATCAACAATTGTTCTGGAGCAACAAATGCATCAAGCTCAATCCCATCTCTCCGACTTCATCCCCTTATACTAATGATATGAATACCATTGGAGCTCAACAGATAAATCTCCGAAATATTCCAAAGCCCACCCACCCCCTCTATCCCATATCATACCCCGCCTATTATCTCCTCACCAACCGCAGCCCTTCAGGGTTATAGTCACGGTTGGCGAGGTAAACGAATGGCGTATAGTAAAATCCCCTGGCCGATTGAATCCGGCTTTCAGGACTTGCACGCAGACCGTACCCGAAGAGGCTGCTTAATTGTAGTTAGTGCTGGGATGCGGTTTGAGTGCGAGGTACATGCATGCTTAATATCGGTGATATGCACCTTTAATCAATAAATGGACCGTCTGTTTAATTTAATACTTCCCAATAATCATTACTCGCTTACTTGTGCCTCATGACGTCGTTTCAACATTAAGACCTTGTGCATGAATTCTCACTCGGTGGCTTTCTACTTTTACTAGCCACTGCATGCAGTTAACAATAATAATAATAATCTATCATACTCATGCAGTTCCTCCAAATCGAAAATTAAGAGATTAAAGTAACCAGGGAGTTATACAATAGGGCGCTACTCATATGTCCGTGTTCCCTCTTTGGAACTTTACTCTGCGCTGAGTGGCAGGCGCTGGCAGCTCTCCCTCAGGTTCAAATCTTTTATCTGTAATACCTTTTGGAATCGGGAACTTGATAAAGCTGTGATATCGACAAGTTATGATAAAGCTATGATAAAAAGAGGAAATCACAGATCTAGACGTCATAAAACCAAATGTAGAAGGTACGCCTAAGAGTCTAAGTACTTCCCATAAAGGTTGGGATTTAAATTGGTGGCCGGCTTAGCTAGATCTTTTTTTCCGGATTCACAAAACACATCTATTCTGATCCAAGCTCATTAAAACTGCATACACGAATGATTTATCAGTCAATCAATCAAGCTCATTAAAACTTCCATGAGGTTGAATACTTCTCCGCCCGCTGTGTAAACCGCTCAACTGATCTTTTGACGTCATAGCTATATATAAAATTCCTGATGGAAGATTACCGAATATGAATAAGTAGCACATCTAAAATCGTTCTCACGACGCTCATAATGTTCAATATCATGACTATATGTATAGTCTTTGTTCAAAAGTCAAAAATTAAATGTGGCATTTAATTTCACACAATGCAATAACCCTGATCGATAAACTCTCAGTATTGCATGGGCAGATATATATGCTTGTAACTACATCAAATTAGATATTTAATGCCCAGGAAACAGTTATGAAAATAGTTAGATAACTTAGTACGGGTGTGATTTGTGATTTTGGTTGAAATTTACCAAGACCTCATACAAATTCGAGGTCTTGGCAGGGATTTCATGACTGCTCCCACAAAAACCTCCACAGCTCATACAAATTTGATGTTTCCACAATCTGAGCTTATGGAATATATAGCTTTTTCTATTCCCAAAATATATCTTATATAATTATGCAAGATTTCATGTCCCCATCTTCAAAAGGTGCGATGGGGCAAGAAGTGGAAAAGGACCGTTTTTGGTTGACAGCCGACGACTTTTGAACTGGAGTTGTACATATTTAAATAGAATAGTGTCATCACGAAAGGTTTCTATTGGCTGGTTACATGTAGTTAACCCCCATCTTTATAGTCCAGTGGGCTACAGCTGTCGATAGAGGGGGGATTGATTCCACCAGGATCCGGGATCGAGTGCATTAAGGGAGCTGACGACAGGCATGTTTTTCCAAATGATCAAACCACGAGTTCTGTCATGATATGATATATAATAGCCCCTCTGACCATTAATGTTATAAACCTTCATACTTTTCATCAATACATGTAGTTCCTCTCGAACTCTTCCGAAACTAATACTTCACGCGAGCAAGAAGGGGCCCAGCATATATACCGCGCAGCGGCAGGCAGCCCCGACTACGCGCGTGCAAGGAATTGATATTTATTTCGAACCACTAAACAGAGCTGGGAGTTTTCTGGATCTTTATACTTTCCTTTAGATATCGACCGCTCCTCGAACTGATGTCTAATTTTATATGCGGCCGGAGGCCGCTCCTCACTACATGTAGTATATATACTCTATAGAGGTCAGTATAAAGTCATTGTATTATAGCAGTCGGACCTGGGGGTTAAGTGATATATCCGGTCCACACATATAAAACTACGATTTACCTTATACTCGTATCTCTAGCTCCTGAGATATTAATTCCCATCGGTGCTTATACGTGTTATGGATACTAGCGAAGTTTCGATCCTTCTTTTGGAAGAATCTGGACAGCCGATATATAATCCCACATATTAGATTGTATCATTACATGTAGTAGGTCAAATTTCTACTCACAGCCGGTTTAGGGCTCGATGGATCCAGTGTAGAACTCCAACTCACAGGTGGGATGTCGGAGTGTCGAGAACACCGACTTTGGCGGGACCGTAAGGTTGATTTGAGTAGGTTAAAGAGCAAGTGGAAATTTGACTTCGGTGTGTTGGAGTCATGAAAGTTGACTTTAGTAGGGAGCTCATGATGGGCGAAATTGATTTCCAAAGCATTTTTCGCTCAAAACTAATTCCAGTCGTACTCCGTCTATAAGGGTATGCATGAAACGCCTAAATGCGTATATTTACGTACACCATATTGGAAATTAACACCATCACATAGTACCCCCCCTCCTAGCTCCCATTCACTGCCTCACAAAACGGTGAGGCCGGGTGCGTGATCGAAAGCATAGAGCCCGTGTAATTACCCGCGATAATTATAACCGAGGATTACATGATTAATATAACAAAGAATTGTGTGAAAGCGATCAGCTGGCGAGTTTTAATCTGTCCATATATAAACTCAGAACAACCAAACCAGCTCAGTCGGCGACCACCGACACGAGCCTTGAAGAACATCGTATATTTGATAAGAAAGATTTAAAGTTTATACGAACTTCAGAGATGAACAATCTCTAGCACTCGCTCGTAATAGCATTTTGGGTCCTTCTAATAACGAGTGATTGTTCATGACCGAAACATCATTATTCCTGAGCCCCGAGGACCACTCCTTGATATTATAGTTCTATCTAGAGGTTTATGAAGGCTCAAAGATAAGCCTACATATGAAGCGTCTGGGACCTCATTTTATGGACCGATAAGATCGGTGGTAACGCACCGGGAAGAGCTTACGGAAGAAGTTTTGTGTGGTAATCACTTCTCGATAAATAGATATGATGTACAGTATCTATGCAGCCTTTATAGTCGCTCAGTGATGAAAGTTGATGGTAACTTTTCTTGTTCGGTTGCTGCGGATGGAATATGTGTTGTTTAGTTTGCCGTTAACGCTCTTTGTCTTTGGGGTTAAGGCCCCCGAAGAGAAAATAAATGATCTAGACAGTTGCTTGTTGTATCGATGGGTGGGTAAAACGTCGTAGGGGTCTTAGAATTTGAGGTAGAAGGGTCATCGTGTAGGCCGGATGGACCTGATTATTCGTCGTGATCTCCCATCCAGATTTTCAGCATATCTCTCCTACGCAGTAAACAAACTATCTTTTCATGATTGTTATACTCTGCAAGATCTAGTGCTGTATTTCCGTCTAAATCCTGTTGCGAAAGGTCGATATCCTTCCTGAGTATCAGATGGACTATCTCTTCGTGGCCATAACATGCCGCCAAATGCAGTGCAGTCTCCCCGTAAGAGTTCGGTGAAAGATCAATGCCTTTATCTAGTAGTAGGCGTGCTACTTTCTTATGATTGCGTACAGCTGCCCAATGTAGCGCTGTTTCCCCATCCAAGCCCCGCGACGAAACATCAGTGTTGAATTTAAGTAAAAAACGGACCATGTCTTCAGAGTCGCAATACGCAGCCTTATTCAGATGTGTTTCTCCACATGACCAGTCCTTCCTTGAAAGAGGTGTGTTCTTTTGTAGTATAATCCTGGCCATTCCTTTATGGCCCTCAGATGCACCATGTAACTCTATATCTGTAGATGATAGGTCGATATCCTTTTTTTTGGTCAATGATTTGACTGCTTCGTCAATGATAGGAGGCATAGGTAAAATAGGGCCGGAGGGCTTTTTCTTCTCCTCTTGTGTGTAATGGTTATTGTATTCGAATTCGTTGGTGTCAATGCGATGTTCTTCTTGGATGGCATTATCATTGAAAGGCCCTAACGGTGAACTTGACGCAGCTGATTCAGAGACTGATACACTTTGCGCGGGGCCGATTTCAAAGTTCCCTCTATATAAATTGGGGCGAGGAAGATTGACGCTGCTTATGACCGCGTTGTTGTGTTTGAATTCCCAAGTCGCCTCTATTGAAGGTTTTGTAGGCCGTTTTATATGGGCGGGAATAACCAGGAAGTCTAGATCCCAGGTGATAATTAGAATACGAAATCTTAATGTTGACTTTATTACTTATAAAACATTGTGTATTTACCTGTCTGAATATGTTCGCAATCACTCAAATCTGTATTCGGATCATTACGGCCGATTCCTTTGTGTCTTTTGCGCAAGTGTCCGGTACGTTCATCCACCTCTATTGGCTTCGTTTTGGAAGATTTCCCTCGAGTCCTAGTTTTTGATTTGTACTCTCGATTTTTTCTGAGCCCCCAATCTCTGATTTTGTTCTTGTACTGTGCTTCACTACTTTATCGTTAGGAATCAATAATCTCTGTTCCATGCCAATAGATATATATATCGATGGGGGTCTAACTCACGTTGCATAAAAGTTGTGTTTTTTTGCCATGATATCCATCGTTTTAGCCAGGGTACTGCTTCCGCGCAGGTAGAGTTCTGTAAATGCATGCCGCTTTTCTTTCCATTCATCTCGTGTGTAGACACGGGGCCTTTTGGATAACTTGAAGTGTTCATGGTCCATGGCGTAGATATATATATGTGGGATGTATTAATTGCTATGTGGAATGGTCTATCCATTTGTTAGATAGCCGGATGCTCTTTACACGACTGGTTTTATATCAATATTGAATTATCGGGGAGTGTAGGGAGGGAATAGTGCATGCTTACCTCTACTCGTATTTCTCTGACGTTTGTGGACGCGATTGATATTGCATGCCATACAAAAATACGCCAAGCTCATGATTTTGGGTGTATGCAATAATGGCCAGTGTAAAAACGTCAGCGAAATACTAGTAATCCCTAGCCGAGCCATGCATGTTAACCCAATACGAATGGGGGCGAGCGCCTGAGACATTGTTCCAGAGCAAAGTGGCGTTGAGCCTCAATCATGTACTACTCTACTAGTAGTGGCCCACCTCGTGAGTATTTGGCCCATGGCCAGCTCCCGGAATTGGCCAGCTTTCCCAGTCGCCCATTCCCAGCTCCATTGCTAGCTCTCGCAGTTGACCATGGCCGGCTCCAGTACTTGGCCAGCTCCGGCCACCTCCCCCGGTAGTTGCCCATTTATTTGTGCTCTGAATTACAGTTTCCAGCGAAATTTGATGCTGTCCAGTGCATATCCAAAAATTACTCCCTCTTACTTTCCAGCTCCAATAATTCTCATCCCCGATACATATAATTGCCCACCTGCCATAGTTGACCACCCCCCAAATTTGATGTGCCTTGCTTACTAAACCCCCTGTCGCTGTCGACCAATCAGAGTGCAAGGCCCTTCGCAAAACCATAATCCAGTACATAGTAGACATGTAGTGCACGTGGAGACGAATTTATTTAGCTATATTTCGGCTCGTAAAAAAATTTATGTACATAAATAAAAGTCTCCAAAATTCCCCTCCGCGATAGTCTACGCTGAAGTGTAGTATATCCCTTAATTATAATCTGTCAGGCCGAATAAAATTAAAATTTGATACTCAAACCCTTTACGATTACGGTAATCGTGATAAAAAAACGAATTCATATATCCTACTTGTATATATAGGCGCTATCACGCATGCTAAAAACTATAACTCGCATAGCACTCATGTATGTTCGAATCGTGGCATTTTACCATGCAGTCAAAAAGCGGTAGCAATAATAGCTACTGCAGATCGAGCTCACCTGAAACCACAGGTCGGTACCCGCGCAGTCGCACACTTATATGCGAATTGATTTCATCACGATTGCCGTAAAGGGTTTGAGTGCCATTGGTTCCATCTCTCTGGGAGCATACCGGTAAATCAAACGTATCACCTTTGGTACTTAGGCGTAAAAAAGAAAATACATTTACCGGTATCGAATCGATCATATGTGGGTTGTGGATCAGGGATTTAAGTATGTACATACTCGGGGCAGGCATGAAGAACCTGAACCTGCCCCGAGTACATCATACATGTACCTTAGCTTAGTCTCGTACCCATCCCCTACTTAGCAGCAAGCTGCTCACCAGTATGGAAGTAGACGGGTTGGGGACGAACCTAACCTTAGCTATGCCTACGTTGAGCTAGCACTCTAGAAGCATCTAGTTGCGACATAAGTAAAGACTGTAGTACAGACATATATGTATGTTGATAACAACGGCTCGGGGGTGAGATTACATCTTAAGGATTGGCTATGGTTTTATTGAAGCTTAAATATGAGGTCATTCGAAAAAAGGGTGCTTCTTTGGAATTGATATCGATGTTAGTCCGATTTGTGATTCCCATTATAAAAGTACTCATACATGCCGCATGCACACGCATAATACTTTTACATAAGCGACCAGTGCACGAGGAAAGAGGTCGTCGGGGGTGTAAGAAGCTTGTCCGCGAGCCCAGTATAATACCTATCACCTACAGCCTTGTAGAATTATTCTGGAAACAGGGGGCTTCTGGCTAATGCTATCGCCCAAACCTTCGGCGAGAGCTAAGAACAGAGACCCTGCACACAATATTTAATTTTCACAACGATTCTGCCCCTACGGTCTAGAGTACTACATACATGTATATATGCAAACCCTAGATGATTCGGATACCATACACCGCCGGACACCCAAAGCGTGAGAATCAGCCCCGAAACTACTTATATAGCTTCACAGATATAAAGGGATACATGTAGTTATATAATTATGGGATTAGAACTCGACAATCGATAGAACGTATGAATCACGTACGCGTACACCAACTTTGGTCGCTGTGCAAAACCACTTCATAAACCAAGGCTGAACTATTGCGTTCGTAGGTAATACTACCCTTCAAAAGGTTTCCTGCATGATACACGACTTTTAACTTCATCAAATAGGGACAGCTGCAGCTGGAGGATCCCTTGTCTTGGTTTATCACCGCAAACAGGCAAGTACATACCAAATATCAGTTAATCATCCAGGTTTACGTGCAACGGCCCCAACAACGTCCACTCCACTAATTTAAATAAATGATTCACGGATGTAAAGATGCAGAAAACTTTCCATCTCATCATCCCGGCGAAACTCCGTGTGGGGAGTGAGTTGTGCACGGACTGGGTCGCTGCGCGCCGACCCGAGAAAATTGATGGCGTTTGGCTAGACACGTCCTAAATTCGCTACATGCATGGCGTTTCACCCCACCCACACCGTTTTGCTTACATGGAAGATCACGCCTACAGTTAACGTTGATGTAGGTGCACTCACTCACGGGGTGAAGGCGGATCCTGTCTAATGGCGGCCAGGGATTTGAGATCAGTTAACTTTGGCCAATTAGACCGCCGGCTAAATTACCTACTGTAAACACAACCACCAGACAGGATCCGCCGTCATTAGGTGAGCGACTGTACTCTATAAAAAGGAAACAAGGTTAAGTACACCTGTAGTGCATGGACTAAACACCATCTTTTAAACACCCTGCTACATACAACATGTAGCGGTTTAGTTAGAACACTTTTAACCAACATATATAAACATCTTTTAAACACCGATTAAACACCGATTAAACACCATTAAATACCACTTAAACCACCTTTAAACCTCCCTTAAATCCCTTCGTCTGTAATCAGCACCTGTGTGGCTTTCTGTGGCATTTTCCCGATTAAAGGAGTGTCTCGGGCCAGACCCAATTCGGTTATCCACAACGCCAAGTTTCTTAATATTCAGGCACGTGACCTGGCTCACCCAACGTCTGGTTCGAGACAACACCTTTAAATCCGAAAGGTGTTTAAAAATACGTACGTTTAAACAGGAGTATAAATAAACCCACTTTAAACACCATATTCGAGGTGTTATATACATGTACTTCTAGCTATCTACCGGCCAGGAAATCTAAAATTATAAAAGCTCTACATAAACCCTATACAAGCTGTGAACTCCGTACAAGCAAAAACTCTATGCAAAAACACTCCATGCAAAAAAAAAAAAAAAAAAAAAAAAAAAAAACCCATGGAAAAAACCATAAAAAACACCATGTAAACCCCGCATGTAAAATTAACCCAATTAAGATCCGCAAACAATGGTATCAAGCCCGTGATTACCCACGAAATCCACCATACAAAGGCTTCAGAGTGGGAGTCAGGTGAAAATCCTTTGCAAAGAAGCGCGAGTAGAAGTAGAGAGAGCAATACCTCATACAAACCCGGGGTCATGGTCCATTTTTGGAAGCTCAACGCAATAAAATCGACATAGCACATGCTAGAAGCATAATATTTGAATTTGAGCTCATAAAGAGAGTCTTAACATATAAAATATATTCCTCTCAGAGAGTACGTACCCACTACAATTGGTGGTTGGGTACAGGGCTGAAAAGTGGTGTTTTGGTATAAAATGGGTGCCTTCACATGATTTACGTCCAAGAACTACATGTATACATTGAAACAGTATCCCTCTATATGTGGTACCCCATTGACCCACTCTTTCAGCTCTATAGACCGCTTAAAACTAGTACCGTATTATCTTTACCTCTCACAATCAAGTGAACATGAGATAGATCGACCATAATCAAGGTTCAAGACCCAAGGGCATCGAGAAAACCACTCGTATCAACATTTTCGATAACTTATCGCAAAGCTGCTAGTTTTGAGGCTTCTCATCGAGATCCAGTATAATTAAAGGATTTTTAAATACCGGATGGTCTCTTTTAATACAAAAACCTACACAGCGCAGAAAACTGTCAGTTCCAGATTCATAATAACGAAACTTAATGTATGTAAGGCAGACACCGCCGAATGAATACTCATGAGTGCTACCCTGCCAGGATTTATAAATGTCACCATTTCCTATACCCATATAGAACCTAGAGAACAGTCTCGGCTCCATCTAAGAATAAGAAACCCACAAGTGCTGCATGTAGTCCCCCGTAATTCTCAGTCCCAAGATTCTATTCAATATCTAGAAGGCCTATTTCCGGGTTTAGACGTTAGAAACACCCGTATGGTCGAATTATTCCCTCTACTGAAAACCTCAAGCCCTTCTTCATGTTGAAAGCGGACTCGAGTCGGAGTTTATCCTAGGTCTATGGCCACTGGGCGGTGATAATCCTTTGTCCCAGGGCTGGAGGCGGGTGCCCCACATAAGACCCGGGCTAGAACCAAGGAAAGCAACACTTTGCCCCCACAAGAGGGAAAGGCACAAGAAACTGCGTCGATCCATCTGATCTTTGAGGCCTCTCGGCGGCGCCTAACGCTCGAGAAATAAAGTCAGAACATAATGACACCATTCCATGAGATTGTTCTGGTAGGCTTTTTAGTGTTTGCGGTGAGCGGGTGTGGTGGAGAAGCAAGAAGAATTACTGGGGGAGAAGAAGTGTAGGAAGAGGAAGTATAGGATGTCGTCATAGATTATCACTCGTACTCTCAGGCGTTGACCGTGAGCTGGATTACGCTCCGCCAATTACAATCAGAGTTTGGTGCGTCTGTTATCCTTACAGCCCTTCCAACGCCTTCATTTCTCAAGCCATCTCCGACCTCTATAGCTATTAGCAAGTCGCTCGAAAAACTGATGCCTTCAATTGCAGAAAGTAAAGGTCCGTTCTGATACTGTTGGCCGAGCATGAGGGATGTGTTGGAACTGAAGCTTTAGCGTTGTCGTTGTGTTTCTCTAGTCATGCCACCCGTCAACTACAGCTGCAGACATATCGAGGGTCACGGTGAGTTGTTGTGATAGAGGAGAATTAGAGTCTTTTAGCTGCAAGAGTTGGACAGAAAGTCGAGCACTTCGACAAAAAGTCCTGCACATCTTATTGGTTGAACGGCTGCAAGTCTCTCCCTAAAACAGCTAGACTTTCTGTCCAACCTGCTCGACTTTCTGTCCAACTCGCGCAGCTAAAAGACTCTATTGACAGTAGGAACTTACCAGTAACTAGTCCGATTTCGAATCGGACCAGTCGTGTTTCAAATCCGGCCGTTAGATCTAGTGAACCTCCAAACTCTTATGATAAGGTTCCGCTATACATACCGGCACGCAGCAGAGCATCGACCGTGGTAGGATACCGCGAGGATAGGGAGAGATGAGGGTGACGGTTGGAGAGCAGTGTGGTGCATAGAGCGATGGAGTGGGGTGGTGGGGCGACGACGGACCAGAGGGGGTGCGGGGAGGTTGACTATGAGTTGTGGGAATTGTGTTATATAGGCGGGAGAGGGAGTTGCGCAGCTGTGCAGGGAAAACAATCTAGAGCCTCGAAATTAAGCTTATCCCGTCAAGGAGACGTTGTCCGGGAGGCGTAACTCCCTTCCCCCGGCCGCACCAATACGTCTGATCAAGCGAACCCCAGAACCCACCACCCCCAGCTTCTTTCTATTTTATTCCGATATCCTCTCACTAAAAACATGATGTATGTACTTCCCCCTCTGCACAAGCCCCGCGATAGCCAGCCTTCTACTATATGCATCTCCCCCGACACCAATATCCGCAGACACCAGCCCAGCGACGTAGGGAGTAACCAAGTCAATACGCAAGTAGCGAGTGATTTCACGATAAACCCCCGCACTACACCACTCTGACACATTACCAAAACAGCGCCCAATCCCCCCCGCCTCCAACTCTCCAAACATTTTAATCACACGCTATCACTCATTCACAAAATCTCACTCGTATTGTTAGGGTTAGGGCTACGGCGATTGGCGGGCAACGCTTCCGGCGATCAACAAGTCACGAAAAAAGATAGTAGGAAGCTCAGTACATACTAACTGTAGACTCATAGCCCCGCTTGAGATCTGGTACAGTAAGTCGTGAGTCCACGGCGAATAGTATTGGTTCGCCGGCGGAGTTTTGTTGGCCCACGCACGGTTGGTGTGAGCTGACAGTGGTCAAAAGGATATAGCTATGAAGCCGTAAGACTGTGAACTAGTATCGCTGTAGACGTTACAATTCACCGCGGCTAGTGAGCGCATCGGTAGAGAGTGTGAGGGCAGTACGAGTACCTACTTTGCCTACCTGCATGTATATCAAGCTTAAGCATCCGTTGCAAGCCCCACCTGTCCACGCCCAATCACAACCCAACCCTGACTTCTCTTCTTGGTATTCTAGAAACTATGTCTAGCCTTATACACCTCCGCCGGTCGAAATGACGACCTGCCGACCTCGAGAAGTAGATCCAAAGCCACTCAGAGTCCTCTTTCCCTAGATCCCCCAGTCTGATTCTGAACCTGACCAGTCCAGTTCAGAATCCGACGGAGGTTAGAGATTTGAGGGTTTGGAGGTATGTATTTAGTAGTGAGGTTTGGATACGCGCGCTACGAGGGCTGATCATGGAGGTGGGTGGATGGTTAGCTGAAATGGGAAGGACTGGGGCGGGTTGCCTTATTTATGCCAGGCCGGAGATGTCTGCATGGGTAGATAGATCTAGACGCAACTGATGCTAGGTAGTGGAAGAATTAAGGTATATTGGACCCATTACATAAAAAAATATATGCATTACACCGAAGAAAAGAGAACAAATAAAACATGGCCTTTGTTAGATCATGAAATATAGTCACAGAAGAGGCCTTACAATAGCATTCACTTCGCAAAGCATCACTCGGCCAACTCTCACACCTCACATCCCGCACCTCACATCCCGCACCTCACAACACAGAAAAAAGAATGGTGGAAATTCTACTTTGTAATTTTTTTTTTTTATGATTTCACAATAGCAACCATGGTCAGCGAGCGCACCAGACGCAAGTTAGCATGAACGAGAAACAAGAAGGAAAGCCACGTCTGCCACTGCTGGTCATTTATTTTTCGCCCTGCCCTAATTGACCTCCTCGATCTTAGATGCAGCAGGGGCCGCATCAGCCTTCGCATCACCCTCTGCCTGAACATCGGCAGCTACTGGGCTGTCCTCAAGCTCTGGCATATCCTCCTAAGAAAAACAATCAGCACTCTTTCTTCGCATCTGATCAAGGTTTAAGGGAGAAGTATACATCGTCCTCATCCATGCCGCCCATGCCGCCCATGCCGCCCATGCCGCCCATACCGCCCATGCCGCCCATCATAGAGGCCATGTCCATGCCGCCCATGCCGCCCATGCCGCCCATACCACCAAGCTTTGAGAAGTCCATGCCGCCGAAGCCGCCGTCCTCACCGCCGGGAGGACCGCCCATACCGCCGCCCATTGGGTCATCGGCGACGTCCTCCTGCTCGTCCTCATCGACCCACTACACATGTACTATTAGCATGGTATTGCCTAGCGAGGAGGGGTAGGGGCAGTAGGTCTAATCCCCGTCATAAATAACTATACGCACCTTGTCGAAGTCAGTCTTGACAAAGTGCTGCTTCTTTGACTCCTTTAATAGTCTGGGCCAGAACTCCTGCTTGGCCTCCTTCTTCCTGAGCACAAAGTCGACGCCGCGAGCCGAGTGAGAGTGCTTTGAAAGGGAGGGGTCGATCTCGGCGTAAAGCTCGAGCTCAACGGCAAAACTGCGAGCCTTGGACGCTCCGCTGAATGTGATCTTGGTGGGCTGAATATCGAGCTTGATGGTGTCTGCGGCGCAGTCGTAGGCGTTTATTGAAAGATACAAAACATTCTTCTCGGGCTCGTCGGCACTGGAACGTTGTGCCCAGATGACTGTTTTTTGGGAGTTGTTAGCGGGGATTCACGGGAGGAGATGAGATGAACAATTGGGGGGGGATGATGTAGTGGGGGGAGATCATCTTGATACTAACCTTCGGGGGTTGAGGTAGCCATAGCTTATTTTACGTATAGCGGGGTATCTCTATTTGTAGTAGTGGGGTAGCAATTCAATATTCCTCTGTTTTTAGGTAGAGAAAGGGATGAACGTTGGTTGATGTGATCGATGGAAGGTGGGAAGGGGAGAAAGAGAAAGCCTTAAAGTTGCAGGAAGGGTTGGAAAGAAGGACGTAATGTAATGATCGCCCACAACCCCACCAACGAGCGAACCCCAGCGAAACAAATGGAACACCCCACGCAACGTTATCGCCCGCCACGCCAGCGATTTTCCAAGAGCGCGGATTCGGGGGCAATGGGAATGTCAAAATGCGATGGCAGGTGAATTGGGGTATTTCATACATTATGAATTTGTTGCCTCGGCGCGGGGGTGAGGGCGTGGGCGGAATCAAGCTTCGTCACGTTGTATCGCGACTGGACGGGGGAGACGTCAACCGCCGACTGCAGCCCGACTTCTTGCAACCACGGCCTGGCAGTGTCTGATTTAGGACTCTAACTGTGCTGTGCCTTCCCCTGGTGAGCTGCTGTTGGTAGAGTCACAGGCCTGAATTTTCTACTAATCTCACTACTTTACTTACTGCAACTACTACCGTTATTGTCCTACTATCTTACTATTCTACTTCCTATTACTGTTCTTATTTCACTGCTATCTCTCCCACAAACAACTACAATACCCATATCTCCAAACCACCCAAACCCACCATGGAGTCCATCAAAGCCATCATCTGGGGCCCTGACCCCGCCGTCCAAGTGAATCTCCCCTGAAGCACTCCCCCTCCGAAGCCACACTAACAACCCCCAGCTCCGCAAATGCAACCAGCTCATCCGCAAGAACACGCGCGAGCTCGAGCGCCACATCCAAAGCCTGCGCGTCCTCGAGTCCAGAACCAAGGCCCTAATCCTCACCAAATCCAAATCACGCTCCAACAACAGCGCTGCCGAAACACGTATCATCGCGCGCGAGCTCGTTCGCATCCGGCGGCAATCCTCCCGTCTCATTACTAGCAAGGCCCAGCTCCAGAGCGTCGGGATGCAGGTCAACGAGGCATTTTCTGTCCGAAAGATCGAGGGCTCTATCCGTACGAGCACGGGCGTTATGCGAGATGTCAATAGCCTCGTCCGCCTACCCGAGCTCACCGGCACAATGAGAGAGCTCAGTATGGAGCTGGTGAAGGCTGGGATTATCGAGGAGATGGTGGCGGACTCGTTGCCAGATGATGTGGAGATGGAGGATGATGAGGTAGAGGAGGAGGTCGAGAAGGCGCTGAGGGAGGTCATGGGCGGCACGGTTGTGGCGGCGCCCGCGGTGCCGGTATCACCCGAGAAGGGCGTCGAGGAGGAGGAGAATCAAGATAATCTGGACGAAATGAGGGAGAGGTTGGAGATGTTGAAGAGTTAGGGTGCAGTTTTAGTAGTATATAGTGAGTGGCGCGGCTGTTTTTTGTTTGTGTGGTCCTGTGATTTGGGTCGTGTAGGCCATCGGGAGTCCTTCTTTTATTTTCCTTTCCTTTCCTCTTCTACTTACTGCCCTCCGGGGAATGGGGCACTGTGTTTTACTTACCACTCTGGGCGTTTTTATGTGCATTATGTGTTTTTCACCCATCATTAGAGCTCGCATAATGAATGCCGCCTTTTATTCTTCTTCAGATATAAATATATATATACACAAGGAGCTCTTGTTCTTGTTTTCCCTAGTATACATTATCCAGTCGTTAGGTATCCACGAAATCTCATCTACCGCTGTATTTGAGAAAATTCGTTGCGCTGCAGCAGGGGTATAGGCCAACCAGAGGCAGTATTTGGACGTCAATATGCAAGATTTGGTAGAGAACACCCCTGCTGCAGCGCAACGAATTTTCTCAAATACGGCGGTAGCCATATTTTCAAATTGGGCTGGTCAGGTTTAGAATCCGACTAGCTGATCTGGATCCCTGGAGAAGCCCGAAGAGTTAGTGTTGTGTGCTATTATAGTAGATCTGGTTTCGGGATCGTACTTACTTGATACATAGTGAGGTACCCCGAGAAGAGTACTACTGGTAGAGGACTATTTGGCTATATAATAGTTGGATTCGTACTCCACGATGTTCAATGTCTCTGTTAATCTATCCAGACCCACGAAGCCCTGACTATTGTCAACCTTTTTGATTCAAGTCGCATATATACTCGCGCGTTAACTAAAAGGTCGGAATTTTGTCTAATAGCCACTTCAACCAACATGGACTCCGGAGTCTCTTGGGCCGTTGCCACTGGCGCAGCCAATAACCCTAACCCTCCCGAGTGATAGCTTATGATCTCCTTGAGGAGTTGTGATGTGGCCGGAGTGATACATGTACATGTAGTTATGGAAGCTAAGGAAGTAATCATCCAATAAAGCCCGACAAACAAAGTACCTTTCGATGACAATAGAGAGACTAATACACCACACAAGCTCCAAACACCGCTATTCTATTCCCTAAGTCTAGACAATAGCGAAGGAGGGGGAGGTTGGGGATGTTTGGATATAGTAGTCTTTGTACGCAGCTGACTAGATACCAGGGACTGTTCGATATAGCTTCTAGCCAGCTACGTGTAGATGACTGAACCTTGAACCTATAACTAGCCAACCAGCCTGAGCGGCGGCGGTAACAAGATGTAGCTGCAGATACGCCGAGCTATCTCTGGGAAACGAGGTTGTTAGCTTTGACATATGTTCCTCTTAGACTGGTCTGAGTCGAGAAAAGAGGCCACTGATCAAGATACCTTTGAATCTTGGACGGAATAGACATTGTAGGAGTTGTAACCCAGTCGGCGAATGGGAAGGTGGGAGCGCCTCTAGCTATTTCTTGTATGATTTTGCGCGTTATGGTTGATAATGGTTCGGGCAGAAGACATGGGGCCGGGGTTGGGGGAGGTTGGATCTTCAGGCAATGCCATATTGCAAGTGTTTTGTCTTTGGCCAAATTAATCATCATAGTATATAGAGCAACGCCCAAACTAAAGGATTTATAGGAGGATCTATAAATCTGGGCATACGTAGTTTTCTTTCTTGATTATGGACTGACCCGACTATAATACGTTTCTTCAAAGATTCTGGGTCCCTTTCGGAGGTGCTTTGCCCGTCTCGGCTGGTGGAGTAAACCAGTAGAAAGGCTTGCTGATGGCAATGAGGAAACTATAATATAAAGGCTTGCTGATATGGGGCGGTAAATGTGTCAAAAGTAATTTTACCAACGGTAGTAAATTATTTTACCACCGGTGGTGAAAATAATACCAGTATTTATACCTATAATCCTAATTTTTATGATAAAAGCACAGATCTTTTGGCCCCGGGGGGGGGGGGGCATATAATGCCAATATAAATGAAAATTTTCCACCGGTGGGAAATTTTCATAAGTTTTGGCATTAATGATTGAACATTTACTTATGTAGTATAGCGCAGCATAAAGACCGAAACCCAGTGCTTATACCGGTGGGAAATATACTAATGTAGGATAGCGTGCAGACACAATGACTGAAATCCAGTGCTTATACCACCGGTGGTAAATAATTTACTACCGTTGGTAAAATTACTTTTGACACATTTACCGCTCCATATGCTGATGGCAATGAGGAAACTATAATATTTAGAACATGCATGTATCAACTCAGGACCGACAATACTTCTCAATTGAGCCCGGAACGAAAAACACAACACCCGCTGACGTGACCTAAATTATTAAGTGGAGTACTGACCACAGTTGTGTTCTTATTTCCACAGATATCGAGGAAAGCATAATTACTTAATTACATTTACATGTAATTAACTGTGAGTTCGGATCGGAAGCACTTGAGTACGTGCATTCCATTTTTTAGAATACAGGCCGTGATCCAATGGTGATTGCCATGTGTTGTAGTACTCTGATTTCAGTCTTAATCTCCAGCGCACGCATGCCCAAAATCGAACCATACACACACCCTAGGCCTGCCAAACCATCTTAACACAAATATCTGTGCACTATATGTAGTTACACCCCCAAAGGAAATGCGAAAACAAAACCTACCCAGAAGAAGCCAAAAAAGACATCACGCCAGTACAAAGGAATGTAAGGGAAGAAAAGATAAAAATGAAAACATAACATAAAAGCAAGCGCTCCCCCGTGATGCGTTTCTAAGAGCACCAATGATGAATATGTATTCGTTTCTCTCCTTTCCCTGTCCATATATGTTCCTCCGCGTATTTTTCTTTGCTTTTTATTTTTTTGAGATAATTATATGTTCAGCTCCCATAAACCTTGATTGGCGCATCATCTGCTTCTAGCGCCTCTGTCTCTTTCCTAAGAGCAGCAAGGTCAAAGTCGCCATCGTCGTCGTCTTCTCCTTCTTCCTCTTCTTCACTGTCGGTTTCGTTTTGCCAGTCACCCTTCTCGAAGAGTGCTCTTCCGGTTGCTTCCTTGGCACGTCGTGCTTCCTCCTCAGCTTCCTTCTTAGAAGTGCGCTCCAGTTTCCATTTTTTGAAAGTCTCCTCGGTGACGGGCGTTAATGTACCCGTAAGGGCGAGACTAGTCATGATTAGCAGGGGTATTTATTAGATAGAGGATAGTTGGGTTACCGTCGGCCTTCCAGGAAGTCTTCAAGGGTGAGCGTAGCTAGTGGCGACTTGTCCATAAGGGCCTTCTCCGCCGCACGTTGCTCCTTCGTCTTTAAAATGAAGCCAGGCGGTAGAGAGTGCTTATATTTACAGTCATTACCTCCGTTTGGACCTGTAATAAATTCTTGTTAATCGTCGTAATATGTTCCCAAGTTAGAGCGAAAAGGAAGTACGCACACTGCCAGAACCATCCGTATTTCCCGTTCTCGACAGCCTCGATAAAGAACTTGCAAACTTTGTCGGTAGTTGTTTTAGGGTTTCCGTGCTTGCTCAAAACAACGCTTCGCAGTTTCTCTTCGTCCCAGTTGTCCATACCGTCCTCCTTTTTTCCCTCGCCGTCCGCCCCTTCGTCTCGACCATCCTCATACAGATTCTTCTTCAGCGTCTTTCGCTCTACACTTAAGTCGTGAGAGAATTTACACTTCTTGCCTTGACTAGAAATCAGCATTGCCCCCCAATTCTCGTAACGCAAAGAGGAAGCAAACACACACCCTTCTCACAATGGCCGTTCTTGAAGTAGATGCAAACCACACTCTTGGGATCAACACCGAATGGTACTTTTTGCACCTGTACGGGCTTGAACAGATCCGCCACTTCCTTCTTCGCCTGCTCAGCGGCCTTCTTCTCTGCCTCACGCTGAGCTTTCTCAGCAGCCTTTCGTTTCTCCTCGGGTGTACCAGAGGCGCTGGCCTGTGAGTGTAGTTGTGCGATCACTTTTTGTGCTTTTCCACCTTTTTTCTGTGGAGGTTGTTAGACTGAGTGACTGGACTGATTCGTATTCATTCCCGGGGGTGTGTGCTGGTGAGGTGGGAGGGGGGTGGACGAACATTCTTGAGCCCGAAAGTCTGGAATACGCAGGTTAGGGTTAGTTAGTGTCAGTATGGTAAGGGACTTGCGGGGGAACCCACCTTGTCCTGTACGCTCTTCTGGACAGAGGGCTTCGTTCCCTTGGTATCCTTCCCTTTTGGTGGCATGGTGGGCTATGGTGGGGGTATCTAATCAATTCTGTTAAACTTTTTTTCGCAGCCGAAATCGAATCTTGAGGTTCCTGCGGGGTAGGAGAGGCTTACGGAGGATTTTACTTTTTTTCTGTATATGAAAAAAATCAACAGAGTTGAGTTGTAACGAGTGAGGTTGTTGCACGCTAGAAACACTAGTTCAACGTTGACTTTTCTCTCTTGTTGCTGAGGAGGTCGTAACTGTGGATTCTTGGCATTAGTAGGGCAGCGGCTAGAGTGGTTTTGCTGTGATCTACGCGTATTTATGGGCATGGAGGCATTATGCATGAGTTGCCGCTTTAGCCGTTACGTAGCTTTGTCGGAGGCTCTTACAGCTCGAAGAGAACACGTCCTCCATAGCTGTACTTTGTTTTGGAATAACTGCCGTTTTTTTTTTTTCGCAATCCAAAACACCCTTCTCACTTCTGGTATTTCCCCTAGAAACAGTCGTTTGTCTTGAAGATACCATACCGCAGATATGATCACCGACTCGGAACTCAACTCAATTGCAATATTTCTGGGGACGTTGATGATGAGCCTTATCGTGCTCTACCACTTCTTAGCTGTCAACGCTCGAGAGCTCTCTCACTCCTCTGTGGATGGCCGGACAAACGGACACGGAAAGGCAGCGATCGTGGGAAGTAATTAGGGGGGTGCCTGGTCGATGAGAATGCGTGGTGCGTGATTATGGCAGCTACAGAATTCAACTGGTGCGCATGAAGCTAATTTGCGCGCTCAATAAACAGATAGACATAGTACGATACCATGCGGCGCAATTCAGAGGGAAGGTTGAACTAAGAACTTGTGAAGCAAAGACAGACGTAGTCAGTGGGATTGGATGTGTAATCAAACACCGGCCGATTGACACTTCGCAAAAAGGTCTAGGGTTTTGTAGAGGGCCTGTAATCTGTACGATATCTACCAGCTGTTTAAGAGATTTTAAAAAAAACAAAAACAAAAACAGGTTCTCTACATGTAGTTTACCTATAATTTGTTCTTTACAATATCCATTTTCTTTGTGAATAGTACAGCGATACAAATATACCCTCTCGATGGGATGTTTTTATTCTACCACTTTCGAATATTTACCGGAAGGTTGTTCAGTCCATTCTGGAGCGGGCAGCAGCGACTTTACATGTAATTTAGTAGTTCTTGGTTGAAATATCTGCCAAGGACTGGTGGCCCAGTGAAAGCGGAAGTGCTTTAGAATCGACCATGTAATAATTCCGGCCCTTTGAAAATGGGATGAGTAAAGTTACGTCAAAGGGGCAGCTTTCAGTGAGATAAAAGACTCTTCAAAACATAGGCTGTATTGAATGATGCTTTTTATATCTATTGTAGCGCCGCATGAACCAACATCGCTACATCGACCGCTATACTGGATGCAGGCAGATGTATTTATTTTTTACTGCACAGAGAGTGACAAGTGTGCAAACAGCCGGACAAAGCAGGATTGGACAAAGAACGTAGAACTGGGGCAGTGTAGGCGTCTAGTTATGTGTGCCGCTGGATCGATCAAACTTTTATTCTGTTGTGATGCCATCATTCACCCATTCAATCCTGCCAGCTCTCAGTTGTGGCTGAATGCACTGGTGTTCACTGGTTGATGAGCAAATATGCTTACATAACACGTGTTCTGTGTCTCCTTTTCCCTTCTCTTCCTCCCAAGTCCGCGCTCGTGTCCCTTCTATTCTGCATCCCATCCTCATCACCCACAACACTCCCAACAAGCTTCTCATATAAAAGTCTCTCACCCTCGTCCACTTCCTACGTCTTATCTTACTCTCTTCTGCTGCTCATCTATCCATCTCCTGCTACTAAAATCAACCCCGCTTGATAAAGTATTTGCATCCCTCGCGACTGAATAGCAACATTATCCGCTCGATACTGTATTCATTTGACTTTCATCCTCATAACTCCTTCTCATCATTCTATAATAATGTCTTCAAAACTCGATCAGTCTCTGGATGAGATTCTCGCTGAGCGCCCTCGTGTTGGTGCCGCTGGCCGTCGCGGTGCCAGGAGTGGCAATGCTCCCGCTGGCGGTATCCGCAAACGCCCTCAGCGGGCTGCCGCACAAAAGGCATCCGCAACTATCACGCAGAACGCTACCAAGACTGTGCCAACTGGCCCGTCTGGAAAGGTCGCTGGATCTAAAATTATTGTTTCTAACTTGGTAAGCTCGCTCCTACGCGCTGATGATTTTATGCCTGATTTTGAACGCGTCACTTACAAATCATAATAGCCCTACGATGTGGATGAGGCTATGATCAAGGTACGTTGATTGTACAACGAAGTCAAACACACGGCATGAGTCTGGGAAACGAAGGCACAAACGCTACGGACCGGGGAAGCAGCGAGCGAGCTTCTCTATCCTTTTTGGGAGTGAGGAATGAGAGCACCTCATGATGACCCTTTTGCCACCCTTCTTCTATGAGACTCAACGGCGCGAATCCAAATGCATAACGGCGAACGATGATGATTCCCCATGCACAATGACTTCCGTACAGATTTTTCCTGTTGGTAAAATCATGTGGTCTGTCTTTTTGCAAGCATCCTGATGCCTTTGCATACTTTCCCGCAGTTCCCCTTTGTCAATATGTAGTGGCGACCCTACATATCCCAATGTATACAGCTTCAGGACAGACATTGGGCAGGCATATATCTCGCATGTCGATGAGGCCATATTGCAGAGCTCCCCCAGATGCCTTTCTGGTTCACCCTCTAAAATCGAAACGAACGAAGATTGAAAACAACCAGATTTCGATCCTAACTCGGATCGGGAGGTTGGATCAATGTGGAAGGTTAATTCTGGGGAGCTTCTGAATGCCTGAAGCTGTTGGGAACTGCCTGGATTTTGTTAACGCAGACGTTGTGATACAATTCTTGTTTGTTTTGCTCTTGCCATTACGAACATTCTGCATCATCGTTCGTCATTGCATTTTGGAATCGCTTGCGACAACCACGGAGTATTCATTTCGATGCTCCTTGAGACTCAAACTCGCTCCTGTCTCCGTAGCTTTGTGTCTTAATTTTCCTACAGCTTTTGGAGAATTCGAAGTCAGGCGTCAATTTTTTGGAACCGAACATTCTAACATCAACTTTTCTACTTTTAAGGAATATTTCACCAAGGTTGTCGGCCCAATTAAGCGTTGCGTCATCACTTATGGACCGAACGGCCAGTCACGTGGAATTGCAACTGTTGAATTTTCTCGAGCTTCTGACGCCGCCACCGCAGTCCAAAAATACAACGGTGTTGAGGTCGACAAAAGGCCGATGAAGGTTGAACTTGTTGTGGACCCCACCGCGCCAGCTAGTTTCGCAGACCGCATCGGGTATGCCTAACACCCTTTTGAAAAAAATTCCAGAGACATCACACTAACTACTTTACAGTGCACCCAAGCAGGTTCCCGTAGCTCGTAACTCTACCGCTAACAAGCCAAAGCCTGTCACTAAAAATATGGGTACATCAGCAGCTCGCGGTGCTAAAGGCAGACGTGGGGGCCGTGATGCTCGTGGTGGACGCTCTGGCAATCCTAGCCGAAAGAAGCCAACCGCCGAGGAATTGGATGCTGATATGGCAGACTACTTCGTTGGTGGAACTTCCGGGGCTGCCACAGCCGGTGGGGCTGCCCCAACTGCGGTTGGTGCCAGCAATGGTGATGTTGGGATGGATGATGATGTTTTGGTTGGTTCACCCTGATTGTCACTCTTGAATTATTCACTTTTTTCCTCTGGTGCGGCGAACTGGCAATCCACTAGAAGTACGCAACGCTTTTTGGCACCTGCCATCAGGCAGTTGTAGGATTAAGCCTAGGCTGAAGCGAAATATGTCTCTTCGATTTGCCCAGTCGCCAAATCCTTCGCTGCATCTTTCCCACTCTCAGTTACCTCAAGCATCTCCGGCAAATCTCTGGGGAATAGTAAGCTGATTCTGGATCCTATCTTACAGTAAACCGCATGCTCTATTATCCTTTACGCTGTACGCGATAACACATTACGAAGCATCCTACGAATAACAACACAATGTTCAACTTTTAATCCGGGCATCGGGCGTCTCGCAGCTGGCGAGAAAGGTGGCAGATTCATTGATTTTTCCTGGGAGATATCGTCATCCCAAGTATCGCTGGTTCAGGAGGTCTATTTTTGTTTCTCTGGAAGGATTGCGTTCCACAATTTAAGTTTCGTTTGTTCTCATCTCTACAGATCACTTGTATACGCCAGTCTTGATATTTCTCATGCCTGCAATTTCCCAACGATCTTTCTTCCCTTCGTGTTTGAGCTTGGGTTTTTCTTATTTTTCTTTTTTTTTTTGTTCTTTTCGACAACCTTGCTGCATTTTTTTGTTTTTTTCGGGCCTGGTTTGGGAATTATTACATAAAGTTATCGAGGCGTGTTCTAGTCAATGATTGATTACCCGTGATTTTCCACAAAATAGAAGGGAAGAAGTCTTGAGAAGTGAAATTTTATCGGAAAACCCCTACACGTGTGTCCCGTGATGTTTAGACAATTTCTTTATCACTTTCGCTGAGGGGCATATCGCAATAGTTATGTACTCCCCTCGGTCGAATGCGGCGCCTAAGCCCTTAATTTTGATTGTTGATTATTCCTGTCCTAGAGCCGGTAAAAATATACAAGCGGGTATAAAGGTTTGACGTGATGGCCGGGCTGAGACATGTGGAGGTTCAGTATTGCTAATTAATTACACTGACCGCAGTTATAGTCACGCGAACGGTACAAGTAGTATGAGCACCACGTTCTAAGAGTGCAGATGCGATGCAATATTCTGTAACTCTATATTTCAACGTAAAATGGTGCCGGTGTGTCGCAAGTGGCTTCATGATCAGCAGAAATGTGGCGTGGATATCTGGGGACGTCTAGATTATAAAATAGTTTAAGGCAGAGGTTTGAAGTAGATATATCTACAGAGCACATATATATCTATCTACTAGCCTATAGAAATGAAGTAGATATATCTACAGAGCACATATATATCTATCTACTAGCCTATAGAAATGAATTAGTAAATGCAGCGACAGCAGGGGTTCGGGTGGTCTTGGGTTTCCAAGATACATAGCTATGGAAACAAATAGATGTATCGATGGCGCATATATGCATAACTACATAAGTAACTTTCAATAGAACAAACGAACTATTGTGCATTCTGCCATACAGATCCGCCCCTAATTGATCAGTTGACCAAATATTCAGCCTTGCGTATAGGTATTTGTATCACCGTGCCCCAGACCCCTGCCAACTTGTGGTAGTTTCAAATCTATCACATACATATAAAAAGTTTCTAAGAATCCACACCGCTGATCACCAATTTGGTGTGACGCTGCATGTGTGTACATCTAAGCACTTCGCACATGTTGAAGCCAAAAGCCTAACCCCTCTTTCACCCCAAAGGTGTCCGTACATGTATTATGAACTACATGTACCAGGTACTTTAATTGCCATCCTCTCTTTGGACAAAGATTCAACTTTTTAAAAGTATATGTAAATCCTTCGAGTCTTCTCGCATACTACATGTACTATATTCTTTGTGCAAGTACCACGATCAGGGATACATACATGTATATGCCCAAACCTCTTGAGTACGACCCAAGCCCTAAGGACACATAACACCCATCATACCCAGAGTGAAGCGAGGCTCCTGTCTTGGTCATGATAGGAGTTAACTTCTGTGAGATGATTAAATCATGAAGAATCACTCGGGGCCATCAAGCTACATGTAGTATGGTGAGTGTACATGTAGGTACATACATGTACTCTTCAATCTCTCTAAGAAACTTCTCACCCCTTGCAATTGCGCGTACGCGCTTCCATAAAACAGGCTTCCCTTCATAGGGGTGGATGGAATACGATGCTTCATTCTTGCGTGGGGAAGGCCGTGGGGATGTCTGTTCCACAAAACTTTTTCTAGGAAGATGATTGGCTGACAAAAGTCATGTTCTTTGCATTTACGAATCTTTCAGTACTTGTTTGAAGTAATAGAGGCCTTCAGCTGACCCGAACCCTGATTCCCAAAGTGAAAGAAAAACTCATGCAGCTAAAGTTGCGCCTGCCGCAGCTGACATGTCACTTTCTGATTAATACTTAATGCTAAATATTCCGTCCTCGAGTATTTCTCAGTCTGCACCTGTAGGATGCTCTGTTTGTCGATAGTTTAGTGCACTTAGGATGGACTCTTGGCTGTAGGAAATAGAAAACAGGGATCAGCTGAAAGCCTATATTAGCTGCTCTAGATGGCGTGCACATAAGAGCCTCAAACTCTCGAAGTGGTGTGGACTGTAGGTGGTGTTTCCGTCCGATCCAGGGCTACAGAAAGAGAGATGCACGCGCGAGACGTACTGTTCAGAGTTGGCGTCTACTTATAGACGGATTATCCTACGTAGCTACAAACACGCACTTATTGTTTGACTATACTTATTACCCGTGGGCTCTCTTGCAGCTTGAGTGATCCTATCAAAATCTTTCTTTGCAGCGCGCGCGCGTTAACCATATTATATTTATTGCATAAAACACCTCGAAATGTCTGGCTTTATACCGACACCTGACGATTGGGATAAACATCGTGAAATAATCGAGAATTATTACCTGAGGAGCCACACCAATGGTGGACATACGTATACTCTCGGAAAAATACAGAAACTCATGGCGGAAGAACATGGATTTTTCGCAAAGTAAGAATTCTTTTATGAATCCGCTGTATATACTGCATGTACTTGAGTACATTGTAGTTGTCGAGGGAACGTCGAGCGATGAAAGCTAAGGCTTGTAGCTTGAGACAACGCTGACCCGAAGACAGTGGCCAAGCTCAAGACTTTATCGCTCATTGGCCGTTCGTTCCCTCAACGTACTACTTTATGTGACTGTCAGACTGACATTGAGAATTTAGGAAAGCGCAATATAAAACTCGGATCAGTAAGTGGGGTGTCTGGAGGAACATTAGCAAGAGTGGCCCGGAGCATGGCGCAGATCCAAGACAAACGGGCAAATGTCGACAGAAAACGAACGGCCTTCCTATTGTGTGGGGTGCCTATCTCGGAAAATAAGGTGAAACGTGCTCGCGAAAAACATGATTATGAGGTTGATTTGGGCCTGACATATATAAAAGGTAAGTTTGAAGGGGAAAAAACTCCTGAAAAGAAGGTACAAATTGCAAACCAATTGGCTCAATCTAATCAAAATTATTGTCACAGATGTTGTCCCGTCACAAATAGGTTACTTTACACCAGAAACGCAGGATGAAGCCATGGAATACAAGGGGCCGAACGAAGACGGGTATATCATGAATATTCCCATGCTCAATGGAATTGAGAGTGCCGCAAGAGGAACCGATTCTCAGGATAGTTATCATGACGACTCGCAAGATTCAGTAGAAATATCTGAGGACTGGACGAATATAACACGCGAGGAGCTTGAGCCAATGTAAGTGCACATCTAGATTTGGTAAAGCACCTTTATGATATTAAAGTCCTGTTATGTGTCTAGACGCGCCAATCCTGAGACCAACAGTATGGAGCCCGTCTACGAAGAGGACCGGGAGTTACAAGATAACATACCTTCTCCAGTCGAGTGGCCTATGGAGAATCTTGAATTATCTACACAGCCGATCGGCATGCATGGCTCGTCTTTTATTGAGATGATCACTAGCACACATCACTCAGACCTAGCCTACACACGAATATTAGAAACTGAAGGAAATAGCAATAGTAAAAGCACGGAATTACGTTGTGTATGGATGAGCTCAGGCTGGAAAGGCAGGGGTTTGATGGGTAATTTGTTTGAAGATGAGTATGAGTGAGTAACCCGCGTTATACGTTAAGCCCTCGCATGTTTCTTTCTGACATCGTCTTTATAGTGTGGTTATGTCTGAATCATGGCCTTTCGGAGCTACAGACTACAGTAGTCAAAGAACCCTTAAAGAAATTCGGCGAGAGTTCTTGATACATCAGGCCATGACATCAAACATATGAGATTCGAGCTGATATATATATATACGGTGCTGCCATGTAACTGTATTGAACTTAGCTAGGGCATATACATTTATGCGCTCGCGGCATAAGGAATGGTTCTTCAAAGTCAACATCAAGGTCAATAGACAAGGATCTTTGTTCAGGCTAACTCTAACCCAAATAGTAGCCGCTGTATTATGTTAGTGGTTTTGGTTTTGGACTTCTAGGGATTTGGATAGGCTTAGCTGGCATGGGCCTCTTTCTTTTTTTCCTCTTTCTTTGTTCTTTCTCTTGTGATATAGTGAACTGCAAAAGTCTTGATTTTCCTTTTCCGCCTTGCATCAACCTTTTTTCAGAAAAATCAAAAATTTACAAAACCCATATCATGCCCCTGAAGGTTAGTTCAAGCCAAATCTTTCATATTTAAAAGGTAATTGAAATAAAAATAGTCTATGAAACGATTAGATCACCTCAAACCACAATACCTCCCATTTGACACGTATTTCGCACGGTCTTGGCATTTCATGGGCGAAAATGGCAAAAATTTGGCGGATTTTTTTTAAAAAAACAGCGCTAGGTAAGCCATAAAAGAAAATTCAGACTTTTGCAGTTGACTGTAAAGTCTGACTATTTAGTCTCCGTTTTTCTTTTTTCTTTCTAAAAGACCCGCAGGCGTGGTTTCCCCGGTTTAATTTGTGGAGTATGAGCCGGTTTCAAGCGGTATGTATCTATCATGGTGTTAATTTAATAAGTTACATGGTTTAAAGAATTAAACTCATGTGCAAATATATGGCGTCGGCCGCGGGCTGCATATGATTATAATTAATTAACAGATCCAGCTATTGGGTTCAAACCTTTCTCTCTCTCTCTCTCTACGCGTTAGAAAAGAGTAAGGGGGATCTGGAAAATTGGGGTTTTTAAATAATAGGGATTTATCACGTTTCACTCATATATTCCCAGGACGGGCATTGGGGACTTTCCGGCACTGCATAGCAGTCCTGATAGAAGAAAATAAACCAATCATAATGCTTTCTGACCACAAGGAGGAAGATTATACTATTTAGAAGACATGCATGCATACGGTGCGCAATGATTTAAGATGCGTGTTTCGATATCCTCATGGGTGATGTAAGGAGGTGATAGGTAACTCGCGGTCAGAAGTTCCAGCAGCCCCCGCATATATATTAGTCTAGCTAGGGGTACAATTGTTTATGTTGGGATGGTATGAATATTGATAGGAACTTGGTATTGATGGATCATTCAACCAAAAGTGGTAATACAAACACCCAAGTTCTTCCTCGTTTGCTTGATCAACTTCCTATAGTACGGTACATACGGCGCGGCCGAGACGATGGAAATTGACGACTGACTGTTTGTATGCACATGCGATGCATAGTGAACGGAATTTATCGGAACCTCGCTGCTAAACTTGAGTGCGACGGCTAACCCGCCCCCCCCCCCCCCCCCCCAAAAAAAAAAAAAAAAAAAAAAAAATAACTAGAACACTTAGTGGGGTTTACGCCAAGATCATAAACTATCACTCGGTGGTTAGGGTTGTTGGCATCCATGCTATGCCTTTCGCTAGCTGGCGAAGCTCTCAGCTTTTAGTTAAGGGGGCCACAGAGTGCACCGTGCACTCGAAAATCCCGTCTGTATGTAGTTCTAAGAACAGGGGGACTCAGACACTGATTCATATCTATATTTAGGTCTCACATTGGCAGAGCTAGGTGGCCTTTCAAAAGTTGGCAGCTATTTATCCTTTAGGCGGCCAGTCCAAACCAAAATCGTGAGCGAATACGGTATGGCCTATAGCTAGCGACATTCTCTATTGAGCTTCGTTATTGTTAATTCTCTCATTGACCCTAGGCCTGTGGAGCTCTCTATCTAAGATCTAGTGTGTGACAACTCAATGATTGGACGAGCTGCATGCAGTGATAGTTAGGCCATATCACGTCCAGTCACGATTTTAATTCAGACTGAACACCTAAGAGATAAGGCCACGCTCCCTACCTAGTGCCCTAAAGTTTTCTTCAGTGTTAGACCGGTATAGAAACTCCAGGTATTGCTTGGTCATCATTGTTCTTTGAGTTAATTAAAGCATCATGATGGCTAGATAGATCTGTAGGTGAATAAAGAGAAAGGTACAATGTGGCCTATCTAGGTTTGGTATCAACGAACGTCACCACTAAAGGATTGCTATAAGTGGGAACAAAATTACTTCGACCCAGGTAGCAAAAAGTCTCGATATGATGGTCAGGTATATATCCAAATCATCTCATTGGGATTACTTAAGAGCGGCGAAGCGCAAGTGCAGAAAAGAGTCGTTCGAAAGCCGCGCAACGGCTTGAGGCTTGCTTACTTATACATGATGTACACATCATCAAGTCAATGGGACGGACATAGTGCCAACTCATAGCAGTGCATATATAATGGTCATTTAGAGAATATCTTAACTAAGTTGCCTTTGTCTTAAAGCCCTCGTCCTCGCCTATCCAAAGTATAGATATATAGATTTATCATATCTACAAACAAAGCAGTCTCAGGAACTCTGGAAGTTGATGGCAATCCCTCTGATCCTTTCTTTTGGCGCGTGTAACGAAAGATTGGGGAAGACGGCGGCGGGAGCTAGCACTGCAGAACTATCAATCACCAATGACATATATCTAGAGATAGAGATATACATATGCATTGGCGAAGTTCTAGAACACTTGGTTATAAACCGCGGTGGTTTGCTCTCGACATGACACTCGGACCACGCATGCCTCCATCGAGAGCTGTAGTCCTCCGAACTGCATGCAGGAGCGCAGGGATCAGTATATGTGCATCTATAATATCTGCAACTAACCACCAATGATTTTAGAGGTTGTACGCGAGTGATACCTTGTGATTGCTGTTACACCATCTCTGCACAGCCCCATGCATATGATCAACCCAGGCCATGCATCATATGGCTATATCGTCACGTCATGTGTCTATACTCTAGATGATACTTAATGACCTCGCAATCCCCGCGCTCTAGGCTTCCAGTGCAGTGGTCGTATTTAATCCAGGATACCCAGCACAATTTAACGACCATATCCATACCTTTCAGTAATACCACAGACCCTCTCTCCAATTAATATACAACTAACCTCCTCCCCCCGCAATGTCCAGCCTAGACCTCCCACCCGAACTCCTCCTCCAAACCACCTCCTCCAAACCATCACGATCTCTCCACCCTAACTCACACCCCCCGCCAACACTCACCTCTTCACCGACGCCTAGTGTGGTCCACGATCGAGGCTACCCGAAGCGAGCATGAAGGACGATTGCCTCCGCCTCGTATAGCCCATACCTCTCCTTGCTCATGCAAAGAGAGATGATGCCTCTGATCAAGGGTGCTCTAGCTGCTCAACTATCCTTAGATCTATCAAAACTGAATCTATATTCATTTGGTATAGATATAGTAATCATCTGCACGGGGAACACTTCTAACCTTACGTTCCTATCGCGGAAACGTCATCAACCCCACTGAATACGCTATGATCGAGTATAGTAGCTCGAGGCGAATAGGAGGGATTGCCCCGAGCGTGTTAACCCCATTCCTGGAGCTCTCGAGTGGCTTGGAACGTCTGATCGATACTTCATTGACTATACTACCTTGCCCGTAGCCCCCACTACCCGCCATCCGCCCGCAACACCCCCACCGTCCGCTCATTCCTCCAGAGTGTGCACAACCACAACCCCTCTCCTAAACATGCACACCAATCCACCCACACCACTACCACCGCAGTAACAGAATCTGTCATAGCCGTCTCCCAATCATCGTCCGTAGCGCCACCTGCTGGGCTGCAGGCACGTAGTGAATCTTGCTCTGAGGGCGGGGTGTGGGGGGTTGCGTAGGTTCTTGTTGTGCGGGGGGTTGTGCGGGGGGTTGTGCAGGATGGGATAAGGATAGGAGTGGAGCTACGGGCTTGTGGGCCGGGGTTCACTGTTGTATGGGGGGGGGGGGGGGGGATCGTGCGGCAAGTAGTGGAGACGACCGAAGGGTGGGGGGGGGGGGGTGGAGTTGATGGCTGTTGGAGTGGGCGTTGCTATAGGAGGATGTGGGGATTATGAGGATGAGGGCGATATACGGGTTTTGAGGCGGATGGTGGATGTGCGGATTGTTGAGGGGACGGGGGAAGCCGTGTTGGAGATTACGAGGGGGGGCAGTGGGGTTGTGATAGAGATGTTGTGGGAGGAGTGGGGGGCTGTGCCCCCTGAGCTCAAGGGGTTCGGTTTGAGGTCTCTCCCCCTAAATATGTGATGGCTTATAATTTGATAGTGATGGTTCTCCGTTTTCGAAAGGGTGATATATGCACAATTGGCTTATTCGGTCAATTACTGTGCGTGTCATATATTAATACTAATGCCAAAACAGTTTCCGGGATAGCAATACTTACTGACAAAAAAAGGAACCTACTGCGTCCGACTAGATCTAGATTGAAGACCTTAAGGAGATCTGATGTAGCTCTTCCAGGCGGAATGACATACTCGCGCGGCCGAGTTTCGACTTACTCACGTGACGCTATTTAACAGGTTTTTGCGTTGCTCATAGGTCATGTGATTAAGTCGAAACTCGGCCGCGCGAGTAGACTAACCATGGCTATTGCAAATAACGAGGGTTTGCCGGCTGCCATATCACCAACGTAGAAGACGACCCACCGAGATATTTAAAGTTGTCATCGCCACCCACCAACAAAGTAAAAGGTCTCTAACTCCTGCCGCTGAAAACCGACCATGCTGTACTCTCTCCCTCGATAAAAGTGAAGCAGTTGGTCGGCCGTTGGAATATCCGCCTATAGTGGTTGAGCCACTTGCCAAACCTATCGATCCAGTCACGACAGATCACTCGCCATGCTTTTTGCCTATATAAACAGGGTCAGAGCTACGATTCTGTATTAGGCAGTAAAGGCGGCCAGAGGAGTCCAGAGAAGAGAAGAGAAGAGTAGGGGGTGTAGGCTCCGCATGTCAGCGACATGTAAGTTGTCAGTAGATGTTAGATATGTAGATGTTAAAGATCTGACTTTTTAGCAGGCTGGCTTCTAATACACCGCTATTATCGTTAATGGCCGAGTGAGCGGTCATTGCCCAAAATTTCTTATCGCGCATCTGATATGTGGTCATGTGGGTGAGTATGCGTATTCATTGAGAGATTTAAGATGAGGAGATTGAATCCCTAACATACGTTGTGGGGCAGGTTGGCAGAATAGGTACTGTCAAGACACGTTATAACAGCTACGCGGCTGTAATCGGTCAAGTAGATGTATGTGCGTTTGTTTTGAGACCCTAAGTTAAGCTGCAACCCACGTGACGTCTAAATCCAATCATCATCGCTCTCGCCTTCTTCATTCGAGCAATAGAGCAACAGAGCCTGGGCCATGAGCATTTCAGGCCTAGGATAGCGAGACCTCGACCACCAGCAGCCTGAAACCGTGTATGTTTCCTCGTTAACGAAAGGTTGCTCGATTTCACATCCCCCGCCAAGACAGTACCAAGATCGAGTGACAGTCTATGAAGGCTATCCACTAGATGCTAGCGTAATATCAGGAACGATCGGTGTATCACCCAGCACGGCTGCACACTGCAAACCGGTCCGTCCAAGACCGACCTGAAGAGACCTTGATAAGCTCCTTGTACTGGACTTCTCTGATCATTTGTCTTTAGGAAATTAAAGTGATCCGGTAGAACGAGGCATGCAGCTGCCGTGCTGAGATATGCCACCGCAGCTCATCCCCCATCCCGACCAGCCCAGTCCGGGGCCGGCCATGACGTCGCAATAAGCTTCCCGATCCCCAGATCTTGTGCCACCACCCGCGAATCTAACACAGCAACCCCTGCGTCCGTGTGGCTCGGGCCCGCCACACACACGACAACAAAACCGGGTCCTTAGGGTAGAACTTGTAGATGCATCATAAAAGAACAGCCCCTTCCCCCCCGGATCTGAGAATAAAAGACCCTCCTCTCAAATACATCAATTACGCTGCATGCTGAGGATACAGACCCTTAAGCCTCTCACTACTACTACTACGACTGCAGCTGTAAGGTCAATAAGGTGTCTATCAATTGCCTCTACTACGCTACATAAAGCCTTCTTACCACCCCCTCGTCCCGCGCTCACAATGACGAAGCGCAAGCGCGCAGCGGTCATCAAGGCAGAGGCAAACATGGCGACTCTTGCCGCACTGCCCGAAGGCTCTGCGACGCCCGAGGAACAGGAGCATGGAGACGAGTTTGCGCCCGAAGAGGAGGGGTCTGATGAGTTTGATCCAGAGCCCGCCGCTGCTACTGCAAAAGGGAAGGGTAAAAAGGCCGCCTCCCAGAAGTCGGGCAAACCCGCGCCGAAGAAGAAGAAGCCGGTGATTGATCGCAAGACGTTCATAAAGACAATGAATAAAGACGGTACAAAGATCACGCGCGAGCCACAGGTCAATAGCACGCATCTCCCGCTGCCGTGGAAAGGACGGATTGGCTATGTACTCCCCCTCCCCCTCTCTCCTGTCCCCCGGTCCCCGCCGCAGAGAGCTAACAGGAAGCAGGCCTGCCTGAATACCTACCTCCGCAGCGCCACGCCCCCCATCTTCTGCTCCCGCACCTGCCGTATCGACACAATCCTAAAGCAAGGCACCCCCGCCGCCGGCAAGGCCTACGTCGAGTCACTCGGCCTCGCCAACGCCTGCGACCTACCAAAGATGATCCGCTGGAACGAGCGCTACGGCATCCGCTTCCTGCGCATCTCGAGCGAGATGTTCCCGTTTGCCAGCCACCCCGTGTACGGCTATTCACTGGACTTTGCGGCCGAGGCGCTCAGGGAGGCGGGAGCGCTGGCGATGAGGTATGGGCATAGGCTCACGACGCACCCGGGGCAGTTTACGCAGATTGCGAGCCCGAAGGCGAACGTTGTTGAGGCCTCGGTGAGGGATTTGGAGTATCATGCGGAGCTGCTGGGGCTGCTGGGGCTGGAGGGACAGGCGGATAAGGATGCGGTTATGATTCTGCATATGGGTGGCGTGTTTGGGGATAAAGACGCCACGCTCGCCCGCTTCCGCAAGAATTACGCTACCCTCTCACCGGCCGTCAAGGCCCGCCTCGTGCTTGAAAACGACGACGTTGTACGTCCCTCTGCGCCCCCCCCTCCCCCTTCCCGCATAGAATCAGGCACCCACTAACTCGACGCAGAATTACACGGTCCACGACCTCCTCCCCATCTGCCAGGACCTCGGCATCCCCCTCGTCCTCGACTGGCACCACCACAACATCCGCCACGCCCCCGACTTGCGCGAAGGCAGCCTGGATCTCCTCCCCACGCTCCCCGCTATCGCCGCCACATGGACCAACAAAGGAATCACACAAAAGCAGCACTATTCCGAGCCACGGCCGGAGGCACTTACTGACCGTGACATGCGCAAGCACTCGAAGCGCGTGTATGGGCTGCCGCCGTGCGACGATAACATGGATCTGATGATTGAGGCGAAGGATAAGGAGCAGGCGGTGTTTGAGCTGTATCGAAAGTTTGAGATCGGGCCTAATAGGGGGGTAGTGGCGGAGGTGGTGCCGCATGAGAGGGGGGATGAGGACGGGGTGGAAGAGGGAGAGGTGGCGATGGGGGGGAGTGAGGGGAGGGTGTATTGGCCGGAGGGGTGCGAACATTGGTTAAGTCCGGTGAAGAGGGTTAGGGCGAAGAAAGAGGTCAAGGACGACGGGGATGAGGATGCTGTAGATACAGAGCGGGGCGAGAAACCGCCGCCGAAAAAGAGGGCGGCGAGGAAGCCGAAAGTAGAACAGCCAGAGCCTGCGGAAGACGGAGAAGAAGTCGAAGCATCACCGCCAAAAAAGAAGTCCACAACCCGCAAGCCCAAAGCCGCAAACCCACCCCCAGAAGCCACCTCAGAAGCCAACCCAGAGACCACAAAACCACGCTCAAAACGCCAAAAACCACCAACAACAACAGAAGCCACAACTGCAGCCATAACCAAAAAGAAACGCCCCACAAAGAAAGCACCAGCACCCGCACCTACTGCAGATGTAGGCGCTGACGAAGAATCAGACTTGAGTTCACCGCCACTAGTCAGCGACGACGAGAACGAAGAGGTACCGAGTGCGCCGCAGCAGGAGGTGTTTTTGCAGGTTGATCGTGAGGCGGCGGCGGTGGTAGAGGGGACGAGGAGGAGTGGGAGGGTTAGGAAGGCTGTGATACGGTAGGGCTGTGTAGAAGATAGAGAGGATAGAGGGGGATACACAGGAATAGATATAGTGCCTTAGTTTTATTGTATTATTAACGATTGTTTATTTATGATTGTGTTTATTAAAGACTGTTTATTTATGATTGTTTATTTTGGTAAATTAGTTATGCCTTTTTATGAAGATGAATATATTTCGGAGACTAGGGGTTTGTTCGTTTTGTAGTTGTGCAGTGTTGATGATTAGAATTTTATGGGCTTAAACACGCCCGAGTGATAGTCCATGATTGGAATGTTCAACCCGGGGTCTAGGGTCTGGAAGTAGTATGAGTAGGCTTTTTTTTTTTTTTTTTTTTTTTGTTTAATTCATAGTATGAGTAGACTGGTGCGATAGGATATTTATGAATTGCCTTGAATTGGCAGCATAGTGCTAGGGGCTATAGACAGTGATCCAACTCGACTAAACCCACTCAGAAGGAACCCCCCGATCCATAACCTAACCGCATTACGCCGATACTACAGATCAGCATCGGTAACTCTTACTCAAGCACCCACTTGACGCGTATCATCTCGGAGCGGGCAGAGAGGATAGAATCCCGGGTTTGAACCACTGCCGAATTCATAACCGCTCACTCTCTTGGATTCCTGCCAGTACGTGTGTAGCTACTTACATGTAGAGAGAAGACAGAGTCCCTCGGCACGTGCTGTGTTCTTCTCTACTTCATACCTACAGCGCCAGCTTACACCCCCAGCACTCTCTGATGAATCATCAAGGTAAGGGACACAGCTATTCGTCACCAGTGCAGTGTTTTCTCCACTCGGAGTCTGTAGCTAGCTAGTATGCTGGGTTCGGCGCTGCGGCCGCTCTCGCACAGTGGGTAGTGGTAGTGGTGGTGGTGTACAGTAAGTAGATTACTAGTCTGAGCTTGTTTGTTGGGTTGTCGTTCTGCGTGGGAGGAGGGTGGTCGGAGTGTATGTTGCCCCGAGGGAGGTGGGGGGTGGGGTGGTGTCATGGGGACATGGTGGGAAGATTTGTGGGTTGGGAGGTGGGTTCGGGTTGTATGAACTGTGCTCTGTGAGAGAAACGGCTGTGTGGTTCGAGGCACCAAGGAGCGATGTTGGCTGTAGCCGGCCGCGTGGTGGAGTATCCCGGGCCGTCTTTGATGGAGATAGATGTATGCTGTTATGACAAACAAGAGGATGGCCAGTGGGTTGTCTCCATGACCATCAGCAGGTCATGGGTTCAACTCCGGGGGTGGGAGTGATGCTCTGGGGTGTACGGCATGTAACGGGGAGTAGAGTCCGATATACCGGGTAGTTGATCTCACTCAGATCCTTCCGCAAATTATCACCTATAGCCCGTGAGGGGCGTATGGTTACAGCATCACTTTTTGTGTATTTTTTTTGAGGGGCCTGAGGGCCTTTCTTAGTGGGGTATGTGTGATATCGATAAGAGCTCTCTCTGGCAGAAATGTTAGAGTTGAAACATGATGATATGGGGTTTGAGGGGTCGTGGTGAGTAGAGACTGGATAATATGATTTGTGCGTGCCCAGAGCTATACCCACTGTGCACGTGCTTAAGCAAAACGCCAGAGAGACCAAGGGGTAAAGGTCGAGCTACCGTGGACGGCCACTAGCGGCTTTTTCCCCGGGGGGCTGCTGTAGCAATGCTCGAGTTTTGCGAGTGATATTTCATGATCCAAACTCTCCAACACTCCACCACACCGCACAATGCCCAACCGCACCACGCCGCATAATACTCGACCACACCAACCCTAAAACCACCACCACTACCACCACCACCACCATCACCACTACCTTAATGAAGTAATCAATCAATCAACCACCACCACCACTACCACCAATATGACTTACTATTAATATGCTTCAGCTGGTAACGAGACCTCGATATTACCGTATTTATATCCCGCCTCGCCCCGCCTAGCCCCAGGACCAGCTAGCATCAAAAGAGTCAAAAGACGGCCTCCAAAATTTGAAAAGTCCAAAGGTTCTACCGAACCTGGGCCCCATCAATGATGTATATAGGCTAACTGTTCGCAATGCAGGAGCTCAAGCAAGGCAAGAGAAAGCCCATTTTACCAGACTCAGAGGAATGTACTAACCCCCCCCCCCCCCCCCCCCGGGCGGGAACTCTTCAGTCTGGCGATAGTAAGCAACTATTTCACTCTGATATTCGGTGCCTTCCATAGAGCGGACACATCATCATCATCGTCTTGAGCAGCCTTCTGTTGTCACCGTTACCGTTGCTGACACTGACGTGAGCTGACCCCTCGTCAGAGGGGATTAGATACATTATAAGCCCTCATCCCTTCTTGGAAGCCGTGAAGGATGATTTAGTCTTGCTCCCCCGTCCCCGCTCCCATTTTATCTATTACCTCAGCTGTAGAATTTAAGGTCCAAGGTGCTACTTTGGTTCCTGAACAGAAGTAACATGGAATCTGTTACGTCAGTATAGATCATCACGGCTTTTAATCCATGGCCGCCATCGTATGTCTTACTCCTAGCTGTTCCTCATACACAACTAGCGCGTGGCAGAAACCTTCCGGGTTATGTCTCCGGGGTCTGGACTTTCAGATAGATATACGGTCCTTCAGCTGCCCCAGACCTAGGCTTGGTGGGTATGTATGTGGAGTATACATGTAGTTCTTGACCATGTCTTGAGACTAATATAATAGGAAGAGAAAGAGGAAGAAGAGAGATATAGAGGGACGATAAGCAACATGGCCAATGGAGACCCGGAACCCCTCCACACATTTAATCCTTCCGCTCACGTGTAGGCATAGATCCTGGCCATAAACGCTAATATTGACTCCATCGATAGAGGACTCAAATCCCTCCTAGCCGGACGAGGTTTTATAACAGTGTTATATCAGGTTTTTCCCTGATCTTGCTTCTGAGAACGAGTTATCTAGGGGAATTGATAACAGCAAGATCAACCCTGCCGGTATCGCTACTCATACCTTATCTGTGGTAAATTACCTTAAGAGTGCATAGCTTGGGTCAACAGTTAGTATGGTATGTATGGCTATTAATGGACCCCGCAGATTGTCGATGTATGCCATGGATCTGGGCAATACACTGTACTGGTTGATGATCCTGCATGACGGGTGACTGTGCTTTGGTATTTTATTGTTATGAGGGGTTTAGTTTTCTCTTTAAAAATTTGGGAGATTCTAATTACTTTTTATCGAGTTACCTACTCCATGCCATGGGCGGAATTCTTGCGTTTCGCGCATCAACTTTCCCCCAGAGGGCACGCGTACGCACGAGGATGTATATAGGAAAAACTTCCAACAGCGGGGATTCATGGTTACGATAACAATTCCTAAGGACTGCAAGAAGTGTGTTTCGTCTGATCTGAGATAAATATTTAGTTGAGTGTTATTGTTTCTATTGATATATACATACCAAAGCATTACTGAACGTACATTAATATGAGCGCACTACTCAGTATCTCTAAGGAGTGGTAAAAACGTGGTGAGTGGCTATTTCTGTGGATGATTAAAAGCTTTCCGACCGAAATAAAACAACAATTCCAAAGAACATATAACGCCAATGTTATCCCAACGTATTCCAGAGCCTCCGCTACCATGTTTCATAAAACATGTTTAAACACACCAACCCAAACAAAGGTTGAATCACCATGACTCACTCGGTTATTACCGATTCTAATTTTGGACCCAACACTTCAAACTAATAGTCTAAAAGAAAGACATTATACCTACCCTATGCTGCTTCGCAAATTCCAGTTGGATCCTTAAACAATAAAGGACATGTGGCCCTAGGTTTAGATTGCTACGACTTCCGGTCTGTTTTCATGGTGACAGTTGGTGCTTTGTGACTTCTCAGTCTCATTCTTATTTACACTAAACACACATACTCCGGGTCCAACGATTTTGATGCTGGTTTACCACCCCCTTCATACTCATTGGGATAATTGGTACCTTGGTGTAGGAGTTACTTGAATTACATTTGGGCTTTATTGTCGTATTAAAGTGATACGTCAATACCTCCTCCATCACCAGCGGTAGGTATACTGCAATAGCTCCGCGTAAACACCAACCTCATGCTACCTACCACTCAACTTCTCTCCTCCTCCAAATCGCCATCCAGTACGTGACCCAACCAGCGTACCGCTCGATGAAATGACGTCAAAAATATGTTAAGCTTAAAATAAACACCGATCTACGTAGGTACACCTAAGATGCTGGAAACATTCTCTTCAATGGCAAACCACTGTTGCGATCTGATTGGTCGCTGCATCACCGCCACGACCAGCCGGAAACCTATTGCCGGCTACAAAACCGCACTGCCATCCTGGTTTCGAGTAGATAAACTTTCAGCTGTGTTTTGCTCGCTGAGAAGTGTACCTGGCGGTGAGTAGAGCGCCTGGCATGGAAAATCACAATTGGCTAATTAAGAACATAGCTAGCTTTATGATTGTTGTTCTAGCTGGCTGGGCTGGGCTGGATACATAGCGATCAAGTGCTCTATGTCCCAGAGTAGACACATACATAACGCGGGGGAGGGAGGCATGTTTACCCAAACCGCGGCTACTGATCATGACAACCCCTGATTGTTTACCACCCCCCCTTATGTAGCTTAGCTAGGAGCACTTCCCCAGAGATCCACGATCTTGCCCCGCGTTTGTCCAAGAAAACTTATTTTCTTCAAGCCGGATCCGGCCGCATAATTCGCTCCAGGTCACAGATTTCTTTTTTCTTTTTTTGTGTATGTAGAATAAAAGAAGAGCCGCGGGCGCGGGCGGGCGGTAATCCCGACTACCCCCCCGTGCGATATTCCCCCGGCATGGCAACGCGGAGAGAGAGCAAGAAATGGTGATAGTACAGTTTGCGATGTGTGCGTACTTGTACTTTGAAATGGGCGTGGATGTAGCTAGTAGATGCAAGGAACAACTTAGCTATGTCTCGGATACCCGTAGGTGAGGTGTGTGCGTTACTTGCTTGCTGACCGGACGATGGGAAAGGGAGGGAAGGGAGGGGGAGAATGTAAGAAGGGTTGCGGGAAAATATGACTTGATGCAGCGGAGTAATTGTTATTACTCTACCATTAGGTATCGAATATTAAGTTCTTGTAGCTGACTAGCCAGCTATAGATATATGCGTCGCACCGCAGCGAACAGGGAGGGGGAGATGTAGAACCGCACATATCGGATCAAGGCCAGACCACACTGCAGGAGAATGATCGTGGGTTCTGGAAAACTTGTTTGCTTGTTTCCCCTTCGAATCTTCTTTTTTTGCTTTACTTTTCCTTTCCCCGCAGAAAGCTAACGTGGTACATAGTAGATAGCGTGAGTGAGATTGGAATGCAGTGCTACAATTAACACCAGTCTGCGATAATTAATAGCGACGATAATCGCACCGCACATGAAAGTGAAAAAAAAGGAAAGAAACGCATGATAATCATACGCATTAAATAAGCACTTGTTCGATCCTCCGGTCATCATCATGCAGCTAAACACCGCATCATCATTGTTTTTCTTTTTCTTCTTCCTCATGAGGGATCTCCGTCATGTACTCTATTGTACCTAGGCCTTAATGTAGTTCTCTATCATGTGTAAATAACCTCAGCAAGGGATCCTGGCGTTCTGTTACGAGATGAGCATGCCTAGGTACGGTACATGTGCGTATTCTGCCTTGAAGGCTTCTTTCTATCCTCCACTGCAGGGTCTCGTTGTGTAACGAACGTGCATTGATATGTCTTGCTAGGGTCGGGAAGTCCGTAATTGAAGGGGGAGGGCTAGTTATAGATGCCGTCAGTCGGCGGTTGCTCGGTCGGACTTCGGAGAATTGGAGCTGGTGGGCCGAATGCCGAACCGGGGGTTTCATCGGATTTCGGGTGAGCGCTGTTCACTGCATGCATTGCATTTTCCGTAGTATGACCTGCTAGGTTACTTGTATGTACTCTAAGTGTAGAGTAGAGTATACATGTAGGTAGAGTATGTACCTACATGTTATGTAGGTACTCTACATACATACATACATGCGGCTAGCTAGGTCGTGCAGAGCAATTAACTACAGTGATGGGATTTGACAGCTTTTCCCGGTGGCACGACATACCTGCTCTACACGATAGATCTAGAGTGTTTGATAATTCAGTACTTGAGCATTCGGCGTATGGATACCTGGAAATCCCGATATTGAAAGGCCCGAAGATACGAGTAGACGATCCAGGGTATTGCTTGATTGCTTGCTTGTATATCAAACAGAACCCGTCTCCAGAAATACATGTGTGATTCTTTGATAAAGGTAGCCCGCTCCTACTCTCAAATTAAGTTTACCAATGAAGGTTATAACCGGAATTGAGACCATATAATCGCTGTTATAAGAACAGTACTATTAATACTATCTGTTCTCCTTAATTTTATTAATCATGGCCGCCTAGGGTGTCTTGCCGTGACCAGATACCGTGACCAGACTCTCTATGTATATCACTACATTATTAATTCACATGCACCAGCAACCGCCAAAACCTTCCAAATGCTGACTGATTTCTTGGTCTCTAGTCAATTCTCCAAGACGTGAACGTTTCGCATGCCGCCAGTTCATCCAATATCATATCTCGACCTTTAGACAACCTCAAAGGAAGATATACTAGATTGAGAAATCCATCCTAGCTGATCACTGCTGAGATATCTGTTATCTATCATTACAAAACCCGTGCACGGTGGAGTTTCATCGAGTCCGTTACCGGTGACCGGATTCGCCGTGCCATATTGCCATGGAGATCCAGATCTGGGCCCTTTTCTCGTACTCTATATATTTAGATTAAAGGTGCGAGTGATAATATCGATTCTACCCTGCTCAAGGGACTGCGCTGCACATCAAACCTATATGGAGCTAGTTAGGCAGACAGACATCACGAAATATGAGACATAACTAGTAACAGGCGCACAGGCTCAGGTACAAGAAAAAAAAGCCTCGCGAAACAACGCCATAAAAAGAAAATAAGAGGGTAAAAATGATATCACCAAACATTTATACCTATCTACTCTAACTACCCCGTCTTCATCAAATCCATAAGGTCCAATCCAAAGCCTCCTCCACTACTAGCCTGCTGTTGTTGCTTCTTCGCCTTCAATATCTCCGAGAGACTATTCCCCTTCCGTGTCTTTGCCCGTTTACGACTGTTGGCGTTTGCCAACGATTGGGCCCCAGCAGCCTTCCCCGATGATTGGGCCACGCCAACCTCAGCTTTCGCCTCGGCTTTTGTAGGAGGAGGAGGAGCTGCAATTGTGGCTGCAGCCTTAAGCTTTGACTTCCTGGCCCTGCTGCCCCTCCTTCTCTTTGCCAGGGGAACAGCAGACGCGCGACTCCTACCACACATCTGGCATTCAAACACCATCATCGCCTTGTCCTTCCCTTTCCTCTGTTTGCTCACATGGGAATTGATACCCCAAACCGCCACCGTGCCACAGGCATTACAGACGCCTCGCTCGACGCTGTCGGGCAGGTTGATCCCCTTTTCGGACGAGATATGTAGTAAGCGGGTTGCGAGGTGTGCCGATACCGAGGGGGAGGTAGTGGCGAGGAGGTGTGATGCGGCCCAGAGGTGGCGTAGCTGTAGGGCGGTGGTGGGGTTCGAGGTCATTGCGGGGCGGAGGTGCGGCGATTGGGTCGTGACCTGGGTCCGGGTGGTGGGTGGTGCGGGAGCGGTGAGGGAAGGGGACAAGATCGGTCGGTTGCTAAGAGAGTGTAACGATATGTAGGGTAGGGGCAGTTAGAGGAGTGCTGTAGAGTAGGGTTCGTTCGAGGCTTAAAGCAGGGATGCGAGCCTTGGACTGATTCAAAACTTTAGTTTCCTTATTTACTTCGAGAACGAACAGCAGCAAGAAGCAGCAGACCTGACCGCAGAATTATCTGTATGTGCCTAGGTAAGTAAAATAAGTATGTATGTAGATTAAAATCTCTACTACCCAGCTTACCGTTGACAAAGGGGAAAAGAAAAGAAAAATAAAGCAAAAGAAAAAAGAAAAAAGATTGCACTTGGCTTGTCTCATATGTCGATATTTTCCGATCCCGGCGCGCGCAACAACGATAAACAGCCGATAAGCCCTTGCCCGGAGAATTTTTCTCACCTAATAAGCCGGAGAATGAAGCCGTCCGTTGTAAGACTAATCATTTACTCTACTCTTATATGCCGGGGGGTGGGAAAGTTGATCCTTGAAGAACGTCTGTGTGAAGAGGTAGTGAAGACTAAAGGAGACAGAGAGAAGAGAAAGAGAGCATCGGCTGATTCCGATGAGATTTTCAATTGTTCAGTTTGGTAAGCAGAGCCTACAATTGCTTACCTTACGATACTCAAATCATTTATTTACATATCTTACCGCTTATTTTTGTTTCTCTTTACTTTATTTTTTTCTTTTTGTGATCACCAGTCTGTACAAAAGTATAGAGAAAAGGAATTAGGGCCCAAAAAAAGACAGGCTTTCCCAAATGAATCCATAGTAGGAGGATATGAACAAAATTGTGCTGAGTAGTATGAGTTTTTAGACTCTCTCCCGCACCTTCGTCTGCTTTCCGGCCTTAGACCAAGCTCACATCAAGCATCCATTCTTCTTGCTAGAGTGCAATTCTGTGACCCCAATCCTGAACCTCTGCCCCCCACTCCCCTTGGTGAAAGCCTCCACGCTCCACTCGTACCAAACCTTTCGCTCACTAGCCTCTCGCCAGATCGTCACGTCGACCTCGGAATCGTCAGGAAGCTGCACCGGTGTCTGCGGGTTTGTTAGTGATGAGTTCATCCCATCCAGTGATTCGGCTACATGCGGTGTGATACACCGGACAGCCCTCCACTCCCTGCTACTACTCCCTACTAACACCCTCCTTTCACCCTAGAGTATGCAAGAAGCGAGCTCGATAAACAATAGATCCGAATGCATGCATGTGTATCTACTCTATCGCTCGCTTCCCCTCATTTTTGTGGAGAGTAATCAAGAAAAACAAGGATCCCAGCCGGTGCAGTGCAGTGCGTGCACACCACACCAGTGCCATACCAACTAGGGGGAGGGTGGTAGTGGGTGGTTCTATAAATATATATATCTGCACCATCTGGGATTTGCAGGGAAGAATGAAAAAAGGTAGAGAGAGGAAAGGAAGGGGGAGAGAAAAAAAATCTGAATTCCCATTACGTACCTTCAACGGAAAGAATATCGGGAACCAACTAATCATATCCTTACTCTTCGCATCGATCGTATCCGGCCTGGTGCTCAACTCTACATCCCCAAACAGGACACTCTCGAAGTATCCAGCCAACCCATGCACCACTCCCCTTCGGGGAATCTTGAAGGTTGCCTTTGACTTCCTTATGTTGTGGTCATTGCCACCGTCGCCGAGCCCGATAAAGCCACCACCTAGTGCGGCCGCCTCGGACATGGTGTTGGCGGGAAGCGGATGATGGAAATCCCAGGCCCGGTAGATGTACTCATTTTCAGCGAGTGATTCAATGGCTTGTAGCATCACTACGTATGGAGTTTCTGGGGCATCCGGGTCAGATCGCCGCGAGAGGATGTCGGCGTGGATCTTGGGAGCCATGATGGGCGTGTAGTGTGCCGAGTATGATGCGGGGATGGAGATACCGCCATTAGCTAGTGAGATTGGTAGTATCATCAGTGAACCTCCCCACTCGCCATTGGGATTCGAAAAATAAACATACGATTCAATACCCTCTGCACGCCATCTAAACACTCTGGACTAAGCTCGTTGTCACCGAAGCTCCCTAAAAGCTCGCTGACGATGATATCCACCTTGAATGGAGGGTTCCAGCTGCGCATATCACTCTTCACCACAGTGACCTGTCCAGCCCATGTATCGCGATTGTGCCGTAGGAGATGCACGTAGGCATTGGGGTTCTTCTCAACTGCAATCAGCTTAATGCTGCGGTTGGCCGATTTTGAAGCTCGAAGGGCTCGGGAAACGAGGGGTCCTCGGCCGGCTCCAGTGACGGCGACGATACTGTTAGTCGAATTAGCGTAACCAGGGAGATTATCTCAGCAAGTCCTGAGCATGGGATAAAATCAAAATAGAGCTAAAGGGAAATGATCGAAACGTCCGAAAAAAAATGAATTGGGGAAACTTACATTGTTTCATTGGGATCTCTCACATCCAATGCCGCCTTGATCGCTTTCTCGTACTGATCGTACTTAACGGGGTCTTTCTCAAACACCTCATACGTAATACTCTCGAGATTATCGGCTAGTGGTTGGAGTGGCGCCTGAAGATAGTCCTGGTATCCTGCCCCGAACCTTTCAACAGTTGATTGCGGGGGCTGGTTCTTCTGGAGATGACGAAGATATACCAAGTACCCGAGTGGTTCGTATCTTGGCTTTGAGCGGGATCTAGAGCTAGCAGCGACTACGGGTGTAGGCTCAACATGTGTGTCCGAGATAAGGATGTATGGTACAGGGCGAAGCTTCATGTAACGGGTAAGAAGGCCTTGATGTGCATTTGAGAAAACGGGATAGCCTTTGGGGTTGGGACAGAAAGTGGATGAGGGGATAAGGAGAGTGCGGATAGGCTCGGCGAACCAACGATTCACGAGATGGTGGGAGGGTAGTACAGCAGGAATTCGGAGTGCTGAAATTTGAGGTTAATGTCTGGCAGCATAATTTGGGGGGAGTGGGATAAGTACCAAGAGACAGTCTTGCATTATATTTGCACACTGTTCGAATCGTGTTCCATACATCCCATATCGAAAATTCGTCATATATTTCTCCATTATTCGTCGCAACTCCTTCCTCCTCTGTCATAGGGAGGTGGACATGAATCTGTGTATATGATCCCTTCAACAATGTCGCGTGTATGATCTGCGCATATTGCGCGACGTTCGTCTTCCTTTTTGGCCCCTCAATGACCACTGTGCTTACGCCGCAAAACGCGGCATATTCCAACTCGTGCGCTAGAACCTGTCGGGAAACATGGGCGAACAAAGGATCCTCAGAGTCCAAGTCAATCCATGTGGACGTAAAGGCAATCACCTGGGGGATGTGTTCGCCGGGGTGAATGTTGACTTCCTCGGCGTCGAGTGAGGGGATGTAAAGGTGGACCTTATTGTCTGCATGAGCGCCGGAGGTGGCTTGCTCAATACGGGTGCGGAAGTTCGCATTTGTTATGTAGGTTGTTATCATATCATACTAATATGCTTACATAGTAATTAGATATGTGACTCAAGTGAAGAATTCTTTTGTTCTTTCTTTTCGGGGGGATTTACGCCATTGCTGATTTCTTCCTCGAGTGTGCCGAGATTTATTCCAACATTTGGGGTGGGAAGATGGTGACCAATGTACCATACGGGTACGTTGGGCTCAGCAGGCTGGTGGGCATCCATCGTGTGATTTCTTGGAAATAGGAAAAATCAACAGAGGATGGTGAGGTGCTTTGGTGTCCGTGGATGGAGAGGTAGCACCGTGAGCTGCAACCGCGAGTGGTGGAGTATTGTAGGATCGTTGCATAAGAACCTCTCCGGCCAAAAATAAATTTCAGTTCGCGATGCACAAGATGCAACAAAATGATGGCGGGGTGTGAGAGTGGCTTGTGCACGTCCCCGCATTTGTGTAATTCGATCCTATGATTTGAGCTAGAGTTGGGCAGGGGTCATTGCAACACAGCCACGAATGGCTTATCTGTAAATACTGTATATTGAAGAGTATGTAGATACTGCATAACAATGGATTAGTCGCCATATAAATTGACAGGATAGAGAGAGCTAAAAAGGCGTAATACAGAGCACTCTGTTTTCATACCTAAACGAAATTTAATATCTTCCGTAGTTGTAAGATTGGCGTACCATACAATGCGATTGTCAGCCACAAGGGTGCAAATGTACGGTGGTGGGGAATGCCAAGACAACGTGGGGCACGCGTTTGTCTTTAACGTCGCGTCTCACAGACTTCTTCCTTCTTTCCTCACCCAACTCACAATAACTGGATTGCCCCCAACCATCGATTCGCTCCAACCTTTCGTCACTGGTACCTTTTATTAGATTGCCTGGTAATATTTCTATCCTTCTCATCATCTCTCCCCCTTCGTTTTGCCCATATACCGCTTGTCTTGCTGCTCTGTGCCTTAGTTCTCCGTTGGTCCGTTGGCTTTAGCTCCCTTTGCTCGTCTCCTTGAGACAAAACACAAACATCTATATATATAGCAGTCAAACGACCACACAGTCCCCCGGTATCAGCGCAGGGAAGTTGTCCTTGAGAGAAGTTATGGCTCCTGCAGACCCACCTACCACTTTCCGACCGTCGTCGTCAATGGAAAAAGAATAGGCCAGGGTTGTGCATAGGGAGATGTTCTCGTCGTCCATACCGGGATCTTAACCCTAACTACCCAATCAGTTGTGTCACAGTCGCGTCGAATAGGGCTCTTCCAGGCGTGTTACAGATTGTTTCGCGGTTCGTCGAGCTCTGCTAGACCGGCTCTGCGGCGTTCCTTCTGGAATGCGTCTTGTGGAGGTAAATTTTACCGCAATTCGCTTTTTGTTGGGCGATCTTTTTCCCCACAATCTGTCGGTTGCGGAGTTATTTTCGCGGTGCCGAACGTCATTGGAGTTTGGTGGTGTTTGGTAGTGCGTTGACGCCGTCCCCCCCCAGGCTGTTACGTACCGTTAGGATTGTGCATGGGGGTCGGCCTCCCTAGCAAGCCAACCCACGCTTTACAAACGGACATTGGGATGTGGCTTCATACTCACCTGAAAGGCAAATTGCCGGCAATGCATACGCAGATGTAGCTTTACGCGGTGTACAGCGAACCTTTCAGGTTTACATACGGAAGCCCTCCCAATAGTCATATCAGCGTGGGTTGCTAGGCTCCTGATGGGGACATAGGCATACCAAACCTCATGTCACAATCTTTTCAGCGTACGTTGGTGATGATGGGTAACTATCATCACCAGCCAGCATCATCAAGCTCCAGTGTAGTGGTCATTAGAACATGACCTCATTCGTCCCCTCCACCTGGACTGGTTTACAATCAGGACCAGTTCTCATTTTGAGATAAGATCAGCCAACTGTGATATTGTCCCCTCCTTGGAATTGCTTTGGGATAAGTCTGAGGACGTATCTTGGGGGAGCTCCTTGGAGGAAAGACACACATTGATTTAAAACAATCTCTCAGAGATAAACTACACGGCTTTTTTTTTGTTTCTTTTTCCCGTGCATTAGTCCTCGGAAACGGGGATTGATAGAAAGCAAAAAAACACTATAGACAGTTCTCTGCTACTACACAAACGGAGCAAAGGGAGCGAGCAAACAACCATGGAGAACAAGACTCTTGCCTTCCGGTCGGGGGCAAGGTTCCCTCTCCTTCGGGTCAGAGGGATGCAGACTGCATTCGAGAGGAGAATGGGCGTCCTGCGAGATTCAAGCGTCGAGAGCGTTGATGAGAGTGGCCGAGATTTTACCACCTAAGGTGATAAGATGATTGGATCCTACTAAACAGAGGAGAGCGATCGATGTTACACATCGAAAACTAACAGTACTTCTCTCCACACTACTCTAATTTCCTCGGCCTTTTGTTCTCAGTTTGACAGGGATGCATGCGGCACTTGGGCCCCCGCGTCCGACGTGACAGTTCAGACTGGTCCGTTTTGCATTTCGGTTATTCTCTGGACGGGGCTGGTGTGGAGTTGAGTGAGGTTGAAGGGCTGGAGGTAGAAGTGATGGTATGTTGAGGTTGATGCTGGTTAGAGCTGGGCCGGGTCGTTCCTACGGGGGCGACCCGTACATTTTTTTTTTGATAAGTTGCCCTCCCCTATGAGGTTACTGGAAATAGCTAATTTTTACTGCAGAGACGGAGTGTGTGGAGGGAGAGAAGAACATCGGAGAGGATGTGAGGATATGTGGTTATTATGTACATGTATGTATGTATGGAATACACGGAATGTATGAAGAACGAATTGAGGTTATTGACCTAATATTTTAGTCCGACTGATCCTTTTGCGGATTATCCCGCGGGAATGACAAATGGAATAACCTTATATTATGCATGGTGATGTTTATAGAATGATATTTCTTTTCTGTAGCCTCATCATGCCTCTATGATACACTGCTTATTGAAAGAAGGTGGATCGTGAACTTTGCTTATATTGCCTAAGAGCATTCTTGCGTTCTTAAATTTATTTAAGAACATACGTGATACCGTTCAAAGCTCGCTTGCCTCATAATTTATATTTCGAAACAAACGACAAGTCTTGAGGAATTAGGATACATATGAGTATATAAATTTCACAATTTCAAATGTTACTGCTCCATCCACTATCCATCTCTTTTGTTTGCTTATATATCCGAATATTTCAATCACTTGTTCCTCAGAAACTCCGTCGCTGACAGATATATCAAAACGGGTTTGCAATTGGAGTGATATTCGGTCTTCATGCCACTATACATACTTTTCGGAGCTGAGAGTGAATGGGAGGCCATCACAGTGAGTGAATGGCATGAATTTTGCTAGTTATCTAAAAATTTGACTAGTACCTGTGAGAATATATATATGTGACCCAGTTTATCCATATAGGCTATCATTGCAGGTTGAATGGCCCCTGAGTGACTGGTGTAATTCTAGTTTGGGACAATAGGCATTATTTTCCATAAGGACCACTGGAGTAGTACTACAGTTGCCCCTGCATACTATAACAAGGCCTTCAGGGAATGTGGGGATTTTAGATTCCATACCATCAGGTGGCCAATAATGGACCAGTCCCAGCAACTTCCGGCTTCTCGTTAATTTCAAGAACATACATGTATCCTCCGGATGGTGGAATCGTTGCCGTAGTTATCTTCTAGTTAGCTTGAGGTTGTTTCTTCGAGGTCCAATTAACTAAATTATCTCAAGAGCTTATATCGCTAGCGGGTTTCATCTATAACTGTTTCTTCGCGAAGAAGGTTGAGATTTCCACCTCCTTGGTCGTGGGGCTATGCTGGGTATACAAGCAAGCAGGCAGCGATAGCGGTAGTTGAATGGGGATGTGGAGAAAGAAAGGTAACGATAATGTATGGGAATCAGTTACAAATCCACTCCGGAGACACGTTCGGTTTCAACTCAGGGGGGCCGCTGCTCTACCTAGGTATATGACGGAACTGCCGCAACCACGATTTGAATTAAGAAGCCAAAAAAGCTCCTGATTAATATTTTATTCTATCTACCATGGTTCACTCAGACACAGACAGGACATGAATTGAGGGAAAAAAATTCTCGGCGTGACGGGAGGCGGCCATAGCGGCGTATGCATGCATGTTATTGTTCTTGCTACTGCTGCCAACCACCACCCCTAGCTTCCCCTCCCCCACCAGGTCACAGAACTGACGTCTGATTCCCGACGGTATGGATCACAGTTGCCAGAAACGAGGGCGTGCATGAGGCGGACCACCGCCCTGCTGTAATTACCTAGGTACTTTACCTCTGTATCTACCGTACCCACTTTTTAGGGGGAAGGGAAATAAATTAACACCGTATGTTAGTTCTAGCTGTTATTATAGTTGGATGATGTATAGTTAGATAGGTGGAAGGATTTAGAGAATGGCCCCCACTGTGGATGGGCTGGTTAGGTTTATTATTCGGAATTCTTTCGTTGATATTTGAATTTGAATTTTATCTGTCCTACTCATGAAAGGTAATCTTAAATAAGGCAGTTATGCGGTGAAGGGAAAGAAACGAAACGAAACGAGCTCGTGGTCAACTAATTCGCCCCTGTGAAATTGTTGCTGATGGTGATCTGATGGCAGATGTTTCTCCTTCTCAGGCAGTGGTGATGTGATGGCAATGGTAATTTAGGATAGGTCTTTACTTGCTTTTTTATTGCGCAAATGACGATTTTCGGGCCGTAATTACACACCTTGAGGCTGGATACTTGGAGGCTTGTTTGGTCCCCAAGATCAGACTGGATAGAACCTATCATCCACTACATGTATGATGTCTCCCCCACCATAAGCCAAGAATTAACAGCGCGTATATTGGGGCCATTGGTTGATCTGTGGATGATTGGGTGATACAGAGCAGAGCCCTCAACATGACCCATGTTAGATATCCCCGTTTTTTCTCACACCTCTAGGGTTTCGATTATGGCCACAATGGGGCAAAGTTTCGAGAGAAAGAGAGATAATAATATACATACCGTTCAAGTTAGCTAGCTGGCTAGGTAGCGAGGTATTTCACGTGTGAGCAAATCAATCACCGGGTACCTTGCCAACTCGCGTCCGATATTAAACGCGCTCCAAAGGAGGAGAAGGGGAGCATCGTGAATGTGAATTAGAATTTGGAACGGTTGTAAGTGTATGTTTGAACAGCGCGTTATAATGGAGGGGAAGAAAGGAAGACTGGTCATTTCTTACCTACATGCCAACATGACGGCGTAATTTTCTCTGTCTGGGGGTTTTTTTTTTCTTTTCACTCACAAGGCACGCGGACGTTCTGTCCTCCTGTACCCCATACATACATCATACCTACATGCCTCTCGTATCATAATTCCATCCACTATTTCGCTTGGATCCTGAGGTTGGGCGGGTTTCGCATTCATCCGAACTATAGGTACTATGTACGTAGAGTATAGTACCTTAAACGCCGACAACATGCAATACAATATGAGGGGGTTGGACTCAAGTCTCCCTTTACCTATGGGGTTGCTGGATAGATCTACGGAGTTTAGGCCATGGACTCTCACTCATCTTTCTTTGTCATGCCTCTCCTGTCGCCGGAAAAACGGGCGGATATAATTCCGGTCCCTTGAAATTCGTTGCACCTCCGGTGGGTTAGAGTAGGGTAGAACCTTTCATTAAACTTGATTATGCCCTAATGTGCCGGTGGCAACATGTCAGCAGCTGGAATATTCTGCGCATGTGAGTAAACCGAATTTACGGTGTGAGGATGTAGATATGTAGGTAGAGTAGATAGGCTCGTTCCCAATCGATCTCCAACCTACACTTGAGTTATGTCGTGGTTGCTACGCACCGCACCGTCGTGGGGTAGGGTGGTGGTGGAAATGGTCAAACGGACCGGTTCCTTAACCGGTGGTTGCGACCGACCGAATAAAACTCAAAACCGAAGTAATAATCGGGTTGGATGATTGACCAATTAGTTGGGTGGGCGGAGCGGAGATGCAGTACCGATTCATACATGGCCGCACCCGTACCACAGCCACAGCGAGGTATGCATAAAGTTGATCTCATCTTGATCACTCGCCCTAGCGTTTATATTTGCTTCTATTAGCGTGGGAGGGTCGCATAACCGGTGCAGTGTCCAATGAGGGTGGTTATCGTCGGTATTAGCTTCTGGTCTGTTTGATCGGAGGGGCCCGACACGATATATGTATATCGCGATATCGTATTAACTGACGATTCTGTGGGCACAGGCAGGTGCGCAAGGTAACTACATACTCAAGGATATTAAAGGTAAAAGCTTATCGCGGGAAATCGATATGACATACCTCCAAAAACCGCACAGTGTACATACATCCAGACTACCTACATACTTTAATTAATTAACGATTGTATTTTGTTTTCCCGCCTTTCTTTTCTTTTGAAAACCAGGGGAAGCAATCAGTATCTGATCTCGGTATACACCGGGCTTAATATTTTTTCCCTTCCTTCTATTACTATGTTTTGAGGGAGAAGGTCCTCCACGTGTGCGCCTGAGGTGTACTCTAGACCATACACTTATGTATGCATGTAGAGCAGAGAGCAGAGTGACTAGTCCCTGTATTATCACTGACTAGCCCAAGAACACAGATGTTAATTCTGCTTTTTTTTAATTTGCAAGGACCCTACTAGTACTTGAGATTCCTCAGTTCATCGTTACCTAGCGTGCTCAAGCAATGATCCCGTGGCCAGCTTAGAAACAATTGGTTCCTGGGCTGCCAAGAAATAGTAGAATTTAGAAAAGTCTGCTAAAAAAAAATAAGCACTAACGCCTGCACGTTAGTTCTCTCGAAGTTTGAACTCGCTCTGCGGTTCCCGGAACACAAACTATTGTTAACCCTAAGTGCCTTATGAGATGATTTGATAATTCGGCAGAGTATGCAAGGGACGAGGGTTAGGTCAGGGACGATTCAAGAAGTAATTACGTGCCGCAGACGCTGGTGCGAATGGATAATGCACTAATAGGTTCGAGGTAGATAATGCAAATGTCGTCTGAGCTGATTGCCATTATTTCATTGACATTTGAAGGTCACAGACAAAAGATATCCAAATCAAGATCGATATCATTGACCATGTGGCTGGTGGCCTTCTTGATGCTACACAAGAATAGAGTTTTAATAAATCCGGGAGGTCAAGTTAGTAGCTAACTACCTAGCTAGGCCGTCTGATAACGATGAAAAACGCTGCGCTATAAAGGTTATCGTATCAAATTAATCGAGATAAATATCAGTAATCGTTTCTTCACCTTATATAGTATCGTTTTGACAGTTCTGCTGGGTTATAGAGGAGGGGAAGTATGTTCCTGGAAGTTTGGAAGAAGCTCCATGCTGCGGGTGATAATCTATGTACCGTACATATGTACATGTATGTAGGTCAGATGAAGCTCATCAGATACCGCCCGCCGAGGTTCCGTATGGTGTTAGGTAATGAATTGAATCCTCGATTATGATGCGGGAGAAAAACAAGTCAGTCTGCGGGGTTCGCTTGGCTTTCCTGGTTGGCGTGATATCTACAAGAGATTTTAGCTTCTGAGAACCACACCCATGCAATGCATGCTCAACCAAAGCTCGGAAACACTTCGCCGGGGTTATTAGCGTTTTGCAACGGCTACTCCGCTAGGAAAGACAGCCATGGATAGCCGTGATCATGCCTTCCCACTGCAATTAAAATACCAAGTGTTATGTAGTTACCGGCGACAGTCTCGGTGCTCGGAGTTGGGTTCGAAGATTAGTCCCGGAAACCTTATCTTCCGATGTTGAAATGCGTGAATATCTAGACTTGCGCTCCTTATTTAATGACTTGAGCTTCAACCTAGGATAGATTGATGTCTAAATATTAGATAAGTATTAAATATAATACTGGTGTCATATAATCAACATACTCAAGTAAATACTATAACTGAGTCGACAACTGTAAGTCCTCAGTGTCGTGTCACTAAAGATCTTGTTTAGCCCACGCTATGACTTGCGATACCACATATATTTCGAACCCCCGGGGCATCAATAACCTTAATTCCCAATTCTTACTAGGTTCAATATGACTTAGATTACCCCCTCGACCAGTCATATTAACGGAATCTCCCCCGAGACAGGTAGAGCCCGAGACATTCCCCACTGACGGTTGTGTCACCCCCGCTAGCCAGCATGTTTGGTTGTTTGTAATACAATGTAATACTGGTACTCACAGACAGCACGTGAGATATGGGATGTTTTCAATACGTAGTATTGAGAAGATGGAAAGGATTGTTCGTGTGCTTTGTTTAGTTGTGTATCTAGCTTGATACCGCGGGATTTGGCAATGATTGCGAATACTGATCTAAGCTTTTCTTTCGGCAGGATCATTTGTGGTGAAGAACTAAGGTCAAATACATATACAGGCTCAGGGGCTTGATGATCATCGTGTGTCCTGGTTTAGGTGTTAAGAAAAACCGGGACACTGCCGGGGCGCAATTGACTGCGCCGAGAAAAAAAATCGTTCAAGGATGGATGGGTGTAAGGGGAAGCGGGAAGTTGAAGGTATGTCCGATGCTGTGACCAACAAGCCCACTGTGCCGGGTCAAGACCCTCATCCTCCGGCCGGGACACGAGCGGTGGAAGTTGGGGGGGGGGGGGGGGGGGGGGTTAAAAATCGGTCAGCCACGGACATTCTTATTATGTGTGGGGGCAGACGCCTTCGGCCATATAGTAATTTGTGAATAGGAAACGGATAATCATGATATTGGTGTGGCTAACTATATAATATAGTCTGTATGATGATGACAGCAAATGCAGTGGGCATTTGCTTATGCTTCGTTCGCACTGTTCGTGTAGTGCATTGCATTTCTTGCCGGCTTGGTTCGGCATTGGGCCGACTCCGAAAAGATGTCGGTGTTTTGATTATCTGGAATTTCGATCTGGGGTAAAGGAGACTAAGAATTCCGGTAGACGGCGAGGGTTCATCTGTAAGTTCATTAAGCTATTAATACAGCCTGAATCGTAGGTAGGATCGGGTTTTACGTATTAGTCCTGTGTTTAATGAAAGGGTCTGTCGTGGTCTCGCACTCGCGCACTTCGAGTTGGTTATGGTACACGTGCGCCATTATTCGGTTGCAGGTACATACATACAGATACAAGTGTATCAGTTGAAATATTTATAAGGTGTATTTTTGGCACACCATCGTTTAGCTCGTTGATCGTTGATAGAATAACGTTTTAATTGATTGGAGACCCAGTGAAGGGGATCATGGTAAGTTGCAGCGTTGGGTTTTTGTGCTGTTCAGGAGCCTTGATCGATCGTTGATTGCGTAGATGTAGATCATGGGTTTCTTGTATTTTCTTATCCAATCCAGCAAGTAGCATTGTGGCAATGTTTTTTTATTTGCTTTTTACCACGATATGATTTTGTGATCTCTCTTTTGGAAGAGCCACAGCTTGTCCCCGCAGCGTCTCTGGAACTCTTGCAGAACATTCTGTTGATCCCCGCCCTCGAAGCCTCGGTGTCTCATGCGTCTGATTTTCCCATTCGTCAGTGCCCTGGACCATGAAGCCACTCCCGAGACAGCCTGGTGTCGTGCTCAATATGCATGCGGATAGACAAGACGTTGGCAACGGCTTTTTTTTTGGCCCCAGTTAACACACTCCCCCCTCCCCTAGGGGTTTAAGAAGGTGTGGAGAGTTGTGCAGCATAACGGCAGGGACCAGGAACGTTCCATGGCCAGAGGGTCGCGCATCCCTACCGAGAAGTGTTTGGGGATAACTGGGGAGGCGGTTTTTCTTGAGAATTTCTACTCTTGGCGATGTTGATAATTTTCTTAGGATTGATTGGACAGGGGATGATGATGCCAAGGACATCACGAGCAGCAGCAGGGAACAGCCGCCGCTTGTCTCATCTATCTTACAACCCCAGTCCCCACCATCATATCCATCCCCCATTTCACCAGCGGCAGCGGCAGCAGCAGCAGGCAATCAAGCAGTAGCCTGAACTGTGTACCTGTGTGGCACTGGACAAGCACTGCTCACTCCCTCACCCTTTCCTCGATTTTACCCCTGGTCAGACTAAGTTGAAGGGCCTCGGCGAGTCGATCTGAGATGGTGGACATCTGTAACAGTGGTCCAAAGATTGCAAGGACGGCGCCGGCCATGAGCGAATGTATGTTACAACATCAGTTAAGTTCCTTTCTCCGCTGATTGTGCTGTTTCTTTCCGGTTAAGCTGGCGCATCAGTTGCACCATAACCACTCGAGACATAATAATATGTCTGTGATACCGCAAGTCTAGGTATTACTTTACTGCCAATATGACAGCCTGGGCATGTATCTTTGTAGCTGTCCCTGTGTCGCCGCCGGCGCATGCTTGTCGCTTTGTCCACGGCGGGTCAAAATAAATCCGGGGGGTAAAAAGGACCAGGACCCACAGCACTTTGTGACTAAAATACATGCTCCTAGTGCTCGCCGTGTGTCCCACTGTGATCTCATCTTTCGGCGAAACTCTTGCGCTCACTGCACGGTTAGGACCCTACATAGTACCTAGCTTTCCGTCTAACTACCTCCACCTTGCGCCTGACAGGCCTAGTTTCTCTTCTCTTCTTTCTTTTCCCTGGTAACTTCTCATAGTAGTGTGGTTCTCACTCCACACCCTCATCTTCCTCCTCCTGCTGCTGCTCCTGCTACTCCCTCTTGTCTTTTACCTCCCCCTCCCCCTCATCTTCCTCCCAAATCTACATATAGATCTTATTACCCATCTCTTACCGCTTTTTATTTTCACTTCTATCCCTATTTGATCAGGCTCCACATCCATCCCCATTCGTTTTGTCTATACATCTCTATCAATCTCGCTCATCTATAACTCAATCGCCACTGCACAAACAATCTCAAACGCCAACCAACCCCCCCCCCCCCCCCCCCAAATCCATCTAAAAAAGAAAAGCTGAGAAAGACGTGCAAGTCGAGCTATGGGCTGCTGATACCTTCACTTGAACCATCCGATATTCAAATCCTGCCTGTAATTTGCTCCCCTCCAGCCAATTACGTCCCCCACCCTCCCAAAAGCCAAGGATTCTCTTATTTCTTGATTACCACCGTCCTTGCCATTTGCCCCCACAAGGAAATATATATAAAGACCTCCCACCAAACAGGAATCAGCCACAGATAACTTCCTCGAACTATTCCTTATTTCAACAATAACCCATTCTTCAAAATGTCGACTGCAATGCTTTCTCAACCCACAGTTGTCTCTATGCCTCCGTCACTCGCCAGCCCTACTTCCCCCACCAAAAAGCGCCGCCGCAGAGCTCCAGCCACTGGTGCTGCAGAGGATTGCTTCACTTGCAGGGCAAACGGTATCAAATGTGATCGCCGTCGGCCTTACTGCGGCCCATGCCTCGAAGTTGGGAATGATTGCAGAGGTTACAGAACTCAACTCACTTGGGGAGTTGGTGTTGCCAGTCGTGGGAAGCTTCGAGGACTGCATTTGCCTATTGTGAACCTTGCTGTTGACAGCAAGAACACTCAAAAGATTGTCAAGAAGAAGTCTGAGGACAAATCCACAAATGGAAGCGGTGCAAAGCCAAAGAAGTCCAAGGCCTCCGAGAGTAACCCACATGATTACGATAGCCAGCGTAATTCTGGTGTGGGCAAATTAAGCATTATCACCAGTTACGACTTCGTCAATATGGAGATTCCATCAAGTTCTAGCTCCAGAGCCAGTTCTGCTCTTTCTGCCAGCACTGCTGGGACAAGTCCAGCTCTGTCCGCAATCTCCCAGTCTAGCATCCCGTCTCAGAGATTAAGCCAAGCACGGAAATCGCCTAATCCTTCATCGTACTCCCCATATTCTTCAAATCCTCAGCAGCAGTATCACTCGCATATTTCACCCCAACAGCAGCAGTACCAGGCACCAATTCAGCACTATCACAAGTCACCATATTCGCATGTTTCACTTCCTCCACACCAAACAACTCCCTCGCTACTCCTGTCTCCCATGTCCGAATATGAACCTAGTTTCCCCTCTTCACAGCACTACCCCATGTCTTCTGCACCAGCCACTGCTCCTTTGTATGACATGGTCACTGGTGTTTCAAGCTCTACTTACCACCCCACAAGTTCAATGACTGTCACTTCATCTAGCGTTTCTTATGCCTCTATGACTGCGCCAACCATGCAAACATCTTCCCGAATGATGGATGGTGATCATATACATCAAAATCATAACCAACACCCCCATCACAGCGGATCGTGGAATGGAGTCAGCGGGATGGGCAATCTTCATCAACAACATGTACAAGCGGGAACAGGTAACCTGTCAGACTTGTTGTACGATGATGATATGCTTGGTACGTTCTAAAGCGCTTTTGTGTCTTGTGATTTTCCTTTTTTATTATTTTATTGAACTCAAGCGAAGTGTACACTTCCCCCTCCATTTTTACATACCCCTCCCTCTCTTTCAAATTTCCATAACTATTACTAACTGAATGGTTTTTGTTCTTCAGTTACTCGTGGCCCTGAATTTTCTTATAACGCATCTTCTTCATTCCAAACTTCGAATTCCCCAATTCCAACAAACCAGTCTTTTTCAATTTCTATTTCCCCTATGTCGGTGCAATTTCCTCCTCCTGAGTTGGCGAATATTTCTCCAAAACTCCGTTTCCTCATCGAATATTATGATAAAACAGTCTGTGCCTCAATGGTTGCCTTCGACGGTCCTGGTAATCCATATAGACAACAAATCCTTCCAATGGCATTCAAGAACGAAGCTCTTATGGAGGCAATTTATGCTCTTTCTACCAGTCATTTAGATTCAAAAAAGAAAGGCGCACTCTCACTCGAAAGAAGAACCAGCACAGATTCTCCGAAAAGCGTTTCTCCCATGCACTCTCATTCGCCTTCGTCTCCTGTCTCTCCAGGCCATCAATCATTTCCTGATTCTCATCAGGGACTACATCTACTGTCTGCCGTTGCTCCGGTGGTAAAAGAGAAGTCTGCAACCGCACTCAGTCATAAGAACAACTCCATTCATCTTCTCAACGCACAACTTACTATCCCCGAACTTGCGAAGTCAGACTCGGCGATGGCCACTCTGTTGATCTTGTTGTTTTATCACATCAGTGAGACAGGTATCGGGCAGTTTAAGACACATCTTGCGGGAGTCAAAAAGTTAATGGGAATGAGATGTGTTGGAAAGGAGACGGGAATCTGGGGTTGGATGGAGACTGTGTTTACTTGGCTTGACAACATGAGCGCTTCAATCAACAACAGAGAGGCGCAATTAAGAGGCGGATACCTCGACATGATTTTTTCATCGAATGATGACTGGGACCTGGAAAGTTTGACGGGCTGTGACAGGGAGTTGTTTATGCGATTGGCTGGACTGGGAAGAATCAACATGTTGAGTCAGATGCCAACGGTTGCCAGTGACAGCCATGGCAGAAATATGGAAGAGGATGATGGGATCACCGAGCCTTTCAGAGATGAGAATGATGGAAGAGATGAGTTTTGGTTGGCCTGGAACGCTATAAAGAAAGATCTTTGCGAATGGAGACCCACAGCTATCTATGCAGCCACACCCTCACGCCACTCGTCAACAGAAGCCAGCCCCTCAAGGCCTTTGGAAGTACCGATTCCTTCGCCCACTTCATCAAGTTATTCAATGTCCCCCCCACCACCACTATCGGCTGGAAGTCCGAGAAGAAAGTCATCTAAGGCACACGAAGCTGTCGAGATCAATCATTGGCTGCATGCGTCTAATGTTTACCGCTACGCAGCCATTTTATATATCGATCGACTTGCCTATCCACATCTACCTTCGTCGCATTCTATATTCCAGAATACAGTCAGAGAGGTTCTTGATCATGTCAACTGCATCTCTAACTCTAGGCTTGGTCACAGGCTCCTCTGGCCTCTTTTTATCACTGGAACAGAGTGCGTTGTAGATGCTCATAGAAATATGATCAGGGAACGCTGTGTGGAGATGCAACGTGAATGTGGTTTCTTCAACAAAGTTTCTGGTCTTGATGTGTTAGAGAAAATATGGAGCGAAGACATCATTGAGGAGGACCGGGGTCATCTGGGAAATGGAATGTTTGCTGGAGCAAAGAAAATGGGGAATATCAGCCCGAGTGTTGGTGGGAGAGGCCTGAGGTGGAGGAAGGTCACGGGTCACGAGGATGCTGAGTATTTGATGATATAAAAGGGGAAGAAAAAGGACGCACATAAAAACGGCATGGTGGGGTTTTCTACGGTTTATAATTTTTCATAACGGTTTGGAGTACATCGGTGGCTTTTTTGATTTTTGGTTTGGCTTTTTGGTTATGATTTTATGTTTTTTCTTTCTTTTTTTTCCCCCTTTCAGATAATTTACCTGCAGCGCAGCATCAATGGAGCGATGGGAGAAAATATGAGAGGTTATTGGCATATATTCAATCTTTTCCCCTTTGTTTCATCATTGGTCGGGGTAAAAATCTAGGTATCGGCACTTTGGTTTTCTTATTGGGTCCAGGTTTCTTTTCTCAACTCTACTCTACTTGGCTTTTCCTTTTACTTTTCCTTTTCCTTTCCTTTTCTTTTCTTTTTTTTTTTTAATATCTAAAAAGCGCGTGGACAAAAGGAGGGAGTTTTCTTTTTGGTTTGTAATTTACTGTATATAGCCTTTTTCCTGTATGTTTCCTTCGGATGACTGCCTTACTTGCATTTGAGAACGTGGGAGAAAGAGATGGGTCGGTAAGGTAGGGGTGGTGTGGACAAACAAAAAAACGTGGGTTACAGGCCAAAAGGTTAAATAAAAGACTTTTCAGATATATTCTAAGTGCGCTAGCATCAAGGCTGTCAAATCAATAATTGTGGAAATGTCAGATCGGACGGGATTGATTAGTTAGTTGCGTAGTCGCACATATCTCACTCGGCCCATCTCGGTATGCAAGGCTAGGCATCTCGTGCCTAGAGTACCTACATGTATGTACCTTCTTACTCAATATACCTCTCCACCACCTCTTAACTACATCTAGAGTGCCTACATATCTCTTCCCATCTACGCGAGCTGCTCTCCATAGTGTTGTCATATAGCTACCGTATTTTTTTTTCCAAAAATATATACCGGACAGATGCCCATGGAATTAAATTGCGAAATATCTATTAGTATCGACTCTTCCATCCGCATTCCGGGAGGGTCCAACGGGAAGTCCCATCGCAAATCACAACGTAAAACAAGGTACATACACACGTGCGTTATAATTTAAAGTATATAGTCAAACCCGTGGGCGAATTGCATCGAGTACGTGACATACACACGTGTAGTAGTTAATGTCACAGATGCTGTCCACCAAGGTATCTCTCCCACTCATGTGTCCCCTTACTCTAATAACAAGACATTGTAGATTCCCAAAGTGAGATTAGTTACCCGTTGAGAATTATTAGTGGTTTACCGATTGGATATTCCCGCGTCTTGGACGACAAATACCCGGAACTGACAATTGTTAGTTGACTTCACACAAGTCGCACCTTATTCGCTGCCTGGTTGATCTCCCGACGCACGTGTTCAGGATACGTACAACCCTTCGTCCAACGTTCTTCGCTGAGTAATGGCCAAGAAAGCAACACAGCGGAAAAAAGGAAATAAAGGATGCAAAAGTTGATCAAACAGAGAGAACGTGCAAAAAAGATTTCTCGCCAAGGGATCAATGACTCGCTTGGCGGAGAAATTGCACCATTATTTATTGCGAGTGATTTCGCTCTTCTTGATCCCTTTCCCCTCTTCCTGTTATTCTTTCCTGTCGGCAGGAGTCAGTCGTTCGGACACATTGGAGGCTTTGGATATTTAGATATTTTTTAGATAGAATTTTGAAACGCACATTTATCATCGAGTGAAATCAAAAACAAAATGTCTGCACCATCACTCTCATCAACCACTTATCAGAGGCGTGCGCCTCTGATGAGTAGGCTCGCTGAAGTGGTCAGGACAATGTGGGATTTGGGATTCATCTCCTTTGGAGGACCGCCTGTTCACTTCCAAATCGTAAGTCCCCCTTTTACTTGGATGCTGACCTGGGATTGAAGGTCGGATAATGAAAGGTGGAGCGATTAACACTTGAATACAGTATCACAAGCGATTCGTTGACGGCTACAAGTGGATCGATGAGCAGACGGTATGATTCCTTCAGGGGGTACCCAATCTCGCCAACTGAGAGGGCCGAGTGATATTTGGATATTGGCGCTAACAATTGCATCAATCGGAACAGTACCAGGAATTGTTTGCCATCTGCCAGGCCCTTCCGGGGCCTGCGAGTACCAAGTTCGGGTTCTGCATCACTCTAATTCATTCTGGGTTCATACCCGCACTTTTGGCGTTTCTGTTGTTCAGGTTTGTACTAACCTTTGTTCTTCCCGCATCAGGCGATTAATTGATTACTTACTCGTATGTTTACATAACCATAGTTTACCGGGAGTACTCGGAATGTTTGCCCTCTCACTCGGCGTGTCGAAAATGGACGAAACCCTCCCAAGGCCTGTTTACGCACTACTCTGTGGCTTGAATTCAGCCACCGTAGGGATTATTGCTCTGGCTGCGGTCCAATTGGGCCAGCGTGCTGTTACTGACAAGGTCTCCAGGGCAATCTTATTTTTGGGTGCCACAGCGGGAATGTTGTATAACGCACTATGGTATTTCCCGCTCTTGATGGTCGTCGCTGGTATTGTGACAATGTCATATGATGGAGGCTTTGGGCCTAAAGCCCTGCTTTACTCGAAGAACCTTTTCAAAAGGATGCGTCATAGACAAAGTAACAGTGACAGACCTGTCGAAGAAGGACTTGGTGACGGAACATGGACTTCTTCGGCTGTCAAGGAGCCAGTTGCTGCTCACCGAAGATCCAGTGCGCCATCTGTGAACGAGGAGCTAGTATCGCAGAATCCCGAAAGTCAGGCCAATGAAGTGAATGAAGTGGTCGAGGAAGCGGCCACTACCACAGCCAACAAGAACAAGGTTTTCCCCATGCCTCTTGCAATCACGATTGTGGTCGGATTCTTCATCTCCTTCATCGTGATTTTGGTCTTGAGAGCGGAATTGAAAAGCCGGCCAATTGGATTGTCTCTATTTGCGAACTTGTACCTGGCAGGAACAGTAAGTAGCCACGTCTTTCTCATGCGCAGTATGCATATCTCAGTCGCTAACAAAACTCCCTAGATCATCTTCGGTGGAGGACCTGTCGTTATTCCATTGCTTCGACAGTGAGTAAAAAATAATCCCCATAAAGTTGCTGTGGTAGATTAATAACTCGCGAATTATAGATACATCGTTGATGAAGGATGGGTGACCGCTCGTGACTTCCTTCTCGGTTTGGCAATTATTCAGGCATTCCCAGGGCCAAACTTCAACTGTAAGCCAGACAACCCATATCCTAGCTCCCATCGCCAAGATAAAGACTAACCCAAAACAGTTGCCGTCTATCTCGGTTCCCTCACAGCACTTAACTCAGGCTCCTTGCCATCAGCTATCGGGGCTCTCCTTGCTTTCATTGCTATATTCGCCCCAGGGATGCTGCTTGCCTCAGCAACCATTACATTCTGGAACGAACTCCGTCGCCGACCTTGGGTCGCATCTATCCTCAGAGGTCTCAATGCCGCTGCAGTAGGGTTGATCTATACCGCTGTCTATAGGCTCTGGGAGATGGGATATGTTGATGAGAACCATGCAAACGGATCATCATTGGGCAGAGATCCTTGGTGGGTCGTTATCACAGCAACCTCCTTTGTGGGAACCGCTTGGTTCGGGTTTCCTGCACCGTTCTCGATCGTTCTTGGTGCTGCGATGGGTCTCATTTGGTTTGTGGTTGTGAATGCAGGTCAGAGTGGAGCAGAGTTGTTGGGGACTGCAATGATGGAGCTTTGATGTTCTTCCGGGTACTTTTTTTTCCAAGAAAGTGGTGTAATGTAATACGAGGGGGGGTAGAAGGAGGAGGGAGGGATGGTCGGATTCGTCTAGTGATCGTGTGATGGAAAAAGAATTGGGTGGTGGGGAGGGGTTGGTTGGGTTGGTTGAGTTTAGCTGTCAATTATAATACCAAATGTTGTTCTTCAAAGAGTTTAGTGCCCGCACTAGTCATGACCAAGCCGACCTATTATGTACTAGCCCCTCGAGTGATAATCTGTGCATTGAACAGTATCCATCACATTAGCGACCGTTCCTGAAGGAGTCTCAACTGCATACATGTATCACCACAGACAACCACCACTCATACTCGTATGATGATGTAGCAGACTGAATACCTGCAACCCTCTCTACCACTACCCCAGGCAGGGCCCCCACCGGGGGGGTGGGGGGAGGAGGTTCTTAAACACCCAACGGCTTATTAGAAGTTCCACATTCGGCCACCATCATTAAAAAGGGGGAAGGGGGGATGATGAGCAGGAGAGGGGGGGGGGGAGGTCCTAGGGGAAAAACGAAATCGATGAAGATCCGGCCATCCCCGGCCGTCCTTAAACGAGAGCGCCGGCCACAGGAACTTTCGAGACGTTCGGTCAATGCGTACCGAACATGACAGCTGCAGATGTATGTACGGACATCGATTGGGACCTGCCTCGCCTTCGGCAACGTCATGTTTCGATCAGGTAGCTAGGGGTGCTGGCTCCTGGATCGGGGGTCTGGGGGGGTGGAGGGTGAAATTATGTAGGTACATACTAAGGCATGTATGTCCAGCCAGCCAGCTACTACATGTACATACATACATGCACTCGCTTGCGAGTAGCGTTATCCAGGGGTTGGGGAGGGATGTCCAGCCAATAATCGTTTTTAAAGATTTTGGAGCAAGGATATCCTCAGTGGTGAACTGCGCATATATGCTGGGACTAAAAATAAACCTAGTATTTGGAAAGACCCATGTGCAACGTACGATGATGGGAGAGGAAGCAGAAAAAAAAAGTCTCCCGCCGTGAGCCAGGGTGGGGACAGGTGGAAATGACTAAAGCGATTGTTGGTGTCCCTCCTCCTATCTATCTACTTATGCAGCTAGCTGAGGCGTGACATTTGTTTCCTTTTGGGAGTTGGCGGACGCGTGGGGGAGAATTTGCTACTTGGCTATCTGGGGGTAATTGATTGATTGGTTAATTGATACAATTTGGGGAGGGAGAGGGGATATGTGAGGTGAGATTATCGATACAAAGTAGGTTTTTTCGGCAATTAATTAGATGCACGGTTTTTTGATCCAGTGGCCAGCTGTGCTCTACTCTGTCAGCCTTGACAATTGAAGAGTAATCTTGAGCCGATCTTAAGTCCATTCTGCAATGATATTTGTCAATTGAGACTTGCATAGCATAGCATGACCTAGCTGTTGACCTTATAGTACTACTACATGTATGCTCTAATAGCCCATTAATTCGCAATTAATCAATCTTCCCATGCAAGCAATGGTGCATTTACAAGCGATGTCTTGCTTAAATGTATCGACAGATACTTTAACCTAGTTCGGCTTTACTATACTGCCATGGACACATTAAACTGCACCTTTTCCTATTCCTAGCTACAACAACGTTTCCAAGTAAAGTCGTCGGAAAAAGGCACCATGCAGCTAAAGTTTAGAAGCGATATATTAAACAACTTTACATACACCTTTACCTTCAAATATACGCACGAGAATTGTCAGGAAAGTCGTTAAAAACCGGAATTTCTTTTCTCAGTGCCAATGCAAAGGCGAACGAAAACCATAGAATAGACGTATAGTCTCTAGTACCGCCGTCGTGGGGAAATGAATCAATAAACTCGCTGATGGTATGAAATGAATCAATAGGTACGTACGTGACCCACACAAAAAGGGTCCCGGGGATCGAATACGGTCCTTAATATGCCTTTAAGGCCCGTCCATTAGTTAGAAAGTCCCCAAAAAAACCTCATTAACCAACCCTTTATCGTCTATTTTACTTTCCTCAACACACGGCCTACATGTAATTATAACCGTACCTTTAACATGCGTGGCAATTAAACATGCATTTTGCAAAAAGCGAAATTGGGCCCTTTACTATCAATATATAGCCAACTAAAGATATAGACGGAAAATACAACATCTATCAAATACTATAGCATAGTCACAGCAACCGCTATATTATAGGCGACTCTCAGTATAAGGATACGGTCGAGACCGAAAACCTATATCCTAATAAGCTGAGTATCGCTATTCATTAAGCTGTTACTTAAATGCTGCCAATATGAGACAGGATAGCACCAGGCGAACTTCGCACGCAAGCTATAAAACCGAGACACGATACTTGGCAAAGCTAGCTGGCAGTTTTACCTAGGCGTTCAATAAAAGGTCGTGAATTCGCTGCGTTGATAGGGAACAACACAACTGGAATTAGTCCAAATCGGAGCATCGATACTAAGAATATTATAAGGATCCCTTCGTTCGTTCCCGCAAACCAGAAACACATAGGTTGGGACTAATTCGTTGTGCTTTAAGTTTTGAATTTCCAGATCATGTGGATCATCTTCATCAAGTTGCACTGGTTTTACAACCTTTTAGTGAAGTAGTAGCGCAGCGTAAGGAATAAGAAGTAAGAGGGGACTGGTAAAACAGCACTTCAAGACTTCCGTATCAATATACATACGTAGCATCGATATCACTGGTTCACTAGTATAACGAGAGTCGACTGTATTGTTACATGTGTTATACGTTAAGAGGAGTTCGTGGCTGCTGAATTCGAGCTATTGCAAGACCAGTGTTAAAAGTGACAGAAAGAAAAGGAAAAGAAAAAAAATTAAGACTTTCATAGTTAAAAATAACTGGGCATACAATCCATTAAACCATATATACCCACTACCCACGTGCACACCAATATCCAATTGCAACAAATACCCAGTTAACACACCAAACCACACTCACACTCACCCCCACAAAACAAATACCCCACACGCCCCCTCGCCCCCTCGCCCCCGTTCCACCTTCACAGTACTCATAAACGCCGAACCTCCAAAAAAAACAAAAACAATAGCCCATCATGCCATGACAACGGATATAGTAATTTGATAGGGTTAGGGTTTGGTTGCAGTCCAATTTGCCTAAATTATAAAACGCTATCGACTTTGTAGCTAGAAACTTTTAAACAACGATTACTTTCGACGACGGCTTTGGTACCTGTTGTGCGTTCACTGGCGTCGATTCTGCAGATTTGGTTAGTTATAGGCCTTGTTGAAGGACTATTAGAGACTTCACGTATCTACTACAAGTAGTATCTGAAGATCAAACTCCGACAGTGTAGGTACGCCGCACACCGCACACCGCACACCGCACACACGATTGTACAAACAGGAAGCCATTCAATGCGTAACCTCCCTCTTCTAAGCACAATGATGATTGCAATAGCTAATTTGATACAAATATATACAACAGCTAGAGCGGATATATAGTGAATAAGAATGGCCCCCAAAACCAAAAACGCCGAGAACACCCAGATCTATATCGATCTTAAAAATTCATCATAGCCTACGTATATGTAGGTAAACACCGCCAGCGGTGTCTACTACATACCACCACACTTCCCCAGCGAGGCCCACCATCCTCAAAACCACTCAGACTTCGACCCCAAATCCAACAACATGCCCACCACCTTCCAATTCCCCCAGTGCAACGCCGCACAATACGCCGTCTGCCCCTTCAGATTCACCAACTCCCTATCCAGCCCCCCGCCCAGCAGATACCCGACAATCTCTCCACGCCCGCCCCTCGCCGCCCTATGCATCACGGATGACCCCGCTCCATTCCTCGCCGTCACATCCATGCCCCGCTCTACCAGCGCCCTAAAAATTCCAACATCGCCCTTCCCTGCCGCCAGGTGTAGCGGCGTGTTCCCCCAGACTCCGCACACATCAACCTCGACCCTATGATGGAGCAGCACCCTCGTCGCCCTCGGCCTGCTGCTCACCTACGCGCAGTGTATCGGTTTGAGCCCCTGACCGCCGCCCGCGCTTATTATTGCCCCGTGCTCGGGGAGGAGTGCTGTATTGGACTCGTGGCCGACAGTGGCGGCGCAGCCCTCTGTCGTCCGCGCCCCGCTCAAGGAGGATGCGGACCGCATCCTCGTAGCACTCCAGCACCGCCGTATGCAGTGCATCGGTCATGCCAGGCACATCCGGATCGTGCTCTGCTAGGAGTTTCACGACCTCTGGGTTCCGCTCCGTGGACTTGATGGCTTGCAGGAGTGGTGTCTGCCCCTTACCGTCCAGCGCCGCGACATCCGCCCCCTTCTCTAGCAGCATTCGCACAACCTCCTCTTTCCCGGCGAGTGCCGCGCGATGCAGCGCTGTATCCCTGTCCAGGGTCTGGCGGCAGTTCGGGTCCGCGCCGTACTCGAGGAGCAGAATGATAATGGCGTCGTCGCGCGAGATGTCCAGCACACTGAGGGGATTAGTGTCTACTCTAGTACAGTTGTGGTTCGGGTTTGCGCCATGTTCGAGGAGGAGCCTGGCCGCAGGGAGTCTGTCCCTAATACAGCAGTGGGAGAGCGGTGTCCAGCCGGTAATGTCCACATAATCGACCTCTGCGCCGTGCTTCAAGAGGAGCTTTATTTTACCTATTTCGCGGCCGACGGCGAAATATAGGGGCGTGCGGTGGTGGTTGTCGGCGGCGTTGACGGGCACGCCGTTGTCGATGAGGAACTCCATTACCTCGCAAGAGCCCTCGCGGGCGGCGTGGTGCAGTGCTGTGGCACCGTACTCGTCGGTGGAGGTAATGGTGACGTTGTGGGCGAGCAGCACCTTGATCGTGTCGAGGCTGTCCTTGCAGACGGCGAAATGCAGGGAGTGCCTTCGGGGTGCTGTGTCATTGACCTTGGCGCCGTGTTTGATGAGGATCTCCGCCATCTCCGGCAAGCCCTGGGTGCAGGCGTGGTGCAGCGCGGTGAGCGGGGCTGTGCGGGGCGTGTAGTCGTTGCGCGGGCCGCCGCGGCGCAACGCGTATCTGTGCGTAGGGACTTGCGTAGAGAGGTTAGGATCGGCGCCCATTTTAAGGAGCTTGCGGACGAGGGGAAGATTGGATTCCTTGCTGGCCCAGATGAGCAGCCGGTCGAGGTGGTACTCGGCGATGAGGATCTTGTCCAGCACGGGCCTGAGGAGGTCATTCATATATTGGCTGGTGCGGCTGAGGCGGCTAGTATCGCGCCTGGAGTGGCAGTTCTCGCCAATTATGAGAATGATTTCGGCGGGAAAGTCTCGAAGATTGAGAGGCATTGTTGTAATTTTTGTGATTTTAGACTTTGGTTTAGAGTAGTTCCTAGAGAGGGACGTAGATGTATGTGGCGAGAGGAGTTAGATAGTTGTTGGACCAAACTGAGCTGTGGAGTGAGTGGGGTGGAGTGCGGAGGAGCAGAAGATGTAGATGCCGAAAATGCAGTTGCAGCTCTTTATATAGCCAACCCTCTGCGGGTGTTGCCGCATGATCATATGACGACACAGAGCGCGGTGAGGTGAGGGCGTGTCTTTGCAGTAGTACCTTGGGTCAATCCCCAATATGTACACAATCAGTACATCACCAATTGCGGTTGTAGAGCGGAAGGGTAGACGATGATGATGGGCGATATCGTCATGGCGTATCACTCGCCTCAATACACATATATGTGCGCGATATTGGTTGAGTTGTATCGGCACAGACACAGTGCGTGTTTGGACGGCTCGTTCACCATCATCATTTGAAAAGCCAGATACATATCCAGCACGCTCCTTTAGTAGCACCTGCAGAAGTACTGCTTGTTAGGCGTTTCTTTGTTCTTTGATGAAGGTGAGGCCGTACGGTGTGGCGCGCGTATGAGCGCCCTCAACGAAACCGTTCGAGAGTCGAGTCGAGACGAGACTGAGGCCCAGTTTTATACTCTCGTCTTATGGAATGAGGGCACTGATCTCGTATCTCGTCTAATTGCCAGGCTTGAAAAAAATCGAGTGAGTATTTGTGAGCCAAGATCCCCATAATCAATTCTTCTATTCGGGCATTACCTGTTTCCTTATATAGCTGTTTAAACGCTGCCCGATAAACGTGTATCTAATAGGCTGTTGAAGCTCACGTGCTACCCGAGGAGCGGGTAGCATGCATATGGAGACACTACTCTAGGTCACAGTTTGTGTATGACGAAGAGGTGATGTAGTCACTGACAGAAAGGCTGTACAGTCGATCTCGTTATAGTGATACTGCATATAGTTATAAGGGTAGCAATCAGCGGTTCCGAAATACTTTTTTACCCGTACCTCCTTCTTATTATATAGCGATACTCGCCTTATAAGAATATAGTCAACGCGGGTTTTCGGTCCCGACCGTATCCTTATATCGAGAGGTGACTGTACGTACTCTAATAACGAGTGTTCAAGGGGCTTTGCGCGGTATATGAGTAATGAGGGAGAAACAATCTGTGGCTCTCACGTACCTAAGTGATGTCTTATATAGCACTTATAACAGAGTATACGTATGTACTTGTCTTTTGGCGCGTGGCCCAAGCCGTGTCCTCACAGCGGGACACGTACCTGTGGAAAAGCATCGCTTAGAGTCCAGCCTTTGTTATGTATGCAGTAACATACATGTACGTACATGTATGTACACAGCAATACAAACTGCACGCCCTTCGTTTAGAATTTGTGTGCGTTGTATATATACCATCTGGAAGCCAGATCATGTTTAAAGCCAAGATTTAGGATTATTCCCTGGTCTACGTGCGGGCGCTCGTACCGAGTGATAATCCATGACCGCCCCTCCGGACCTACATAAGTAGCCACCCCGCCCAACCCAACCCCACCAGAACCACAGCAACAACAACCACAACCATAACCAAGCAACCCAAGTGACCATAGCCCCGAGCCATCGATAACAGCAGAGAGCCCATCATGCAAAGACTCCAGAATTGGCTTTCCATAACTTGGCGCGGTAATGATGCGCACGGTACGGTACGATGCGGGGCAGGTTAGCAGAATACATGTACAGCCACATTCGAAGAGTTTTGGCACCTCCGGGCCGAACTCAAGAGGCAGTCCTTTCTGCTTTGTAATTCTCATATTCGAGACCGTTGTCAGAGAGAGCTGCAATGTCTCTATTGCGGCCATACCTGTCAATAGGCTGAGTATGCGCGAGTGCCATGGTTGTTGGTGGGCTACAATTCATGAACAACTCAATATAGTAGGGTGCCAGTACTTTTCGAATGCGGCTGTACGTGTTAAATTTATAAAACACGTTTCAATGCTACGTGCTCCGACTCGGTTAAGTATATGTGTACTTTTGAGGCCCTATATACACATATAAGTGAAGCTGCGGCAACCCACTTAATCCAATTAATCATCATCACTCCCATCTTCCTGCATCCAAGCATAGCCTTCTCTAGACCTGAGATAGCGAGACCCCGATCACCAACAGCCTGAAAGCGAGACCGGACTCGAATAAGCCAAACCCAACGCGGACTACGTTGCTGAAGCTTGTTTGCATCATTTATCATCACTCGTGAGTCTTACGTAACCTGAAATTACAGGTATCAATGAGCTTCACCGTTAATGAGAGTGAGTAAATACCAGCTGAATCCTCGGTGCACTCTCACTCCCTCACCTATACGTATATTTAGCTGGTTGTGTCAAGAATTGGGAATTAATGGGCAAGGACTATGGGGTATATAGTTGCGAGCTAAGTTTATCTTCTATCAGAGAGAAAGGTTTCGAGCAATTACAACTAACTATCAGTGAGTGAGTGAGATAAATATTATTTTTATTTACATGATATCAGTTAAACGGGGAGGTCTATCCCCTACCCCTACCCCCTCTCCCCCCTCTCCCACTACCTCTCCCACCACCGCCTCTATACCCGCCCCCTCCCCTCCCACCACCACCACCCCTATTACCACCCCTCCACCCTCCACCTCCTCCGCCCCCTCCACCACCTCTCCATCCACCCCCACTACCACCTCCACCCCCACCACCTCCACTCGAACCCCCCACAAGCGTCCCATCCTCAATCCCCACCAACCCACAAAACTTCTCCGTCATCGGACTCCCATACGGCGCCGGCCCCACCCCCCACTCTTCCTTCCTCACCATCTCCTGCGTCGGCGCAACCCTCACAAAATTCTCCTCCACCGCCAGTCTCCCCTTGCTCACCAAATTCTCCTCCACCCACTCCCTCTGCTTCGCAATCTCGGCCGTGATCTGCGCCTGGTGCACCGGGTCCTGAAACGATGCGTACGGGTGCGTGGGCGGGTTGTGTAGGTACGGGTTCAGCGCGCGTGTGATGGCGAGCCACTCGGGGTCGTAGGAGAGGCCGGATGGGCTGGTGGAGGCGGAAGAGGGCGCAGGGGAGGTGGGCGTGATTGAGAGGATCTGCAGGAACTCGCGCCGCGGGAGGCATTTATCGAGGGCGAGGAAGTGTGTGTAGCGGTTTGTGTTTTGCGGGATTGGTCTTCGGGGGGGTTCGGGCGTGATGGTTTCGGGGGCGGGGACGGTACTGGGCGCCGCGTCGTCGTCGAGGTCGAGGTCAATCTCGTCGCTGTTGGTGTTGGTGTTTGAGACTGCGGCGGCCGCAGCGGGAGGGAGGTTCTCGGGCTGCTCGTCAAGGTCGAGCTCGATCTCGTCCGAGTTCTTTGGCGGCACAGGCACCCCGCCTTCCTCCTCGTCGTCCAGGTCGAGGTCCAGCTCGTCTGGATTCTTCGCTGGCACCGCCGGAGCCGCGTCGGCCTCTTCATCCAGCTCGATCTCCAGCTCGTCCGGATTCTTCACCACCGCCGGCGCAGCCGGCTCCTCATCCTCAAGACCGATATCCAGCTCCTCCGGATTCCGCACCTTCACCCTCTCCACGTCCTTCGTCTCGTTTACCTTCTCCACTGCGCCACCCGCCGCCCCATGGTCCACGACCGCCGCAAACTTGACGTGCAGATGCGCACTAAACCAGTATCTTGGCTTCAGCTTATACAGGAGGCTCCTCGCCGGCGGCGACCCCAACTCGCCCTTCTCTATGTCGCTGCGAAAGAACTGCTTCTTGCGCAGAAGCCAGTCTAAGTCGCCGCAGTGCTCAATGCCCTGCGGCCAGTCGTGCGACACCATCACATCGATCGGCTCCTGCGCTTGGTACAGCTTGAACATGTCGTACGCGCGGACATGGTACGCTGACTTTACGTCCTTCGGACTATACGGGAGGCGCTCATGATGCGGGAGGTGGTAGTGGTGTGGGTTATAGATGCCACTCAACCCCCCAATACGCAGGCCCCGGAAATTCACAATCGACGATGCGCCCATGTAGTAAATATTCGGCGCGGCCCAACCGCCGTAGTAGAGCTCCCAGAGGTGCGAGCTGGCCTCGTGGTTTCCGCCGACAAAGAGCGTGAGGTAGGGTGCGCGGCGCTTGCCGCTGTAGTATTCGTGGAAGTCACCGAGGGCACGGTACTTTTCGGGGCAGGACATGATGTTGAGGTCCTGCATGTTGCGCACGGCTTGGAAGTCGCCGCCGATGATGAGCAGGTCGACGCCGGGCCATTTGTTGATGGCGCAGGCTTTGGCGATGGAGTCGTAGATTGCGTTGAGGGTGCCGTGGCCCTGCGGTGGTGCGGTGTTAGCGGTGAGTGCGGGGAGAGTAGATCTAGAGGAAAGACGGAGAAAAGAGGAGAAGAGAAACTTACGCAGCCCTCGACAGCAATGCGCAGGGGGTTTGCCATTGCGTGCAACAGCGTGGGTGTTGCTTGTACAATTGTCGGTATATATGAAATCCCCCAACGACGTCAGTGGTGATATTCGTGATGTTACTTTTATCTGGGATGCCTGGTCCGGGGTTTTTGGGGGGGGGGGGGGGGGGGGCGATAAGAGCCGCAATGCTTATTAGCTCTGCGAGAGCCTAACCCTAGCCCTAGTGCTGTGTAACCCTGCTGCCCGCCCGCAAGAAGTCTTTTCCGACGACGACGACACTAGCCAGCACTCTATCTACTCTACTCTTCTGCATTCTCTGTCTGAGAGTCTGAGACTGCGATGTCGGCAAGTGGTATGTAATCAATTGCTATCTTGGGGCTGGCCGTAGGATGATGTGGTTATTGCAATATCACTACACGTAGGTACCTATTGGCACTGCACAATTGCCTTATATTCAGAGTTTTCAATATGACGAATTATCCCTTAAGCTGTCGCGAAAATGCTGACCCACCAAAAAAAAAAAAAAAAGAAAAGAAGCAAGTTTGGTGTGGCTTTACTATAAGGGCCCGTTCGGTGGCAACGTAATATCATGATATTCGACCCCTTATCACGATATTGAAAATTTTCGCTATATTGTTGCCATTTCACAACTGTTAGAAGCCCCAATATCTCACGATTTACAAAATCTGGGTCAGACCCAAATTTTTGATACTTCTGTTGCAACCACTGTACCCAACGTAAAAAGTGACCATCACCCTGACCTCTAGGTTTGCCGAACATGACACAATATGTATTCTAGAAATCACTAGATTTTAATTATAGCATATTCGGTTGTAATCTTGCCATGTTGCAACATTGCGATTTCCAACCAGCATGTATACCGAACGGGCCCTAACAGATCTCATCAAATAATAGATCTCTCATACAAATCTGATTCCTCTGTTATAGGGGGGGTCAGCATCGACAGCTTAAGGGATAGAGTAGAGGAGGGAGGCAGCCCGCATATCAGGCATATCGGGCTCTGCGGTCGGCCGTAGGGAAGGATGCTCTACGTCTCTACTCAGCTAGCGTTTCCTGCGTTTGTAGTCCTTGGCCCTTGGAGGTTCAAGTAGTGTGTGTACTCTACGAGTCTATCTTAGGGGAGTGAACGGGCTTCATATATTGAGAGATATAGAAGGAAGGCCTATGTATCTTTATTTGAAGCTATATATCTACTCTTATATGCAAAAATAATACAGTCGTGAAACCACTTATCGTGGGATCAGTATCATAACTTCAAGCTGTGTGACTAATCCACCGCATGCAGGGGTCCCAGACAATTCGGCGGCTCTCGTGAGACATGACACACCGCACACACACAGCTAATTCGAGTACAATCAAGAAAGAACGAACAAGAGCGAAGAAAGAGAATAAAAGAACCAAACCTCCCGCCCAACTCCAAACCCCCATTCTCCTCCCCCATCCCTCACCCAAACACTACATACCCCCAATTCCCCATCTCCACCCCAGCTCAGCACAATGGACGGCTCAATCGACCTCCTCGACGCCTCCTCCGCTCTCGACCTCAACAACATCCGCTACCAGCTAATGTTCGCACACACCCCCCCCCCCCCCCCTCCCCCCACACCACAGTACAGTACTAACTTCCCCTCCGCCAGCACAACAGCCGTCTCGAAGACACAATAATCTTCCACCTCATCGAGCGCGTGCAATTCCCGCTCAACCCCACCATCTACACCCCCAACGCCATCCACATCCCTAACCACACCGGCTCCTTCCTCGACTGGATCCTGCACCAGCAGGAGCGCATCCACGCCCAAGTGCGCCGCTACCAGGCCCCCGACGAGTACGCCTTCTTCCCCAGCGACCTTCCCGAGCCCATCCTCGCACCACTCAAGTGGCCGGTCCTACTGCACCCCAACACCGTCAACGGCAACCAGAAGCTCAAGGAGTCGTACATCAACCACATCCTTCCGGCGGCGTGCTCCACCACCGCGGCCGACGACCACGGTGAGACACGGGAGAACTATGGCAGTACGGCGGTGAGTGATGTGGCCTGCCTGCAGGCGCTGTCGAGGCGGATCCACTTTGGCAAGTTTGTGGCGGAGGCGAAGTTTAGGGAGGACCCGGAGAAGTATGCGAAGATGATTCGGGAGAGGGATGTGGACGGGCTGGAGAGGGCGATTACGAATGAGGCGGTGGAGAAGCAGGTGTTGAAGAGGTTGGAGTTGAAGGCGAGGACGTATGGGACTGATCCGATGGCGGAGAAGGAGGGTATTAAGGGCGGAGCGGCGCCGAAGATTAATGTGGAGGCCGTGGTGGCGATGTATAAGGACTATGTAAGTTTTTCTTTTCTCTTTCTTCCTTTTCTGCTTCAATTCTGGAGGACCGAATGGAACTAACTGTTTTTTTTTCGCCTCAGGTTATTCCACAAACAAAGGAGATCGAGATCGAGTATCTCCTGCAGCGACTCGACGGATTGGAGGAGGAGCCAAAGGCGAAACAAACCAATGGAACCTCTACGACTACCTAGTTGCGGAGGATGGTTCTTTCTCTTGGGCGTAAAATGGGCTTTGATACAGGGTTGGTTTGTAGGCATAAGTAAAGGATGCAATAGATTTAGTTTTCTTATCTCCGCTTCCATTGCTCCAAATCGGTCATTTTTGCCTTTGAATTGTGAACTTTATGGGCCGAGTGATAATCTGTGAAGAAAACCCTGTCTGGATGATACCATGGTGTAACGTCTGGTGTCAAAGACATGACAGCCCCTGGCTAAACATTTTGCCCTCCACTAAAGGTAAATTGTAATCCAATCATCCTCGGATGGGGTTCCTAAGAATAGTTGGGTGGACACGCTTGCTTCGGTAGTGATATTCATCAAAATGACACGTTTTCAGGCTGTTCGTGATCGGGATCTCGCTATCATATGTAGGTTATGCTCGGATGCGAGTATGGAGGAGTGATGATTGTTGTATTGAGACAGTACCGCCTAGTTTTATACAGTCTGAGAAATTAACAGATATGCTTGACCGATTTCAGCCACGTAACCGCTGAATCGTATCCCAAAACCTATACGCGTAACCTGCACCACAAAGTCCATGTAGAATTTCATGCAATGTGCTTCCTAGAGCTGGGCATAATCCCTTTTGTAAATGGAGTAGCTAGAAGAAGCTCGAAATAGTAGGACTGTCTCAAGAGCTTTTCGTTGAGAAAGCATGTATGTCATTTTGCGCTGATAGTCGGCCAACTTGCATATAGAAAAGTAGCCTCTAGGTTTAGTGGATAATAATGATAAAGAATACCGCAAGAACTCGACAAATTGACTATATCTAACCAGGGTTTATTTATCTAACCATTGATCAGCCTCAAAAGTGTCCATTAGTTGTGATTTTGATCTTGCATGCATAGCCAATTTTGCAGTATGCTAGGATGTCAGCAGTATAAGTACTTGTATGTATATACTCGGCAACGAATAATCCAAGCCCTGTAAAGACGTTTAAATAATGTTAGTCTTGGGTGTATAGCATATTATTTAGTAGGATTCATATCAGAATTGACGTTGACCCACATCATCTTAGCTAGCAAAACTCTTCGTTCAAGTTCATCTGTTCTAGCACTAGTGATTATTCTAGGCTCATTTAGGGCCACCATAGAGTATATGCAAACGAATAGAGTAGAGTATGATCGATACGATTCATCTAAATGTTCAAAGTGAATTTCGAGGTCCTCTCTGCCGCGTTTCAGAACGCCATGAACACCACATCAGTTTGAGTCAATCTCTGATAACGCTGCAATTGCCATCTTCGGTGTTTTGTCAGTCCGACTCGGCTTTAACCTCGCAGGTTTCCTTCTTCATCGAGTCAGGAGGACTCAGACGTCTTGTTTGACCGGCCGCTCATCTGGATTGATTATTAGAGTATTATCGCTGTGGCCCAAACGTAATTCCTATTGAGCATATTCTAGCACGCGTCTGAGTATATAATAAACTGGAGGCCATAAACCGATAATCATTTTATGATCCGCAAGCTCTGATTCTGTTGAAATATGCCCCCTTCCGTGAAACATGAATCTCGAGTGATGCAACTTCATATCGAATTTAAAAACGTCGATCCAGCTGGTTTCAGGAAGCGGCTATCTATATAAGTGGATTGTGTCATTGATAATTGTTGAGAAAGGGATACCAGATACACATTTCCTACTATATTACAGCCAATCATGAGGCAGCTATCATTTGCATGAACATGGTGCTTCACATAGGGTATAAAAACCGCGGGAATACCAATTTGGACGTATGCCAATTGCAATTGAACCCAATCCAGTCTTTAAAAATGAGCACGCGAGCTTTGCCAAAGGGGTGCATTGAGATGACCATCGGTACGCAGTTGATATAAGGTTTCTTATACCTTCATGACTTGTGTAACTCTCAGTCTGGATCGAAGTTTCTACGCAGGTCATTTTGCTTTTGACTGCTTTGGATCTTGATATATGATCTGATAAGTCTCTCCTATGATGCGTTCGGTTTTCCTACTCTAGAACCGGTATTCCTACCTACTCCAGTACTGGTACTTATTTCTCGCGATTTTCATCAATTGTCTCGGGCTGTGCTTTTGCGTGCCAGCGATCCCAAATGCTCGATTCTAGCGTGCAGCCTTGATTCGAAGAACTCATCAAGCAAAAAGTAAAATTCTGTAGGGTTCATCCAACGAAACCATCCCCCTTGCCTTGAGACATGTCTATAAAGCCCAAAGCAAATATTCAGCTACTTTTGATAGTAATCAATCAATTGTGTTTGTAACGCTTTGTGATTGCTCATAGAGCACAAGTTTTCGTCATTTTGTTGATCAGGCGACGTTGAACAAAGCAAAACAAAGTCCATCCCATCCACACATAGGTAATCTCGAGATTCTTCTTTACGTACGTACCGAAAATGCGCAGCGCGGATGAGAGTTTGTTCCTGGATGAGTCCGTGTGTTCGCATTAGCCACGCTGGTGGATACATGTATGTAATCGGTTCACGTCAGCCATTAGAATCTAGATGGTAAATGTTCCATCCAACGTCGCATGCACCCCGCATATCTCGGCTTTATAGCGGGCACACTTCGCTTCGGATACCCTATGGCATTATGGCCACGAGCGGAGTGGATCACAAGACCACAGGATAAAAGCTCTAGAGTAGAAAAATTGGATACCGGACGAAATGTAGCTGATCCGGTGCTGGTGGCTGAATATCACAAGGTAGGTAGTGCAAGGAAGGGGCAAGACAGCAACTATCGTGAGATTTCTTTTTGAGTCAGGTGTTGGTGTTTTGAGACTAATTGGTTAGATCAGGGTCCTCGAACAAGCATCACTGCATTCTGCCGCTGTCCGGACCGGGACCGAGCTTCCTGTTGATAGGTTGCTTTGAGCACACCCACCTCAAGGCAGTGTGCCGAGGAGGTACTAACTATCTAGAATAGAGTACTCCACTTTTTAAGAGTAGGTACGAAGTTGATGCAAGGAAATAAAGGGGTCCTACTCAATAGTTAGAAGGTACAAGTCGAGGTTTGAAGACTTGCATTATTGATTCCAGATCTCCTGCTACGTGTCCCAATTGCTCTGCCGGTAGGATAGATTAATTCGTTGATCGTGCATCTACCGAGTCGAAGACAAGGACTCGGTATGGCTAACTCCGGGTGTTGTTATCTTATCCAATCAAAAGGAATATCAATATATGCAAGCAGATGTTCATCATAATCAGACCAGATACCGGTATTGAGATGGAGCTGTAGAGGGTTAGGGTTCGTGCCGAGAGAAGCACTGCATCTCATAGAGAAGCCCCATATTACGGAGCTTATTTTAATCGGGAAAGGCGCGTTGATAGCTACTGTGTGTGAGTGAAACTGCATTCGCCGCCATAAAAAAGAAAGAAAAGAGCTATGAGCTATGACCAATAAATCTTTTGCGCGGGGGCTTTTAATTAGCATTGTGCCCCTCGACCTTGAAAGCTCTGTAACTCAGGATTTTCTTCCATCACCAAAGCCCCGCGATTCCTTTCGAGAAGGGTTACCAAGAACAGAGTATTTCCATATTCCGAATTCTTCCTAGGTTTTCCCGCTGCCGGTGTTACCAGGAAAGGGATTGAGTTAGTACCCCTCCCTGCGAAATCAAACGCCTTGCTCTATGGCCTTATGGCAACTTGTTTCCTTGCTGCGCAAACGCGTTGTACAAAGGGAAGGCTAGCTGACCAACCGGAGATTTTAGCTTGGACACGATCTAGTTCGGTTTGTCGACAGGCCTACTGACTTAAAGCTCACTTTAAATTTCTTGAAAGAGGCGCAACATCCCTCCGAGCGAACAACATAACCACTCCAATTCCATCTCATCTCAAAAGTACCCTCTATATCTTATTATTATATCCATCCCATTTATTTTTCCTTTTTGCGTACTTGAAGAGTAAAGCTCAGGATTTAATCACGATGAAGTTCGGTAAATCGTACGTCATCCTCCCCTGAACTGCCAGGATCATCTAGATCTGTCCGCTTACTTTTGTGGAATTCGTTACACGTAGTTTACCCAGGAACCAGGTCCCAGAATGGTCTTCAAATTACATCGATTACAAGGGCCTCAAAAAACATATCAAATCTGTCACTTCGGAGCAGCGCGTCGCTGGAGAAGCTGATTTGACTCGTAAGCTCATCTGTCTTTTGTTACTGCGGGAGCTATTTAGCCACTGACAACTCAAAACCAGCATTCTTTTTTGAACTTGACCGCAACCTTGAGACTATTGACTCCTTCTTCAATAAGCGTTTTGCCGAATCTCAGCGACGACTGAAATTGTTGCAAGGGCGTTATGGCGAACACTTTGATTGGATAACTTCTGAGAGCGGTAGTGTCAAGAGCGAAGATTCTGGAGAGACTGCTCCAGATGGCTTTGGCATGGACAGCGATGAAATGTCTGAGCTTCTAGGTGCTCTCCTTGAGCTGAGAAGTGGGCTTCGAAAGCTACAGTGGTATGGAGGTAAGTTTCAAAATTCATAATCAAGCTATACTGTCAATGATACTTACTTCTCTTTCTGTACAGAGGTCAACCGAAGGGGATTTATCAAGATCTTGAAAAAGTATGACTCCGTAATTTATACCCCGCTATGAATGCGCCCCACTAATATTTCAACAGGGTGGATAAAAAGACGAATGTTTGCGCACAAAAGCGGTACCTTGACTCTAAAGTAATTCTTAAGCCGTTTGCGTCGGCCACAGAGGTCATTGCGGCCATGCAAACTGTCAATACTTGGCTTTCCAAGGTTGGCGGGACTGATGGTACTGAGTACGATGTTGAGTCTTCTGCCCGACCTACCTTACGTCGCTTTGCATCGGGCACCGCACCAGGAGCGCCGGAGGGAACAGCAGATAAGGTTGACCTTTGCATTCGTGAAGATAATTCGACGAGCTTATCGGATGCTCTCGTGGGTGAGTATGTTACGCAGAAGCTCTTGCTCATACTTCTACAACGTGCAATCACCAATAAGGCCTTGGCATGTATCGACTTGCTCTTGGGACGCATCGAAACATTACATGAGGATGATGATATCAACGAAAGGAACATCATTCACCGTTTAGTAATTTCCATCGGGAGAAACAAATCCCTTATTGATTCATCAACAGACATGTCCTTACTGGATACCCCAACGCCAGGATCATCTCTACTTCAGACATCGTCAAACCTTCCGCTTTTTATTACCCCAGCAGAATCTCCAATCTCTTTACCTCCCTCATCTCGGAACACCACTGAGCTTGACGGAACCCTAAAGCTTTCTGCACATGATAGTTCTGTAAAATTGTTGGAACACCTGCTGAGCAAGCTTCGTCCCCATCAACGGCCTGCTCTGGCGGTTCGGGACTCTTATGGTCGGATGGCACTTCATTATGCTGCACAATATGGGTTTGTGGTGATTTGCCAAGTGGTCATCAAGTATATGCGGCAGTGGGGACAATTTGACGTTTCAGACGGAATCGATTCACCAAATTGGCAGGATTCTGACGGACTTGCGCCATTGCATTTGGCCGTCATGGGAGCGCACCCAAAGACCACAAAGCTTTTGCTACAAGCTGAGAGCTGGGATGGCGGGCTGGGTAGCGATGACAAGATTGTTTCGGCCAGAAAGGCTGTTTCAAAGTCATCTGCAGCCTTGGCCTTGGCGACAAAGGCAAACGCCACAGTTATCGTCAAACTATTGGTTGAGGCTGGTGTTGATATCAATTACCAGGATGGTAATGGAGAGACCGCATTACATCATGCTGCAAGGTTAGGTCATGTCGAGTGTGCTAAAGTTTTATTGGAGGGGAACGATACTCAGCGAGCGGACCTTGAGCTTGCCGAAAAGACTTATGGCTGGACACCTTTGTTTGTTGCAGCTGTCGATGGCAAAACCCAAATTGTCGAGACCTTGCTAGAAGCCGGAAGTGAGCTGGATAAGATCGATTTATCTGGATGGACAGCAGCAGAACACGCAAGTCTTAGAGGTCACCTTGATATAGCTAGGATATTGGTAAAGCATGTTAGTGTCCCCGAAGTACCCCCAGGTTCTGTCACACCTTCTCCACCATCAAGCTTGGAGAAGATGACATCGCTCAACGGGTTTTCCGGAAAAACTGCAGCGCCCACTGCTCAACCAGTCAAGAGCTTTGGGCATCGATACTTGAAAAAGGGAGAAACCATGATTTTGGTTACTCTAGGAAGCACGGACACTCGAAAGAACATGTCCGCTGTAAAGCTAGATAAAATCCCATTATCTGAGGCACATTCGACACAGCTGGATACTGCACTTTCCCTCGTTGTCTCGGCTCAAAATGCGACTGGCGAGCCCTCGATCATTGACCTACCCGTCCACACAAATTCTGCTTCTGAAGACCCGATTTGCTTTGAGACTAAGGACGCTAGTAAGGTCAAGCTTATGTTTGATCTCGTACCGACATACTCAGGTGCCAAAGATAGGATCATAGGCCGTGCTGTGGCACTCTTGAGCTCGATCAAGCCAGGCTTGGGGAGGAGTAGAGTTGCTTTGCAAGGTGATATCCAAGTCCCGATTCTTGCTGTAAACAGCCTAGAGATCATCGGATGTGTCAACTTTGAGTTTCGGGTTGTTACTCCATTCGAGCACCCGAATATGGAGATCACCAAAAAGCAGACTTACTGGAAAAGCTTGGCACCCACAAGAGTTATTGGTCATCGAGGTACTTGATTTGTTAGTGATTTCCATTAAAAATACGTCATAGCTAATTCTTGTGAAGGTCTTGGAAAGAACACGACCACCAGAAAGTCGCTTCAGCTAGGCGAGAACACTCTTCTGGTATGCTAAATGTGCTGTAAAGTGTTATGTAAGGTGAACATGAACTAATCGATTTTATAGTCTTTTATTGCTGCTGCCAACTTAGGGGCCGAGTATGTTGAGGTGAGCTGCCCTTGTGTCTTTTTCTTTGAGGCTGTGCTAACTTGATATATAGTTTGGTATGACCCGAAAAAAATCAGTGTGATCGTCCTAGACATACTAACCGCTGTTTTCCCAGATGTGCAACTAACCAAGGATCATGTACCCGTCATTTATCATGATTTTCTTGTTGCCGAGACAGGAATTGATGCCCCTGTACACACAATGACACTGGACCAGGTATTTCAAGATGAACCTTCGCATGATAAGAGATTTACTAAAACTTAAAATTTAGTTCATGTCAATCAGTGAACATCAAAACCCACGTCACCGGAGAACGGGCTCCCCTAATCGCCCCTGGGACAGTGGTAATAGCCCTGGCACCATCTATGAAGATCACAAGGTGCCGCCCCAGGGTCTCCGCAGGACTCGCTCCATGTCATTGAATGAGCATGACGATCACCATGTTGATTCTCATGGTCGCATGAAACACACGAGGGGGTTCATCAAGAATGGATTCAAGGCCAATGTCAGAGGCAGCAGTATCCAATCACCATTTACAACTCTTGAGGAAACATTTAAAAAGTTGCCACAAAATGTTGGGTTCAACATTGAGCTTAGTACGTTATCTGACTCTCAAGATAAACATGATAGGCAATTACTAATCTAGATGGTAATACAGAATATCCTATGCTGCAGGAGGTTGAGGAACATGAAATGGATAGTTTTGCAATTGAGATGAACCAGTGGGTCGACACAAGTAAGTTTTGGTAATTCTATTTTATGTGGATAAACCCACTAACATTTCCGATAGTCCTCAAGGTTGTTTATGATAATGTCAAAGGGCGAGACTTGATCTTCTCAAGTTTCAATCCAGATATTTGCTTGTTGCTTTCATTTAAGCAGGTATGTCACATGAATCTCCCTAATGTAGCTTCTATGATTACTAACAACTCCGAAGCCATCCATCCCCATCTTATTCCTTACAGATGGTGGTACCCACCCCACGGCAGATATCAGAGCTTCTTGTGTCCAAGAAGCCATTAGATTCGCCAGCAATTGGAATTTGCTAGGGATTGTGTCTGCAGCCGAGCCGTTGGTTCTTTGTCCACGGTTGATCAAGTTTGTCCTCCTTTCTTTGTCGTCCAGAGATACATCGTCTTAGTTTTTGGTTTACTAATGTTTGATGCTTTATCTACAGGGTTGTAAAGGAATCTGGGTTGGTCTGCATCACCTACGGGGTCTTGAATAACGATCCCGAAAACGTAAAGGTTCAAGTAGACCAGGGCATTGATGCTGTCATTGTCGATAGTGTCCTCGCCATTCGCAAGGGCCTTACTGCTGCGGGTGCTCGTACAACCTATGCCGCCCCGGCAACTACGGCAAAAGTAGAGAAAACAGAGGATGTTCCGGGAGGAGTAGCTATTCCTTCGGTCAATATTCCCTCTGTTGTTTGATTAGACTTTTCCGCACAGGTGTAACACCAGTTGTATTGTACAAGTTTCCTTATTAGACGTTTTTCTTTTAAATGCTGTCTTGTGTGTGTTTTTTTATTATTCTTAGAGGGGCGTATAGCCTTAATTGGTCGTTTAAACAGCCATCAGCTATAGTTAGATGAATTGCAATTGACAAAAGTAACGCAAGTGATCATCTGAGTAGTCAACTGCTAAACACTGTGGAGGTTGCCCTGTGTGGTGGAATTCACTTGATGCATGGTGTCAAGTATCTTTGGCCGTCAACTCGGTTTGCAAACCAGCATTTTCTCTCTACCCTCTGGCCAGGCATAAAAGCATAGAACATCCCACATGGGCCCTGCCCCTCATGGTTTGCCGTCCTGAGTTATGAGCGCGTTGACGGATAACCAAAAATATTTGCGTCACACATTATCACGCGGCAACCACCTCAGGTCTGGGCGCATTGATTGATTACTTCATTAAGCTCGTTTACCACTTCAAAGCCTTGCCCCAAGAGATCGCAGATGCGTCTTCTGCTCCGACCATGAGTCTTTTACCATGGTGATATTGTGACAGCCATGTATCTGGAATGGGAATGCTAAAGCCGACCCGTGGGACCCTCTTATCCCAGAGCCCACCTGACCCGGATCTGTCAGCAGCGGGGCAGCGGTAAGTTATAGGGGTCCATAGTTCCTGTCCGGCAGCAAGGTCGTGGGTATATTTGGTGCCCACTCACTCGATCTCTCGAAGCGAGAAAGAGTTGTGGATGTAGCGCCTCAGTTTCAGTCGAAGACGGGGTGAGTGGTTCCAAGCGGGAGCCTAACGCTCATCTGTCCAGGAGCGGGATGTTCGTCGCTGGCAGATTTCAATCCTTCCAAGGCCTTCAAAGTGCATCGCATTGCTGGATTGCAGCTTCAAGTCGATGGAAGGAAGTGTCCTGTATTGTCTGTGGCTAGTTATACCATCTTTACTGCTGATGAGTTCAATTGCAAAGGGTGATGATGAAAGAGAGAGGATACAAGAGGAGAGATCGAGAGGGGAAGAGAGAAGAAATAGTCAGGGAAACAAAAGCCCCCCCCACGAGCCACGCACGGCCGGGAGCCCCCTTCACTCCCACCCGACAGCCACACCAAAAAGTCGATTGTAGGAATAATATTTTACTACTCTCTCTAGGGACCAATCTAACCCAGAATTAATGAATTAAACAAAAAAAAAAATCTAACCCAGAGCTGGTTCGAGTGATATTCTATGATTAAGAATAAGCATTGTCTGCCGAGATTTAGTCCATAGGAGTAGTACTTCTCGCTTGGGCATTCTTACAAACATGGTTTTGAATGCTGGCCGTATGTAGCTGATCTATACCACCCGTTCTGTTACACGTACTACATCCTGACGGTACACAGTACAATCTCCTTCTAAGGGTTCGGGTTAAAAAAGGGTATTCGCCTTATAGGGGTGGAGGTTTCCGGTCCCAAATAATTTATATGTAATCTTAAGGGTAAATGACCGATCATTTGTTATAAGAGTACCCTTAAGACTTTGGAACCTTTTTTTGGTGCGTTACCCCTATAGAAAGAGCATAGAAAGAGCAGGGTTGGGGTTTTTCGATTGAAATTTTCGAGGAAAATTGACAGAGGCAGAAAAAAAAAAAATCAATTTTCGAGTGGTCCAACAAGCAGTTTCTATGTGAACGCACCTCGTATCGAACTTAAACCCTAACCCTCAATTCCTTATAAGGGTTTACGCTCTATAAGGGTATGACCTCGCGACTTTTTTGTACCCTTATAAGGAGATTGTACAGTATTTTTGAAATCCGGCATTCCATAAAATTCAGAGAAAACCCGCGTTGTTGAAAAAAAATACTGGTTCTCAATAGTCATGCCGAACTATACAGATTTAAATCTTTTGTTTGCCAAATGCTGTGAGTTTCTACAGTTGTTCGATGCTCTTGCTACATTACCACAATATTATCGCGATGGGGTGCACGTGGGGTTGGTCTAAACCATCACACCTCTTGTGCATTGTGGGTAAACCAGATCAGCCATCTCTCTGGTAATTGAAGCTGCCAGGATCTGTTTAATTAAGCTCGTATGCTGTTTCGTTCCCGGATCAATAGCCACAGGCACAGGCTTATTGCCGTTGACAAGAACTACATAATATAATAAATCTGCCATTGACACGACCCCTCGCTACCGGGAGTGAGCCCATGGCCATGGATACAAGCAAACTCATAGAATATCACTCGCTGATCCACTCCACTTGTTCTCTCACCACAGTGCTGCGTAGAAGGAGTGAGTATATCATGGTCAGGCACGCTTAATTTTGGATCTTTAGATACGCAGCCCTGCACCTACGTATGCAGCTCCCTGGTCGGTCGGTTCTGAGATCCATATTATGAACCAGGCTTCTGGCCATCACGGGCACCTTTAGCTGTACATGTTCCTGTATCTGTAAATCACTTTCTAAATCTGGTTGCTGGCCTGGTTTGGATATGTTTCCCTGGCTGGCGGTATTACTTTAACGTATATTCTGTAATATAATGTTTTTAGAACCGTGGATATCTATCTCACGTTCAGATGGCCGGCAGGTCTCTGGATGGCTTCACCGCCGATCTTCTCCTTTTCGTCGTCTGTAAGAGCTTCTTCGTGCTGACTGGGTTGGAAGTGAATGTCATATCAGTTCAGTGTTCCTTGGCAACGCTTACTAACGCCACCTTCGCATCTTCACCTTCTCACCTTCACAACAACTCACCCAAGCTCTCCCTCTCACCATCCTCACCTCACCTCCCACTCCCTCACCTCCACCAACTCCCTCACCTCCACCAACTCCCCCACACATACACCACAACACACAAAACACAGCAATGCCCCCCGCCGGCCCCAAATCCGACATAAACCGCTCCGGCGCCGAAGTGACCGACTTCCCCGCCGTGTGCAACGACTGCCTCTCCGCCACCGACAACCCCTTCATCCAGATGATCAAGGAGGACCGCGGGCTCGAGTGCAAGATCTGCACGCGCCCCTTCACCGTCTTCCGCTGGGCCGCCGACCGCACCTCGCGCTTCAAGAAGACCAACGTCTGTCCCTCCGTCCCCCCCCCCCCCCCTTGCCCTTCTCCCCTTCAATACGCTCGCTGACACTCGCAACAGATCTGCCTAACCTGCGCCCGCCTCAAGAACTGCTGCCAATGCTGCATGCTCGACCTCTCCTTCGGCCTCCCGATCGCCGTGCGCGACGCCGCGCTCAAGCTCGTCGCGCAGGGGCCCAGTTCAGGCATCAACAAGGAGTACTATGCGCAGAACCACGAGGGCGCGCTCGTCGACGGGCAGGTGCCGGAGGAGTACGACAAGACGGACGCGGCCGCGCGCGACCTGCTCAAGAAGCTGGCCGGCAGCGAGCCGTACTACCGGCGGAAGCGCGGGGGGGGCGAGGGCTCGAGCTCGGGTGGTGGTGGTGGTGGTGAGGGCGGTGGGGTGGGGCCTGTGAGGACGAGGGATAGAGAGGGGGGGAGGGGCGGGAGAGGTGGTGGGGGGAGGGGCGGGAGGGGTGGGAGGGGTGGGAGGGGGAGGGGGGGGAGGTTTCCGGGTATGGGACAGGTGCCGCCGGGGCCGCAGGATGTCATTCCGCCGGATGATCAGAGTATCACGTCGTTGTTCCTCACTGGGTACGTATTCTCTCTTTCTAGCACCGCGTCACCATTACTTTCCCCAATTACTAACCCCCAAACAGCGTCGAAGACGACCTCGCAGAGCACCACATCCGCACCTTCTTCACCGCCTTCGGCCCGCTCAAGTCCATCGTCTGCGTCCACCGCTCGCGCTGCGCCTTCGTAAACTTCCAGACGCGCTCGGGCGCCGAAGCCGCGGCCGTCTCCTGCCAGGGCAAAGCCATCATCGCCGGCTGCCCGCTGAGGGTGCAATGGGGGCGCACTCGGCCCCTGGGCAACATGGACCGCTCCCAGGCGGGCGGTCGGGGCGGCGGTGCGGTCGTGGAGGCGCAGGGGGCGGAGCAGGAGGGGCAGGAGGCGGAGCTGGAGAGGGAGAGGGATGTGGAGGATCTGGAGGGGACGCTGGTCATGCCGCCGGGGAGCGAGGATAAGGTGTATCCGAGTCAGGTGGCGGGGTAGGTGCTGTTTGGCTTTGTGGATGGCAATTTGACGAATGTGTGCATGTGGGCGTTTCGCTTTTTCTCTTTTCTCTTTTCTCGTTTCTTCTTTTTTCCTTTTTATTTTTTCGCTTTCTTTGCGTGTTCATGAAGTGGGTAATTGAAATTCCAATCCTGTACAATAGTCATCGTAGCTAGCTAGCTTTCCGCATCCCGCATTTCCAAGAGGGAAACCATAAAAATGACAATATATTTATAGAGTAAGAGTAGAGCTTTCGGACCCCCAAACACAAACACAAAACCAGAAAGCCAGAACGTAAAAGAAAAATAGTTACAATGAAAAACCCGCACTCTACCACTAATCTAACTACATGGTATCTCTCCAAATACTCACAACCTACCCATTACCCCCCCACCCCCCCGGGGGGGGGGGGATCTCTATGCCCCACTCTCCCGCACGCTCGCCCACCGCCTCAAGCCGAGCAACACCCCTTCCCCTTCCCCGCCCCCGCCCCCAGCGTCTCCCGCGCCTGCTTGATACTCTCATTATCGCCCCTCTCAATCTCGTCGTGAATCCTCAACTCTGCCCACCGTCCTCAATTAGCCCCATCCACCCTTCCACCTTCCACCTTCCACCTTCCACCTTCCACCCCCAATGTCCCCCCCCTCCCTCTCTCCTCCACCCGCCCCAACCCCGCCCCAGCCACCTAGAAAGAAACAAACTTACCATACCGCCCATCCCCATTCAGCCTCCCCTGCACCACATTCTTCCTGAGCATTGTAGCGACCTCCTCCGCGTTCTTGACGAGCTCTTGTGCCACGTCGCTGTCGCGCGGGAGGTCGCGGTTTGTCTCGAAGCCTTGGCGGGCTGCGGATGATGCGGCGGTGAGGACGGAGGTGTCGCCTGTGGTGTGTTAGTGTGTGTGTGTGTGTGTGTGGAGGGGGGAGGGGTAGTGGGGGGGGAGGGGTAGTGGGGGGAGGAAGACAGACCTTCGAAGGCGGTGCGGGCGGCGCGGAGGAGGTGGCGGTAGGCGGCGAGGGCCATTGGTGTTTGTATGGTGTGTATGGGGGTGCGGAGAGAGGTTTGTAGGGAGTTATGGAGGTAGAGGTATCGAGAGAGGTTTGAGAGGTTTGAGAGAGACTGGAGGGAGGTTCAAATACCCTTATGCGGCTCTGCAGATGGTGGGGCTGGTACGAGTTTTTTGGGGATGTTCCGGTGGGGTTAGATAACTATTCCCGAATCATGTACATAGGACTAATAACTAGACTCTGCTCTCTATAATCTATATAACCTACATTCCCCAGCTACAGATATATCAAACCCACCGAGATCAATGCCCAATCCCTAACCTTCGCCAGATACTACAATGGCCACACCCCCTACCCCCCAAGGGCGCCACCGACACCGGCGCCGACACCGACACCTGCACCACCGCCCTAGTACCCCCCACAACATAGACATAGACCAAGCCCGCGCCCGCCACACCCAAGAATGGTCTGCCATCGCCGCCGAAGCCGCCCGTGTCCTCCTCCGCAAGCGCCGTGCCTACTCCCTGATTGATCCTCCCACACACACCACCCGCCGTATCCGGAGCCGCAAAACCTACGAAGAACCCCTCCTCTGGACACTTGCCCACCGCTACAACCGCGCCGCCGTCCACACCCATGGGCTCCAGCCGTCTCTGCGCCTGTGGGAGAGTGGCGACCTGGCAATGCAGCTAGGCACGCCGTATTGGGGGCTACGACACATCCTGCGGCGCCACCGGGCCAATTTTGCTGCGCACGGAGTGGTGGAGAGCGAGGTGTGCGAGCTTGTGAGGTGGCATATGGTGAACGGGAAGCCCGTGTTCGGGGATCAAAGGTCGAGGTGGTATGAGCTTGAACTTGGGGGGGGGAGAAGCAGCCCGGGGAAGGAGTATTTGTGTGTGATATATGCAGCGGGGGCGGGAGAGGAGCTGGGTACGGTGCTGAGTGCGTATCCGGCGACGGAGAAGAGGCTATATGTGGAGCGGAGGAGAAATCGGGGTCTCAAAAAGATTTCGGAGGTGAAGAAGGTGTCTTCGCCGGCGGTGTTAGGGTCGGAGGGTACATCGAAACAGGTATATCCGCACGGCCACGCAGAAAAGGAGCCAGAGACTCAGATCTCGAGGCCAGGAGAGGTCAATGATATCCCAGAGACCATGGAAATTGCAACAGAGCCCAAACCGGGAGTGACAGAAACCTCTCCGGTGAAGCTAGAGCTAGCCCCCGATCTAGCTGTAGTTCCAGCGTCCGCTATCATTACCCCCAAGCCCGAACCCACAGCCCTAATAACCCCCGGGCCTGCACCCACAACTACAATTATCAAGGAGACCCCCAAGAAACGTTTCAAAATAAAGCGCATCTGGCACTCCTTCACCACGCCCCAAATCCGACGCCTCTTCCTCACCAACGAGGAAGTCGATGCCCTCCCCGGCACAACCCAAGAACGCAGCCTCCGCCGCCGCCTCGGAAAATCCATCCACGCTACCTTCTTCGCACCTCCCCGCATCTCTCCCCGCATCATCGTTCCCTCACCCTCCCCCTCCCCCGAAACATCAGTCCAAGCACCCCGAATCCAGCGGTACCCCGACACCCGCCCCAAGGAACCGCCGAAGCTCGCCCATAGAGTTGCAGTACGGCCCTATGTGCCCGTTCCGCGCGTTCACCGCACTCGTGCGCCTCCCTACCGGCCTCGCCCACGCATTACAAAGTTCATCAGCCGGCGCAAGATCGTGCGGTCTATCCGCGGGCGGCCGTTCATGCGGGTTGACCGACCGCGCGGGCTACGGCGGCCGGCGAGGACGAGGGCGCGGAGGAGGCTATTGTTGGGGAGGGATAGGAGGAGGGAGAGGTGGTCGGTGACGAGGCTGACGCCAGGGGATATATTGTCAGTGTTGGCAGCACTGGTGAGGTCGCGGAAGGGGAGGGATGGAGTGGATAGGAGGTGGGTGAGGGCGGGGGCGCTGGGGTTGGCGGGTGCTGGGAAGGCGTTCCCGAGGTTGGGGGGCGCGTGGGGTATGTGGGGGACGGGAGCGGGGAGCTTGTCGCGGGGGTGGCAGGCGGCGAGGGAGCAGCAGCAGCAGCAGGTGAGGAAGATACATACGCAGTTGGGGGTAGGTATTCCTGTTGCGGTACTTCCTCGGCGGGTTGTGAGCTCGAGCTCCGTTGGGAAGGGTGTTATCCCGGCGTTGTGGCGCGTTCTAGGGAGAAGGATGTTTCTATAAGCACCAGTATCAGTACTTGGCTAGGTGCATAATGAAAAGGATACAAAACAAGAAGAGAAAGGCAGTTGAAGCACGTTATATCACTCGGAGTGTGGCGCAGAAGTCCTCAATCGAGGATTAAAGGGTAGCCAGTGATTGACTAGAAGCTTATCATAGATGTAGGTTATCCCACGGAAGAGCACCCTGGGATAGCTTTGGCAGGGGGTGAAAGCCGGTGGTGCTGCGGGGTGCTGCGGGGATGATACATCAAGGAGAGCCCCGAAAGCCAGAATTGATCGTTGCCAGCCCCGGGTTTGAAGACAGTCGGGAATGTTGTGATAGACACCGTTCGGACACGGCTTAGGCAGGAGGACGGTATGTAGCCATGGATATACATAGGCACAGATCAACCATCGAGCAGTGGGGTGATTGTCGCCTATTCCAAGAGGAAACGCTATGTTGTTGGTAGGGCTGGTTCGATAGCTGATGTATATAAACAAGTAATGCACTCTCTCCAGAAATATTGCCCGTTGTGATCGCTGCTTGGGAGCAGGAGAAACAATTAGACGTAGTGGCAGTATTTTCCGGGCCCATCCACGGAACCGTCCATCCAAGCCAAACTTTCCATACCGGTAAATGCAGCTGGCTTGTACCCTTCACGAAGTATGGGACCATGTTTCCTCCGTCATCTTAGTATGTGTCCTTTCAACGATACAAAGTCGATGAGATAAATGTCTGGTGTAGTGGTTAATTCCATGCCGACTCTTGTATACGACCAGTATATGGGCCTGTGATGATAGTGTAGACGACTGGTGTTCGTATAGGCTCCTTTCTGCTTGTTGGATGCACCAATCCGATTCATTGTAACGGTGATTGCTATGTATGATCTGTATGGATCGTGGTGGCCAACCTCTTAAGTATCACTAGCTTCCAGAAAGGACAGATATCAGTGTGGGCGATCGAGTGCAATTGGTCTGGCTACAAGGGCTGTGATGGAGGGACATCTTGCAACCGGATGTGCATCACACACGATCACTCGCCACAATACCTGGCTCGTTACTCTTGGGGGGCCTGTGCAACTACGACTGAGAGCTTAAGAAAAAGTACAAAACCAAGTATTGACGGGAGATTAGTAGACCTATCCCGGAGTGCTAGTTCCCTATGTGATTTGTGTAGTTACGAAAGTAGTGGACTAGAAATGGTGCTCCAGATCAAGGCACTTCCCCTGCTTGCTTAGAACCTCGCAGGTCGCCATCACTCATCACACCATATCACTCGAGCAGGAGCAAATCCATCACCTCACCCACAAACTTTCCTCGGCACCTCCGCACCACCACCCTCAGAGCCAGCACGCGCATCAATGATATCACCCATCCATTAAACGCCACGCCCTCAAGCGCCCTAAAAATCAGCCAAAGAAAAAAGAGCATCTAACCCACTATCTAGCTAACTACGCCCTCCTAATCTCCCACTTGATATCCTTAATCGTGACCTCCTCGCCCGCCTTTTCATCATACTCAAACCACTCATCCGTGATATCAATCTCCGCAAACTTTGTTCCGGACTCGAGGCCCTCCGCCATCCAGTTGCCCTCCGCGCTAAAATCGACAAACTCGCACCCGCGGCACTCAAACTCGAGGATGTTCTGCTTCTTGGGTGGGGAGCATTGTTTGTATGGTTTGGGGGCGGCGCGGATCACTAGGGGGTGTTAGTATCTCACAACAACCATCATCGCCGGGAGAATGGTGGGCTTATTTACTTGCTGAAGATTCGCGCTGTGGGGAGGTGCAGTGTTAGGATATGTATGCAGAGATATTGATGGGGGCGCGTACAGTGCAGTTCTTACACTTCCAGACGAAATTGGACTCGCCGCGGCTGTTTGACATCTCTCTCTCCTCCTATACATCATTCCCACCATACCAGTCAGCCCCTACTCCCTGCTTTTCTATTCTCTCCCTCCCTCTGCAGGTCCGCAACTTACAAAGCGACTAATTCCCACAGTCTTGCCATGCACCTCCCAGCACGACATACACTGAACCTTCAGCATGTAGTAGAACGGGTTATCCTCCGTGTCATCTGGGCGGAGGTTTGTGACTCTGGGCGTGGCCTGGTGTTAGCATTGGTTTGCGAAGCTGCGCTGTGGGGGGGGTACCCAGAGAGGTCTGCGGTGAGGGTCAGGACTAGCATCTTTGGTTGTTAACTTTGGTGGGATGTGGGGGTTGGGAATTATTGTTTGAGCTCGTTTGATAATTGGGGTGCGGGGGGTGGGATGGGCCGGGTAAGGTGGGGTGGGTGGAATAGGTGGGTGGGGTTCACGTGATATGGGTCATGGATGCTCACTCGTGGGCTGGTGTGGTTTGATGGGGATTTGTGTGGGTTTCTTGAGGGAGCGGTTGGGCTGGTTGGAGGGACTGGGCTATCTATAGGATGACACGCGTAGATGATTGATAATCCATTTATTGTGTGAGTGACATGCGTGTGTTTGGATAGATATTTTAGGGAGCTCGATCGAGCAAAATTTCCCATCGAATATCCCTTCGACCCATATGCGTTGAGTATTGGTATAAAGTAGATCTAGAAGTGATAGTGTATTCTATGGATGGTAATTAAATCCACATTTTACCGAAACCAAACGTAGTGCATGTGGTCACAGTAGCCACATGTACTGCCGCGGCCGGTTCACCTACATACATGTATCTTTCCGGTACCGGCCCCAGTGAAGATTGGATCTTCGCCCCAGATCAAATGCATATACATAGTCAAATTAAAAATTAAGTTTTCTCCTCTAAATCGAAACTCAGAGCCCCACCCATCGGGCCCTGCAGCCGAAATGACCCGGGAACGGGTCCCCCAATCATTTCGGACCGGTCCCGAAACAGTGCACGTGTTCGCGGTGTTACCGCTGTGTGTGGGTTAGGTTCCGCCACATATACACACTTTTAACAGCTGTTTGGCGGGCCATCATAGAATATCACCCGGTAATTTGATCTCCAGATCAGTCGAGGTGTTCTGACCGGGGTGTGTGGGTGTAATGTGTTTACTTGCACTAGCGCTATTATTACATTGCTCTTGACACCTACCACTGCTCTTGATATCTACATGTACGCACCTTACTAACAAAATATCAACTCCGTCTTCAATTCCCTCATCACCTATTCGCTGGTAACTACACCCGCGGAACTTGAACACATCACCTCGAGTGCCAGCTATTCATCCATAACAATTCAATATTCATCAAACAGTTACATGTATTAGGCACACCACAACCCGGAAAAGGATTCCGAACAAAATCTGGCCACCAAGCACTTGTAAGTCTGTAACAACGTGGATTGACACCTCAAGACTAACAAGTACTATAGAATATGGGACCCGACTGGAGATAGATAGGATGTTATCTATATGTGCCGCTATATATCAATCCCGGTACGAGTTCTTTAGTATACATCCAGTTTGTTGGGGCTGACCCTGCAGCTGTATATACCGCTCGCCCCACGGAAAGATGAATTTTTATAGAATTCTAGGTCCCAAAAATCATCTAATCGAAATTTATATTTCATTATCTTATTCGAGGCCTTGTTATTTCAAGTCCTTCAGTCGGTTCGCCTTAGATGCAATTTTGCTAGAGCATATCACCTCATATGCCATCTCCAGATCAATTGCTTAGCTGTCAACACACGCAAGGGATATATACAGAGCCTCTACAGGGATGTCAACTTTGGAATCATGTCACTATCTAGGTTAGTTAGTAAGCTTGTTATTCCATCCCCTCCCCTCCCCTGTTCTTGCTGACTGTGTGCAGCAGGAGCAGCAGCAAACTCAAACGAGGCCATCTAATCACGAGATTTTAGTTATCTTGCTGGCAACAATATATTATTTGCCGTAAGAGCTTATTCTCACCGCAAAACTACGCTACTATACGCCTTGCTAGCTCGTGCGAAGCCTTTCTCACCGCCCTATATTCTGAACATTCCCCTCTCTCCCCCCGTAGTACTTAATTTGGCACTCATCAAATTAAATACATGGGACATGTTGAGGCCAGGTTGTCACTATGAAAAATCTGCTATTCAGATGGTAAAATGTTCATGATATATCACTCGACTATAAGGAGACTATTATCACTACTAAGACACCAACGAAGATAGCTGCAGCATGCTTTAGAGACGATATGTTTTATGCGTATCCCACTAACTGTCCCGGGACAAGATCTGCATAAGTACATAATGCTCTAAATGCCGAAGGCCAGATCAAGTCACGTCGGAGAACAAAGGTTTATACGAACTGCAACCAGGAAGGGCTCGAGGCGCATCTACAACGCAGCCTATCTTAAGATTAGGGCCTGCAGCAGATCAGAATCAGGCGCTAATCATTTGTTCGTCGCCTCTCCCCAGACATAGGTAGCCGCCTCGCGATCGATGAGACAGTTACAATGGGTAGATCTGAGAAATAGAGCACTGTTTTCTCTTCCCCGCCAGGCTATGGGGTATCATGAGTGTGCGTACTCTACACTCAGTTATACCCCATCATCGAGTTTCAAAAACTATATATAAACACGCTCAGCCTTCCTCCCCGATCCCCTGGTTCACACCACGTCACTCGGGTTCCCGAATCATGAAACCAGCTACGAACCTACGACTGCCACTTCAATCTGCCCCCAAGTCCTGACAACTCACTTGTCCCACTTGTCCAGCTGGCTGGCTCATTTACATGTGTACTGTAGAGTAGGTCCGGTACTCTACGCCCCCCGGTGAACACATGAAACAGACCCAATACATTACCCCGGCCCATACATACATGTATTTTGCCAATGATGGTTGAGCCGCAAGGTGGCCCTATGTTGGGTCGGGAAAAACGGTGAAACCGAGTGCTAAGTTCTGAACGGCGCGGACGGGTTTAACGCACCCGCATTCCCCGATGGCGATGTGGCTTGATCCCGTGGACGTCGGTTGATATTGGGTTGGGGGCGGCCAAATATGGTGCTTACTCTACCCGTGCAATTGTAGGTCCAAGTGGTAGTTAGACTGTAGCTACCTACGGAAATAGGGTTGAATTTCTAGAACAATTGCTAGGGTACTTTGGACGGATAACTCTAGCTACGGAGAATTTCCTTGGAGCGGGTATGGCTCTTTTCCGCGACCAGTAGTGGGAGTAGGGTACACCGTATTCTAGTGCGGGAATGGTCGCCGGTGGTCCTCAACGAATAGTAAGTGACCACAGATCTGTAGTTGAAGCTCAATATATCTAAGTACACTGGAGTTTTCAAGGGAGTATGAAGCTATTACATACAATTAATCAATAGTTAGGCACGAACAGGCGTTTTTTCTTCTTAGGAGCTCCTCAACTCAAAGGGGGGGGGGAACTATGGATAATGATGATGAATTTTTCTAGCTGAAGCATTTTACTCTATAGTTATCGATTGACAATTGTTGTTTATCACGGATGGGGTGCCATTGATCCTTTACGGAATATAATGCATGACACCCGAAAACAGCAATCGGTTCTGTTCCGTTTGGTTTGGCCGGCCGGCCGAAATAAACCACACACATGCACGTAACGGGCCGTTTCCACTATGAACCCCCTCCAGCAGATCATGGTCCAGTTCCCCACAAACCAGGCAAACCGATCCGACTCGATCAGAATACCTACCGCGGCCGCGGAGGAGGAGCGCAGAAGAGCGAGAAGGAGGAGAGGAGAGGGGTTGCTACTCCTCTATTCTAAAGTTGGTCGCTCTTCCTTGGCTGAACATCGCATCGCAGCGGTCAATCCCACCCCGGGTTGGGGTAGTAAAGTTAGGATCTTGCTGTTGTTTTTCTTTTTTATATTTACCTTGACGGCAGTTTTTTTTTCGTGACCATGTAACTCAACGTATGCAGATATGTGCTCCATCAAGTCTAATTCTTTTTTTATTTTATTTTTTGGTTTTGCAGGTTGCATACATTCCTCACCGCCGACAGACCGACGACCCGGCCGGGAGATATGGATGGGCTTGGGCTGCATCATCACCTCACTCACCTTTCACCTTTCCCCCTCACGTTCTAGTCCTAGAGACGCTTAGTACTGGCGATCCCGAAGTTCCTGGAACAGCAGGAAGAAGAAGTGATTTTCTCCAGACCCCCATGGATCCCCGCAGGAATTGCTACGGCAACGGTTGCTAGGAGACGAACGACCGCACCTCACCGGGCCGAGTGATGTAGAGATCGTTGTTGTTGTTGTTGATGTTGATATGTACAGTATCCGGTAGAATTATTGCGAAAGTCAGAACTAAAAGGGTGGGTTTCTTGGCCCGTGCTCACTGCAAAAATTCCTTTGAGGGCCAATGGGACTATCGGGTCACGGAAAACCCACTTTCGCATTAATTCTACCAGAATCTGTAGACTGACGTTTCGGTACCTCCCTGGACCTGGCAAGTCAGGTCAAGTCAAGCATAACACAAACACCGGGAGCATGAACTACACACTCTTGGTATTGTTATTGTCGTAGTAATTGCTGCTCTCAGTATGTGGGGTTCGCATGCAGTGTACAATTAGGGTCATCCCGAGCTTGCCGTCCGGACAAGAGACCGTTAAGCTAGCCAGTTGACTGACGATAGACAGAACTGAAAACAGAGATAGAGCAGAGAGAGAGAGAGAGTCATCTGTCCTTGTGCTCGGACGGAGCCTCTCGCTAGAGTAGCTGGCGGACTGCATCAACTGTCTTGATGTCTTCCATATGTCATGTCACAGCACAGCGCTCTAGATTGAACGGTGCTCTTCTCTGCAGTTACCGCATCCTGTAGTCTTGAAGCACCACACCTAACCCTGGCGGTACTGGCTAACTCACCACCACATCATCATCCCCTCGAGATGAGGAAACCCCACATACTGAGGGAGGTTCGCCAGACTATCTCGACAGGGACGCGCACCAAATGATCTCCCCCACGTGCTGCACACAGCACTCTGACACGCGAGATAGCTACTCAGTACATACCTAGAGTAGAGTACCTGCGTGTGCCTAGTAAGTACTTGACAACAAACGAGCCGAGTGCGATCTCATGACACTAGCGCGCAACTCTCCATGCGCGCAACAGGCCGATGAGGATGAGGATGCGGATGAGGATGATGAGGGGACACAACCTCTTCTTCCCCGCGCGCGCGCGCGCCCCCCGGCCCGGGCACCTGGTTAGGTACTCTTTACTCCTATGCTATCTTCTAAGCGAAAGTAAAGAACGGAAATACAAAAGGCCCGGCCATGCGCGTCCAGTCGGAGGGAGGAAGGGAGCTTTGGGCGCCGGCGCGGCGGACTATGACTCGATTGTTATGTCCATCCACCCATGATCCATCCATCCTTCCTTTTCTTCTAGAGTAGCTACGGGTAGGGTAGGTGTAGACTGCGATGCATTGAGTCGCAGAGTGGGAGATTGGGTTCTGGAAACTGATAAGGTATCAAGGAGATTATGATATGATTCTTAGACAGGGGCGATAGAGCACCGGCTGGACACAGTGGGTACGGCACTCTACTTACTGTACCTGCTTTTCCAGCTAGCTAGCTAACCCTCGCCCTTCGGCCTCCCGCGACGTCATCTGTAGATCTAAAATCCAGAATAGAGTACTATGCAGAATACCAATTTTAAACACCTTCTCATTCTCCAATCGACAAATTCAACAAAGTGAACAAAAAAAGCAAAAAACAAGAAAAACATCACAGCCTGACTCGTATCGTATCGTATCGTCCAGCACCCATTCTCACGGCTATCGATTTCCTAGCCAGACAACACTGCCCTGTCGCTGTCGTAACAACCCTTTGCCCTCGGACTCGACTCCTGATGGCAGATATGCAGGTCACATCCAATCAGCGCGCGAGTTTTCCGATGAGCTATATCCTAGCTGGGTACGCTAAGTACCTCCCACCCTACCATTCACAAACCAAAATAAAGTCGTCGGCAGCTTCTACGATACCTATCACGAGCGCGCAGCCAGAGTAGGCTGGCAGGTAAGTACTCACGAAGCCACCACCACAAGCGAGTCCAAGTCCGAGTGCGAGTGCGCCACCCCTATCTATCTGGTGGCGGGGGGGTATACTCTAGAGTGTTATGTCGCAATAGTCACAGCTAGACTCACAGACAGCAAGCAGCATCCATCACCATCACATGACCCGGGATTTCCGCAACGCCGCGTCCCTTGCAGCCACCATCGGTCATCCCTGCTCAGCTCAACTCCCGGACCTGCTTTTGCTCTGCTTTGCCTTCTTTGCCTTGCCTTGCCTGCCTCATCATCCTCATCCTTATCCTGGGTTGTCTCGGTCTCGGTATGATAATTTTCTATAGATACTAGCTATCTAGCTTAGCCCTACCTATAAATCTGCCCTACACACTTGCCTGCAGGGCCGTATCGTATCGTGCTGCGCACCGACGTCTGTGAGGAGGGCTGGTTGAGCTGTGGATGACGTCGGGATTGCCACCGTTTCAGGGTGGGGGGGTGGGGGGTGGGGAGAAGTCCTGAGGATTTGAGGTATGCAGTAGGTGTATGAAACTGGGTGCTCATGTTTTATTTTAGGGGGTGTGGGGTAGGGGAATAAGCAGAAGGGGAAGAAGGCAAATGGGCGAACCGACAATACCAAAAGGCCGACAATCAGGAAGAAGCATGTGCGCTCAGTCTCAGTCAGTTCTCGTTTGTTCAGTCAGAGGCCAGTCCGTTTAGTCACTTGTAGTCAGGGGGTGCGCGCGCCGGGAAGCGAAGCGAGGTGAAGATTCTGAGACTAGATTGTTCATTTTCATTTCGATCGCCGATGCCCTCTCGAATCAAAAAAAAAACTGTCCAATCCCAAGCAAACAGATTGAATTTGAATTGCGCGTCGTTTGTATACTGTTGAATTTGTTCCTGGCCGGCTTGACTCATTTTTCGCCAGCGCCAAAAGAAGAAACAACACTGCCCTCCTCTTTTCTTCTATTTTGCCTCCTTCTATGCGTTTCCCTGTGATATCGAGGTCTTTTGCGATATTTGTCAATTTGCACGTGCTCGCCAACTCGGTTGTTGTGGGGACCGGGGTGAGTGAGTGTGTGAGTGTGTGTGTGTGAGAGTAGATGGATGAATGGGAGCGCAGAGAGTCGTTTATCATTGAACCCCCAAGACGTCCGGGTAACGACCCGAAGTCGCGTCATTCGTCAGTCTCGCTTAGCAATCGAGATAAGCTTTGTCACGTGTAAGCCTCCTTGGTGTGACAAATGAGTCATCATGGGGAATCCAACAGCACACACCCCCATCCGTCCTAGAGTAGCAACACAACAGCCGTTTCGTGAATACTGAATTCGCTACCTAACCTTCTCCTCAGGCGTCAGGCTTCAATTGAAACCTTCGATCCTAATTTGCGGATCCCCCCCCCTCATAGCATAGTAAACACGTCAGCGCATAGAGCATGAGTGAAGTGAGTGAGTGGATACTTCTGACTCTCTGCAGCGCCGTGTACATGTGTTTTCTCCAGGGTCTGTGACCGGGCCAATGGTAGAGCGCTCATTCACCCCCTCTTTTTTTTCACTGGTTTTTTTTTCTTCTTGCTCGCTCTCACCGTAGACCAGACCATACCATACTGCTGGGTTTTGATTGATTGATTGAAACCAACCAAACCACCCCTCCCCTGGCTGGCTGGGGGCGTTGTGTGGACAACGCACAATAACGCAACACGTAGTACCGGTGTGGGTGTGAGTGATGATTTTAAATACTTTGCGAAGACGAAGGAGGGAGAAATTACTAGATGGAGGGAGGCTTTGAAAGGTGATAGTAATAGTAGATGACTATTTCGGGTGTGGCTATGAGGAAGCGATGATGATGATGATGATTGCGGTTTTATTGTCGCCGTTTATTTGCCAGCTATGGGTTGTAGTGGTAGCTACATGTAGCTATGTAGCTGGCGACATCATACATCATGACCAAGAGGTGAGGATGGTTTGCAGCCGTTTCTGGGTATCGATTCCCATAGGGCCGAGTATTACATGCAGGTAGTCACTCTACTCACGCAGATTAGATTAGGTACCTCCCAACAAGGCTGAGAAGTATATGGTAGGTACATACATTGGGGAGTTGAGATCACGGACCTTTTCGGTGACGCGCTGTTCTGTTCTGTGTTCCAGAATCTTCTGGTCACGGGCAATGTGTCTCTTTGCGGATAAGGAGGGGGTGGTGGATGGCCTCAGCTTTTTTTTCTGGTTACTTTCAAATCTGGTGTCGCGGTTGCGAACTTGCGATGGGAGGATGTAGAGAGCATGCAGGAAGTATAGATATCACTCGCACTGGGCTGGGGGTGGAACAGGTCTCAATGATACGCACAGTCCGTATGTCTGTGGGCACTCGTTATGCTATGCTATCGACGGCAGGGGTGGGAAAGGCGTTGGGAGAGGAGAAGAGGTTGTTTTGAGGTTGCACCTGCTCGACGCTCACGATCACTCACTCACTCATCCGCAGTCACTCACCCGCAGTCACTCACCCATCACCATCACTTACTCTCCCCCATACTCTACTCTACTTTCCCCCAACATCAATCGCCCACCACCACTACCACGATCATGCACCCAGCAGACTACCGCATTTCGCTTCCAATCTCCCCCCCGCGGTATCTCAAAGCTGGTAACCCTCCGAATCCAGCCCGGCCACTGGTACAGTTGACAAAAAGTATCCCCACCTCCATATCTTCTGATGACAGACATATTTTACACCTGGATGGCCCAATCACCAATTCGCACCCTCACATCCAAAGAAAGATATGGGTAAATATTTAAAACCTCCCTATATCGTACATATCCGCGGCAGCAGCGCAGCAGCAGCAGCGGCAGCCATCAATCAAATTGGGGGGACAGAATCGTGCGTCGCTAGCCGCAGATGGAGGGAGAGGAGGAGGAGAAACTGTCAAATCAGAACCTCCATTTCGAAAAGGCAAGCCGGGCGATAGCTCACGTAGAGGATCATCCTCCCGCCCCGCCTTACACAACACAATGCATACATCGTCATTGTGAACAGGTTCCCATTGTTCGGCGGCACACCCACGTCTTGGTGCATTTCACACCGGCGCGCGCGCGCACCCCGACCGATTGAAAGACCGAGTGACCGGCGGGGCCGTACATATGTACCGATCGGCTCTGCTACGTTACTCTCTTTCTCGAAACAAGAGTGGGTATGGCAAGAAAAGAATGGAAAAAAAAGAAAATGCCGAGATTTTCAAAATTCCTGCTCTACTGAGCAGAGGCGATCATAGCGGAACTATTTTTTCGCACCCCATCTTGTAGTGTAAAACAACCCCCATCCTTGGTCCCAGGATGAATCGCGATGATCACAAAAAAAATGGAACACACGCTCGAAACAAAAATCACTCAAACTGATGATGCAACAGGAGGGAAAGAAAGAAAAAACTTTCACCTGTTTATTTTAGCAGTCACTAAGGGATGGATGGGAGATAAATATTGAGGAGAGGGTGTGAAAGAAGAAGCCGAAGAGGAGGAAGCGTAAAAAATTATTATTTACTACTCAGAGTGATTCTGGTAGAGCTGGGCTATCTGCCCTGAAGATCTGTGTATCGGGTCACATCACCCCTCGGCGCCTGAGAGAGCGCCGGGTGATGATGATGGTGGTGGTGGTGAAAAATTAAACATATCAAACAGGACCTGTAGGTTGCGACGGGACCGGCTCACAAGGGACACCATTCCCTTTTTCCAGATTACTACTGTCTGGGATTGGTTGAGTTGCAATCATTTATCTGTATCTAGTAAAGAGAGAACCGAAGACAATAAGTTACTCATCAATTGATAAACGAGGTAACTTTCGGGGGAAGTCGGTTTCAACCTCTGTAAACTTTGTTGAGAACGAGTCTCAAATTTCCGGACCTGATCATCTGGAAAAGGGGTAGGACCGGTGGGCTCGTCAATATTTTGCGGCGCGCGCACGGAAGCTCCCTTTTGTTTCTGCAACGGCCAATTGCCATGGCGGGAGCTGTGTCACCGTCGCTCCTTGTTTCCAGAGTGAAAAAAAAAAAAGCACTAGGGCACCAAAGGGGGGAGTTGATCAACCCCCTGTTTAGATAAATTTTTCAACCTATTTAAAATTAGTTCATTTCTCAATATCCCGGCCACTTGTTTGAAGTTGGGGGGATAATGGAGCTGGTTCCCGTCCATCTCCAGCTCTAAGGTGAAAGTGAAAGCCGTATGTTGGGGGTTTAGTTGGATAGATACAGACGCGTATCGCCGAGAAGAGATCAGGAGAAGAAGCTGGAAAGCTACAGTTGGTACCATTGTGCTGAACAATAGTATCATATGTAGCAGCAGCTGGCAGCGGCGAATGAGCGAACGAGCGAGACGCACTGCGCCTTATGTAGGTACATGTAGGTACTCTACATCATCATCGTAGTACTAGTAGGTAGTAGTAGGATGTAGACGAAGCTGACAAACGAAACCCAGTTGATGATGGCGAACTTTACTTGGTTGGAGTCGCTTGGCCTTGTAATCTGGACGTGACGGACTTGCGTTGCGTGTGTAAGACAACGCCTTCAATTTTTATTTTTTTTATTCCTTGTATGTATTCTCTCTCAATCGATCCCCTTGCCTTATCCATACCGTACCGCCGTCGGGGAAACAACTTCGATAAATTTGCATTTCAATGGCCGAGCGCATAGGTTTCGTTTTAAAGGGAAAAAAGGCAGAAACGGTTGAGTAGTTCCGAATTCCAGGGGAGATGCCCAGCGAAGAAGAGGAAGCGATGAGTATGAGTTAGGGATGTATATTTTTTTTTTTTTATTTTTTTGGGGGTGGCACGTTGCACTCGTTATGTGTGAATGCACCTGCGTAAACGAGTTTCTTTCTTGATGCTGCTGCGTGCGCCGTTGCATAAAGTACCGCAGTACCTAGGTGATGGTTATTTGGAAAGTACCACTGGCGTACAGAGGGTTTGTTCTCACCTTACCTCACTCTTCTCTTTCTTCCTTGAACGCCTGAACGACGAACGGGCGGCGTAACTGAGTACAGGTCGCGATGTCCTTGACCTGAGTAGGTGCATAGCCTCAAGACACGCACGGTCGCAAGTCGCACTCGCATTCTCTATGCAACCGTGTTCCTTGTTCTGTGAAGAAAAGACTGGTTGGTGGGACCTAATGTAGGTGTGGGACCTAAGTTATTTGGGGGAGGGTAGGGTAGGGATAACCTGACTTGCATAGTATTGCGAAATTTCTCTGGTAGAGTCACATATGCCCTCGGTCGCTTGTGTGTGGTGGATAGTACCATAGACGGGGATGTAGGGGGATGCTGCACTCTCTTTGGTGTGGATGCTGCTGTGTCAGTAGTGAGAAAGAGTTGCTTCTCTGGTCTAGGCTAGTGGTGTGTGGATGGATGAATTTGGAGGGAGAAGGTATAATATCCCCGCCTGCATCCCACGCCTCTTCTCTTTCCACTTCCTCCTTCTTTCTGCTCACTCTCGAGATCCCCATTCCTTATCATTGTGCATCCCTAGGTTCACCTTTGAGTGACAGTTAGCACTCCTTCCAAAAGATTGATTCTTACTGCATCTAGAGAAACTTCACTTGTCGTTTTTTCCCTACCAAAAAAGAAAAATCACAACAATATTTATCAACCATCATCCACAACCTTATTCTTCCCCATACTTACATGCTAGAGTTACGAATAACAGATCTATCGTAACTACTTATCTCTCTCTACGTTTTGATCAATAAATCGAAACGTATCCTACCATTACAATCAAAACACCAAAAACCACATAATGCAATTCGAGCATCCCGCCTACTCTAGTCCATTCTATCCTCCAGGATACGGCTACACAAGCCCCCCACCAGGTGGAATGCCTCCCCGCGCGAACTTCTATGAAGGTGGCTTCGGCGCCTCTATCCCCACCCCTGCCCCATCCCCAAGAACCCCGAGTGCCTCGAGACGCAGGACTCAAGATTTCAGTGGAGGAGTTTCGGCAGAGTATGTTCACCACAAACGTCCTTCTTCTTCCAGAAGGAGCGGTCATGAACACAGTGAATTCCCCCATGAACAGTACCACGCGAGTACATCCTCTCCTCGTCCAGGTGCAGGTCACAGAGCCGCATACATGAACCCGACTCCTCTCCACACCCCACCACCATCCGCACATGCCCACCACAGCAGTGGCAGTGGTACAATGCCGAATATCTACTCTTACGTACCGGGCTTCACGGCTCAGCAAGCCGAATACGTGAGTCCCTCCTCCTTCCCCTCAGAAGATTATCGTGGTGGTAGTTCTAGTCGTCATCGGACACGGCCTAGCAAGTCGGGACGTCGGCGTCCGCGGTCCTACTATTATACCTACTCTTCCTCCAGGCCCGTCACTGACTCTTACCCTTCCCGTTCACAGTTTCCCCAACAATCATACACCCCTGGCCCTCAATCACCTCCCCCCACCCGCGATTCGGATGGTAGAAGGTCAAGGACCACCAGGCGTCAATCGACTTGGCAAGCCGGTGAACCCACCCCCCGCTCCCCGCCACAGCAATCGAAGCCCAAGTTCACCAGATCTCAGACCGAGCCAGCTAGCACCGATGCTGAGGCGGTCAGACGCAAGGCTGCAGAGCATGGAATTCCTCAAGACTACTCTTTGAAGAACTGGGACCCAGAGGAACGACCAATCATCCTCTTGGGATCAGTTTTTGATGCCAACTCTCTGGGAGAGTGGATCTTCAACTGGACCAAGTACCACCATGGAAAGACCCACGACGCCACAAAGACTGCTGGTGGATTGTGGGAGCTTCTCACTGAGCTGAGCTCCAAGTTGAAGCGTGCTAGGGAATTCTTCGGGTACATCAAGGCACCAGAGAACAGGGAGATCTTGGATGACTTCATGGAGAGTGGAGAGAGGCTTTGGCAGAAGTTGAAGTCCTTGTTGAGGAATTGCGAGGATTACATGTGGAGGGGCGCCCGAGGTGTCGCTTCGCCAGGCCCTCAAGACAAGCCAGCTGTCCAGATGGGAAAGAGGTCTGGAGCTGAGTTTGTTGACGCGATGTTCAACGGCGAGAAGGAGTGGGAGAGGACGGAGAGACTCATGAGGGGCATGGCCACTTGGTGTCAGAGGTTCGAGGTCAACTGCGAGGACATCCTGCGAAGTCCCAACGCTTAGGTGGAAATCAGCAACCAAAAGTTTACACGGCGTTCTTTTCACTGGAATTGAACAAAAAAGTTTTTGGACCGGTTTGTTAAACATTTAGATATTTGAGGCGTTATTTCCTATTCAACTTTTTTTTTGATTTTTAATACCCACTTTCGATACCCTCTTCTTTTTTATACTTTTGTGACTCTTCTTATGTTTTAATCACTATTCTGGTCTATGTAAGTTTCTTTCATTTCGGTTTTCATGGGCTGGGAGCATTTCCACAAAAGCAATCGGCTGTATTATTAGTTTCCTACTTACACGGGTGGGTTGGTGGGCGGGGAACTTTTTGTTTTCGTGATGGGGTTTTTTTTTTATCTTTATCTTTTATGTATTGGGAAAAGTTATCGGGTTCTTTTCTTCATTGGGAATATTTTTGGTCCTGTTCATTGGTTTTCATTTTCTTTCTACTATTCCTTTCTTTCTGGAAAAGTTATCTGCATACAAGGGGGTCCTTGAATCTTCTGGCATGCTTTGAAACTTTAGGGTTTATTATATATTGGTTGGTTTTTGGGGAGGGGGATTAGTTTTCTTTTTTTGATTTTTATTTGCGAAGATACCACTTGTAGTTTTGTTTTTTTGTTTTTTGGGTTGGAGGAGGAGTCGAAGATGGTCGACGTACGCCAGTGGCGAGATGAGTGAATTATCGCGGGGTACGGAGAAGGAGGATTATTTTCGGACCTTCAAGTTTTGACAGGCTTGTCAGAATATTGTGACTGGTTATACGCTTTATTTCTTTTGTCATAATACGATTCTCTTTTGTGTTTTATTTTGCAAGTTCGCGCGCTCCGTTCATTCTCCCCTCATTCTTCTACCCCTCCTCATGCCTCATGGAAACCCTTCCTGCATGCATGCACACATCATCGTTCATCGTCATCGTCAGCACACTGAACACACACAAAAAATCCCTGCTCCATCTTTGTTTGAATCTATGAGATCGCGTGGTCGGCGGGTGTCTTGTTTTCTGGGCTTGGGAATCCTTGAGGTCTTGACGTCTTGAGGCGGGGTTGGTTGGTCTAAGGGCTTAATATTTGAGAATTATTGTAACAGATGTTTTTGATTTCACGGAAAAGTTTCAACAGAGAAAGACTGTACTTGTAATGGATCATGTTTTGAAAGAAGTTATTGATTTCGAGATTTGTTTATTTCCTTTTTCTCCCCTTTGCTTTGTTAACGTTTATCTGCTGCTATATAAAAACAACGAATAAAAAAAAGAACATTCGCTGGCGACCTTTATCTTCCATTCATATAACCTAGTAGAGTACTTATCTATATCTATGTGCTGTAAAGGCGGATGTCGATATAGATATGCCGTATGCTGCTTGCTGTATGGCAGGCCGATGATTGATTGACCTGAAAATCAATGTGAAGCATCGTAGGTTTCGGTTAACGAACAAACCATCCAGCACTGATATGCGGCGATCTCTCCGTCCGACATGACATTTGCACCCCTCAAAGTCTATCCTGCGCGCGCGCGTTGAATTCATGAAGCCTCCCTCTCCCTGTAGACCTTTTTTCTTTGGATGCCATTTATTCGCGATAGCTACTCGTACGTTACTCTAATTGCTTGTTTTTTCTTCTTTCCCATTTGTATTTTAGGACCGAGACCAAGATCGTCCCCGCTACCAATCATGGACAGTGTTGGAGCCTCATAACCTTCCACCTGCATTAAGTGTATGTATGTAGGAGGTAGACCCCGCCCCACAAGAACCAACCATCCCTTAGACGCGCAGAAGAGTGAGAGTGGGAGAGGACCCGTACGTCCTCCCCCCAAAAATGAAAATAGGGAAATGTGAAATGGAAATGGAAATGCAAACGTGGAACCCTTACATTGCATCACAGGAAGGGGGTTTGCATCAATTATTAGTTCTAGTAGCAGGTAGCCCCGCCCTCGCTTCAAGCATGTTCTGTTATTAATTGTTGGTAGAGCAACTAATTTAGCTAACTAGTACTAAGATTAGAGGTCACGTTCTCGAGTCTTGATCAAGCTCCATGATTTAATGCGGGGACGGAGAGGGCGGACGAGCGAAACGGAGCTTGGATAGATAGAGATCTCTCTTCTAGATCTGTTTCGCCTCGCTACCTGCGGCGATGTTCCAAATAATTCATTACCCCTCCTCTTCATGCTCATGACGGAGCTAGCTAGTAGATGCTCTAGCTAGCAGAGTATCATGATCGCAGCAGGCACGCGCGCTCACTTGGTGAACCTGGGTTAGGGTCCCCACCACCCAAGAGTATGGCATTGTATCGCACCATGCTTCTACCCCTCCTTTACTAGTATTCTCAATCTCCTCCACCACCCCCTCACCACAAGCAAACCTGTCTGCTCAGCGGCAGTGCAGGCACGTGCCGAAGGGTTCGGTATTGGATTGGATACCAGCCCAATTGTGCGGTATTATGATGGGCCTGGGGATTGCGATGCGAGGGAACCTTTCAATTGGGGAGGAGGTACATACGTACTCTAGGGACGTAGAGTAGGAGTAGGTAGGTCATAGGTGGGTGGCTTTGATATCTAACCACCTTATTTTCATTATGCAGGCAAGCAGACAGGCAGGGAGGGAGGCTGTTTCCCGCACACCGGAGGGAGAGAGCGGATATGTTTCGTCTCGTCACGGAGAGACAATTTCAAGACCTGGGCTGGAGGTACCGTACCTACTCTGCTCACTCTGCTCGTAATTCATGTATGTAGGCAGTAAGACCTACATACATATACTTACATCAAATTTCAATTGTAGAACACTAGATGATAATTCTGCTGCTGCTCAGCCCGCCTATTTTTGCGGCTGCAAGGAAAAAAAATAAAGATTGCGTATCCGTAATGATTGATATGTACCTTGGTAAGGCGATCCCAAAAAAAAAAAAAGAGCTGAGTTTTCAGTTCAGTTCCTGAGAGCTTCCAGCTTCCGGATCCACCGCCGATCCTGAGGTTGAGGTTTTTTTTGCAACTCAACCAGCCTGCCGGCCGGCGCAGAAGTTTTTCCTTCCCTCTTCCTCCACCTCCTCCTTTGTTCTGTCTCACCAACCCCCCGTAGGATGAACAAACTTGTTTCCCCGACAAGCCACCTACAAAAAAAATAAAATAAAAAAATTACACACATACTGTGTGAGAGTCAGTGAGACCCAGCCCCGAAAATTGAGGTGGAGAAAATGAGGTTTTACAACGTTTAGGGAAAGAAATGCGAATGCGGAAGAGGGGTTTTTCTGTTGGTCTAACCGCATTTTATGCAGTCAGAGTTTAGTTAGTTGTGGAGGTCAATGACCAATTGGGGCCCTTCTGGAAAAAGAGAGCTTTTAGGTTGTTGGTCACTTATCCGCTCACCTGTGCGAGTTCGCGAGAGCGTCGAGTGGACTCGGGCAGGTATGAAGGCAGATAAGGCCTTGTTCGGCCCGCACGCGACCGGGCGGATCATGGATAAAATCATGATAAAGCGTGCAGGGCACTTAGAACTCAAGTCACCAAATCATTTGACAAGGCTCTTTTTTCTTATTTTGTGGCGCGTGTTTGTTACCCGGTTCCGTTAATATTTTTTGTTGGGCTTGCTTGAGTGACGAGGGAATAAAATGGACTTCTTGACTTGTCTTGTGGGACGGGGATTACGGGATGTGCGTACATACATTCCTGCAGGATTGGCACCGAGTATGTAGGTAGGGTATGGCATGTAAAAAGGTATGATGTACCTACTCAAGATGTATGTGCTTCACTAGAGTATGTATGTGAGTAGCTTCATGACCACAAGAGTCACAGGCCTGTACTCTCCCTGGTGGTTTTTGTTGGAAACCCTGGGGATATTTCCAACAAAATGTTGGTTTTTGTTCGACAGCCACAAAGTTCTGATGGCAGATGTCTAAAGTCTCCTCCACCTCCCCCTGGCAGTAGTTGGCACACATCACATGAAAGCGAGAAGAAAAAATAAATCAAAAAATCAACACATTTGCCGTGTCTTGTCACTCACTAGTCATCACGGAGAGTAAAGCATGCTATATGAAACGAAACGAAACGAAACATCCTAGAGAGAGTGGGAGAGATCTCCCGTTCCTCGTGGTCAGCGGGCGGCGGGAGCTAAGGGCTGTGTTTGTGGGACCGAAGGAAACTCCTTCGTAATCTAACGAAACGAGCCTCATGAGCGAACGGGCCACAAGCTGCCCTACTACCGTACCGTTATGCCCTAACGAACGTTAACCAGGGCGTGGGATCTGATCATAGAAGCTTATGGTCTGACGAAGAGAAGATTGAGGCGGCGAAATGTTCAGACGAAGGCTCTGTGTGTTCCTGGGTTCCTGGGAGGCTTTGCGCAACAACTCTAAAATTGTTTTTTTTTGCTTTGCCTTTGTGCTTGCCTTTGCTGACTGACATGACGCAAGAGAGAAACGGCGCGGCGCGGCGATGGATGGATGGATGGGATGGGCGGATGTTTCAGTAAGCAATCTAATCGCAAGCGCCGGGAAGGAGGGATGATCTGAAAAAAGTTACATACCTCTAAATTTAGAATCAAAAATCAACCTCTCAAACTAAGTAGAAACTGTAAAGAAAGAAAGAAAACAAGCAAGATGCCTTCTCATCAAGGCGGCGATGAAAGCTCGAGATGATGTTCCAGAATATCTCTTCCCCTCCATCGTTCAGCCGCGCGCGTCATTATGCAGCAGCTATCACTGACTGATTCATTCACTCTCGAGATGTGAATACCTAGTTTTGAGTGGATGGAGTTGTTTAAATTGTGATTGTGCAACGGTCAACGGTCCAGACTCAAACGGTCAGGCATGCAGTTTGCATTTGTGACCGAGTGTGACCTTGATTTTGACGACGATGGAGGATAATAAGAAGCAGGGTTATTGCCGCCTTGGTGATCGGACGGGATCGAGAGGTTGAGGGGTGTCGTTGTATGGTGGTTGCAATTGCGAGCAAGGTTTTGGCACATACAGGTGTGATAGGTTTAAGTACTGAATCGGTCATCGACAAGACGAGAGTGAGTGATGTGCACGACAGATGAGAATTGAGGAAATAAATGATTAAACAATTAATTCTCATGGGCTGTCATGTCATTGAGGTGGTGGAGTAAGAGGTCGTGGTGGTGGGTGGTGAAGGTAGTACACAGGTTCATGAGCCGGAGAGCAGCATCGCGACGATTTCAGACAGAACTATAGAGTAGAGTAACTAACAAGATTTTGCTTCTAAAATAGCCGAAGCCGAGCTCTGTATGCTGTGCGATCATGTTGGAGGGAGGATGCAAGTGCAGTTTATGAATTTATTCAGTCTGGTATGTCCCGGTAGTGTGTGCCTACATAACCGCCAATTTATCAACGACGGCTCTGCTCTGCATGTTCGGCCTCAGGTCTAGACTTGAGCTCTCACGGCGCGGGCCGACAATGGGTAATTGAACGACAGCTATAATACTCTATATTATACATCCGCTCTAAAAGTGTATTCAGGAGTACTCCACTTGGCACTCGAGGCAGACTCTGATACCTGGTTCTCGGGAGCTGTCACTGTTACAATGAGCATCAGCATCACCACGAAGCTTAAAGTCGTGATACAGCACCCTGTGCGCAAGATGCTCCAGAGAACAATGGACCGCACAACCTGCGTCGTGGAAGCTACAGAGCCTTCGCACTCATGCTATCTCAACTACAGAACCCATTCCGCGTCTATCCTAAGGATCTACTAAGACATTCCTGCCAAGAGCCCCTAGATACGACCACGTTCATTCCCATGGATCCTAGGACTGAAACATGTCAACACGATACCAACTATCATAGCTCAGGCATCAAACTATCCTCCTGTGATAGGCCAAGATATGTAGGGCTATCTACCCAGCATCCGCCTACACCGTTGATAACCGGCAACCTGTTGCGGTTGGCTGGTGAGAGGTGCGCCCCAACTCGATTCGACATACGAATAGGTAACCAGCATGAATAAAAGCTGTTGTGGTGCTTCACGTCCTCAGTGGGGGCCAATTGCTGAGAGGCAGACCGAAACGAGATAGCTACTCTTTCAAACGGCACGGCAAGGGGCAGCGTGCCAACTGGCACCCTCGGGGGAAAGAGGTCAGGAACCGTGGCTCGTCTCCACTGGCTTGGGCGTGCATTGCGGGACATCGTTGAACGGTCCGGCGCGGCAATGCACCTCACCGAATTAATTCTCCTGAGAATGAAGATCTCCGTTCATTCGTGATAGAAGCATGTTCTGTCTGTGCAATTATGGCACAGAGACGGGCAGAGGCCCTCGACTGGAGTTTTACTTCAAGGTCACGAGCAAAACCTACGCTGGAATAGCAATATTTGGACGCGAAGCGGAAAAAACATGTCGAAGATACGGCGTACCATACTCAACGGGCGATAAGATATTTTCTTGTGGAACTTTTCTTCACATAAGCGCTGGCTGATACCGCTTGCGCTGGAGAGTACGAATCCGGCGCACCTGGCATCAGGCAGACATGACACTTTTTTACTTTCAATCAAAATCAGTCAAATCCCACTAAATTGCGAATCTGGAACAGCCTCCTCGCCCCACATCTTTCCCCACGCACCCTTCCCCCCACGTTTTTTCAACTGGAGATCCGGGGTGCGCGCGTATCGATAAGCTCCCCACACTCACATACATTGCGCACGGACGGACTCCTGCAGATACCCTCAACTACCGGGGTCTTATATATCAGCCCACTCAGAGTATCTCCTCTGGATCTAACATAGAGCCAATGCCTATTCTTAAATCTGAAGGAAAGCTATCCCTTATGCAGGGGGGTAGGGGGGTTGTTTTCAAGCAGGTACCAAAAAGAGAGAGGGAGAAGCCAGATTCATTCTGAGACTGGTTTCTGTTCTTCTCTAGTGGGAAATAGTGGACGTGTCACCATATAAGTCGAGAATTGTAATTTTGGCTTGTTACCACGGGACCGGATGTATCAGGGATCTCCCAATCGCTAGTTTCCCTGAAGCCACATCTCCAGTGTGGAGGAGCCGTGACAGCTCAATTACCATAGTCCTCTGCTGCTTGACACTTTCTTAGGCTGGGGGGGGCCTTGGTAACTCCATGTAGGTGCTTTGGGACCTTGTGAATTGTGGAGGTCAGCCTTGAAGGGGTGGAGGCATAATTTATCTGACCCGACTTCTAGTTTGCTCAGTATATCTGTACATTTAGAGTCGAGTGCATAAGTGTAATATTTCAGCGGTTACGGTCTATTATACGTAATCAGCGAGAAAATATGATATGAACTCCTCGTTAATCAAGCTAACCAAAATCGTGATAGTAGTGATTGGAGCTTACAGTAGCTTTGTCTTTGAGGCAGATTAGGCGTGATCTTATAAATAGCATTGTCCTCTGATTCTTATCAGCGCAGCTGTGCTTTACATATTCTAGTTCAGTACATGCTGTAGATATGTCTCCGAGCATGTCTGCTGCAGATCATACCCACAGACTACCTAGACTAGACTACATATATGTATGTATTAATCAACTGATACAACATTGACGCAAGCCCACAAGCCTCTAATAACGTGAAGCAAAATATATATCTCGATCCTAGCTGCGCGTGGGCCTTGAAATTCTTCAGAGCTAGGGAACAAAGGATAAGCACGCCGGGAGCTAGTGGAAGTGTGCAGTACCGCAAAATCTGAGAATATTCGTTGCGAGACAACAGGGGTATAGGCCAACCAGAGGCAGTCTTTGGACGTCAATATGCAAGTTTTGGTGTAGGATATCCCTGCTGCAGCGCAACGAAATTTCTCAGATTTTACGGTAATTCTCCTGCTGGATTACATCATGACCTCGAACCGCTTTGTAGAAAATGATCGCGCAGTCCTTGTAATGCAGGTAATTATTTGCCTTGTTTCTTGTAGCGCTAGGTACGCTGTTGGAGTACTCTACCTAACTGTATGTACTCTCCACGTACAGTCAGCGAGACAGTTCTCTTCTCGATATCGACGTTCACATATGTAGTCTGAAAAGATTTTTTTTTTCTTGCCTGCAGAACCGCGCTCTTCCATTGTGGTCATGATGTTGTTCTGTGGTTGTTGTTGTTAGGTTGAGAACTAGTAGTCTGCGGTAGAGTGTATTGTACATATGTGCATTTGTATGAGAAGTGCGAAATGATACAGGATCACCAGATATCATTCGTGGCCGATGCGGAAGTGTGCTACTCTACTTTTGGATCTCAGGAAGTGCTTCCTATATGAGATGCACTTTCTCCGTTATGAATTCCTTCTGCATGTGGATTAGCCTACCGCCTTAGGAAGCTGTCACACAGATACATGTAATATTGGTAGCTGAGCAGCTGAGCCCGAGACATACTGCCTAAGAGGGCAATTTCGACGTCTTGTGTAACATTTGTACCTATGGTGGTGACTCGAGTCGATACGGGATGAGGTAAGCGTTTGGGGGATTGCAAATTTTAGCTTTGGACCCTTAATCATTAGTCGTATTCGTACTAAGGCAGAAAAGCAGAGGTCAAATAAAACGGGTTCGTTACCAGAGTAAATGATCGGAGGGTTGGATTGGATGACTGTAATGTGACACATAACCAGTTCTGTGGCAACGGTCTTCTTCATTCTCAGCTTAGGTTGGCATGTCGTTGCCTTCTCGTGCTCTTGTTCTTTTTTTTATTTCACGGATCGGATGACACGCCAGTAATGTGGGAAGACGACGACCCACGGTTCCAGGATAGCTATAGACCTTGAGCCGGTCCCAATTTTGGGGAATGTTTGGTAACGTTAGGCAGAGGCTGTGGAATAAGCGGGAGTCCTGGTCTGAAAATTACACTTACTCGGCTCAGCTGGTTATCTGGTCCCTAGATTAGACTTCGCCAGTCGGTTATCACATTGACGTTGGTGACATCAATGTGAAAACCTGGGTCCAATACCTGTGAAGCACTGGTTGTTCCTTCGGATATCAGTATTCGTATTTATTTTCTTCGCTCGGCGGAGCCTCATTTAAAAATATGAGTCTACGCAATCTCTCAAGTCTGAACCATTGATATTTTTGCTCTTTGATCCTCCCGAGGAGCATATGGCTGGCCCACGTTGAGTACTGCTGTACGAATGTGCCCCGTGAACCCTCGATGATGGCCCCTTTTCATTTTATCAAAAATCACGAGGTGCATGTAGTATTTGGGTCATAGGTCAAATGACTCGGAAGAAATCCGCAACTTGTTGTTCTCTTGGTCCCCGCGCGCATGCGCAGGAGAGGGACAGCGTGACATGTCCCGCGAGTCCCGACGGTTTATGGAACACTCATGGGGGTAAATTGATGCTGTCAAAGACACAATGGATAGGTTACATGCAGGGTGAAGTCGTTGATATCGATGGGGCTGCAGAGTGGAAAATTTTCACTTGGCCGATTTTTAAACTGTAATATCTATACTCATGAAATATCACTCGGAAAATTCGGATCAAAAGGATAGTTTGCGTTGAGTCCTCTCATAGCTGTACTCACACATAAGAACACTGCATGATAGTATTGGTTAATAAATTAGAGGCGATCAAAAGAGGAGGTTCCCATCTAGAGAGAAACCCCCCATATTCATGAGTTCGGACACATTCTACCACAACTCACACCCCCAACCATGAGTTTCAAAAAGTACTAAGTGTGTCCCACCAAAATACAGTTGCAGTTTGAGGCTAGCTAGGATTTGCAGTGATTTAATGCTCTTTGGGATTGTATTGATGATTAACTATGGTCAATTGCCGACAAAGAATTCTAATTTATGCCATCTATTTCTACAATGAAAATCAAAAAAGAATTATCTATTAACTGCTTTCTCAACTAATAAGGACGTTTCTTCCTCTGAATACTAAAGAGCTAGTCTTTAGGTTGTTTTTGGCGATAATAGAGGTCCGATCTAATCATAAAGCAACTATTGGGAAACTTGTAATAACCAAGTCGGTCTGTACTTTTGGCCGTATGTGTCTTGTGTCTTGTGTTGCAAGAGTACTGGTAAAGACGGAGAATAACTATGTAGCCGTTGTTAGGAGAACAGAATATAATCGAAACCTTTCAAACTTAAGGTCAGGTATATCAGATATATTCTGTTGCTAGGGAAGAATTTCCAGACAAATCTAGAATTCGCCAGCCCCCTCCCATCTTCCGGAGCAAGAGAGAACATCATGATATATCACTCGACTCTACCAAGACACAGTGAAAAGGATCAGTCGCTTTATCCACACTTATGTGGGGTAATTTATGGTTGTCAACTCATTAATTGTGTATTTTATTTGGGGTATACTTACCGGTTTACCATCAACATTTACAAAGCAGCCAGGTATTCTTTTCTAGCATTCATATGTCGCCGTGATATATCTACAGTCAAATACCGCAAGAGAGTGCCCCTCCAAGAAGCAATAAAACAAGCAAGCAGCCCATAACACCACAAACACTAAAGAAATAGAGAGAAAAGAGCGACAATTCGTACATTAGAAAATATATACCCCAACCAATCCATCGATAAAACTCCCAAACGCGAAAAAGCTCCCACTTGTATTGGGGGGGGGGGGGGGGAGAAGAACATCCCTTCAAACCAATCCTTGGTTACTTCCTTATAATCTTCAGCAATGGCTCAATATGTGCCCTCCTACTCAACCCTACTCTGAACTTAACAGGCCCCTTATTAATCGGACTATGCAGGGTCTTCGATTTCCCCTTCTCTGCAGGCTTCTTGCTCGGTGTTTCGGGTTGCGTCTTTAGTTTAGGAGGCTGCTGTGGAGGTAGCGGCGGTGGGGTAGCCTCCTCCTTCTTCTCTCCGTCCTCTTCGTCGGCGGTCTCTTCTACCTCTGCCTCTATCCTCTCCTTTTCTCTTTTTGCCTTAGCTGCCGCAGCTCTAGAGATTTTAGGCTCCTTCTTTGTAGGTGCCTTCACGGGCTCCACGGGAGGAAGATCCTGCACGTTCTCCCCGTCATCATCAGAGTCCTTCACCATCTCGTTGGACAACCGCGCCTTCTCCTCCCTTGCTGCTGCAGCTGCTTTCTTGGTCACACGCGGGGCCTTAGGCTTGGTCTCCTTCTTCTGATTCTTCTTGGGCTCCAGATCGCCGTCCCAGCCTTCTTCATCGGAGTCTTCCTTCCTGCTCTTGCGTCTTTGCGCAGGGAGCTTCTTTTTAGGCTCCGGGTCT